AAGCAGGAATTCTAGAGGAACAGACGGAGGAAGTCTGGTGCGCCGCAGGATTCACTTACTCCCAGCAGCTAGCAGAGGAAGCCAACCGAGACAAACCCGTTAAAACCTTCGAAGAAATGGTCCCTGAGCAGTATCGTGATTTCAAGAAGGTTTTCTCAGAATCCGCCTCCGAACAATTACCTGCCCACCAACCTTGGGACCATGCGATTGATCTCGTACCTGGAGCACCGGCAACCATGCGTACCAAGATTTATCCCATGTCCCTAAACGAGCAGGAGGAGTTGGATCGTTTCCTAGAAGAAAACCTACGGAAAGGCTATATCGTCCCCTCAAAATCACCAATCTCATCACCGGTCTTCTTCGTAAAGAAGAAGGATGGGAAACTCCGTTTCGTACAAGACTACCGGAAACTGAACGAGTACACTGTGAAGAACCGATACCCGCTCCCATTAGTTGCTGACATCATTAGCCGACTTCAGGGAGCCAGATACTTCACGAAGTTTGATGTCCGCTGGGGTTACAATAACATACGGATTAAGAAGGGGCATGAATGGAAAGGCGCGTTCGCAACAACCCGAGGCTTGTTCGAGCCTAAGGTCATGTTCTTTGGTCTCACAAATTCCCCTGCCACGTTCCAAGCACTTATGAATGCTATATTTGCTGATCTCATTGCAGCCGGCAAGGTGGCAGTCTACCTAGATGACATCCTTATCTTCAGTAACGATCTCGAGGAACACCGACGAATAGTACGGGAAGTATTAACTCGGTTAGAAAAGCACGACCTCTACCTACGACCCGAAAAATGCGAATTTGAACAACAACAGATTGAATACCTCGGACTCATCATCTCAGAAGGGGAGGTGAGAATGGATCCGGTAAAAGTAGCGGCTGTTCGTGACTGGCCAGTCCCTACTAACCTTCGGGAACTACGAGGGTTCTTGGGATTTGCAAACTTCTACCGACGCTTTATCCGGAATTTTGCCAAAATAGCACGACCTCTGAACGACCTGACGAAGAAAGACACCAGCTTTACCTGGACCGACACTCGACAGAAAGCATTTGATACCCTTCGAGAAGCCTTCATTTCCGCACCGATCCTTGCTCTATGGACACCAGACAGGCCTACTCGAATCAAGGTAGACGCATCAGGCTTTGCCACGGGAGGCGCCCTTATGCAGAAGCAAGACGATGGCCAATGGCATCCGGTAGCCTTCAGATCGGCATCCATGCAGCCAGCGGAACGGAACTACGAAATCTACGATCGAGAAATGCTTGCTATCATTGAAGCACTGAAGGATTGGAGGAACTTTCTAGAAGGACTCCCTCAACCATTCGACATCATTACGGACCATTCGAACCTCGAATTCTGGCGCACTGCACAAGATCTCACCCGTCGACAAGCCCGATGGGCCCTCTATCTGTCACGGTTTGACTTTCATATGATCCACCGCCCTGGCAGAGTAAACACCCAAGCTGATGCTCTCTCCCGCATGGCAGTTCATCATGTATCGGACAGCAATGATAACCGGCAACAGACAGTCCTTAAACCTGGCCACTTCGTAAAAATTGCAGCTTCGATCCTACAGAACCCCTTAGAGGATCGTATCCGGAAAGCCTCAGAATGGGAAGCACAGGTATTGGAGGGTCTCAAAACAGTCAAAGAGCACGGACTACAGCGCTTGGCCAATGGGATAGCCGAGTGGGAAGAGGACAATGGGTTGGTCTACTACCGAGGTCGAGTATACGTACCAGCAAACGACGACCTACGCACCGAGGTACTCCGTCAATGCCATGACCATCCAACTGCAGGACACCCCGGACTACACGGGACACTCGACTTGGTCAGTACCCATTTCTGGTGGCCTACGTTGCGCTCTTTTGTGGAAAAATACGTTGAGGGATGCGAGGTTTGTGCCCGTAAGAAGATCCAGCGACACCCACGGGCCGTAACTCAACCATTAGATGTACCATCCGGTCTATGGGAAGAGGTAGGGGTTGACCTGATAACACAGCTACCTAACTCCCAAGGCTACAATGCTGTCTTGGTTTGCACAGACCTGTATGGAAAACAAATTCATGCTATTCCTTGCACCAGCTCCATCACAGCCGAAGGCGTTGCCGATATTTACTACCGAGAGATCTTCCGTCTCCATGGTCTTCCTCTTCACTTTAAATCCGACCGCGGACCCCAGTTTGCAGCTAAACTCATGCGATCCCTTCTCGCTAGGCTAGGAATTAAATCAGATCTAACCTCCGGATACCGTCCTCAGTCTAATGGCCAAACCGAACGAGCAAATCAGGAAGTAGAGAAATACATCCGCCTCTATGTAGGACGACGACAAGACGACTGGGCAGAGCACCTTCCCATGGCGGAGTTTGTGATTAACTCACGGACTCATTCTGCGCTAGGCATGTCCCCGTTCGAGCTAACCTACGGCTATCTTCCCCTGTTCAATATCCCAGTGGGCCAACGCAGCGGTATTCCAGCTGTGGATGACCGTATACGGATTCTCCGAGAAGCGCGACAAGATGCCGGAGCTGCCTTACACCTAGGAAAGAAACAACAGAAGGAGGGATACGAACGCGGGAAGCGGAAAGCTCATCAATTTAAAGTTGGAGACCTAGTCTGGCTCAGTGCAGAGGACATTAACCTTCAGCTTTCCAGTGAAAAGTTAGGAGATCGACAGCTTGGCCCTTATCGCATTCTGGAGAAAATTGGCCCTTTAGACTACCGCCTTGACCTTCCCCTATCCCTAGATCGCCTCCATCCCGTCTTCCATGTTGATAAACTATACCCCTGGAAAGGTAACTCCATTAATGGCGAAATACCAACACCACCAGAGCCGGTATACTTAGAGGATGAAGACGAACCGGAATACGAAGTAGAGGAGATCTTAGACAGCCGGGTTCGATGGAAGAAGTTGGAATATTTGGTTAAGTGGAAAGGTTACGACGCAGGGCACAACTCTTGGGAACCCGCAGCCAACCTCAGTCGAGCACCAAAAATTGTTCGGGCCTTTCATAAAAAACACCCAACAGCGGCAAAGCCTTGACCATCGAGGGCAATGGTCATAAGGAGGGGGGTAATGTCATAAAGTACGCAGCCCCTATCATTTTCCTTTTCTCACCGTCTCGACGCCTTTACTTGTACGATACATCATCCCATCACTGTCAAACCCCCATCGATTACTGATCCATCGATTACTGATCCACCTGACCCATCTTCTCCTTCTACTGGCTTCCGCCACCTTCCTTGTTCCTAAACTGTACAGTATTACATCGTTGTTTCTCGCAGACCGGATTATGTATATATAGCCAACCCTCCACAGCCTGGTCCCTTATCTTGACCTCTCTGTCATTATCTGGGACCAGGTATGTGCTTACTTATTATTACCTATGACTACGATACTCAATATATCTCTGTCATTATCTGGGACCAGCTTGCCGCCGTTCTGCTTAGTCGCTCCGCCTTGTTGCCTTGTCCAGTTGCTCCGCCTCACCGTTCTGCTTAGTCGCTCCGCTTTCCCGCTCCATTAGTCACTCCGCCTCTGCCGCTTCGTGACAGTCCTAAGGTCAAAGTGAGAAAGACTTCAAGGTGACGAGCCTGAAGAATAGAGAGTGACAAGAGCACAAAGGAAGCCCCAAGTCAAGGATGCTAAGAGGATAATCGAAGAGGAGATCTAAGTTGATAACTAAACTGAGGAACTACAGTATCGTACAGGCAGTATTTATATCTACGGATCGGCGCCTCAGTGCGGAGTGCCAGACTAAACTACTAGAAGCTATACGTGTAGTACCTGCAGGATAGAGAATAAGACAATAAAAGGAAAGGATAAAACAATAAGGAAGGGTCTAAGCAGACAGGAAATGTATAGCGAGAAAGAACAATAAAGATGAGATTACAATAAACGGTAAATCTCGGAATACCGAGCAGCGGAATGGGGTACCAAAGCATGGACTTGACAAAATCCTGCACAGTGACCTCTGGATTTTCCTCCTCTTCTCTTGGTCCTTTGGAAAGTACAATAGAGGCTCGAGCATCCACAAATTTCTCTATGCAAGAGTGAAGAAGCTTCAGTTTCTCAGTCCGATTGCCCCACTTACTCTCAACTGTAGTAATAGCTTCTTTGACACCATGAATCTTATGCCATTTGAGTTGCTTTGTGATTTCTGGTACAATGAGATATCCACTCAATCCAACTGCCACATTTTTCATCAGCTGGAGAGCATAAATCATGTTGAATATGAATAAAAGTGAGATGAATGATGGGACAACAACGCAAAAAGTGTGTGCCTAATGTGCACTTAAATGATGTCATATAGATTTTGTGAATCCGTGGCAAAAATCGAGCAAACTGGGATATGCCCCGCCCACTCCCCCGGATTTTTCCTGGAATTTCTCAATTGAGGCATACAAGGACCTCGGACGATTTGTTGTAATCAATTTTATTCACTAAAGGGGACATTGCAGTTTCTAGCACCTGTGTACAGTATATCAATGAGTAGTAAGTATAGAAATATCAATCATCAATGGTCCTTGTATAGCCACTCTGAGCATTTTTCCTCTATAAAGAATGACATTAGGTCAACGGTTCAGTTTAGGAGAAATCGGTTATTGCTTTTTGGTGGAAAGGTGGCTGTACTGGTCAAAGCAGGTATAACGTGGGAACCAGAGATCTGACAGAGTATTGCCCACACCCACTAAAGGCGTTACAGTTTTAGGCGCTCAGTAGACGTTACTTGACCATTCATATTAAAGTTGTTGAAGAGCCTTGCGTATACAAAAGTTTGAGTCCGCTAGATAAGTCGTTCCCATTGCCAAGGGGCCAACTAATAGATGCGAGATCACGATACAGCAACCTAGGCGCTTCAGGGCGCTCACCATGTTCTCTCTCTGAATTCACATGAAAATTGTACGTTGTTGCAGGTGCTGCTGTTTCAGACCATATTCATTCCGCTTTGAGGAACCACAGCACATTGACGAGAAATTTTCCTGACAGTGTTGCTCTGAATCTTTGTACTATCTGTTTGTTGTAAATCATTACGGATTGAGTTACATTCACTTCAGATCATTCATGATTCCGGCTCCACACTCTTTCTTCTGACCACAAGCACTAGGGTCTCGTTGTAACATTCGCGACCTCTAATATCATTACTTGATGGACTTTGGGTCACTTCATTGCTAGAAAAATGCTGAGGGCCGCTGTTAGGGTACGCGTAGGTGAGCCGATTCGTCTCACGCATATCACGAAATCGTACGTAGCATCTTTTTCGCCCCTTTCATGTCCCATTAGTCTCCAGTGATTCACGATATTCACGATGCTATTCTCAAGGAAAGATATTCTTGTAAAAAGCAAAAAGCCATTGAATGTTGCTTCCCGGGTCTTCAATATGTCGTCCGCTACGGCTTCGTCAGCGTTCCATAAGGGATGGGTTCGAGGCATCAACAAGACTTCATCCATTTTGAGGACCGTGAAAAATGAGGGTCTCAGACGAGCTTACTCTACAAAGAGTACCGGGGATGGAAACAGCAGTGGGTTTGATTCTAATTCGTTTGGGAAAGGACTTCCGTTTCATCGTACGTGCTGGTACCAGTTTGTTTCTTTTTTGCATATTCATACCGTAATTTAGGCAGAGTAATCAATGCCTGGACACAGACTCCGACGAAATGGTATCCAATTCCGATTGCTGTTGGCGCGATATTACTGGTTGTTATACAGTACCGCAGGAAGCGGAGAGCCTCCTCTTTCCCCCATGTCGACGTAGACCAGGACGGTGTGGAAGTAATCAAGCTAAAGGGTCCATGGCAGGTATATGGGTATAACTTCTGCCTCGCTTCCGTGAACTGATAGTAACTTCAAACAGGTACATGTCCTCGGCGCATTACCTCTTCGTAATATGTCACGGCTGTGGGGATACCTCAATTCGCTAGAGCTTCCACCTTGGTTCAGACCTTATGGCTTTCGAATTTATGCTTTCGCTTTTGGCTGCAACTTGGAAGAAATAGATGAAGACCTGAAAACGTACCGCAGTCTCGGCGAGTTTTTCTACCGAAAACTCAAAGATGGTGTAAGACCAGTGGATAATGCTGTATTGGTACGTTGTTAAGGTCTGTTCAGCACCATCATCTTACTTTCCCTCTAGGTTAGCCCTGCTGACGGCCGAATATTACACTTCGGAATCGTACAAGGTTCGCGCGTTGAACAAGTCAAAGGGATAAGTTACTCCCTGGATGCACTTCTCGGCGTCGAGCGTCCCGGCACACCCCCCGCATCCATTGCTCCATCCCATCGCGACTCAATGCCCGTAGTCGACGATCAAGAATTTGCCAATGTCAATGGTATAGAATACTCTCTTGATCAACTGCTCGGGAGTGGAACCTCCACTCCTTCAACTCCTACAGACTCATCGCCGAATCTCCCTCATAAATTTGGTTCCCAAGTGGACGCATCCGTAGTCGAGTCCTCACGCGATTTCCAAGAAACTTTGGCACACGATACCTCTGTCGCGTTCGAGATGGGCGTCAAACCCACATTGGAGCGCTCCAAGAGTCGTACTTCCGTAAAACCAGGAAACGCACTATTCTTCACCGTTATATATCTTGCCCCTGGGGACTATCATCGATTTCATAGTCCCACCGCTTGGGTTGTTGAGAAGAGGCGACATTTCGTCGGGGAGTTGTTCTCTGTCTCGCCGTATATTGCGAAGAGGTTGGAGAATCTGTTCGTCCTCAACGAGCGTGTAGCTTTACTTGGCAAGTGGAGATACGGATTTTTCGGCATGGTGCCAGTTGGTGCTATCAATGTGGGAAGCATTAAAATAAATTTTGACCAGGTAATTATCTTCTGCGATACTCCTCAAGTTAAATCTTCATCTGTTTACAGGCATTACGGACGAACGAACGTGGTCGTCCACCGCCCCCAGGTACCTATACTGAAGCAGTCTACTCTGAAGCATCGCCGATTCTCAATGGCCAGCCACTACTGCCTGCACAGGAAATGGGTGGCTTCTGTCTCGGAAGTACGATCGTTCTGGTTTTTGAGGCACCTCGCGAGTTCCAATTTGCTATAAAGGCAAATCAGAAGGTCAAGGTTGGTCAAAAATTAGGGGATGTCGAGAAGGAAAAGACAGAGTGATTAGAGCGACTCTCAGTCTCTAAGTATATATATAGGCAGAGGAGATGAATCTGGATGATTGAGAAGATCTCATATATCATACTCACTGCTAAGAGTTAGGATAATTTGATACCCTACTGCTTGCTCAACGGAAGCTTACTCGATTTTCCGGACTGGCCTGACTTCGAAGTATGGCGCGTGTGGTGTAGTGTAAATACGATTCTCTTCAATTTCGGATCTTTCATCTGGCTTCATGTATATATCTACAGTCATTCACTCAAGTCTGAAGAAAGTGAAGTCCACTTGACATGTGGATGTGAAAGCGCGTGTTTCGGATAAACTGGGTCGGAACAAAGGTTGTTCCCTACCACCACGATGGCGAACCAACCGTTACCTCTCAAAGGACATCTTACTTCTGCATTAGGTGATCATGGCCGATCACACTCAGTTCCTCCATTACCTGCACCCATGATCAATCCAGAACAAGATATACCCCGACCTAGTTCGGGTGCACCCCAGAATCATCGTCGTAACTTCAATGCCGCTCCTTTAGCTTCCATCTCGAGGTCGTCTACCCCGGGAAATTCGTTAGACCTCATGAGCTCTCTACAGCGTTCAGGACCCTCAATAGTGAAAACGAGGACAGGAAGTGTTTTATCCAGGGGATTCATATTGAAGACTGATTTCTATCCTTCTGGTACGTGATTTGCCTGTATTTCGATGGCGATGATTTAATTTTCTTGTTTTCCAGGTCGTGCTCTGGAACTCGAGATGAACCTTCATGGCGCACCAAACTTCCGAGCTCCAAGACAAGGTGATCTCAATGTATTTGGCGTAGCCCAGCCTCGTACGCAGGGTTTACGCGCCATATTGTCCGTCCTACGCTGTAGACCCAATATACCTGATCCATCACATGTGGTCTGGTTCTCGACTCGCGAAGAACCTATAGGTACGTTGGATTACCTGCATCGACGGAAACCAATACCATCAGAATGCTTCAACGATATTTCATAAACTTGTTAATTGTGTGTCGCTCATCTTCAGCTTTACAGTATACATCTCCGGACGTCCATTTGTCTTACGGGACTCTTCGCAACCCCGACGAACATTACCAATGTCAGACCGTGCAGAGAATCTCGAAGCAATAGAACTTCGTCTGAAGAACGATATTTTGCAGGAGGGTGCAAGGTAAATTTCAGATTACATACATTGCATCATATAATCAAGGACGATGCCAAATCAGATTTGGAGGACTTGTCTTAACTCATAATGAAGTTGCTGGTAAGCTAATTCTTTCAATATTTGGAAAACACTCCTCTCAAGTCAATGAAGTTGCGGATGTCACCGGTGAGGGAGCTATCTTACCCACTTGGACTGCTGTGGACGCCAACAATGTGAAGACATCAAGAGAATTGTGGACATCTATGAAGAACAATGGCTGGAATGTCGACGTAAGCTTTACATCTTCTTCCAGTGCTCCATCCTGACTTTGCGATGATAGTATCATCGTATACCTATTTCTCCGGATAGGCCCATAGAAGACAACTACCTCGATGCGTATCTGCATGTTATAAAAACAACAGACCCACTCAAAACCGCGCTGGTCTTTTCATGCGGCATGGGTGCTGTCCGTACGACTTTTGCAATGGTTGCTGCTTGTATAGTGAGGCGGAGGCAACTGATCCTAAGAGGCTTGCCAGATCCTTATGGATTGAAACCATCTAGTTCACATATCTCGTCTCCTTCTAGATCTGGGTTATCAACAGTGAGTCGTAGGTGATTGTCTTTAATTAGCCTTCTGAAATCCTCTTTTGTCTAGCCCCAACCAGTAAGTTAGAGGTACAATTTGACCCATACTACGATTATAAACATCTTCCTGCGCAGCAATCAAATCGTATCGCAATGGTGTTAGAACAAGCGAACGCTCAGCAAGATCTTAGTCGCTCTCTACTGAAGCTGACATATTTATTGCAACAGAGTCAGTACACAGGACATGCTTTTCCAGATATACACTCACGTTAGAACGCAGGTTTGCAGGATCCAACTTCTCAATCTGCTATAGAATTGCTCATTTCTGAACCAACGTTGCTTGAAAACCTGCGAAAGGCTCATATGGGCAACTACGGGATCATACTCAGTCTTCTTGGCTGTTTGGATGACGGTCTTCAAGCCAAAAGGCTTGTGGATCGAGTCATAGATGCTAGTAAGCGTATCGGACCATTAATCCTATTTATTCTCCTGCTAATTTCTGCAGACGATCATGTGTCGCAGTTGCGAGAGGACATTCTGATGCACCGGATCAAATACGCTTTAACTACTATGGAGACTGAAAAAGGAGAAGCAATAATCAAGAGAGCTGGAAAGGCGATTGAGAAATAGTATGTGATGCGTCCTGTAATCAGACATACCCTCATCCTGAAGATTCCTAGCTTTTTCATCATCGCGTTCGCAAGCTTCGTCGAAAGCAGCTCTAGTGACTTCAGCCAGAGCTTCTCTGAATGGTTGATGGTCAGAACGGAGATTTGGAAGTGTGTGTTTCACAATAGGTTGCAGGGAAGAAAACTCACCTCAGCTTCTCGGCATTGCCTACAGCCAGGTCAAGTTTCTTCGAAAGTCGACAGGGTCGGTCTTAAATGTGTTTGCTCCCGTTAGCGACCTCTCCGCGTTATCCAGAAGTGGCCTGGATGGACGAGTTGTAATCGCTGGTAAAAGGAACGACGCTGCTATTTCGGGTGGTCAAATTTTAGGCGATGAATATTCTACACACGTCATTAAGGTGTGTTCATCAACACTACATCGAAATTGCTTGCTCCAACTGCAAAATATAGAATCGGAGCGGTATCATCCTACGAGAGAGGTTTGTTCCTTTTCCATGGTGAGATTCATCTGACTTCTTACAGCACACTTCTCAAATCCGATCTATGGATTCGTGAATCCTATCCCATTGAACACGACATCCGGGGTGCTATAAATTTCCGTCGAATCCCTTGCACCAACATTTATGCTCTTGGTCAACCCACCACGGAAGCGATTGATGAAGTCGTACGTCGGGTCAAACTGGATAATCCATCTGCTCAACGAATCGTCTGGATCACTTTACGCGAGGAACCTATCGTGTATGTCAACGGGGCCCCGTATTGTTTGAGGAGAGAAGGATTCTCCTTGAGAAACATGAAAGGTACTTCTTTCGTCTTATCACTATTTAGCAACTGAAACGGACCCCTGCAGACTATGGTGGTATCTCGGCATCTCGCTTAGAAATTTTAGAGGAGCGGCTCAGAGACGATGTCGTTTCAGAGTTGAACACTTTTGGTGGGAAGTATGTTGCTAATTCTTCCTGACCCCGAACTTCGCTCATGAACTCTGCGAACAGGCTACTTCTCCACTCTGAAACGCAAGATGGAACAGTGGTACCCGTTTGGGAGGATGTGAACCCTACTAACGTCGTTGTGCTGCGAGATATTATGGAAAGTAGACGGGACATGTTCGGCGTAGAACTCGTGTACGATCGTATCCCAATTACTGCCGAACGCCCACCAGACTTTTCTGACCTTAACGAGCTGATCGACGTCGTGCTACGCTGTTCTAACGACACTCCCATCGTTGTGAACTGCCAGCTCGGAAGGGGTCGAAGTACACTTGCATCAGTACGTCCGTCATTTCTAATTGATTCACTCGCTGATTTCTGAATCACAACATCCTTCAGATCATACTCACCTTGATCCGACAATGGCTCGATTCCAATCGACCTAAGACGCCATCAACCCCCCGAATCAATGCCACCTTTACTCTTTCCATGTCCTCAACTGTTGCTACCCCAGCTGCTGAGAAGCAATCATCAAAAACCCGAAACTCCTACCAGATCATCAATAGTTCGTCGCTGTGTTCTATCCCTTCGTTGACCTTGATTGATGTGGTTCCGCTAGATTTGCTTAGAGTTTTCCGAGGAGGTATCACCATTAAGGAGACAGTCGACAATGCAGTTGACCAATGTGCGGTCGTGTATAACCTTCGAGATTCAATTGAAGAGTCTCGAGTGCAAGCTGAACAAGCAGTTGATGACAAGCAAAAACGTGCTCATGCCCAAAAAGGTACGATATAAATAGCTTTGACCGTATACGTAAAGACGTTTATATTTTCCAAACCAGCTTTGCAAAACTTGAGACGATACTTCGAACTGCTTGTGTTCCAGGCTTATCTCCAATCCACTCCGCCAAATACAATGCAAGATTTTGAAAGCATCGAAACTTTCGTGAAGAGTCGACCAGGTGGGTCTTGTCATCATGGTATCGTGCGATGATACTACCGTTGTTTCAGTCATAAAAACCTTCGAACGAGAGCTCATGACGGATGGGATGAACACCTTGAAGCCCCTTCGACGAGCAGATCTGGTTGAAGGAATGGCTCATCCAGATGAAGTCAAACAAGTTGTAATGAATCGATCCGGAGACATCCTCTCGGCCTCAACCATACTCAAGAGCGACTTCTTTTCGAATCTTCAGAAGATGACACTACCAGAGTGAGTGTTTAGATGTCTGATTCCCTCATAATGCGACGTATCTACAGGCGAATCGAAGGCGCACCCAATTTTCGCCGTGTCCCGCTGACTTTACGAGTGAAACCTGCATCTTCACCATTTTCACCAATGGAGTCAAGGATTGAACCAGTACTTGAGGGTAAAATGGTTTGCGGTAGGCGAGTAGTATATTCAAAGTCAAAAGGCCTGTTGCTTATTGTTTGTCGACAGCGGCATGCCTACTGTGGATGGGTGATTATGTTCACTATCTTGTACAGCTTTTATACTTATCACCTGATGTCCAGTCTGAAACGAGCCCTGATCCGGGTAGATGCTGGTCCCGATGGAAGCAACAAAGTTTTCTGGACATCACTCAGGGAGGCTCGTATCCTTCTGCAAAAATGCAATCGAACAAATCTGACAATATTTCCAGGAGCCTGTGATATATGTCGCTGGTCGACCACATGTCCTGAGGTTGGTAGACAGACCATTGCAGAACGTCGAGTATGTTGATTTCATCTTGGAGTAAACTGTTTTTGTTCACGCATTGATTTTAGGGCAACCGGTGTGGCCACCGCTGTTGTCGAGGTCATGGAGCGTAATTTCAAGAAAGACGTAATCCGTGAATTGCGGTCTGGAAAGGGCAGAATACTCTTGCATGATGAGGTTGAGGAGCGGCCGGGGGTGTTCTCAATCATTCCAATCTGGGAGACAGTTGAAGAAGCTGATATTTTGACCCCAAGAGATGTGTTTGATTCGATTGTCAAGGAAGGTTTCAAGGTGTGTAGTCTGTTAATTGATGTCGACCTTATTTAAAATAGGAATACTTATGTTTAGATTGACTATGACCGTGTAGCCATCACAGATGAGCAAGCACCATTACCAGGCGCCCTCACACAATTACTGGATCGTATTCGCACCAACATGTCAGAGGCTGGAGACTTCATCTTCAATTGTCAAATGGGTCGTGGGCGAACCACTACCGGCATGGTCAGTGCTTGCCTCGTTTCAACGACGCTTGAATGGGATCCAGAAAGAAGTCACGAGAATGACTTGATGACGCTGGGCCAAGACGAATTTGAAGAAAGCCAGGAAGATTTCTTTGATTCAATGGATGGTCCGTCAGAGGAGGAAGCTTATCGACAAGGTCAATATTCATGCCGATATTCTGTTTGACTGTTTCATTGTGTTGACATCGTCTTATAAGGAGAGTACAAGACCATTCTCCAACTTGTAGGAGTGCTTTCAAATGGAAAGGTTGCAAAACGCTTGACGGACCATGCTATCGATTTGATGCAAGACGTACAAAACCTCCGAAAAGCTGTCTATGAGTTGGTTTCTTTCTTTCCTTCTGACTGCTTGCTTCAGCTAACGAGTTCTTTCAAGCTTTAAAGTCATGGCTGAAGCACATGAACCAGGAATGAAAAAAGAGAAGCATCTCCGCAATGTTGCTGTGAATTATCTGTCAGTACATTATATTCCAGCGTCGATTCCATCAGACCGATACCTTTTTCTTGCTCTAGCTATCGATATGGTACTTTGATCGTCTTCGCAAACTATCTCATCGAGATGCGACAGAAATTAGGGCCGGAGATCACGTTTGCTAATTGGCTTGAAGAACATCGAGAAATACGAAAAATACTCCAAAGACGTACATTAGATTGAACTTAACGATGCCTACGTGTTTGAATTAGTGACGTATAGTATGTCTTCATAGAACAACTACTTGGTTAAGTTGTGATATCTTTTTATCCATGTATATGTGCCGTGTATAGTAGTATCAATAGTACAGCCTTCCATCCCGTCCCTTGAGCCTTCGACATTGTCGCGAGACCATCAGTGATCCTGCTGATGCCGAGAAGTGTATACAATGTACATATGTACAGTCGACTCCCTCTTAACCCATACCCCTCCGTGGAGGTCCAGACCTATGGGTTATGGGAGAGTATGGGTTTATGGGGTGGTCACGCCAAGTGACATACATGACAATCTGCCTAATCGGGAGCTGTAACACCCCATACACGGGTTATGTTAGCTCAAAATTAGTGTAAATCGACCATTTTATTGGTTTTGTATTAATTTTGTGCCAATTGTCCACTTACTGATCCCATTTTGGGAGTATCAAATGCAATGATAGCAATCAAAGTATGGGTTATGGGTAAAAATATAGCGGAGATTACCCCCAAAAAGGTATGGATTATGGGGTATGGGAGAGTTATGGGTTATGTATGGCATTTCCCTGCAAACGAGGTCGGTAACCCAGAAAATGTATGGAGTATAAGGGAGTATGGGTTTATAGGGGTATGGGTTAAGAGGGAGTCGACTGTACACAGCCAGTATCCGGCTGCTGGGTAAGGAATTCTTCCCGTTGTCTGGTTCTTCCCTCAGTGCAGGTCACTTTACCTCGAAATTCCTCTTGGAAGCAGGTTCTTCCTATCTCAGTTACTAGAGCATCCCTTGCGTTCAGTTTCTTGCGCTTTGAACAGCTTGCTTCCAACATGACAACCCGATCTATACTCTTGAAGATTATCAGTCTGATAATGATCCTCCAAGCATCTGCTGTTGTATTTGGCAGGTGAGGAATGCATTATCTGTCTTACATCTTACATGGCACATTGACAACTGATCTCCCTCTTATTCCTAAAGACCTGTCCCTCGACTCCAACGACGCATCGAGTCTCTATCACCTGCTCGTGCAAGCACTAGTAAGGCCATTCGGGCGCATTTTGGTCAATCGTTGACCTATCGCACTTCAACAGGTTCTGGAATGATGCCTAGGACAAATGAAGAAGGAACGCCCTACCAGGGAGGCACGGTAATAGTTCAGTAACAGCCATAATTGCCGACTCACTAAATCAATCTTTACAGGGTGCTGACACTTCTCGCTCGCATTTCCGTCGCGTCATTGTAGAATCTGAAGAGAATGTGCCTGTGAGTAATCTGTTAACACTATAACAATGTGATTGAAAATTGATCGTGAATATACCTATGTAAAGGCGGACCAATGCTGCACAAAGTGTGAAGCGTACTTGCAGTGACCAGTCCCACTATTTGGACATGGCCGACCAGCTTAAGACCTGCGTGTCGCTATGCCAGAACGACGGGATTGTGGGTTCTATACCAAAGCCTACTCCAAGGATCGGTGTTACAATTCTTAACAAGGCTCAACGTTCACTGGATCGTTCATGATCAGATCAATACGAGGACCGGGAGGGTGGGGGAGTTCTCAATTGGCACAGAAAATGGCGTCGTAATCTGTTCACAAGCTGAAGTCCTTTGTAAATGTTTCGATAGACATATTTTCGATGGGAGACAGACCTAGTGATGCTTTGCCAGATGTAGCCGGAAAATTAAACAGGCAGGAAAATATCCTTCTCAAACCCGTGGGAATACATCGACTCTCTCTGAACAGTGCACCCAACTGAGTAGCTGCCTCACGCAAGAAATGACTGGACAAATTTATATGTTGACAACTATGTATGTAAGGTTCAAAGCCAAAGTCCGACTGCACTCAAGCTTTTGCCAATCTGGGTATATGGGCTAGAAAGTTTAAAGCACGGGTGCCATCGGTGAATCAGACTTGCATTTCTCGATCGTACCACCACCATGGCCTCATCTTGCTACGTTTACTACTGTTCTGGACATGGTATGCTTGCTCGCATTCGCTTACATGTTTTCTGCATCTAAAAACGCCCTTCAGGTTTTGGGCATGGAACCCGAGTATCTGCATTTGCATCTCAATTTCTTAGTTTACCAGAAGACGAAAGACCAATTGTGCATATAGTCTCTTCTGCACCCAGCCATGTATTCTGTGACAGCATCGCGCTTGGCGCTCGCTATCGCTACGCAGACTGGATTGATCCTGTGATTGTGCAACCTTTGGCGTGAATGATCTTTCTCTTCCCAAATCTTACAACTATTTACAACGTATTGACAACAGTTATCGAGTTGATCGCCAAAAGAGCCTTGAAGTGCTCAAGGCGTTTCTCCAGAATAAGGACAAATTCCTCGAAACTGAATGTCAATGGCTTACGAGTATCAAGGCGAGATGTGTTCTTAGCGATGCTGCTTTTCTTGGTTGGTAAGTAATCTGATCTTCTTTGGAGACAGATTGCATGAACACTGTTCGTTACTTATAGCCTGGCTGCGAAGACTGCAGGTGTTCCATCCATCCTGGTCACTAATTTCACCTTCGACTCCGTTTACAGCTATCTTGCAACAACCTTTATTGACGAACAACATTCTACCCACATAAGCGGTAGCTCGTTATTATCATCAGATGTCCCTGTACCTCATTCCTTTCTCGAACCACTGGTCTCCCAGATCCACGCTGGTTATCGATGTGCCGATTTACTCCTCCTCCTCCCAGGTCATATACCCATACCCTCATTTCCTAACCAGCCCTCACTTCCTGCAACTGATTGGGTAGATTCACAACAGAATAGGTTTTCTGCACAGGTCATTGAGCATTTGTTGCGCCTGAGGGAAACCCCATTCAAATGCACTCTGCACGATCACATACCCTTTCCGCCCGTGACTGCCCTTGCTCAAAAGTCGGCGTCGGCGTCTGTTCCGCGTAAAGTCCTTCCAATGCCTCTGCTGGTAAGATCGCCTTCTTCTTCCGTGGAACGTTCTCCGTACACTCCGGAAGGTCGAGCACGGATCTTGGAGTCTGCGAAGGTGCCACCAGAGAAGCACGATCCGGAAACCACTAAGATACTCGTTGTATCATTCGGAGGTCAGGTACTCAAGTGGCCTAGGACGCACTCTTCCGTGGTTTCCGCTCAGTATCAAATGGAAGAGTGCAATACCCCGACTAATAGTCCGAAGATGGGATTGGGTATCAACTGGAAGAACTCAAAGACGCCACGACCTTCTCAGATCGAAATTCCTAGTCCTAGTGCTTCCACCCGTACGAGGCATCCTGCGAATTCATTGGGATTTAAGGACCATCGTGATATTGACCCGCAACCAATTTCATCGCCTCGATTGGCCACACCTTCACATATCTGGATACCTGGAGCTCCTCCTGTTGTTAATCCTCTCAGCCCCACTATCTCTCCTTCTTCAAGTTGGATCTCTTCTTCAAGTTGGGATCGGTTAGCTGGTGTGGATGTCGTTCACTCACCTCCGTATTCTGGGAGACCCAAAGAGAAGGAAAACGAACTACCATCTAGTACAAGTTCTTCCAGTGGCTTAAATGCTGATTCCTCGTCGACATTCCCCTTAACGGATATGGTCAATATACCTGCTTCGCTGAGGGAAGTTTCTCCTGGTGCTATCCCGCAATGTAAGGAAAACTCAGATAAAATATACCATGACGGAGTGGGTTCAAGGCTGGAGAACATGTCTCTGGGAGGTGACGGGTGTAATGAGATGGACCATCCGCAACTTTTGCCCGAATCTTCCTGGATAGCCATAATCTGCGGTGCTTCTGATGAACAACGTTTAGACACTTCCTCAACCCTCCCTGAAAACTTTTATCTGGCGCCCAAAGACGTCTACATGCCCGACCTCACCGCCGTCGCAGACGTTTTGCTCGGCAAACTCGGATATGGTACAGTAGCAGAATGTATAGACGCCGGAACGCCAATGGTGTATGTTTCGCGACCGCTGTTTGTTGAAGAGCTGGGGTTGAGAGTGTTGCTGGAGAACGAGGGTGTTGGTGTGGAGATGAGCCGGGCGGAGTATGAGAGTGGGAGATGGGTTGAAAGGGTGAAGGAAGCTTGGGAAAAGGCCAGAGTTGCGAAGGAGTGGAAAAGGAGGGTCGAGGGGGGTGAGAAGAAAAATATCGTCAATGGGAATGGGGCAGATAGAATCACAGAAAGGGAAGCTGAGATTAGGGACATGGCAAGAGTGGTTGTGAATTGGGTTGAAGATTTCTGGCAAGGAATCTAATTTTCGCAGACAGATCATTTTTCTTTTCACGATACAGGACTCGTAAGGCTACCTTCGTTGTTTATCCTTTATTCTCGCGTGAGTCAGTCTCGCAGTATCAAGGTATAATGGGGGTATAATTCGTTATTGAAGTAGTAAAGCCAACTAATTACTTACAAAATAGATCATACATAGCATACATTACTCTGCACCGATACAGATAACTAGACCAAAACTTGTCCTATACGAAAGCCTTCAAGAGTACAAAAAAGACAAAAAATCCAAAATCATGTGTGTAGATTGTCTAGGGCAACCGCTAACGCCTAGATCAAATGATATTAGTGCTGAACATCCCGGGGTATGATGTATAAGCACACTCACTTTGGCTTCCTCATGCTCCCAAGGCTTGATCCCATACGATAAGAGATCCATATTAGGACTCTCCACATCCTCAAACTGGAGCTCACCCTCGGACTCAGAATCTGATTCCCAGTCAATTACCAACGTCTCATCGCAGTTCGAATTCGACGAGGAAGAACTGTAGGCAGGTCTGTTACCAGCAGTTGTGTTCGTGTCTGGGAGTCGATCGCCACTGTCCTTATTGTCAGAATTGTTATCTCTCTTCTTCGACTTCTTATTGTTATCGATGTTTCGCTTCTTAGCACGCTCGATTTGTTCGTGGATCTTCTTGCGTCGAGCGTCGCGTTTCTCTATGAGTTGGCGTACTGTTTCGATACGGGCAGGGTTGGTCCACCACGCGACTTTCGAGGTATCGTTTTCCATAACGTGCTCGGATGGAAGGTTATCTTTGGAGTGAGAATAAATGCAAGTGAACGAATCCCATTTGCATTTTCCGACGAGATGATATAGACAGACGTTCTTGCCACTGTTTAAAGGCATTAACTTCATTTGACTTGGGACAAGGGAAGGTGACAAACTAACAGGTCGTCTCGGATGCTTCGGGTATCTGGGGCATGAGAGAAGAGACACTTCTTTCCACGGCGGCATCCCAAGTGGTTGTAGAATCTGCAGTTTGTCGGGAGGGGCTCGTCGAGAGACGCCCGAAGAGGAATTCCAGACCTTGCTTCAATAGAAGACGGTGAAATGCTAGGCGCGTTGTATTCTGCTATTTCGCTCGGATGAGCGTAAGCCAATTCGAGGTAGGAACATCCTAGAACATCGACCACGATGTCTCGTTGTCGAAGAGCCTCATCATAATGTAGCGCCTGAGCAGTGTCCGGCTTCGGGGGTATGGAAAGGACAGTTTCGAAGTCTGCACAAGAAAGGGTGTACCGATCAACAAAAATTAGCATACTGCGACGAAAAGATGCCATATGCTATGGTGACAGACGCACCAGCCAGTGCTCCCACAAGGTGTCCAGCCCTTCTTCGTGCGTGTCCCCTTTTCAAGCGTACTATGAGATTTGACGGGTCAACCGCCAATACACGAGTGGCTGTTGCTTCAGCCTCTTCATACCTGTACCAAGGTAAGTATCGGGATTGAGCAAAGTGGAGAGGCAGCGCACAAAGATAGTTGAATGTAAGTTTCGATGAGCTTACTATAATATCGGATGAGATGAGAGTCTCCTGAAGACGAGGACATGACTGAGAAGATTTTGGGAGGGATGGAAGAGAATAGTTGTTTTATAACAGTGAGGATGGCTCCGTTATTGTCAAATTCAGAGCATGTTCATGATCTTGAACAGTGGCAAAAAGTCCGCGACGCAAGTGTTGGTAGTAACACTGCTTTACAGCGTATTCAAAAAACCTTGTCAGTAGCGTAAAAAACGAGATAAAATAAAATAAAATCGAAAAGGTACCCGACGTTTTAGCCGACCGCCTGGAGCCGCTTGGCGAGTGCGCTGTCACTCACGCCTTTCGACAACGATCTTCCGTGGTGGAAGAGGGTGGAGGTAACAAAGGGTAATAAGTCCACTCAAGATCACAATGTCGATGGAGCTCCTCCCGGCATGGTCAGACTCTCCAGAGGCATCAGCATCTGTTAGTCCTACCTCAGAAGCAAAAGATCCACGATCATACTACATTGTTGAAAGGCGCGAGTGACTCGGACAGCGCGCTCGCCAAGCGGCTCCAAGCGGTCGGCTAAAACGTCGGGTACCTTTTCGATTTTATTTTATTTTATCTCGTTTTTTACGCTACTGACAAGGTTTTTTGAATACGCTGTAATAATGTGGATAAGGAAAACAAGAATGATGATTCATAAATAAGTTAACAAGGACACGGCGTTCAAGCGCTTATCTACTATCTAAGCGCCGAGCGCCTCTCATCACTGACACTCCCGGTGAAGATCCACACGAATTAGTAAACAATTCGGCCTAGATTGATGCCAGCAAACCGAAAACAATGATTTTTTCGCTCAAATCCAATCCGCTCCGCTGCATGAAGCACCTGCCTTGGGATATAGGATAAACAATCATTGAACCGGGATAACGGCAAATGGAGACAGTAGGTTATTGAGCAACGGGAGACTATCCTCAGTTACAACTAATGTATCTTCCTTGTCCCGTTATAGCTCATCAAAGTATTCAGCAGCGCCAGAAATATGAGCCACACGAGCACACACTGCATGAAGAGCGAGTAAACTCGAGTCAGGCAGCTCTAGATGCACGTTTCCGAAATTCGGTTTCTTGAGCTCTTCATTTACTATGAAATGAGGTCGCTGATCAACATTTGCGAAGAGGCTTAGGATGTCCTGGACTGCGTGCACTTTGTAGGTGTTTTCCTGAAAACGCCTCAATGATGAGTGTTAGCGATCACGAAGAATGCGCGTATTCAGGTACTTACCTCGTCAGTCCCATCGAACCAGAGATTAAGATTGTCGAATGTTTGGTGCAGCGGCTGGATAAGAGATAGCAAGTTGCCTAGCCTGTGTATTCCTCCCTCCTCGATCAATTTATCCAACAAATGACCGAGACGGGGTTTCAGGATGGGCTCTCTAATCAAAAGACAAAAAATGAATCTTCGAAGTAAAGCGGTGTGAGCCTCACATACGGAAGCCGCAGTCTCGCTCCCATTAGGCTCATCAACGCCTTCTAAACTATCGTCCGCGATGTGAAGGTTCCAGTTGGCAGCGTCATCGAATGTTACCGTAGATGCCCAACGTAAAGCAGCACATCCGTGGCGATAGTGGTGCTGGTCATAGGTCCGTACTGTTGTCTTCAACAGCGCCTTAGAATTGAGGGGCGTTGCCAGTCCGCGCAAAGTATTGCGTAATTTCATGTAATCGAGAAATGTCACATGTTACATAGATAACCGAAAAAGGAAAATCACCAAAATTACTTCTTCGCGCCCTCCAGCGGACCCCAGCCTCTTTCCAGCTAATATCCCGCCCTGTTCAGGTTCCGACACCTCCGGAATGTGATACGTCGCTGTCAAGAAGCCTGTTCAACTGGCCTACTCGCTCCCGTCACTTTGTCTCCCATCAACTCCAAACTTCCCTGTCAACAATCATACTTCCCAGCAACTCGAAAATCAATACCAAACGGGCCCTCTGTTAGTACGCTGAAGGCCTTCGAGACTTGAAACAGGTTGGTTTAAATCTATCCATTAGCAGGAAATCTTCCTACATTTTTGCTGTAGTATTCTCACTGCAATTACACTTTATTTAATACTTTGCCTGATCTCAATGAGGACAACGCAGATCTTTAATGATCTACATTCAATTTTAATCTGGAATGACTTCCCAATAAAGTTCCGACATGGTTCTAGTGTGTCATTGGAATCGAACAACTTTCTGTTCCTCAGAGCTCACAATGAGCTATCCACAATCACTAGCAGAGGCAGTAAGAAATCTTCCTGTACTCAACCCCGCTCGCAAATATACGGTAGGTATTTCTGATTGTTTGGTATCAATTCTGACTAGCAAAAAAAAGAAATCGAATGAGCCAAGTACTAGTTTGCGGCAAGGGCTTCAGTTCCGCAGCCATTCTATGCCTGTCACGAAGCGGCAGAGGCGGAGTGACTAACGGAGCGGGAAAGCGGAGCGACTAAGCAGAACGGTGAGGCGGAGCAACTGGACAAGGCAACAAGGCGGAGCGACTAAGCAGAACGGCGGCAAGCTGGTCCCAGATAATGACAGAGATATATTGAGTATCGTAGTCATAGGTAATAATAAGTAAGCACATACCTGGTCCCAGATAATGACAGAGAGGTCAAGATAAGGGACCAGGCTGTGGAGGGTTGGCTATATATACATAATCCGGTCTGCGAGAAACAACGATGTAATACTGTACAGTTTAGGAACAAGGAAGGTGGCGGAAGCCAGTAGAAGGAGAAGATGGGTCAGGTGGATCAGTAATCGATGGATCAGTAATCGATGGGGGTTTGACAGTGATGGGATGATGTATCGTACAAGTAAAGGCGTCGAGACGGTGAGAAAAGGAAAATGATAGGGGCTGCGTACTTTATGACATGCCCATTGTCCGATTTGCAGAGATGAAGAAAAAGTCAACAGATAAAGATACAGCTACGACGCTATTGGCATCGAAGGGAAAGGTTTGTTTTCGTGATATTGTTCTATTGACCCTGACAAACAAATATTAGATATATGTCGACCATTTGCTTCTTCAGGCAGAGCAGCGCGCAGAGATTTGCAAGATTTATGAGTCTTCCGGAGCAATTAGCATTAAGTATTCTGCTGATGACCCTACTTCACAAGCTGCTGCACACTTGAAACTTGTGGAACTTGAATTAGATAATAAATCGCGAGAAGCTCTTGAGAGCCGATGGAGCATTCGGTGGTCGACTAATTGGTCCATAACCAAGGGTAATGATGAATGGAAGCGCACTTTATTTCAATAGTAACCCGTTTTTTTACATACCATCCATGTAATAACCTGAACCTTTCTAGTATCTGCGGGTACGACAGTCATGCACGACAAAAACGAGATGACTTGCAAGACAACAGTTACATTAAAGACTCGAAGCCTTGGCAGCGGCATGTCCCTTATCCACAAACAGGGTGCATTGCCCATGTTGAAATCACTGAGTGTGTGGGTGATGGATGCATTACACGGATTGCCGGTATTACAACCCATAATGAAGCATGTATGAATTCAACTCTCGAGCGAATTCCGACTATTCCACTACATGAACACGTCTATGAAGTTGCACTCGAGCAGCTGGAAAATGGTGCCAGGTGAATTCCAGATAATTTATTCATACCTATCTAACTGCAATTAATCCCATTCTATAGTCTAACTGCTGTTCAAGAGCGGAACCAACAGATGGTTGGTTCAAAATCATACCGGGGAATGAGGGAGTGGAATCCAAAGACCGCCAATGTACGATACATTATCCTCTCTTCCGACAATACCACCCTCTACTGGAAGCTGAATCGGCGAACACTGAATGTTGATACGACGGAGCTTCCAGAGTATAATATAGATAATTGGTTGGATCCGAAATCGAGGGATTATAATCCGACACTTGCAAATGCGGTTTTTTACTACAGCGCGCGGGCAAACACCGATGAACGATTCAAGATCTGTATTTCAACAAAAGAGATGGATGAAGCTTCTCGCATGTATGCTCATCATTCTCAACTCATTCTCGATGGGACTTTTGGTGTATGCAGCTCCCGCCTCCTGCTGTTCATCGCTATGGCCATCGATGAGGATCGGAAAGGTGTTCCGATTGCTTTCTTTCTGTTCTCCGCGCCAACAGGAAATCGAGCAACTCAAGCTGGATACAACACCGAAATCCTACGAGAGTTATTGAATACCTGGAAGATTCATTTGGTGAAAAAATATGGCGTGTTTGATCCATATACCTGCATTACAGACACAGATACCAAAGAACGTGGGGCCCTCATTCAGGTTTGGCCGAAAATCTTTCTCCTTATCTGTCGCTTTCACCTCCGCCAGTGCTGGACGAACCATCGGAAGAAGATACTGGTTGGTAGTCAGGGAGACTATTGGAAAAATCATGTGCGAGAACGTCTGCAGGAGCTCGAGGTACTGTAAGTGATCCAACTTTCACTTAAAATACTCAGTTTACACCCGCAATAGTCTTATAGCATCTGTTGAACATGCAGTAGCCAGGAATCATCTATCCCAAGTCAGAGTCTATTTCACGGAGTTATCAACCAACCCAGCAGCAAAGGTAGCTTCCAAGGGTGGGGTATTACACCTTGACTACCTTGATAAATACTGGATGCCAGTTCCTATGTGGCAGAGTCGGTCCGAGTGTGGACGCATTGCTGCATCTACCCTTCTGAAAGTACCGGTGGAAGGCGTTATTCCTACCACAAATCACTTAGAATCCTTCAATGCAATTCTGAAGCGCAAGTATATTCGGTCGTGGTTGCATTCTGGACATCGGCTGCGTTTCGACATGCTTATCATACTTCTGGTCACTTGAATTCTACCTGATTTGTTTGCCCGCCGATTGTCTCGAAGGAACCACCGTATATGGGTTAGTGAACGTTTTAAAGAAGCTGCAGGAGGCTTGGACTTGCGGGTGCTTCAAGAGAAGATTCAGGCTGAGCGGAAAGACCTAGAGAATAAGGCGAGGCGAGTTTGTTGGTGGGAGGATGACCCGAAACGTCAAGCACTTGGTGGAACTTTGGTGTCAAGTATCGGGGAACATGTATTCCAGGGCACAGATGATGGTGAACGCTTCTACACCTGTCAATGCCCTTCATCTCGCAATCCAGCTCAGGACTACACTGTAACACTGCATCGTCTGGGACGTGGTTCATGTAATTGCTTTGATTTTCAAGAACGAGGTGGAGCTTGCAAACACTTGTGGGCACTGCAACAATGTGTTGATTACTACGTTTCCACGCTCCGCATCGAGACACCATTTAATTATCCTGTCACTCTGAAAGCTGCACAGGAGATCTCAAGTGCGACTGGCACCCAACCAAACCCCTGCATTTGTGAATCATCTGTCCCTGCCATCGACTGGAAAGCGGTACAAATGTTTGGGCAGGATTGTACTAGTTTGGGTGGGGATCTGGATGAAGGAGAACTTGAGGATGAAGATGAAATCAGCCTTACTGTAGAAGAAACCCCGGAATCAGTAAGTCTTTGTTTGCTTCGTGGTCACATCTAACTCATTCTTGGCGTAGAATACTCTTGGTAATACTCAGACGGCTATTGATATTCAGAAACAGCATCGTCTTGAGCACAATGTGTCCCGAATCCTACTGAGCCTGTATGGTATTGAGAACCTCCTTTCTGACAATTCCCCTCTTCCAATCAACCCCGTCGTCAAAGAATTTGAACAAGTCCTCAAAAATACGTTAGCTAAAATAGCAGAGCTGCATATGCAACCAATAGACCGAATGGACCATCCTCAAACAACAATCTCCGAAAGTAAGGTGGCCAACCAAATCTCTCGAAAAAGAAAAGACCGGAAAGATCTCAGGCCACCGTCTCCTGAAGCCGGGCAGAAGCGCAAGACCTCGCACGGAACTATGTAGATCGGTATAATGTGTAACTATAAGCTGAATGTATCTAAACCAAATGCTTATTCTAATTGTCCAATGATCGATCATTTAATGACTTGAATTAAAACATAAGGCGGCTGTGTCTGCACGAGATTGATGGGGGCGCGGCAAAGTTTGTTGATTCAGTTTTCTTCCCCCACCACCACTACTACCTGCAACTGGAGGATATCAAAGGTGAGCCTCATAGTTTGTTATTTGATCACCTTTGTCATAGTCCAGCCCAAACGTTCTGCCGCCTTCCTTAACGTTGCTGGGTTACTGATTCCGCCCCAATGGGATCTAGCAGCAACTTAAGGGAACAGGCGACGCGTTTGGGCGCGACTAGGCGCGTTTTTTCGTTACTTAAAACTACTGTCTAAGGGGTCAAAAACCAACAGGTCATGCTGTACGCGCTTCGCTCCGTGAGTACCTCCCACCTTATTTGAACAATTTAAATCTAAACACCCGCCCTGCATTAGAACAGCAGCCAACGCATTACCCCCGTCTCCTCCAGCCTCCAATTCGACTTTCTTTCACTCATATGCGCCTCCATCAATGACACAGCTACAGCTGCCTCTGAAATTGATGAATTCGAACCCCCTACCTTGCCAACCCCCCTTCCAATTGGACCGCGTCTAACTCCCTCCACCACATCACTACCCTCTGCCCCGACTTCTTCCCTCGCAACGCCTTCTTCCGCCTCCACGACGAGCCCCTCCACATCGACCCCCTCCACGTCAACCGGCTTCGCGTCGAACCCCTCCACGTTGAACCCCTCCGCATCTACCCCTGCTTCAAACACCTCCGCTTCTATTCCCTCTGCCTCTACCTCCGCGTCTATTCCTCCGCGTACCTCTGCCTCCACATCGACCCCCTCCGCCTCTTCCTCTGCCTCCACGCCGCTTCCTCCCAGAGTCGCGAAACGCCAGACAGCGCGCAATTCCAAACGCGCGGCCAAACGCTGCAAGACCACGCACCTGCATCAACCATCAAACCCTTCTGTGCGAAATCTTGCCTACATTCTATTGCCTGGAGTGTCCATTGAGGTTGGAAGCGACGCTTTGGAGTTTGATGCAGCTCGCGGTGCACACACAGGATGTCCAGGAAAGAAGTCACATATGGGAACGAAGGCTGATAAGGAGAGAGAGTATGGGGTGTCTGAGCTCATTGATATGGGATTCCAGCATATACAATAGGATGGAAGGTACACTGCTATTTTCTCAGCAACCCTGAACTTTTAACTAATTTACATCCACCAGTACCCCCGTTCCCATTGTTGACTGCTGTGGAAGAATTATCGCGGTTCTTGCAGGGCAACTGGACGGAAACTATGCTAGTGAGCTTCATGAAGCATTCTGCTTCATGCAGAAAGAAGCATCCCATTCGGGACTTGGGAAAGAGTCGAAGGAGGGCCCGCACAAACGTGGTCTATTCCCAGTCTTGCTTCGGGGCGTGACGATGGGCATGGGGAATCCACACCCGTTTCACTTAACCCCAAGACGATGACACATCTCCTGAATCGCCTCGTTGGCCACACAGCTGTTCAGCGCATGGCGAAGTATCAAAACTGTATGTGTTTTACAATTCTACATTGAGTAACTGATTGTGACCTCTTATTGTAGCTGCTTTTGGGTTGTGGGCTCCGCGTATATATGAAGAGTATCAGAATGTGCATGACACCATGCATTCAAAGCTTAACCTCCCCGAGAACTTTCCTGGTACTATTTTTGCTGCGGCTGCCTTCAACCTTGGTGGGAATGTTTGGACTTTCAAACACCGTGATTGGCTCAACTGGCCGTTCGGATGGTGTGCTATTACTGCTCTCGGAGAATTTGATGCAAGCCAAAGTGCACAGCTCATTTTGTGGGAGCTGAAACTGGTAATTGACTTCCCCCATGCAGCCACGATTCTTATTCCCTCCGCCGTTATCACTCACTCGAACACACCTATTGCAGACGGAGATATTCGGACCTCATTCACTCAATATACTGCAGGCCCGATTTTTCGTTGGGTTGAAAATGGATGTCGTACTGAGGCAAAGTTTGAGGAGGAGGACCCAGATAACCACCGTAGAATGCAGGAGGGTAAGGAAACAGCATATCTCCGTCGCTTAGAGAATTTCTCCACTGTTGATGAACTCCTGTGTAAATTATCATAAAACTGTAGTTCGAATTTACGCGAAACCATATGTAACACATTGGTGAGTAACAATTTAACACTTATACGTCTGGAGAATTACAATACAGAGCAGCGACTTAAAATTATACTTTACTCAACTTCATAAGTTCCGAGGCACAAGTCCTTATGTATGTTGGAATCAATCTCCTGACTGCAGTCAGCACATACTTCCACGTCTAAGGTGATTCAGATATTTAATTAACAGCTAAGAATTTGAAAGACATACCGTCGACATCAATAGGATCATCTTTGGTTCCTATACTCAGCTTGTCATATGAATTGTAAACTCGAAAGACAAGTAGTTTCTCACCAATGGCAAAAAAGGCAGCGCTAGGCCCTGCAATCATTTCATTATTGGGCCCGACTCCTGCTCCCTTAATATCTTTGAGTAGGAACCGTAGCTCTATAAAGTGATGAACTTGCTGAAAGATAACACCAATACTGAGCCCGAGACTTACCCTGCTGGTCCTGAATTAGCTTACGGCGCGCATGCTCCTCGTTCTCTGTGTGTAGTTTCAGTGACAGTGTTAGGAGGGGAAAAAATAAAGCTTACGAGCTTCTGAGAAAATTGTATACTGAAGTTGCTCAATAAGAACCTCGATATCGATGGAACTGCGTGTGAATATCCCCTTGGACCTCACTGTGGATGCTCGTTAGCATGGGGATATTGGAGGTAACAATGTTAGGAAAGATCTTACTTGTTTCATCGTACACAATAATACCCTTCAGTTCAATAGTTGCGTCATTGAGTTCCATAAAAAAAGAAACAAGTTCTGTGAGGGGGATCAACATGACTCAGAGCAAGTCCATGAAACCATCACCCACCGTCGTCGCTTGCATCTGGTGGTAGTTCCCCAGAGGCTCCAAAGGGAGCTGGTAAGGAGTACACGCCGGGCAGAGGAGTATTAGTTTTCACCGGCGCGGAAGTAGCTGGAGCCACAGTTGAATGTCTTGTTCGAATCCTTTTCAAATGCTTTGTTGGTGACTCTTGTGGGCCTGGAACAGAGGCGGGTCGTTTACGAGTCGATGGTGGAGATGGATAGGGTCCACGATGCATGGAGCTTGTAGATAAGTATACGTCCATTAGGGGCCGGTAAATATCGTTCAGTCTGACTGCAAGATTGTCATATGTCTTTATATACCTGTCAGCAAAAGTTTTTGCGTACAATAGAGCCCGCATCGGTGATTGATTTGTCTTGGGCAACGTATAAAAGCAGAACCGCGGTGCTCGCTGGCACTGTTCGAACCAAGGTACCAGGCTTCACAAACTAAGCCATGAGCGCATCAAAAAACCAGATTGCCGGCATTGTGAAGATTGATGATGGCGCTTGGGTGCATTGGAAGACCATTCTCTCTGGGACTAACAACGATGAGATATAATACATGGAAATATATACGGCAATACGTACTATGGGACATCCAAAGTGTTACCGTGCTCATCAAATGTGCTGATGAAGCCATCTGGCTCTGCCATGTCAGAGGAGAAAGTACAGGTAGTGCCGAGGAGATTTTAGGACGAGAAAGGGCTTTTCAAAGAGACCCAAAGGTCATTTCATCTCTTATAAGAGAAATTCTGCTTAAAAACAGTTAATTGTATTGCTAGATTCGGATACAGAGAACTAAAAGCGATTTTGAGGGATCGATCCCGAGAGGGCCAGTGACAAGTGACAGGGAGAAAGAGTGAGAAGAGAAGCGGAATGCAGGCGGTAAGCAACCGAGAAGTTCCTGAAATTGACTGGTTCACTCAGGGTTCATATCTGATTAAGGTTTTCTAGTGCCGAGGTTGCGGCACAGTGACACTGGCCGTAAAGCCGAAAATTGGTTGAGCAGCATTTTGAGTTAAAGAATGTTTATTGAGACTCGAGTAAGTAGAAAAAGTGGGTACATATGATTTCTTGGAGAAAAATGACATGTTAGATATAATTCCATCTAATTTCTGTTCTTTTTCCGTCGTCTATGAGAAGTTGAGGCAGTGTTTGCTCGTGCCCTTGCAACAATAGACTGTGAGTTGAGTTCTGCTAAGTAGAGTATCAAGGCTCTCATTGGTACATAGCAGCGAAGAGATGGGCATAAACAATGAACGGACGACGAACTCGAGCTAACTCGAGGCTGCCTCACGTTGTCAATGCCGATGGTTGCCGACCACCTGGCAGACTGCTTACTAACACCCCCCCCCCTCGACCAGTTGATATTAAGCGCTCTTCGGTTGCTTAACGCCTGGCGGAATGTCAAGTGTTGTCATCCTCTGAAGGGCGCGGGCAATAATCCAAATTCGGAATAGAGGCGCACAAAAAGGCGGGACAATATCTTATCGAGATGTAATATCTAATCTAAGTATCACGAGACGCAATCTCGCTTACATGAAATGGCGCAATACTTTGTGCGGACTGGAAAATCAATTGAGGGTAAGCGCTGCAATTGTATCCAAATTATGGAATAGTACTCACCGTAGTTGAGGACACTACATTCAATGAAAGCCAAGGCTTGCTGCGTTTGAGATAGGTCTAGTATCGAGACGGTAACAATGGAAAGAATAGACAGCATAATGATATTTGCCTACAAGTATCCGAGTCGTGAGTTATTATTCATCATAAATGACTTTCAAAATACATACCGAGAGGAGCCTCGAGCGAGTTTCCGGTATAGCTACCGCGGCTCAGGCACTATAGAGGAGCACCGAAACCTTGTATACATAATGTGAATGTACTATGTAGTATATACGATCCGCTTCCGCCAGGTTTTCGCCAGAATTGCAGGATAATCAGTGATGAGATACATAGAGGCTACTAGAATGACAGTTGACACCATAGAAGTTGACCGGGTCCATGGAGCCCTGAAGGACCGCGAGATAGTAGCCTGCTCCACGAAGAGAATATGTGTTCGTGAGTTAAAGATGGTTGCCGCTTTACATCTTGCACAAGACCTCCTACTAACTTGACCGTTGAGGGCAGGTTGCAATAAAACTCCAAATAAGCACTGTATAGTAGTCAAGAGGATCCATGTCTTTGTCATAACAGAGGTGATTCATAACTGCTCTTGGTTCCCGAGAAGAAATCTGAAGAAATACTCCGAACGAAAATCCGAAGATATTGAGCACGTGCACGTGTTTACTTCCGCCCCTCTCTGTTTAACTAACTTATCTTCGTCAACCAACAGCGGCTAGACAGGCTATCGTCTCTCCTTAAAACACTGAAACACTGACTAATGCAACAAAATGATGGGCCGGTCCACTAGGATTCACGCACTTGGGAATGAAGATCCCGTTAGAAAGGCCCCCAGAATCTCCTGCAGAACCTCACCCGAAATAGCGTCATTTTGGGCCCGATTTTGACGATTTCCTGGTCCTAAAATAGCGTCATTTTCAGTCAAAAATCCTTAGTCCTTGTCCGTTTATAGCGTCATTTGAGTCGGCAGGAGTCGGCGCACCAGCACCAAACCAAAAAAATTTTAAGCACCGGAAAAAAATGGAAAAAGAACACCAACATTTGAATTTTGAAGAAAATTTGGGAAAATTTTTCGATTTCACGTGACGATCCTGGTCCGAAATAGCGTCAATCATGGCAAAATCATAGCGTCAATTAGGGCGTCAGGCCGGGTGGGGTTCTGCAGGAGATTCTGGGGGCCTCGTTAGAACTTACCTTCGGCACTCCCCGATCTTCCCTGATTGTGACCAAAGATCTTTGAAGTATAGTCAAAAATAACGTTCCGGCTGTTTCAACCTCCTTTGAAAATGAATGCTTATGTATGTGCGCGAGAATATTCAGAACAATAGACCTTGATCCTAAAACGGTCCTCTACTTAGCCTCCAACGATCGCTATGAATGATAGTACCATGTCGAAAAGGTTTTCTTTCACCTTTTCTTTTGTGTCAAAGGCTGATTTTGTTCTTGATACTATCACTGATGATGGGCCACTTAGCAGTTCGCATTTAAACAACGTGTTCGAATCGCTCTCACTTGTCAATCGATATACCACCAACACTTCGCTTTTTCTTGGCTCATGTCTTCCACGAATATTTTTACTAAACCCTACAACCTCTCCAACTACTATGCCGCCCTGGCTCTCGGTTACAATGAGATTACACTGTAAGGACCGGCATCCTGCGGGTACTTAGTAGCCTTGAACGCTCACTTCTATCCAGCTATCAAGAAGCCGAGGCAATCACCACTCGAGCTCTGCAACTGAGCCCTACATCTTACAGAGCCCGGTATAATAGAGCAATCGCTCGATGGAAAATGGACGATTTACGCGGTGCTGTAGCCGGTACGTCATCCCACTAAAATCAGCATGAGAGACGACCTTACGCGGAGATACCTAGATATAGATATACTCATCATCAGCGGTGGCAAGAACTTTCCAGGAGTTGCACAAACCCACAAAACACTCCATAAATTGTTTGAGTTGGATGACGACAACAAAACCTTCAATAACGGTACACGAGGTGCGCGTCAAGCAAGATTGGCTCGGGAAAGTAAGGATTTAAGCTGGCCTCAACCGGACCTGGCTCCTGTTGAACCCTCCAAGGACGATCATCGCCCTTCAGACGAGATTGCTCCAGGCCAATATCGGCACGGTCGTCCTTGCCGGCTTCACAATTTGAAGACGTGCATGCATGCGGATTGTTCATTCTCTCACACACCCGATAATAACAGTATTCGGGATATCGAGTGCGTCATTATTTTGAATTTCCATTTCTCAATGCTCATTTCCCTTTGCCCCCGACCCCTCCCCCAGCGGCCGAAATGTTTGCTTAAACTTCCTCTTGGGATGTTGCACACGCAACAAAAGGTGCTCCTACCGTCATTCCATCGACGGTCTCTCCGAAGACGTTACGACTAAACCTAGTCTTGATTCCACATTCACACTCCAGCTGCAGTGGTGGAACGACCCCGCGCGTATACAAGAGGTCCGTGACCTCATGGAGGCGCGTAACACTCGCCGGAAGCTCGAATATAACATCCGCGCGGAGAACGCTACTGAAGGTGCGGTCGAAGCAGGCTCGCTCCAGACGAAAAAAAAAGAGAACGTTCTTCCAGATGCACAGATGCAGATCACCAACAGGAAAAATAAGCAGTTTTACCCCAAACGCAGGACCACGAGCGACGAGAAATCGAGCGCTATCAAAAAGTCGAGCACAATGTCATCTTCCAAGCTCCAATCTATTGGTTCAAATACTAAGGAGAAGGAAAGGAAGAAACATAACGCCAGGGTGGCTAAGAGAGCAGCAAAGAGGGACCAGACGGAGGAATCAGCTGCGCCCGATCGCAAGAAGACTTCGACAACACGTACTTATTATCCAGAGTCAAAGACCGTTAAATCGTTGGAGAAATTGGCGAATTGTGGATTTACGAATGATGAAGTAGTTGATTTGATGGAGTTTGGAGTAAATCCGTGGGACGAGGATGCCCATGTAAGTGGACATGCTTTCTTTTCTCAAAATATATATATCGAACGCTAATTCTTCTCTAGTCTGTCTTTGCACATGTCGATGACTATTAATTAGTGAAACCACTGTCGGACGATCATGATTCTTTCATTTTTGTTGTTCAAGTTCCTCCGTACACTCTAAGCTCTTATTCTAAATAATTTCTGCCATTGTCTGGCGGGGTGATGTACGTATTCACTACGTAATTTCAACGTCGCAATGAAAACGGCAGGAAAACGGGGCAATGGTTTTCCTGTCACCACGACCAATTCAAGTTGACCTCGTACTTGTAGGATTCTAACTTGAATAACTATATTTCAAGAAAACAAATCGACATAGTGTGATACAAATGGATACAGTACAGAGAAAAATTGTACATAAAGATGCCAAATACTTTTCGGAAAATGTGTAGATACCCGTCGCCGTCACCGTTCGTATATCGCGCATGCAAGAATTGACAAAGGATAACACAAATATAAATATGCTTCAAAATATCTTCATCGGACAAACCCAGAAAGCCCGTTGAACAATTTTTGTTTTCTTTTTCCTCGCTCCATTCGTCTCAAATGCCCCTACCCCGGATACTGCTACTGGCACGAATCACTAACAATTCTCTCAACTTCTCTGCATTTTCCTCGTAATCATCATCCGATGTTTCTGAGCATAGGGAGGTGAGCTGGTCAATCCGGTCAGCACTTGTGTCGTTACTCTGCAGGCTGTCGAAGGTTTGATCCTGGCACTCTGAGGAAGCAACGTTTTCTTCGCACCACAGCCTCGAAGCAGGACGGCTAACAATAGGTACCACACCGACCGCGACCGATCTGGAAAGTTCTTCTTCATCATTGTCAGTGATTCCCAACAATCCTTCATGAGCATCATAATATAGACTCGAGTTGAGAGTTGATGTGGAATCCGTCGCACGCCGTCTCCTCCAACGATTCTCTGAAGGACCTCCCGTAGCAATCGCTAGCTGTCCAAAAATACTCAAGTCCGGCGAACTGATGGACTCCCCGTACTCCATCACACTTTCGATACCCTCCATCCCGGAACCAAAGCTCTTTACCGTATCTCGACTTCGACTTGCTGTCAGACTCTCTGCACTGACGCTCTGCATACGCATTCGAGGACCTCTTGGAACTCGTTTGGCTCGTATCGCCTTAATCGAAGTATCCGTTGCGGTACCGTTGCTTGAGCAAATAGAATCCCTTACTCTAATCCCTCTGATGGAGTCCGATACATCCCTGTTTCCATCCTGTGCCACTCGCGTTCGGAGTATGTGTAATTTATCTCCCCATGTGCCTACAGGTCCATCTTTCAGGGTATCCAGCACTGAATCATGCATCACCCGCTCATCCTCCGGAGGTTCGTCGCTCAGGACTTCCTCCCCCTCGTCTGTTGAAGCGACCCACCATGCTGTCCCCTCAGTCGATGTGTGCGTTGTATATACATCGGTCTGAGTTCTGCGACGCGAGGGCTTGGACGGGCTACATGGTGCAGACGATGCAGTTTGAGATCCACGCAATGGAGGAGTAGAGCATTCATAAGGAGAGTGCATAGCTTTTGACGACCGTCTAAGGGAGTAAGCCGAATGATTGATACTTGAAAGAGTCATGCGAGCAGCAGAAGGACAAAAAGAGACGAAATCATTTGATGGAGAGGAAGTGAGAGCAATCTTGAGAACGTCTCCAAAGGGAGTGTGGTCTTGAGTATTTCTCATTCGATGAGCAAACACGCATGCAACTTGCATTTCGGGATCCCGCCCGGTCCTGGGCGATACTCAGTCATTGAAGGCACGTATGAGAATCGTAAGTTACTTACTCTTGATCATATGATTGTTCTTTCATCACTCTAAACACAAGTTCACCACCAAGCTGTTTGATTGCTCCGCCTTTCTCCCATACTGGCATGCCTACCTTGATGGCCCGCAGAACAACTGTAGCAATACCGCCAATGACCGACGTGTGCTTGACATACGATCGGGAGGTGGATACGTGCGTACTATTGATTGACAGAGGTGATACCGAACGAGCCGAGGCCGGCTCGGATGTTTCAAGCACAGAGAGCATTGCAGAGGGCGAAGGGGAGTCGGGGCAAGATCGGGAGTCGATGTTAGCGCTTGCCGATGGAGGGGATGAAGCTTGGATATTTTTTCTAGGCGGAGTTCGATAGTCAATCCTAGCCAACGGGACTTCTGCATCGTATTTGTAAGGTGTGATACCACCCCGGCCTCTTCTTGACGTGAGACTGTCAGGAGGGCTTGAAATGGTAGAACTATGCTTCAACGTGGAAGGCGTGGAGACGACACCGATACAGGCTTCACCCACATTTTCCATCCCCAGAATGCCATAAGTTCGGCAAGTCGGATCAGTATACATTTTGACCTTCAGGTTCGATCCTTTCTCTGCTTCTAAATCAAAGATTTCCTTATACTTCGCAATCAAGGCGTGGGAACCGTTCGATATGATGATGACCTCCGGAATTGCCTTTTTGCCTGCTTTGTTGCCTTCTTCACCGATTCGAAGCTCTCCGTCACTGGTGGCGAGTTGCCATCCGTCTTTATCTTTCGACAGTCTACGTAGAATATCTCCAACCTCTTGCACATAGTCTTGATCTAAAGGGCACCAAAAGTGTCTAATGAAGAGAACGATGACAGCCTTGTCACTGTTTACCGCTGCAGGATCATTCAAGATATCTCCGAACATTACTTCCTGCCCATGTTCATCTAAGAGGGGAAGCGCAAGAAGTGTTCGAAGCTCGGAGGTAGTGGGAAGAGGAGGGCTCAATGCTGCATCATCGTTCTCGGGGATCTTCGGGTTAACCGGCGACGAATGATTGAAGAATGTGCAACTGGATTCCGAGATCGCCCGTTCATGTCCTTTGGCGGGAGAATGCATGACCGGGGAAGCCAAAGTTGCCGATGACGGTAGCGTTACTGGTGAATCAAGTTTGACGTTCGAGGATACAGTAGTTTGCAGCATCGGGCTAGAAATTTTTAATCCCCGAACACTACCGGGAGTACTAGGTAAAGCAGTTCCCTGAATAGGATCCTGAACACTACTTTGGGCTCTACGAAACCCAGGGAACTTGATTCCGGCAATACCATGGTTCGCTGTTGATTTTAGAAGCCCTTCAGTCTTGCTCCGCGGAGGCAAAGGAGCTCGCCTAGGGCCCGTCCTCGTAAAATCTTCTTCCCTCTTGTATCTTGGTTCATTCTTCACGACGGTTTCACCGCAAGAATCGACGACATGGATATACGAACTTCCCATACTTCCTGCACTCACAGCGCTTGCACTGCTACCTTTGTTCTTTCTGGGTTCAGATGTAGCGAAGCTGGTGTCCGGAAGGTTCAAAGTTGAAACGATATCCGACGGAGCGTCGCAGGTTTCTCCCGCCTCTGAACTCATGGACGCTGGCAGAACGCTCAACGAAAGTGAGCTCCTCTTCCTTGGGATCGACGCTGTCCAAGGTTTCAACAACGATAGGTTCAATTCCTTGTTGACTTCGTCTTCTACCCCCTGATCTCTGATATAAAATTCATCCGCTGCAGTGATACCGATTGCGCTAACAGATGCAGATGACTTGAAAGAGGTTTCAGGATGATAGGGACTGGAATGCAGCCTATTTGGAAGCGTTGACGGAGGTAGCCCTGAAGTCGTCTGACTCCTCGGCCTATTAGCCGATCTCTCAATAAGAGGGAGGTCTGTAACGCGATGGCAAATATCACTCCCCAAGGGAATCGACACAGGAGCAGCGACGGGTCCAGAGATGTTCATCGAGGATATAGAAAGTTTCCTCGACCTTGCTCTTCCTCGGGAAGGAGGCGAATTTGCCTTTTTCCTCTCAATCTTGGGAGAGGTAATCCCATCAAGAATCTTCAGACTTCCTATACTGTTCTTCCGAGAAACAACTTTCCCTCCAGTGAAGAACCGTGCTAATTTGAACATACTCCCACTGGGGGAAGTTGGCCTTTCTGTATCACCGATATCAATCTTCTTCGTCTTTGCTGCTTTGGGAGTTTGTTCAGACTTCACGCCTTTCCCATAATCGGATCGGCAAGGTGAAGAATCACGGGATGACGAAGAAGATTGAGAACGAGTATACGCATCAGATCGGGCGTATGGGTGCTTTTGCGGCGAACTCAAAAGTGCCATGGTCAAAGCATAAGAGTCGGAAATGTCAAGGTGGGAAGCATTAGGGCCTCCCAAGCTCAAAGTCGAAGCAGAGGCAGGAGGAAGGACTCTCTCAGGTGTTGACGTAGGTTCACCCGTGTTCCCGCCGTAGTTTGGATAGCCAGTTCCACTTGAACTGGAACCGCTGACACTACTTTCGCTACGATCCCTGACTAGGCTCGGAAGAGGATGCGCATCCGGAGCAGGTATCAGCACATGTTGCTTTCTATTTGATAGTTTGAAAGTCGGGGAAGGAGAAGAGAGAGCCGAAAATGAAGATCGCGTCCTTTGTCGACTATGAGGGGTGTAGTGTCCCAAGGTACCGAACTGGGTGGGAGGAGAAACCTTGGATTCGTAATGTGAGGGACAAGGAGTTATAGAGCGCTTTTTAGGTGTTTCTAGTACACCGAACACCCCGTCTTCCTTCTTATCAAGAACGTGAGATGAAAGCGGATCAGGGTGTAGCTCGACAGAACACATTGAGATTCTTTCTTGGGGATGTTTCGATCTCTTCTTTTCCTTGATGAAGTCATTCGGAAACGTTCTGATAACACCTGGCTTCTTAGCACCTTTGACCGGCATGAATGAAGACTTGGTCGACGACGCAACTGACAAGTTGTCTGAGCTCGCCATACCCACTTTCTTGCCCTTGAGATGACCCGTATCATCGCTGCCAGCAGCAAACGTATACGACGAAGAAAGGAATGCGTTGGTAGAACATCTGCGACTTCGATCTCGCAGCACACTGAGCGGAGCGAACGGATCACTTGGGTCTGGAGGAGGATAGCGATGATCTGTGAAGAGGGAGGTGGAGTTGGAGGCAGTGCGTGTATGAATTACCAGGGCCTGTTTCATGGATGGATTTGATGGGTTCGAAGTAGATGCCTGAAACGATTATGTACTAGAAGTCACGAATAGTGCGATGAGATACGTACTGGAATTACGGAAGGTTTTGCGCTGTTTGAAGTTGCCTTAGGCAGCAATCCGGCTGGAGTGACATTGGGAGCACGTAAAGGCGTGATAGGCGTTATTGGGCTGAGTAACGTTGGAGCAGGCTTACGCCTGATCTTGTGCATAGGGGTGTGTTGCGTTGTGGAAGATGAACAGGTGACGAATGTTGTCATTTCGTTTTCGGGAGGTGGTCGGTTACTTTGAAAGAACATATTTTTTGATAAAGAAGGTCGGGGAGATGCCAGTGAACTATCGAATGTTGAATATTATAACAGAGAGAACGTGAGGGAGTTGCTTGATCTGTGAACATGAGATGATGAGCTACAACGCACAGGAAAAAAGATCTGGGGCTGAAGCAGTGCCGTCTCAACGACAAAGTATATGGGATCACGAGAACGAAGGAGATATGAAGGACAACATGGAGAGGTACAGCGAAGAATGATAAATGAATCGAAAATCAGACGTACTAAATGTCCACAAAATCCTCAGCTCACCAAGCCAGAATTTACACTTGACAGGGGGGCACTCGAGACGTGGCTATGGTGAGTCGTCCTTCCAAACCAAGTAGAGAAATGACTGCGGTAAAAGAGAACTAAGATGAGACGATCCAGCCCAATAAAAGCGGCCAACCTTCAGCCGTTGTTGTCCTCGATGATCTCGCCGAAGGTAGAGAGCGTTGTCGACGTGATTAACGTTGGAAAAAGACAGAATATACAAGGGAAGGAAGACAGAAAGACTGAAGGGGCTGAAGTCTACGTAGCGGTTAGCAACCAAGTTGCATTTAGAGGTACACGGAGAAGGTTCAAGAAGCTCGAAATGGTCACGGTAATTACATACCAGGCACACCAAATGCGCGTGTTCAACGTTCGTTTCCAAAAAGGGCAAGGATATTGCCGAAAGGGGATCTGACTGCCTCCGCGGTGTAAGCAGCGCAAAATTGCCATTGGGTTACTTTTTGCTAAAATATCGTCCCAAGGGCTCTTCTAGCGATAGCTGATGGTCATTGACCAGGGAAAGTAAGGAACCACTCTCTTCAACAAATCTAATCTTTGTGGCATTCTTTCTTCAAAACAGACCCTAACCGCGTTTTTTGCTTCCTGCCTGATACCCCAATGTTATCCAATGTCAAGGTTGACGAACAATATGTTATTAGAATTGATTTACCTGAGGCAGCAGTACCCTTGAAGCTTGAAGGTGCAAGGAGACTCCTGCACGAAGTCCACGTGTATCCCACACTCTTCCTCGTTTCCCATTGCAATCCTTATCGTTTCGGAACAATCCTAGTGCTATGAGTTGGCCTTATCCGGATATTACATCCTTCTTCTCCCTATTCTCTGTCAGGGTTGAACGTTGATTAGTGGGCCATGTCGCTATACAGTCCATCGTTGTGTGTTTGAAAACACCGAGCTGAGCGATCAGTTCAGCTTCCAGAGGACATGACAGGCCATTGTGCACCGCTGATGAATCGAGGAAAGAGGCAGGCAGAATGAAGACGGTAGTTGCTTAGCTAAGTATCACAAAGGCTCCTGCGGCCAGTTGCGGCCTCTGATGCGCCCGTACTTAATCTTTGCATCCACCGAAAATTGAACAAGTTCCTTTGATTTCAGCCCCAAATTTCACAATCCGTTTCTCGAGTCTCATTAAGGCCATAGTCTTACAGCGAACACTCCAGGTGTGTTTTTGGATTCATACTTAAACAGAAATGTAAAACAGGAATGAGGTGTCTAGTCAATCAGATGATTGAAGACAGTCAACGCTGAGGAACATAATTATGCACATTATAGAGTGGAGATACCAATTCATCTGTACGTGAGTGAAAATCATCCTGCTCACTATTTCCGCCAGAAACCAGCACAGTACTTCTTTTCACGAGGCAGTCCTGTGATATTATTTGATATCGGCAAGTTCTTTCAAAATGTTCATGAGTTCTGAAATCCCCCCGCCAGCTACCTTCTCCTTATGCTATAATGTGGTCTCTGGGTTGAAGAAGATATGCTTGAGAAGTGTAGCGTTATTCATGTGTCCGTGTCCTACATAGAGTAGCCCTTTGACACAAGCCACTAGCGGATTCTCTGCTGCGATATGCTGCCGCTTCACGATCTAGTCAGAAGGAGAAGATCGGGTACTAGGCTTTTGAATCCACCGTCACCGTACCGCCGTTTTGAAGGATATACATGGCTAACCAGTGGGTAACTGACGTGGAGATCAGTTGAAGGCGGTTTGATGCTACATAATACGGTAACATACCCGTGAAAATCTGTCGAGATCTATCGTCACCAAGTGAACCGCACAGCTCTCTACAAGCTTCGAAAGAGGATGAGTTTGAGAAAAACTCTTGCTGCATAGAAACTCAGATTGTACTCGTCGCTGCATAGTACTGAACATGACAAGCAAAAAAAAACATGAACACCTATAAGCACTGTTCGTTTGTCCAAATCAGAACCGCGCTTGCCACGGAAGTGTGGAACGCGAAAAGCTATGCGCCATCCTGAACAGTGAGTAAGGAAGTTCTGAAAGAATTGAGAAACGAAATCCGTGGTAGGCGCAGGTGTACAATAATTCGGATTTTGCACGTCGTCGTTCGATCTTGCTAGTATTCTTGTTGCATCCTTGTCCCGACCTCCAAAGAGTCACTAGTGATTTAGGCTGACAATATTGAGAAAATGCATTTTGTTTTTTTCAGCAGATGGGAGCCAGCTAAAAGGTGTACAACGACCTGTGCAAAAAAGCTGTTGACAGTTGATTGCTCACGGGCGCGCCTGTCAATGTTATTTCGGTACCGCCGCAGCGAGTCAATTTACGGGCCGAAAACGGTATCAGTAATCACTTATATTGAGTCAAGGTCAGTCAGATCAAGTAGAAAACTTTCTCTTTCCCCCTCCATCTGCTCAGACCTCTCTCCTCCCAGAGGTATTCTGACAGTTTTTCTCGGTTCATTTGGCGTCAACTGAACATCTCTGTGAGTTACACATTCCTCGTTACCTGCAATTAGGCTACTGCGCCTCCGTTTCCTGTCTGCGGACCTCAGCTGCCTGAGTCATCTACCATTACGATTCGGGCCCGTATAATGACCTCTCCAATGGAGTCGTATGCCAATGTTTATCGATGGGTACATTCCCCAAATGTTCTACTATCTTGCTCTCCGTCATCATCATCGTCGTCGTTGTCGTCGTTGTCCGCAGACAAATCTGGTTCCTCGATATGTGACAACGAATCAGAACTAATACCTCATGGTTACAGAATATCCAGGTCGCCGCCGCTCATCGTGCCTTCCGAAACCAACCCTAGACCAAGAAACCTCGTCGAAATTTCCGCCTCATCGAGCTTCACTTATCAAACAAACTCGAGCCAAGATGTTCTGCCTACTCTGAATAACTCGGCTGCTTCTTCTAACCCGTCTACGGCTTCGCGCAATGGTTTTAGCTCACCTGATGCAATATCGAAACCATCTTCCTCAGCATACTCACTAGCTGCCCACTATGGCATTCCACAAGCACTGCCTCGGCCGCCACGTACATCACCTCGCACACTAGTGTCGCAGGAGAAACCTTTGCCAGACTTTGAGTCCCTCAGTCGAAATTACCTATCTATGTTAGCAAATAAACCAACTGATAATACATTGAGCCACGCTGCACTTATCAATAACACTATGTCTCCGGTACATGTTCCAGCAGAGATGCCTGCGGTCTCTCAAATCGAGGACGAGGAGGCGGCTTTGAAAGCCGTCGTCGATACCCTCATAGGTACACCAATTCCAATCTCGTCGTGTACTTCGGCTGATTCACTCGACGACTGGTTCGCAGCTTCTCCACAGTTTCAAAAGACTGGAAGCTTCAACGAGTACCTCTCGTCTCCTTTCAGCACACCATACGACGACTTCAACACCTCTCCGATGGATGACTCTCCCTTTGCACCGGATCTTAGCACCCCCATAATGGATGCTATTGATGAGGAGTTCGGCTGGTCTGGAATGGTCGGTGGAATGGACGAACCAATTTTTACCGATGCGGTGTCTGATCTATATGACATGCTTGTCGTGGCCGAACCTGCGAAGCAGGTAGCACCTGTCGATTCAGTGGCAGAGTTGCTCAACAGCAAACACTTGTATACCATTCCTCCTTCCACGCCAGCCCTCGAGTCTGTTGACAGCCTTTACCCATCACCACGCTTACCTTCTGTCAGCGCTCCTGCAAAACCCGCTCCTCCTCCTATCCCTTCTTCAAGTCGCAAGGTGTCATATGCGACCGGCACTCGTCGCAACATTACGCCAGATGCTCTCCTTCCTCTTGATGCTCCCACTCAGGCTCGTCGATACGTGGCTCCGTCTTCCACGTCCCCCAAAGAAGTTTCCACCAAGAAGCGGTCTCGCTCGGAGGCATTTGCTGATGATGACGACGAAGGACATGAAGACGAGTCCAAAGCTCCAGGTCCAGACGCCACTGAGAAGGAGAAGCTCGAGTACAAACGTCGTATGAGCACGATTGCGGCGAGGAAGAGCAGGAGGAGAAAGCTTGAGCACAAGTTAATGCTTGAAGCGAAAGTGGAGGCGCTGGAGAAGGACACGGAGAAGTGGAAGACGAGATGCAAGGTCCTTCAGGAGGTTCTGAGGAGTCATGCCGTTGACTTCCGGTTCGAGGACGATGAGTAACCGGGATGATCTGATGACGCCTTTCCTTCTCGTTCTTTTGTCTGCACCTCTGGCTGTCGTCTTTGCTTTCGTTCTTATATCTATCATCGTCATATCCCTTGTCCATTGTACACACATTCGTCTTTGAAAAGTCACCCTTCGATGCCCTTGTATTATAGATCATTCCTTCATCATCATTCCCATCCTCAATTGTTATGAGCATCGTCGTACCCCCTTCCCTTACACACAGCAAATTCTATGTCTTTTCGTTTACTTATGATCCAATCCAATTCCGAATACCTACATACATAGCTAGTAGTGTCGAATATGAGAATCTTGTTTACCTATATCTAGTGTTGTAAAAAATTACAAGTACTTGTGCGGTTCACTTGAGGGCTCGCGATACAAAAACATGTCCCTTAAACGTTCTGTCCTCGACTGACATTTCGCAGCAAGGTTCCTGGTATAATCCTCGACGCATAATTTAGCAACTGTTGTGTCGTCTCAAACTCTAGGCTAAAGCAAGCATGTCTCACTACCTCTCACCACCTGCTGTTCTAGGACGCCTCTGCTATGAAATCACAAGATCTCTGCGGTGCGCGACTCGGGACTATGGATTCTGGATCCGATGGGCACAACGGAACCTGGATAACATTGGCGACATTGGTGAGAGAAAATCTGAGAAAACTTTGAACCGATCAGGCTGGCATCTGGGACTACCTTAGACCATAGCCGCTTAAGGAATCAATGAAAGAGTTTGTGAGGTGAAAGTTGCCAAATTAGGATGTAGCAGGAATATTTTGATTTGCCCATTGATATCGTCAAAGCTGTTGCTCACAAACAATACAGCAGATTCTAAGTCGCCTTCCTCAACTTGTCCAGGATCATCCGCTGTCCGATGCCAGGCACCCAGCACAGTGATCCGGTGAAAAAAACTTAATTTGAAATTTACGTGACCCCGCACTTTACCCCAGATCCTCGATTCAGCGCCCGCCGTCTACTTAAGACTTGTGACTCGGTTCTCCCTTTTGACTCGGACCACCATCACGCCCATGTCTGCTCGTAAAGCGGAAAGTCCTAGCACTAGTAGCTCTCAGCTGAAAGGCCAGAGTATGTGTGACCATGTTGAAGACATGAAACTTTCAAACTACGACAACATGGGCGAGGCGGACCTCAAGAAGTTGGAAAAACAGGCTGTGAGGAGGCTGGATTTTGCCATCCTGCCCATGATGACGATGTTCTATCTTCTTTCCTTCTTGGTATGAAGTTATTCAACAACCCTCTTCTTGCATAAACTCACAAGGCGTTGCTGTCAGGACCGTGCAAACATTGGTACGGAGACTGCGAAGTGTTGAGCGTCGAGGTCGCAGTATTCATTTCAATTTTTCCCGTCTTTCTAGGAAACGCTCGTGTTGCCGGGCTACAGAAGGATCTAGGCATGTCTGATCGGCAATATCAAGTATGCGTTACGATTCTCTATGTGTACGATTCCTTTTGGTTGTTTTAGCTGCGCGCGATCAACTTTTTTTGTCGTTGTCTCTAGGCCTTACATCTGCGCCGAACTCCCTTCGAATCTTCTGCTACGAAAGATTGGTCCCCGCTACCTCATGCCATCTCTGCTCACGCTCTGGGGTCTTATGGTCGCTTTGCAAGGTACTTAAGCGGACCGCGTAAAGTGTCAATATGATATTCATCATTTTTATCCAGGTCTCGTAACATCCTACTCTGGTTTAGTCGTTGTCAGAGCGTTCCTGGGTCTTGTCGAGGGTCCGATGTTTCCTGGTATAGTACTCTACCTGTCCTCATTCTACACTCGATCCGAGTTGGCATTTCGGTGAGCTACTTGCATGATCCGTAAAAATCGGTCTACTCATCATTTCCCTGTTATCTCTTGTTTTTACATAGTGTGGCCGTTTTCTTTTCATCGGCGTCGGTGTGTGATCGTGTCGAATTTTCGCTTGCAACAAGCTAATAGTATGGGAATATTTCAGCTGTCTGGCGCGTTCTCCGGGTTACTTGCCGCTGCAATTATCCACATGGACGGAATCAGTGGTAAACCCGGATGGGCATGGATCTTCATTCTGGTGTGTAGTTCAAATTGCGTTGTTCGTCATTTCTTAACAGATACCGTGCAGGAAGGGATATTCAGCTCCCTGGTAGGGATCTTGGGATTTTTCCTCATCCCTTCAACTCCGCAAGAGCTCAAATTCATTACACCACAACTGAAAGAGTATGTAATTCAATGTCTTCAACATCATGTCCTCACATTTTCGCAGAGTACTTATCCGACGATTGGAGAAAGATAAACCTTCCTCTATGAGCGATGAAGATCACTTCTCGTTCAAGGAGGTTTTTCGTTCGCTTAAATCTCCTCACGTCTTACTTGTGTTTGCGATCTTCTATATGGAGGGCACAGTGCTCTACGGCCAAGCCCTTTTCCTTCCCTCCATCGTGAATCAACTTGGATTCAGCGCGAACAAGACACAGCTGCTCAGTGTAGGGCCTTTCGCTGGAGGATTCATTGGTTAGTGACGAGCTTCAAGGGAATAGCTCGCATATGATTAACATTTACTAGTCACCCTAACGGCTTCTCTCTTTTCGGACCGCATAAAATCTCGCGCAATACCGACCGTATTGATATCTATTCTGGGTGTTATCGGATTTTCCATCTACCTTAGTATGTTCTCTTGGTTCTTTTCGATCTGCACGCATTGATATCCTCCAATCAACAAAGCTTCGGAGGAAAAGTACATCCGATATGGCTCTCTATTCTTCACCGTTCCCGGGGTTTATGCAGCCGTCCCACCCGTTTCTGCATGGATGGCTAATAACTCTGAGCCACATTATCGTAGGGCGACAAGCATTGCCCTTGGTTTCGTTGCAACAAATGCTGTGAGTTCATTACCCTCAGCGGTAGTTCCCCTTTCTAATCCGACTCGTCTGCAGGGAGGTATCACGAGCACATGGCTATTCCCTACAAGTGAAGCACCACGATACAGAAAGACCACAATAATCAATCTAACCTTGTGCGCCATCTTGCTTGTCTACACTATTTTCCATTTTCTAAGCAGAACGATCCTCTTAGTACCATCCTAATCATTGTAGGGGCAGGCATTAATTCGCTACTCCTAAATCATATGAATAAACAAAAAGTCAAGAGGAGAGATGAAATTCTTGCTCCCTATAATATCGACTCGGACGACGAGAAGGGTACAAATGCAAGGAGAGCATGGGTGGAGCTGGGTGATCGCCATCCTGATTTCAAGTACTCGCTGTGACAGGACTTCAAACAGGGTGTTAGTGATGTCATTTCACAATTCTCCTCTGTGTACTAGTACAAGGGGCTATACTATTTCCTGGATTCATTATTGGATCAAGTCATGAGGGCAACTTCAATGCGAAACCGCTGCCTATTGCATCCATCATATTCTGCGGAGGTATGAAGGTGGCTGTTCCTGTATAATGTGCAAAACCCTCAATCTCAACAACATAACCCATCTCGGTGTGCGCAACGGCGCGCCCTCTAAACGCGTTTCCAGCAAATTGTACGCTAATAAACGACTGGTATGTGCACCATTCCCCTATCCTAAGCTGAGTCTGGTCAACGGCTAGCGGAACATGAGCACTGACGCAAGACCCTGTTGGTGAACGGTCAATCTGCTCATCAGCGAAAAAGCAGATCCATGTCACAGTATTTTCGTCCTGGTCCGAGGCTCCATTTCTTGAGATACTTGAGTCGATAACGGTGATTCCATACAAAAAACCTATATCCGGTTCATTAGGATGAACGAATGATCTGCGCGCTTGGGAATTTTGATTCAAAAGGATACGAAGTATGCGTGCAGCCTCTGCTAGCTCTTTAAATTCAGAATTAGACCCTCTGAGGGAAGCAAAACCAAGTTCCGCTGAAGACACGAGAGCATAGAAGGCTCCACCATATGAGATGTCCATTCGAATCTGTCGCTTGTTTTGTTTGATGAGCTTTGGCCATGCCATCTCTAAAGGGACCTCGACTGTGACGCCTTGCTTTGGGGAGGACACAAAGCAAGTAACAGACTGAAATCGGACAGGCTTTGTTGCGTCTGATTTATCTTCGAGTGTAGTGGGCACGTTGACAGTGACAACACCACAAGGTGCATGAAGCCTGAGCACGGTGAACGTCTGTCCGTTGTCGTCTTTCTGCACCTGCAGCAACGATCTTCGAGGAAATACCTCCGAGTCGTGAGTGTCAACCAAGAAACGGCCCAGAGCAATCGTTGCGTGACCACACATCGTAGAGTAACCCTCTGGGCGGATGTATGTTAGCAGAGAGCAATTCCGAAGGTGAAAAGTATCCGCACCATTATGACAGAATAGAACTCCGATATCTGCTTCACCAGATAGCGTCAACTCTGTGTCTTGTACAAGGATTGCGCCGTACATCCCTTCGTGTCCTCGTGGTTCGAGCATCAGCCTATCGAGGAGTCAGTTTAAGTTATTAGAGACGGTCGCGCAATGGTACCCGCGAACCATTTTCTAACCGCGTCGGTTGCAGGATTGTCACTGGCATAGCGCCGTTTTTCCAACAATGTCTCTCCTTCAAGCTCTGGGAACCCAGAAACGATGATCCTTGTGGGCTATTCATAATTCAAATGGTTTCATGTTCACTCGTAGAGAAAAAAGGTCAATCGTGAGCCTGGATTCTTACCTCCCCTGAGGTGTGCAATTCCACCGTCCTGACCATTGAAGGATGCTCCCCGATTTCCTGGAGCACATCCATGGTCGTAGATGGTCGTGTGAAGCCAAAGAAGCACACTGGTGGGAAGGTACATGTAGGACCGAGATGCGGTGTAAAAACTAATCGCGCCGTGGGATGTCTATTCCTATCTAGTAGTAGTATCCGGTTATCATGATTCATCAACATATAGGGTATGTAAAACCATGAAAACTGCTAAGAAGTACATGTGTAACACGCCCAAAGATGCAGGAGGAACAATGTTACATTGTGCGCCATGGAATCCCAATCATATTTGGTTATCATGATTGATGAGTGTGGGGAAGTCATCGACGAAACCTCGAAGGGCCAAGAAGTGTGTAACAGACTAACCATCGATCGAAATTTCGTAAGCTAAATATAATGTACAACCGATATCCAATCTTATCCTATCCAAGAAATAGCGGAAATGGAGAATTGAAACGACTATGAATACAATGAAGAGGGTTGAACGCCAGTTAATCCGCGCAAAGGCAGGAGAAGTAGTCATCCTCCTCCTTTCCTTTTTCCCTGACCACGTCTTCGTTCTCCTTGTCCCCGATTATTTCTTCGTCTTATCCTCGTCTTCCTGGAGTCCCCGCAATTTTTCCTGCCATTCACGACCATGGGTCTCAAGTTTTTCCTCGCTGAATTGATGCATGATCGAGACAAGACGATCATATGAAAAATGACTGTTCAAGGTATCGATATCGAAGTGCGGTATTTGTCGCGGCATATCACGTTGTCGGACCATATGACCTGCTAATGCAACAAAGCCAGCATTCAATGAATGCTGAAGTCTCATCAGCCAATGAAAGAAGTCACGGAAGAACTGCGTTGGAATAGGTTGCCATAAGAAATCTAAAATGAGGAGGGCTTTCTTGTCATGGAGAAAGTCGTCTCCCTGAGTATACCACGTTTCATAACGGTAGCTGGTTTTGGAAAGTTTGACATCCTTCTCATTCTCTTCTTCGTCCTCGTCCTCATTGTCGTCATCCTCGTCGTCATCATCCTCAGCGAGAGACTTGTAAGCCCTTTCACTAGGGCTGGAGAAAAGGGTGGCAAGCAGAAGGATGACATAGAAGAGAGACTCTAGGTCATGACGATACCGGTGTGGACCAACCCAAGAAGGCGAATGTTGCTCGTGCGCCATGTAAGGACGAGTGCCAGTTCGAAATTGCGAGGTCGAGATTCCGTCTCGGTTATTCAGCCAAATTGCAAGGTCCCAATCATTCAAAACACCGTATTTCTTCCCATCTTTGACGCGGATCATGATATTCCCGTCGCTGATATCCCGATGAAGTATTTGAGGATAAGTGTAGACCCAATGATGACCTACGTATGAGGATGAAAATGATGAATGAAAATAACCCATTGAAAAGACTCACATTGTACAATATCATAGAATACTTGTGCGCATTCTAGCGCAGTCTCCAGGCTCGAAAGTGGTTGTAGTTCTTCCTGTATCGAGCCCCGTAGAAGACGCATCTCATACTTATCTTTGAACTTTTCTTTGAAATTAGCCTGTGGACTACGTTCCTCGAACGGAAGATCAAATGTCCAGTAGATATGTGGCAAGTGGTTGAGAACCCAAGCATGTTCACCTTTGGCTTTTTCTTTGCAGCGATCCATAAAAGCTTGTTCAGGGACTCGAGTCATGCTAGGGAAGCTGAGCTTCAGGACAAGTTTCTTCCCACTCCAGTCGCATTGATTGGGAGCGCAGTGAGTACAAGCACACACCACCTGGACAACAATAGTTCCTCGACCGATGATACCACGGGAACGAAAGAGAACGCGCTTGAGCTGAACGGTGCTGGTTGTTCCATTCTTGTAGGGGAAGGTAAATTTGGATCCTTCTTCAATCTCTTCGATCTGAAAAATTCCGTTCGAAGGCGGTCCTTCAGCCTTTTCGAATTCAGGTAATGTCTGTCCATATTTGAGACTAGCCGGATCTTTCATGAAGGGTGCTTCCAGCTCTGGGATCAGTCCTAGGCCTCCTGGGGGAAGGGCATGCAATTGTTTGATCATTTTCGCAAATATAAGCTGGTCGCCTTCGTTTTCAAGGTTCAGTACCTAATGCTCAACGTTGAAAATGATAGGGACGTGAAGAAAACTGTAAACATACCGCAGATTCAACAATTATCTAAAGATATAGTTAGAATACTGATTTAAACATAGATATGACGAGGGTCAATACCGAGTGGTCATAAAAGATGCCTCGAACAAGTGTGGAATCAACAATGAAGATATGCACGTGACTTCTGAGGACGCCGGTCGATAGGATATCACATGCATAGCCGCCCGTTTGGGTCCTAACCCCTTCTGGAGTGTTTCTGTCTGGCGGCAGCGGAACATTTTGGGTATCTCTTTGCTTTTTTCGATACTCCTTCGTGCTGACCGGCATGGATTTTACTGGAACGAATGAGCGTCGTCAAAATCTTTTGAGGTAAACCACTGACGTTTCGGTGGAACGTTACTGATATCGCCGGCAGACTTGCTCCTTGAGTTTGCTTTCGGCGCGCGCCCACTGGCTTCGTCTAACGGACCGGATAATGTATCAGTAAGGTGGAATACCTCGGAATATCAGAACTTACCTGCTCCTTTTACCCGCTTTTTTCCACTGTTCTTCCCTTTCTTCCACTTCGCATCGATTCCAACTGTAGTGGTACGTTAATCCGTAAGATGGTGCCAACATTCTCAAAACTCACAATCGTCACGAATCAATTTCCCTTTTTCGTGTTTTACTTCGATCAGTAAAATGATAAGCCCCCAGAAAATCTTCTCATCAGAAGCTTGTGCCAGGACGAGTGGGTCTCGGGATCCTATCAGCTCTTTGAAGACCGCACCAATGTCTGGTTTTTGCTTTACAGGTGACCCCCGGACTGGGACCACATCCTGTCTATAGAACACAATGTTCCTGCTATTTCCCTTCAATTCGTTGAGCAATGCAATGAGAGAATTGTACAGCTCTGGGTCCGTCTCACGCTTCGCTTTTGTTTCTGCATTTAAGTAATTTTGGAATTTTTTCTTGACCTGCTCACTTAATTGGTATGTATCCTTGTCAAGATCCAAGTTCAAACTGAGTAATGACCACTCTTTGACGGGAAGAGTCCGGACATTAGCGAGATCCCCGATGAGGTATTTATTTGCTTCGTCGACCTTGTACTGCCTGTCATTTAAAAGGGCAGTAGAGCTGAAGCTGCTGCTATGATTGCTATGGGGGGTACTTTTAGCCGGTGTCGAATCAGTAACCGCCTTTCGCTCGGGGGTTACTGGAACAGGGGGAACCTTTTCCGACCCTCCACGAGTAATCTCAGTGTCTGACAGATATGCTTGGATATTGGGATCATTGCCAGAAGATGGTTGAGTTGGGGTAGCATTGTCCTCGCGCTGGAAACCTGAATCGGCAGTGTTAAGGTGTCCTGGAAAGTCAATGGTTTTTGGGTGAAGATCTTGGCACTGATACATCACAAACACTGACCTATATCATCATTTCCTACAATTGCCCCCCCTGGCAAGGTGCTGAATGAAGGGTCTGGGACCGCCTTTCCAGCTCCTCTGTAAAGGTGGGAGGATTCGGGGCTCGATGATGCCAAACGTTCTGGAGGGATTACATATGATGTTTCCTTTCGAGTGCGAGAGCGTGTGTGTGGGATAGACATAGCAAAGAATCGAAATGTAGCTCGTGGTCCAAGTGTAAGAAGGTGGGTTTCATGGTCAGAGGAACGGCCTGCTTAAATGTCCTTGCGCGCCTGCGCTGTCCGAGTCTTTGTTCCCCTGCGACAGGGAGCTACGCCACACTGCTGCCTTTCCACACTGTTTCCGATATCAATATCTTGCCTCAAGGCTCATGGTGGGTCCTGTTCTAATACACTCGTCTTTGACATTCATCCGGGCTAGAATACAATAATGGAATTTTCTGTCAGAAGAACGTGTTTACGACAGAAGAAAACGACAATATCGTGAGGCAGCCTGCTGCTGCTGAGCATTGGAAATTCAAACCCAGATCGGGACAATTGTGTGTTGTAGCTATCTCGGACATAGCCAGTTGGAATCTGTTGAAATGCACTGCAAACACCTCAGCTCACCTCAGCGTATAAGCTTGGAGTTTTGGGGTCAAGATGCCTGCTTAGGGAAGAAGGGGAGCTATAACAATATCTAATCACCCTCGTTACATTGTCCCGATTTTCATTGTCTGATTGTTATTTTTCATTCCCTTCATTATCCTCAACTTTTCGGTGCTCTTGTAATATTCCCTGCCATTCGCTATTCCGTGTTTCGAGTTCCTCTTCGCAAAATCGATGCATAATCAAGACAAAATTCATATATGAAAAATGACCGTCTAAAGTATTGTTGTCGAAATGCGGTACTTGTTGCAATGGATCCCTTTGACGCACAATGTGAAGGGAGTATGCGGTGAAACCATCATACAAGCAGCGATGAAATCTTTTCAGCCAAAGAAAGAAGTCACAGAAGAAGTGCGTTAAGTGAGGTCGCCAAGAGACAACCAAAATGATCTTGAATTTTTTGTCGTGGAGAAAGCTGTCACCCTGGGTAAACCAACGTTCATAACCTATCATTTCTTCGTCGCCGTCTTCCTCGTCACTGTCCTCATCGTCATCGAGAGAATTGTAGGCCCTCTTACTAGGGCTGGAGAAAAGGGTGGTAAGCAGAAGGATGACATAGAAGAGAGACTCTAGGTCATGGCGATACCGATATGGACCTCTCCAACGACGCAAATGTTGCTTATGTGGCATGAAAAGTCGGGTACCAGTTCGAAATCGGGAGGTCGAAATTCCATCTCGCTCATGAAGCCAAAATGCAAGGTCCCAATCGTTCAAAACGCCGTATTTTTTCCCATCTTTGGCGCGCACCATGATATTCCCGAGGCTGATATCCTGATGAAGTATTTGAGGATAAGTATGAATCCAGTGATGACCTAATTACATGAATCAAAATACAGAAGGAAAGTCGTGAATTGAAAGAACCAACATTGTACGATGTCATAGAAGACTTGGGCACATTCTGATGCAGTATTCAAGCTCGAGAACGGTTCTATTTCTTCCTGTATTGAGCCCCGTAGAAGGCGTATCGTCCGATGATCATCCTCAAACTCCTCCTTAAGGTCAAAGCATGGAGTGTCAGTTTCACTGAGCGGAATATCATATTTCCAGTAGATATCTGGCAGATTGTCGAGGACCCGAACATGTTCACCCTCTGCTTGTTCTCGACAGTGATCCATAAGAGACTTTTCGGAGGCTGGGGTAACGCTTGGATAGCTGAGCTTCAGGAGCAGCTTTTCCCCGCTCCAGTCACATCGATTAGGTGGGTAATGTGTACAATTACACACCGCCCTGCTGGCCATGGTACCTCCCCAGCTGCAAAATCCACTGGAACAGAACGGAATGTGGCGCAGGCGAACAGTGCGTGTGGTACTGTCTGTCAAGGGGAAAGAGAAAGAAGATCCTTCTTCCACATTGAGAATCTCATTCAACAACGACCCGGCGGCTCCATCAAACTCTACCACATTGACAGACCCATTCGGATTGGGTTGAGAAGGAGTGTGCAATTGTTTGATGGTCATGGTCATGCTTTTTTCGAAGTCGATTGGTTCCGATGTCCAGAGAAAGAAAGAGGGGAAAAGTAGAGAACACACCGAAAATCTGATGCTTATTATATCGAGCTAGTTTACCGAAATGAAACGCAAAAAAGCGATACAACTGTCGATATTTGAAAAGAGAGGGCGAAGTTGAGTCACTGTCGGAGAACAAAATATTAGCCGCAACGTTTATGGTATTGATATTCGAACATATGTAGATCAATAGTGTCGTTCAAAGTTGAAAAGCGCCCGCCGCTGCCAACGGCACCCGTTTGCTTACGAATGTCACCTGCTCTTAAAATAGAAGTCACTTTGATGTAACACTGCATGCGACGGCCTGCAACGGCAATCCTTTAATCACAAGGAGTGCCGGTGAGGCTTGAGACCGGCTACTTATTATATCCGACCAGTCATATAGCTTTAGCATAGATGCCATTCTGCCGAGGAGACTTCGGTGAAGATAACCACTTGAACACCAGTCATGATCAAAGCAAAAAGATTTCGGCTGTCAACCCTCCCGCGGCATCCAGCCCCAACACATGATTAGCTGATTGTCCCTCCAGGCCAAAGAGTAGCAATAGATGGACAATTTACATGAGTGTATACAGTATTATACCATTTCTGGAGATAGGATAGGTACATTAGTAGAAATTCTAGCCGTTGAACAAATAAAGACAAGAAAAAGTGAGTAGGTCACGATGTGACCATATGTGATGCGCTTCATGACGGTTACCAACGGAGGTCGCTGGCAGCGGGCGCTTTTCAACTTTGAACGACCCTAATGAAACAGGACTCAAGTGACTGACTACGAAGATAGTCAACCGATGCTGTTGTAGTCGCCTTTGTCCCAGTCACCTAGCCATCCTGAGCCATCCCATCCGTTCCAGTCCTCTCAGTCTGTAACTGCTTCTGCTTTTGCACCATCTCCTGCCACTCGACGCTTCGTGTTTCAAGTTTTTTTCCACAGAATTGATGCATGATGAACACCATGTTCTTATATGAAAAATGACCGCCTAACGTATCCTCATCGAAGATAAATAGTACTTGTTGAGGCTGTGTGGTTGCCACTCCTCCCCTTGACTTTGACCCTTTTTTCGTTTGCGCTCCCGGTTCTTCGCTGCTTCAGCTGCGTCCATTTCGTCTCTTTGGTGGCGCCGAAACGCATGGAAGCCATGGTTCAAGCATGTTTGTAATTCGGTAAGCCATTGAAAGAACCCACGAAAAAAATGAGTTACGGTAGGTTCCCATGAAGGAAGAATAATGATAAACATCTTCTCGCGATGAAGAAACCTGTTACCATAGTCAATCCAGTGACAGTAGTCATCAGCACCATCATCATCGCTGTTCTGTTCACATTCTTCACTTGGACTGGGGGAGGACGCTACCAAGAGGATCGCGTAAAAGAGGGATTCGAGGTCATAGCGATAGCGGTGTAGGCCTTTCCACTTACACGAGTGTTGTTCAAGGGCCATATAAGGTCTGGTTCCCGTGCGATAATGTAGGGTTGGAGTTTCTTCTTGTTTGTCCAGCGATATCGCCAGATCCCAGTCATCCAACACACCGTATTTCTTCCCGTCTTTTTCGCCAACCATGATATTGGCGAGGTTGAGCTCCCGATGAAGGATGTGAACATAGGTGTAAACCCACTAATGACCTAGGGTATGGTTATAGAAATGAGTTCATAACAGGTTCAAAAACTGGCGACTGAAAACGCACATTGAGCGATATCGTAAAAAACCTGAGCATATTCCTCCGCAGTCTCCAAATTTTGGCTCATGATCAACTCTTCCTCGATTGATCCTTGTATGATGAGCATCTCGTTCTCAATATTAAGATCTTCTTCGGACTCGTCCTTCAGAGTATCGTCAATCACTGGCATCTTGAATGTCCAATATATATTGGACAGGTGATTGAGGACCCAAGCGTGTTCAGCAAGCTGTGCTTTTTCCTCACAACAGTCCATACACGTTTGCCCGGAGGATCGAGTTTCTATAAGAAAGCTGAGCTTCAAGACGGGCTTCTTCCCGCTCCATTCACAGTGATCATCGTACGCACAATGGACTTCGCAAGCACACTCTACTCGAATTGTACCTCGAAATCGGCTGAAGAAGCCTTCGGAAGGGAATAACATGTATTTGAGTCGAACCATGTGTGTTGTGCCTTCTTTGTCTGCAAAAGTGAAAAGGGCTCCTTCGTCAACATCATCCAGTTTACATGTCCAATTCGAGGTCAAAGGTCTAGTGACAATCTGAGGAAGCAACAACGTTGTCTGCTTTGAGTGATACACAAGATCGGCAGAATTTTGGTAAGCTCCTTGCTAGGTGGAAAGCTGTTTCGTCATTGTGATGATTCACTTCAAATGTAAGTTGGTCGTCGTTGGTTTCCAAGGGTGTCCAGTCCCGGTTGTAAATTCATAGATCGTAGTGGAAAAAAAGAAGTCAAAATTAGAGATAAGACTTAAACAAAAGTCGATTACACGTGAACTGATTATACTATCATGCCAGTAGAGTTTGAAAATTCTTCAAAAAATCACTTCGGAAATGCCTTTATAATAGTCGTATCGTTCTCGGCTTTGGTACACTTATAGCATGACATATTAGGATGCCTTCCATCTACTTTTTACTACTAAGACTTGTCTTTATTGAGAGTAATAGAGATCCCGTCTCGCGCCTGGGGTGTTTGAAAAAATCAGTCACATCAAATGTCACCAAATTTGCCGCTAAAATTGATGCAGGAGTTGCAGGAGAATGTCACAAAAAGTCACACATCTCCATCTTCAACCTCTTTAACCTTGAATACTGCTCCGGATAACTTCGGAAATGTGTTCTACTGAACTATAGAAGGCATATTCACACATGTATACACATTCCTAAGTAGTTTAAGCTATTTTGCTTATAAAATAAAGTGATTCTCAACAATTTTGCAAACCTGACAGTCAAAAGGGCTTATGCAAGGAGATCTCAACTGTTTTTCTCACAGAAAAAGCACAAACTAGGTATTTCAGGTATTCATAATGCAATCCCGAAGCATACATACAGTAATAAGAAAGGAGAAACACCTACAGGATATGTTTTCAAACTCCCCTGGCTTTTCAAAGCCGGCAGGCACGATAGTACGTGGGCCTCATTTTGAATATCAACGGATCCCACACAGGGTGCAAATCTCCATAAGTTGCTGCCACTTACTGAAGACTTTTGGAAAATCACAGGGTGCAAATTATCATAAGTTTTTGTGGCTTATGAGAAACTTACGGTGAATTAACATGAAATGGCTAAAGCATAAGATTGTCTACTTATTTTGTTGTTTATGATGAACTTATGCAAATAAATTTCCTTTTATGGAAATTTTATTCCATAAGTTCTACGTAATACTTTCCATAAGTCACAAATCTTATCTTATCGGAAATTTGCATCAATTTTCCAAAAGTCTTCAGTAAGTGGCAGCAACTTATGGAGATTTGCACCCTGTGAATTGATGTAAATTTCCGATAAGATAAGATTTGTGACTTATGGAAAGTATTACATAGAACTTATGGAATAAAATTTCCATAAAAGGAAATTTATTTGCATAAGTTCATCATAAACAACAAGATAAGTAGACAATCTTATGCTTTAGCCATTTCATGTTAATTCACCGTAAGTTTCTTATAAGCCATAAAAACTTATGATAATTTGCACCCTGTGCCACGCCTCGAGAAATAATTACAAAAATACACCAAAAATTAATACTCCCTGGCTGGGAGTCGAACCCAGCTTTCGCGCGGATTTATGTTCTGACAGGCGCGTGTACTAAACCGATATACTACCAGGGACATATAAAGCCTGTTCGTGGTCTAATCTATCTTCGCTGCTGTCAGTGGGACAATCAATATCTAAAGCGTCCATTTCCTCAAGCATCCTCCAACCTTTCCTTTGGGCTCATTTAATTTGCGGTCGCCAAATTTCGAATCTACATGTCAAGAATCAACGTTACGACAGTCACACCAAATTTTGTGGTCTCGTAACCAAGCAGCGAAAGGAAACTGAGCAGCAGAAAAGAGAGATGTCGAGACTGCGTTTACAGGAGTAACAGCGCAACATACCCAGTGGGCTGAGCGGTGCACATATAATCAGAGCGACTTGAAACGAGAGGTAACTGAAGAAATGACTCTGGATATTAGGCGAAGCCCGCCGCATGCATGCATGATTCCTGAAAGGAAAGACAAATAGTTGCATCCAGATTGCAGAAAAAATGAGATGTATGTAGCTAATTAAATACTTTTGTGTTATGGTGATGATGAAAAAAGGCTAGCATAGAGAGCGCTGGAGGGAGAGAGAAGTGGGGACTGTTATAAGGAAGGAGGAAATATAGCGCCGCATGATCATCGAAGAGGAAATACGAGAGCGGGACGGAAAGACGGTGTTATGGAAGAGCAGGGACAACGGGGACAACAGAACAAGAAGAAATGAAGCCTATCGAAAAGAGTGCGACGACAGCGAAATACGAACAATCCGAACGATCCGAGTGTATGGGATATCAGGATATCAGGGAATATCAATCATGAAGGTATGTTGAGTTGGAAGAAAACTCAAGAAAAAAGATGGGTAAGAATGAGAGAGTGAGGATAAACGATGGGCGTGATATGAGCGAAACGAGTTGGAAAAATATGAATGTTATGAGTTATAAGTATGTTATTGTCCGATTGATGTCTGTTGTTATTCAACAAGTTCGTTGAGTGTATATCGCGAATCGCGACGAGAGAGAATAAGTGAACGAACGAAGGAACAAACAAACAAAGTCCAGAAGTCTGACAGCAGTCATCTACCTCCACCAACATCTTCTCCCCGCTATGATGTGCCCTTGGATGCGGCTCCGTCCCCGTTATTCGAATTATCCGGTCTCGCAAGCGGCGAGCTCTTCCTCACAGGCGAACTACTGTTACTCGCTCTCCCACCAATCCTTTGACCTAACCCTGCACCTAGTCCTTGACCTAATCCTGCACCGAAACCTCCAGGTGGGAACGGTCCAGTGGACTCAGGATTCGTTGGCGAGTTCGTAGGTGGGGTGTTACTAGGTGAAAACCGGGGATCGAATTGAGACGTAGGCGTTGGTTGACCCATCATGCCCATTCCTTGACCCATACCCCCACCCATGCTCATCATGGACATCCTAGGATCAAAGTTCCCAGACATCATGGGGTTCAAATTGGGCGAACTTCCGGCAGCAGGAGTCGCAGCAGGGTTTTTACTGGGATTATTGTCATCTCCTGCTTGAGACCCAGCAACGGAGAATGCCATCATTGCTTGTTGATATGCCTGCGCGGCTTGTTGAGCAGCGAACATGTGTTGTGGGTTCATACCTAGAATGATGCGGTCGCAAAGAGCAATCAGTAACCAGTAAACAAAAATCCGAATTGGGGAGAGAGGCGTAGAAAATCAGTGAATTGTTCACCTCCCATCATCATAGGGTTCATCCCTCCGGTCATCATGGGTGACAACCCTCCTCCCATTTGCCCACCAGTCATCATAGGATTCATAGGCATCATCCCCCCGCCAGGCATCCCACCAGTCATCATGGGATTCATACCTCCCATCATCATAGGGTTCATCCCATACATCGACATCATTGGATTCATCCCGGGGAAACCCCCATACATCGACATCGGTCCACCCATACCCATCTGACCCATCGGCATCTGCCCCATCCCAGGCATGCCTCCTTCCATCTGCATCCTCTGCTGTTCATCCCACCGTCTCTGTCTCTCCTCTACCATCCTCCTCTCCCTCTCCCTTTCTGTCAACGCTGCCCCAACACCGCCGTCTCTCTTCCTCTCCCGCTCATATCCCGTGATCGCACCAAGCAAGCCCGTCTGTGGCGGTGGTGGTTTATTTGGTACATTTATCAATGACGCGCCGCTTTCCCTGGCCATCTCTTCTTGACGTTTAGCAGATCGATCTTGACGGTCTGAAAGACCGGCAGAAAGAAGACCTTGTGGAGTGAAGGCTTTAGTAAGATGAGTCGATGCAGGTTCGAGTTGGACGAAGAGGTCGTTACCGCCTCGGCCGGTCGCGGGGTTGTTGGTATTGGAAGGCAAGGGGGTTGGAGCGATGGGGTTGGCAAAAGAGTGAGGCGCAGAATGGGGGTTTTCTGGGACAGAACCTTGGTTATGGTTTGGGTCGAGGACTTGAGACCACATGCTTTGTCGGGGTGCTCCCATTCCTGGTGTAGAAATGGGAGGCGAGAGCCCGTATTGGGACTGGGAACGCATTTGCTGGGTAAGCTGAGGTGGTGGTTGGAGTTGTTGGTCATCAAAGTAGTTACTTCGTGGTGGACCTGATTGTGCAGGGTATTGGTCACCTTCACCTGTAGAAAAAATATCGCCTCAGCCAAACAAAGAAAAGAAAAGAATCAACGCAAAACACATCAACTGACCCATTCGACCTGGAATCTGCGGCAACGTTCTCGGTGGTCGCAATTGAGAAAATTGACCTTGTCCATCCTCATTTTCTCTACTCCCAGCTTTCGAACCAGCTTTACCTCTAACTTTCGGCGCTTCATCCGAATCCACATCTCCCTCATCATCATCGTCCTCTTCCTCTTCCTCCTCCTCTTCCTCCTCTTCTTCACTGCTCCAACTTCCAGGCTTATTCGTATTCGGCACCGCTCTCATCTTCCGAGTTCCGCCACCTTTACCGCCACCAAAGCCTCCAGGGGCAGTCGCGGCACGCCCACCAGGACGATGAATAGCCGCAGCCTGTGCAGCCTGCGCCGCTTGAGCTTTGGCTTTACGTTCCGCTGCGGATTTCGACGGTGCAAATGAGGATTTGTATTGGGGGCCAGATCCTTGACTGGGAACACCTGGGATGTTGGTTGTCTGTGAATTGGACAGGTTGGGGGTGTTTTGGAAAGAGGAAGAAGTGGAAGAGGATAAGTTTGAGTTGGATGTGGGTAATCCTTCTTCTCCGTTATTCGCCTTATTCGCATTGGAGCGGTGCACAGAGAGCGGTTCCACCTTTTTCGCCGCATTCGTTATCCCGGAAGCCTCCTCCTCTCCAGGATCATTCACATCCAAATACGACAAAACCGCAAACACGTCATCATCTTCTGCGTGTAACTGCGAGGACGATTGGGAAGCCATAGCGTGTTTCGCGTTATTTATGTTTATAACGTTGTTATCGTTGGTGTTGTTTTCGCTGGTGTTCCCGGCGGTAAACCCTGCGTTACTGTACGTGTTATACGTATTATTATCCGTACTGTACGCACTATACGAGCTCGCCGTTGTCGCCGTTGCCGTCGAGGATTGTTGTCGATATGCTTGGTGTCGTGGCGGAATTTGTGTTTGCTGTAGTTGCTGTTGTCGTCGTTCCTCCCGTTGCTGCTGATACTGCTGGTAATCGACTGAATTATCCTCTAGACTCGAGCCTTCTTCTGGTGTTTCTAATCGTTCCTGGTCGTCTTGCTCTTGTAGTTCGTCTTGTTCTTCTGAGACCTCTGATACACCTGAGACGTGGTGAGAAGGAGGAAGCGAAGAAGATGAAGAAAATTGAGCCTGACGAGGCTGCGAAGATGCCGTATTGCTATTCGCCGCGGCAGGGTCGTAGCCTTCAGGCACACCAACCGGAGGTAAAGCCACGTGTCCTGCCGACATCGAAAACCCATGCTGTTGCCGTTGAGGCGCACGTGCGCCGGACGGCTTACGTCCGAGACCTCGTTCTGCACCGAGAACAACTCGGTTCGCCGCTGTCGAGCCAGCAGAGGAGGATGAATTCGGTGGAGAGGCAAGTGGAGAACCGTGAGATGGGGAATTGAGGGACGGGGAACCGAGTGGTGCCGGTGAATAAGAAAGTGGTCGAGAACCGAAGGTAGGAGAACCGATAATTGATCTGGGGGTTGCCAAGTTCGCATTCATTTGATTCTCTGGACCAGGAGAACCGATAGAAGGAGCTATGGGAGAAGACCCCATGAAAGCCATTGGCGTCCCTTTCCTCGCTACAGGCGACGCTTGCATTCCAGGAATTACAGTCTGACTCTGACTCTGACTCTGATGGCTATTCGCAGCCTCATACCTCCTCCTTAAATCCTCTGAACTACTCTTGGATCCCGGTTGGGACGTGGTATCACCGTTGTAATCACCACGATTATCACCGGCAGTTCTGGAGCCAAGCATGGATTTTGCATTGACTGTTCCATTCCCTTGTTCATCACGGCTGTTAGATCCACCATGACGCTGAAGATTGTCATCATGGAAATCACGGAGCTCACGAACATCCCGAATATCACCATCACTGGTATCTGCAGATTCAGTCTCTTGAATGGTAGTAGGTATGCGTCTGATTCCTGCGCTGTTGGCTGTGTTGTCACCAGCATGCTGTTGTTGTGAATACTGCTGCTGCTGCTGCAACGTAGAACGATGATGATGACGATGATAATCCGCCACGTCTGTGCTGTTGTTGTTATCCTTGTTATCCATATGATACGGTCCTACATCCGAATCACTATGCGAGGGAGTATAAGAAGGAGGATGAGAAGAAGGATTACCGAGAGGAGCAACAGAAGTCGTGGGCGAATTCATCGGTGAATACGGACTCGTCAATATTGATGCTCTGTCACCAAAGCCTGCATTTCTCGTTGGGCTAGGTCCACCTGGAGGATTGGAGTTACTGAGAGCAGGTCCACTCGACGCACTCGGAGTCGCAGGTGTACTCAAAGAACCCGGAGTCACCGGAGTACCAGGCGTCCCAGGCGCATGATCCGCCACAGAAAATGGGGACGTCAGAATTGACACACCTGACTGTGACAAATGGGATTTATGTGACTTGTGTGAAAGAGCAGGCGAATGTGACCTAAATCCAAGCCCGAAACTCGCTCCACCTCCTCCGATGGGTGGAGGTGGAGTCATTGGTCTGTCAGAGGACGAGGAAGATGAGGAATTGGAAGGATTAGCAGTGGCAGTGGCAGTGGCAGGATTCTGAGGATTAGGGAAATTGGTAGGAGGGGACATGGTAGAAGACGATGGAGACAGACTAGGAGATAAACTAGGAGACATAGGTTTTGACTTCGGCAACGCAGTATTCACCGCATTTGAGAAACTCTCAAACGACGAATGCGGGAGCATTCCTAAAGCGGGACTACCAGTACCACCACCACTCGCATTCCCCTGCGTAGGCGAGATGCTTCGAGTTGGCGGCGGAGGTGAAGCAGGAGTTGTACTGGATGCTGTGTTGACATTCGAAGGAACGTCCACACTCTTCCTTCCGCCACCACCCGAACCAACCGAGCTGAAACTCATCCCCCTCATACCCACAAAATTTTTCTCCGGAACCTTCGGCGACACTGACCCTGTCCCCTCCCGATCGCTCTCCTCAAGAACAGGCGATGGACCCTGGAACCCATACCCCGAGTTCCTCCCCCCTGTGCTCCCACTGGGTCCGAACCCACTCCCTATAGTACCTATCGTCCCAGACCGCATAACACTCGCTGTGTAAACAGAACTCCGCTCGGTTATCGGCGTCAACAACGCTCTCTCTTCCCTTACATCATCTGCGGCAGAGGTCGAATCAAACGAGAGAGGAGGGAGTTGTGGGAGAGATAAGGGTCCTGAATTTCCGGAGCTTCCTGGACGAGCTTGACTGTTGTTGCTACTGCTTTGTTGAGCAGTCCGGTCACCAGCGCCAGAAGGCCCTGCACCCAGAGTCGATGCACCAGGTGGTGTGATCGGTGCGCCCGACCCAGCACTACCTGCAGATCCAGGAGGCCCGCCCAGCTCCATACGCTCCTTCAAAATACCTATCAACCTCGACCGGATAGAAGACGTTCGATCGTCCCGAGGGTCGAGAGATTCAGCGTGTTCGCGGTCGAGGAAAAGTAGCTAAAAATATTGTTGTAAAGAAATGCAAAGAAATGACCTGAGTAAAAACTCAAAAAATGACGACCCGTAACTCACATCTTTACCTGGCCCAACAGGATACGCAAACATCAAGCTCGCTGGGTCTCTGGGATCCCATGACCATGCCTGAGGTCGGCCGTAGAGTTTGAACGTATCGTGGAATGCTATAGAGATAAAAATGAAATCAGCCAACCATTTCAAGGTAACCTCAAGAAAGAAACGCAAAATAAAACTCAAAGCTCAAGGCTCCTAAAACTAGTGCTATAGTTCCATCCTCATTAAACTCCCTCAATTCAAAAACAACCAAACACTTTGAACTCTCAGAACGAAAACCAACTCACCTATAACCCACTTCAACATCTCCGCCGCCTGACTCAACCCTCCCTCCAACTGCGGCATAATCAAAACCCACCCCTCCCGGCCACGCATCGAACCGGCACCGTCTTCTGTGCCAAACGTCGCTTCGACTTTGAACAAGGTGGAACGGGAAATGAGTTCAGGACGTTCGGGATAGACAGCGAATGCCTATAATTGTTCAATTGATGTGATTTTTGAATGTAAAACGTGGAATAAGAACACAGAAAGGACGTAAAGAAAAAAAGGAAATGGGTATCACCTACCTGAGAAACAATCGGCAACGTCAAAATCGGTTTTTTCCTATCCTTCGGTTTAGGCGAAGTATACATCGATACCATTGGGGGTTCGTTTGCGTTCGAGTTGTTGCCTGAATTGAGATTGATAAGATTAGCAAGTCAGAAGAGAAAAGAGAATGGAAAAATCAACAATTCAAAAGATCTCAAGAAAAGCAGACTTACGATGATTACTCGGGCGACCATGATGATGCTGTTCACCTCCCTGGGAGGACGAATCCCTTGAAAACAAGGCGGACATCCGTTTCTTGGTGAAGCCTGTTATGGTTGAGCCTGCGGAGGAGGGTGGGGAGGTTATACTGGCGTTGGCGTTAGTGTTGTTACCGTTGGAATTAGAATTGGGACTGTTTGGGTTATTCGGATTATTAAGGTTGTTTGGATTGTTGGAAGAAATACGGCCGAGTTCGTCTGGACCTATAGTACAGATATTGGCATGGGTTTAAGAGAAACGCTATAGGACGTACCATTCATACCGGCAACACCTTCTGAGCCAGCACTAACCGTCATCCAGACGAGTTTCCAGTCCGTCTGACCAGCGATACGTATCCTCACCCATCCTTCGAGACGACCTCGTACGAGCGTAGTTGGTATATCCCTAGCTACAAAACAAGGGAGAAATATGATCAATCAACCAAACCTGAAGGGCAAGATTTTAGTACTCACCACTAAGGGTAATCCTACACAAATGCGCTGTATAAATCTCCTCCAGCCTACTCTTCTCCCACGCACTCAACCTCAACGCCGCCGCCCAACTAATCAAACTCTGCGTATGCGGACACGCGAATAAGATTAAATTCGATCCAGCTGTGTTCAATGTCAACACATTCGTATACCTCTGTGCCGCTTGCGCCGGTACAGCTGGTCTAGCTGGTACTGCAGGATTCGACCCGCTCGCAGGTTTCGCTGGTTGGGCAGGCTGTGCTGTTGTAGCAGGAATAGTAACAGACCCAAGGACTTGCACAAACGCATCAGTCATATTGATGTAACTCGGAGGCACCTCCTTTCCTAGCTTGGATGCTTCCTGAATCTCTTTCATATTCCATACGCTCAAAGTGGTTCCACCGAGCTGAGCCCATACTTCTTCCCAGATAGGTGGTCCGTGCGGTTTCGAACCATTGGGCTCGCGCTCGACGCGACGAATGAGCGGGCCGGAGAAGTAGATTTTGTGGGCGTGGGCTACTGTGAGTCCGACGACGGAGCGGATTTCTGGGTGGAGAGGCGGAGGTGGAGGAGGTTGAGAGGGAGAGTTAGGTAACGCGGGAGAAGCTAAAGCGCCGGTGTTGGGAGGTAAAGGAACGCCTGAAGGTTGTGGTGGTGGATGCAATGGTGCATCGACGTCGGGTGGCTGTTGTTGTTGTGGACCAGACGATGTCGATGGTCTAGACGCCGCCATCACCTTTCCATCATCAACTGGTCCAACCCTCTGTCCTGCATCGCCTACACCGCTGCTCGTCGACGACGGCTGTTGTTTATGCCTGAAGGAAAAGAACGAGGAAGTTCTGGAATGATTCTGGGACGAATTTGAATTCGAAGCATTATTCACAGGCCGAGGATGTGCCTGGTCAGATGAAGGAGCGAACATTGTTTGTTGAGCGTTCCTGTTTACGCCGGTATTGGTATTGTTAATATTGTCGAAAGAAGCTGCACTGCTACTCCCACCACTGCCAGACTCCTCCTGTGGTGATGACGGTTTAGAAGTAAAATGATGGGTAGGCGTCGTAGCCCTGATTTCTTGAAGTTTGGTTGGTGAGATGAAACTTTGTCGCCGCGAATCCCACTTGCTGCTGCTTTGTACTCCCACTCCACCAGCGTTGTTCATGAACAAATATCAATCACAGTGAAAGGAAATGCAGAGAAATTGGATGTCGAGAAATAGCTGTAGCTAATAAAGATCACGATCAACACATCAAATCAGGGTAAACAACAGAACAACTAACACGGGAATATAGGTGGATAACAGACAATTTGGATAACTAGTTGAGTATCCAATGAGATAGTTGGTGGGTATCCAATGAGAAGTGAGAAGCGCACGTTCAATAATTCGTACCAGAGTTGAAGCCTTTTTTTGGTTTTTATTCCACCGGCAATCTCAATCTGATTGACAGTGCCGAGAATAACGGAAGAAAAAGCGTTTTGGCCGATCTTCCGACTACATAAACCGTTGGTAATAATTGAAATTCCTGAATTCTCTCCTTCCTTGCACTCAACTGCAACATCGACGCCCGTTGTATCAGTACACCGGACAATTAAGGACAGAACAACACCGATTGAAAGAGCGGCTAACTGACTACATAAGGGTGGTCTTTATCCAAGCAGCGCTCATTGTCAACTATTATGCATCGGAGTTTGAGGCCTCACATCGCAGGGTTCAGAGTTTGTTCTTTGGTACGTACAAGTCTAGCGAAGGTATTGAATATCGGGCATGAGTATATCCCTGGTAGTATATCGGTTTAGTACACGCGCCTGTCATAGAATTGAATGCATGACGATGTATTCGCGCGAAAGCTGGGTTCGACTCCCAGCCAGGGAGGCTCCCTTTTTTGTCATTTTTTTGTTTTTGAGGAACGTATTGGAAGCAAACATAGAACTGAGAAAGGGAACAACACAGTACCAGTTCTTGAATAACTAGCTTATACATTAGTCACGACTTGTAATAGAGCTCAGTCAGGTATTGTTGAAAGATACAAAAAAATTGGCAGTGGGTTCTTCCCAGGTAGGAACATAGTTTTCAGTAGGAATCTCTCATAACCCGCAAACTGTATGCTATAGTAGGCTGCCGAGTGTGAGCAAAATATGAGCTATGTACATTGAGAATAAATTCTGCTTGAGCTTTGAAGATCATATTCAACCAAGATGATGTACTATGCAAAAAACTCTTCACCAAAGAAACCTGCAAACTTCATTCCACATCGCCGTCAAGAGACGGAGCAGCAAAAAATGTCGCAGTCGTCCATCCATAACAGCGATTCAAACGACCACCGATCCTATAATGTGTCCAACCAAATTAGTACTTTGATATCTCAACCTCCCCAGGACTGGCGCACCATATACGTACCATTTGATCATGAACGGAGTAAGCAGCGAGTCGGGATGTGGCTGTCCGAGTTAGCGATATGGATCAAAATCGGAATAGTAAGTCAAAACTGGAATTCATGTAGACTTGGATAACAATTACCCGATGAAAAGTTATAGGCCTAGCTGTCTTTGCAGGGGGGTCAAACCGCACAGAAGACCCTGCGGTCTGAACGATATCAAACCCAACTCGTTTCATTGCCTGAGACGCATATTAGAGAGAGGGAGGAAGGGAAAGAAAAAGAGTCAACAATAAGCAGTCAATTGAATTCCATCTAGTATCAACACTAGTAAGAATTTGAAAATAGATGCGTACTTTTTCAAAATCATCCCATCGCACTTGACCTTTCTTAGGTGCATCTGGCGCCAGGTTGGGATTGTCATCCTTTTCAAGGATGCGTTGAAATGTCTAGAAGAACAAAAAAAGGTCTGTTAGAGACACACAGCTCCATCCTCGATGGGATCCAATGTACCTTGTGTACTTTTTTTGGAAGCTTGAACTGTTTTGGTAAGAACTCTGGTACTGAGTACTCTTCCACCTCTTCTCCTTCCTCATCCCCACTTATTGGATCTTTGCTTCCTTTTCCTCCTTCAGGCCCCTCAGGCTCGTCAACAACCATTACAGAAGGCCGAGTTTTAACTTTGTCCTTTGTCGCATCTGTACCCACATTTCCTGCTGCATACGCATGTCCGGAATAGACAGCAGTATCCCGAGGACCAGTGGCCACAGGTATCATTGAAACTGCAGACCTAGATTTTGCAGCAGATTCAGCTTTTTCTTTTTCCACAAGGGAACTATCCTCAAGTTCACGCGCAATCTTCATCAATGTCTTGAAATTCCACCAACTTGGTCGCGTGTTGTCCTGAACATCATACAACCCAAACATCCTCGCCACCGCGCCCTTTCCCTTCTCTTTCCTTCCATCAAGGGGATCCAACTCCCCGGCCCTCTCCCAACACCACTTATCCGCGTCATACCACGTCTTGTCAAAAAATGCATTGAACTCTTCCCCCTCATCAAACCCCGGCCGCTGCTGCGCCCTGAAGCTCGCATACTCCGGTGAATGATGCATCCACATGTAACACCTCACGATATCCGGACCAGTCAACCCGGGATTAAATATCGCATGGGTCCACACGTCGACCATGGCCTCGACGATGCTGCGGCAGCGACCGAAATGCCAAAACGCATGGTCATGGTGAGGGGAGATGTATTTGGAGAGAGAGGAGCGGGACATGAAAGAGACTTCTTCAAAGACAATGTCGAGTTGGGAGGAGGATGGGGATAATTGCTTGCTTTCGGAAGCGGCTTCTTGGAGACATCGACCAAAGTGAGAGGCACAGAATTCTTGGAAGAAATGGGTGACTGTGAAGGTCAAGGAGGGAAAAGAAGAGTGTTTTTTGAGTACTCTCGTACTTCATTTACGTGCTGAGAGCGAAGACGTACCAACGAGATATTCACCAATTTCGCGCCAGGCAACATCATCAAATTTCAAAGCTTCTTTGGGGAATTTGCGCTAATACCATCGGGAAGAGGTTTTCAATGATCAATGATATGCGGAACCTGAGAGGACAATAACAAACTCACCAAATGGTCCTTGATTTGCGTGAGGACGAAATTAAGTGCAGACCCATGGGCGCCACATACTTTGACGATGATCTCGTCAATGGAGTTTCTCGGATACGGATGAGCCCGAATATAAGTATAATCTACTTCGATTTTCAGAACACCTTGGTTGTCCTGATGTCGTACAGACAAGTACAGCCAAGCAGGTTAATTCTCCCTTGCATTGTAATTTTCATACCAAAAGAACATACGCACCCTGTGTCTTTTGAAATACTTCGAGAATGCCGGCAATGCAGCTAGGACTTGATTCGTGCGTGAAGATATTTTTGAGGCGTAAGTCGCAGTCATTGCAGCCAAGCCAGCTAATCGCCATTTGAGTCGAGGATCAGCCTTGTATGCTGCTTCGATCGCGGAAGTTTTTCGTAGACCGCGGAGTTCAAGCTCTTCAAACAAGGAGACTGCGAGGGTCCAGTGGGCATGAGCAATCTTCAGAGATCAAAAGACGAAAAGTGAAGGGAAGTGAGAGGAGCACCGATTGTCAGCACGAAGTGCATTGAAAGAAGAGGAGAGAGATTTTTCCATACATGTATAAGATGTAACCTTGAACGATATGCATCTGACCGCAGTTGCAGATCGCGCATATACGGTTCATGCATGTTTCCTATCTCTCCCGGTGCGGGTACAGTGCTTCGAGCGCGTTCTTTCAAGCCTTCTATGAGATACTCCGAGTCAATGTGCCAGATCTCGTAGGTGTAAGCAGTCTCATCCTGAGGTTAGAGGAAATGCAGCCATAAATCAGCCGTCTGGGTTCGCAGTAGGATTTTCTGTTTATCTGTACTCACAATTTGCGAGATGGCAATCCGTTGAATTTCTTCCCAGTCGACATCTGCGATCTGACATCCATTCAATAGACTTTCTACGAAGTCAAATAGAGCCGGAAAGATGTATAAGTATTGTCCGAGGCATATCATCATTTCAACGAACCCATTCGTCTCTGTATTAAGACCAGCAAAAGAGAATGTCAATATCAATAAGAGGGCACTGTGTCTGAAGAAAGGATTTCTGACCACAAGCCATTTCGACGAAGGTTCCCCCCGTCTTCTGATTGCAGCGGGCTTGACGCGTGCTGGTTCGACCAATAGATTTTCTGCAGTGAAATTATGGTATTGTATCATTGCTTCGTCACTGACGCCTTCAAATCTGACATTGAATTCTTACTTTGAGAAAGTTGATTATTGAAAACATACCTGACTCAACCTGAATGTCAGCACCGGATGAATGAGCTGAATCAGGGTTGGTTCCAGAAGAATGAATGAATTTACAGCTGCATTGTTATACATCTTCCTGTTCCCAGTGGAGGTACCAACACGTTGAACTGGAGGAAGTTTACATTGCCTAAGAATTCTGTGTGCTTCTTCTTCTGGATAGCTTTTGAAAACCCTGATGAAAACAAAGTAAGATTGAAAAGACTTTCATCAACTCGAGTCACAAAATTTGAAGGGGAATGTTCTCACCAGTCCTCGAAGTCGAACTGAGCCTTGGGTGCTTTCATGTATTCGACAGCATTGGCAAACCACTCAGCCATAAACGGATTAGTACCCCACCGTTTAGCGCGTTCTCGGTGTATGTTCGGGTTAGCAGTGGCCTGAGAATATGAGGAGGTTTTAACATTTGAGCTTGTATCGGATTGTATTTTGGGGGGTTTGCTCTTGCTGGATTTGTTGGATATTTTTTGCGTTGAAGGATTAGGCGTTGGCTTGGGTTTCGCGTGAACCATTCTGGAACTGTCCAGTATAGGTATTAGGTCACCGAAGAACGTTCGTGAACTAGGGCTGATAGTCTGAAGTTTGACATACTTTACTCGAGGTGGCATTTTCGTTTGAGAATCAAGAAGGATTGATTGCAGAGCGCAAGTGGAAGCTATTCTTTTATTGAATGCCGTTTTCCTCAGCCGAGAGCTGCCGTGAGTCGGCGCGACACTTGGCTACGCCGTAGAATTCTTGTCTATTCTTGTCTTTACCCCAGAGCCTTCGTTGGGCAGCATACAAGTGATCAGCGTTCAACCTTGCAACGCTAAATGTCAATGCCGGCGCTTTCAACTTTGAACGACCCTAAATATCTGCGCGATTGTTGGGGGTCATATGTAAAATTGCGCGACACGGAGCACGGAATGCATCATTGCTGATTTTGCTAATTCGGCGCTTAACTCGTAACAAAACGGATTGCGACCACGCATAAAATCCATTTGCTTGGGTTCGATAATGGGCTCAGGGAATGTTTAAAACCCTGTTCAATCGCGCGTTCTTTGCTCAGAGATTGCATCGAATCTACAACATTCGTATGAATCACAATACTGCTGCTGTTCTTCCCCGTTTGCCAGTCCCGGATCTACAGAAGACTGTCACGAAATATCTTGATTCTCTACGTCCCTTTCTTCTTGAGGACGCTGCTCATGGAGGACCTTCATATGAGGACGCGTTTGCGCTGCGGACAAAATGGGCAGACGATTTTGTCTATGGAATTGGAAGAGTATGTCAGGAACGTTTACATGGTCGGTACAATAATTTCCTGAATCCATGGTATAACATGCTGATTATAGCATTTACTTTCAAAGAGCTCGATAGAGCCTCCCCAGACAATTGGCTGGACGACAATTTTTGGTTAAAGAGCTACTTACAATGGAGAGCGCCTCTTCTCATAAATTCCAATTGGTGGCTTGTATTCAACGACGACCCGTTACATCCCTCGGAGGAACATTTAGTCTCAGGTTTTACCGAATGGCAGCTTCAAAGAGCCGCTTGGCTTGTCCATCGGACGTTGGAGTTCAAAGATAAAGTTGAATTGTGTGTACGCAACGATTGATCTGCGTGTTGGTGTCTAACATTATTTCACTGATACTCAAGGCAAGAATTGCATCCTGTGACTACAAGAACAGGTAGGGTGCCGAATGCCTATTCAACGTCCTATTTATTAATTACAGCGCGTTTTCATAGGCGTTTGGATTCAAGAAAGCGTATCTAAAATGTTCAACCTTGCCCGAATTCCTCAACGCTACTGCGACATCTTATCTCAAATATCCTCCCCCTCCGATCCCTTGTCATGTAACATTGTTGTGATGGTGAACAACTGGTTCTATGCAGTACGGGTTTATGACCCGGGACCCGATAATTCGAGGATACTCATCCCCGCTGAAACATTGCTTGCACGCTTAAATGTCGTCGTCCATGATGCGGCCACTCGCGCAGAGTGCGCGCCCGAGATCGGAGTACTTTCTGCTGATGACAGGGATTCGTGGGCTTCAGTGAGTAACATGAATCATCTTGTCACCATCGTGTCATTGACACCTACTGCAGATCCTCCAACATCTTCTATCCATTTCTCCACAAAATGTCGAAACACACGAAGCGGTTGTAAATTCCCTCATGTGTCTCTGCCTCGATAGAGAGAATCATTCAATTGTTTTGCCGTCTTCTTCCTCTTCGCTTCCCCAACCTTCAAGCATCTCTCAAGCCAGTCTCGACTCCCACCTGCATGCCATCCGTTCCGTCCCTTCAAACGTCTCCAATCGTTTCTTTGACAAACCTTACTCCATCATCGTTGACCCTTCGGGTCGAGCTGGTGCAATGGGGGAACACTCACCTGCTGATGCCTTAGTCCCAAGCATTGTGGGCGAGTACGCCGTGGTTCAGCATGTAGAGATGACCCAGTCGTTCGCATCTGCAGAGCATTCTGCAACTAATGGGAGCTGGAGTCGACTGGAATGGGTGGTAGATGACGAATCACTGGAAGCCATACGCGCGGCGCGCGCACGGGCAGAAGCTAATATCAAGAACTCAGATGATAGTTTGTTATGGTTTGAAGAATATGGTTCTGACTGGATCAAGAGTGTTGGTTTGTTTGATTTCATCTACATTGCATGACGTTTCTTCTCGATGATCAATACTCCTCTCCTGATAGGATTCAGCGCTGACGCGTACATTCAGATGGCTATACAAATCGCCTGGTACCGCACGACAGGAGAGTTCACTGCGACCTACGAAACTGCTCTAACGAGAATGTTCAACAAAGGTCGTACCGAGACGATTAGAACACTATCCGTGGAAAGCCGAGCTTTTGTCCTCGCTATGACCGATAACGATCATTCCATTTCGGTGAGTCGATTCTCTGCCTTCACCCGATACTTTCTGAATATTGTTCTTCCTTTTCATCCAGAGCGAAACAAAATGGGATCTACTCCGACGCGCCGTTCAGAAGCACACTTCTCTTACACGCGATGCCGCTACTGGGCGGGGAATCGACCGACATCTTCTGGGTCTACGGAATATGCTTCGACAAGGAGAGCGAAGCGAACTCTTCGATGATTTGCTTTTTGCGAGAAGTCAGGAATGGCGTCTGAGTACGAGTGGTCTGAGCGCTGGTCATCATTTCCGCGGGACAGGGTTTGTTTGATCCTCTCTATCCTATCCAGCTGCTAACGATGCATAACCAGATTTGGGACAGTATATGAGAATGGTTATGGTATCAACTGTATGTGGAGTCTGGTTTCTAAATTTGGCACTTGCCGTGAACTTCATCCCTTACAGATCTTGCTGCACCTTCCATGGTGAAGTTTGGTATTGAGACAAAATTTTCTGGGGGGAATACTTCTACAGAAGTATTCAAGGATGCTGTTTATTGTGCTTTGAGACAGATGAGGGAAGTTATTTTACAAGTCCCACATAACAAAAGTACTATCACCCATGAGCAGCTAATAATTAGTAGACTTTGAAACTTAATTAGAGACTGTTTTGGAGTGTTGAATGGTTTGCTTTGGTATCTGTAGAATTTGAAGAACAAATCCCAATGAAAGATACTGCAACAGCCACAAATGATGCACACCTCCTTGAACTGTGAGGAAGTTAAAAGATGGGCATCATTTGTGGCTGGTGCCGTATATCCCATACAGAAGAGTTTAAAAAATCTACTTTCCAAGTATAGAAGAAGGGTTTTCCATTTTTCAAATCCAAACAGTAATTTATTGCAAAACCATCTTCTCACCCCCAATCTCCTCTGTGCCCAACCATGCTGCATCTCCTACCCTTTTTTCATAATAATCTGCTAATTGAGCCACAAGAGTTCCCGCTCCAGGTCCAGTGATGAACTTCTTGCTAGTCACAATGAACATGCCTCTCTTGAAGCGAGTAAGCATAACATTGGTCCTGCGGAGGTTGGTGAGAAATCCAGGTTTGTCTGATCTGACTATAGAAATAATGATGAAGTTGTCTTCATTCCCTGCCATTAATAGTCAATAAGAACAGAAAAAGAAGAAGAAACTATGGAATTAGAAATACCTTGAAATGAATCAACATTAAAACACTTATCATGCCAGTCCAGCTCCTTCTCCTTCATCAACTCCTCAATATAATTCCTCTGAGAGTCATAAGGTGTAATAATCCTATAGCTTTTCTGGGAACCTTCAAGAAAAGCTGCCAGCTTCATAACAGCCAAAGCTTCTGTGGTGTTCTTCATGCGCAAAAAGCTCACTGAATAAATCAGAATAGATAAAAGAAACTACCCACAATAAATGAGTTTCCCTTGAATATTTCAACTCCAGGTACATGAATAAACTGGCAAGCAAGAGTTCTATCAGTGATAACATGGTTGGGGTTTGATTTCAAATCTCCATCATATACTGCACTAGAGATAAAATCCCCCATCTGGGGTGGCATACGGTCTACAGAATGTTGAAATAAGATCCTGCACAAGTGAAAAAATAAACTTACATTGGGTATCCAGTAAATAAATGTGATTATGGAGATGATCAATTTCAAATACACTCTTGAGGTCCTGAATTTCTTCTTGACCATGAGGTGGCACTGAAGCATGAAGCAATAAAATAATTTGAACAACATATAAACCAAAAGTTTGAAACACTGACACTGTTTATCATCCCCAATAAAACAGAGTTTTTGCAGAGTTTTCACAGCAGTGAATAAAACTGGTAAGAAATTTCCAACTTCAATTTGACTAGCTTCATCCACTATCAGGGTGTGGATAGGGATATATCTGGAAAATTTAGAAATCTGGGAATTTGAAAGCATACTAAGTGTGCATAGTATGACTTTACATCCTGCCAATTTGGATGTTGAATATGTGAAAAACTGGTCAGAACTGATCAAGTTGTTCTGGAGTCTAGCTCCATATAAATGTTCATGCCTATATAAAGTTGTGTTAACCTAGTTTGAAATAAAAAGAAAGTATATACCAATCAAAAATAAAATCTCTCGATACAAGAAGTTTCCAATTCATGTAGCCTATCGAGGCTAATTTTTCTGCTATATTTTTTACTGCAACATTTGATTGAGCAATTAGCCATAGCCCAGGATACTGTGGGCTAGCTGTAGCAATCTCCACAAATCTTGAAATGACACTGAAAGGGGTTATAGGCAGGATACTTTTCAAATTAAAATAAATACACTCACGAAGTTTTTCCACTCCCAGGTGGACCTCGTATAAGGATAATATGATTATCACTTTCCAGAGATAACATTTTCGCAATGGCAAAAATTTGTGATGAGTTAAGTGGGCGATTCGGCACCTCGGGCACAGTAATGGGAGGTGAATGAGTAAATGATTTGGGCCAACTCATGGTCCCATTAGGTGGATCCCAAATGTTTGTAACCCAGATATTACCAAAGTCTCCCTCCCCTTGTAACATTCTCAATACTGCTGCGGCCTTCTTTTCATCAGCATTGGTCAAGATATCTCTCCCTTTGGATAGAATCTTTCCTACAACCTGGTTCGAGCTCCCAAGCTCACGAGAGATATTCAGGGGAGCACGGCGGCCTACAACGCCTCCTGTATTACCTGGAATAATGAAGGTACCATGCTCATTCTGTACAGTAAGGTCGAGATTCTAAAAAATCCGAAAAAAAGTTGATGACTTTCGAAGATTTAATTGAAGCTGATATAGATACCTGATTGCGACGTAGCTTGTTTTTGTATATGGAAGATCTAGCATCCAAGCTACCAGCTCCATCAGACCCCACAGTCACAGTCACAGAGTGCTCAGTCTCAAGAGGCTTCATGTACTGAAGTCGAACTGAGTCCGCAGCCCACTTCGAGAGTATGAGAAGTTTCTGAAAGTATATTCAACTTGTAGTCCCAGACAGTCAAGCAAGAACATACATTATCGCTCTGGGTAGTTGTATCAATACGTCGAATAGCTTGAAATTCCTCTGGTGCACTCTCAAATCCAGCTAAGAATTGAGATATCCAGGCTCTCTGTACAAGAGCGGTGCGGCTGGTGAATTTAGGATCAACTTGATAATACGTCAAGTCTTCGAATACTGATACGACGCGATCTACGTCCACACGGATGCCTGCATCACTACCGATGATTGCAGAAATAGCATCCGCCGGCGTCTTGCGCGATTCCGGAAAAACTGACTGAATGTCGATACCATCGGCGACACGGATACCCAATTCACGATAGAGCGCCAGAGCGAGTGGGCCGAGATCGAAAGCGTAGAAACCCGGAGGTTGACAGAGAATCTCTTGAATCATAGCTCGGACTTTGCTCGCATCGAAATTGGGCGATGAGGGACGTCCTCCCAGCTGGCCAGTCGTGTTGCTACGGAGACCTAATTGAGTGGAAAATTCGACAACCAAACATTTGTTTTGCGCATCGAAGACCGAGAGGGCGATGATGGACTGATCTTTGGGATGAAGGCCTACGGAGACTCCGAGAGGCTCATTCGTACTCTTGAATGCGTTAGCAATACCCATAGTCATCCGACTTTCGTCCACAATGATAACTCGAGACGTAGCATTGAGCTGGCTACGGTATTGAGCAGTGTCTGAAATCAGTGTATTCAGGTACACCTCCATTTTAGTGGGGTCTCGAGACGTTCGAGATGACTTCATGAAGACCGATATGGGTAGTAAGACGAGGTGAGTGAGCTGGATCGAAAATCAAGCGAGAGTGTAATACGCGCGTCTCAAGATAACGGAACCGGCCCTTTCACACCGAATTTCCATTAGCCACTACAACACCACATACATCCCACAATTACATGCCCTTATGTATCTCATGATCATCTACACATACAACTTAGACATATTTAAGAGTGTGACCCATGCCAGGGAAGTCGGAAGGAGGAGAAAACCGACGCAATCCAAACAATCGGGGCCCTTGCTACATACATTGCGCCTATATAGATAGGACGTCGACTCCTCGACGACATTCTGGTATTTCAGCGAGAATGGCGTTCGTGAAATCAAATGCAACAGGTTGCCTTGTAGCCGATAAGGTCACATAATTCCGATAATCCCGTTGCAAACGATCACGTATAGCGACCAAACGCAAGATTGTCGATACTCCTAATCGTTCGACGTCGACCTCGCTCAGCGTTTGGGAGCGCGATATGATAGCATTGAAGGCAGGAACGAGCCAGTCGTGAACTTTGTATTGCCTTGCTACCACCACCTTCTCTACTGGGTCGGCGTCCATGTCTGACATTTTCTCAATTGCGTGAGCTCGAACTGCATCCATGCACCAAAGGTCGGCAAGTTTCAGGACCGAGATCCACTGTTTGAACGATAGCACTTCTTCACGGCCAGATGCCTTTCTACATCGACCGATCGAAGATAAACGGGTGTAAGGGAAGAACTATGAATTGGCTCACGGAGGGCATAAGACTCTGAGGAGCTGACGAAAATCTTCCTTCGAGACTCCCTCCAAACGAATAGGATGATCATCAGACATCCCTTCAGCCGTACCATCGGATGGAAGCGGAACGTCCGCCATCCCTCGAAATATTTCAGATTCGTTGGAAAGGTAGGCAAATGGTATCTGAAAGAGCCGGTTGTCAACCTGAACAAGTAGGTATTGGCACGAGTTGAGCGATGAAAACAGATACATATTAACATTCCCTACCAGAAAGATCTTGCATGGCAGATAATAAGTGCCGTCTCTTTGAAGGCGGTCAGGGTCGGGAGTCCCAGGCCTCCTCACGGCCGACACGACCGACACGACTTCAGAATATTTCACTGAGTACATGTGGGGGATTCGGGTTCTCGGTGATGCTACGAAATACGAGGAAGGGCAAACGAGTTCTTCAACAGGGTTATAGATCATATTTGTAGCAACGTTAAAGTAGGTGAAAGTTTACTGCGCCGCTACATGATGAAACTTGACGGCCGATTGACTGTAAAAGCCTGGTGACAGCAGTATCCTCGTCATGAAGTTGTTGGTATCGATAACGATATATTTAGGCAATGAGTGAACCTGAGAGTCAAGATGCTCAAATGACCAGAAGCACAGATGCGGTGGGAAACAACAGAGCTAGAGTTTATTGGATTGCATTTCACTTCAGGCAAAATGGAAATCCACATGATGTGCAATGGCTACTTCGTCTCCCTCGAAATCGTAACACACTGGACAGATCTGGGTGGTAGAATCAGAAGATGTTCTCCCAAAGTCCTGTCCGCAGTTACCTGCCCCTTGCTCTGGTGGCAGAAAAACATCACGGGGGAAGAAGTCACCTAAATTGAACCCGACCGGCGTCGGATTCATTCCAGATTCTTGGCGAATGAAAGAATTCCGGAAACAAGACTGATTCGACGACGCAGCAAGGTGAGAGGTGACGCTAGGCTCTCCGTTCCTGTCTAAATTGGTCAAACCCGAGGATCCAGCCTTCGCTTCCGCCTCCGTGATCATACGCTGCACACGGCCAACCCGCCCATCGACCAGCTTAACTTTAATACCCCGAGGATGATCACCACTAGTAAGAACCTCCGCAACTGTCCCTTGTACTTGATGGCCGGTGGGTTGATCAATTTTCAGGACGATAGATACGTGGGCACCAGAGATGACTTGACGGACAGTGGGGACAAGAGACAGCGAATGACTAGAGCTCCCATTTGACCGCTTCCGACTATCACCTCCGCCTCTGACAGGCGGCTGCTTATTGTTCTGGTTATTCTGCTGTTTACGCCCTTGCCGATTGCGAGGTCGCTGGATCATGATGAGTGAAGAGCGCCTGTGGGCATTAGATTCAAAAAAGTGAACGGCAAGAAAACTCCCACGCCTTTCGTTGTTTGCATCCCCCATGGCACCCTTGGCCCGCTGGAGCCAGGCTGGAGCTTCCCTTCGAAAACACGACAGAATCTCCACCAGTTGGTGATGAAATTCGATGGATCGACCTTCTCCCTTCGCAAAGTTTTGGATACACTATGTATACATTTTTGGTGAAGAAATTAGATGTCTGGTGTCATTGTTAAGTTCTTCCTTCGACCACAGTAATAGTAGAACGTGTTTTGTGAAGGTTTTCATAAACCTATACACAGACGCGATACGCTATCTCTAAAGTGATCGACTTATCTGGCGTTGACTTCTCTGATGGAAACGTGTTACATAGAAAGCCAGAAATCAAATCTCCACCGTTGAATGAATGTGATTCCTTCCCGTAGTTCGAGAATTGCGATAAGAGTCACGTGAATTGCTAAGTCTAGGGTTCGAACGTACTGTACAGTGTCAGAAAAATTGTCCGCGAAATTTCTTCTCTCCTTGCAATCGAGACAACTAAACAAAATCCTTCAGCTCAACTAGTGCTTAACCTCAACCTACCTCAACCCAGAAATCGGCTATACTGAATTCGGACGAAGTAAAATGCTTAGAACAGGCAACGCTTTCTAAACGTTACGTTGCACTCAGATCATCCTCAACGGACTGAAAAAACCATCGAGAAATATGATAGCCTGCCACTTAGATCATGAACGTAGATATTGCGTGCTGGTAACTTCAGCACCAAGTTTCCGGCTCTAGCCTGATTGCAAGGCATACTGCATACATCATCATGCGCAAACTCTGTTTTCGCCGTCCAATCCGTTTAGAAGCGCAACACAATACAACCGTGTACAAACACTATGGCAATTGACCACAAGTCGTTTGTTGTAGACGTTCTTCAAGATTCTTGATAAGGCCTCGAGGCGGACGTCTCCGAGTTCCAAGGTATATTCTAGGTTGAACTGCGCAGTAAATACGTGCATCGAGGCCAGCTTATTCTTATCGATTAACACCAAAGCTCCAGAGCCATTCTTTGACGCTTATACGATTGAACCGAACCCACACAACGAAAACTCAGAGTCCATGGATACTCTTACTTCAACGGAGGCAGCTCTCCCCTCAGCATATCCCCGGGATTTCTCGTTCTTCTACGACTACAGAACATTCCTGGTAAATCGTGTTTTGAATGGGCCGCTGCACACTGATATCAAGAGTGCTGTGCGCAGGTTGAAGGATACTTGTTCAAGTTTCCGATTAACACACTTGCTATCGAATCCGACATCTTCCGAACTATGATGGAGGTACCAGCACCTTCGCAGACCGAAGGGTTGACGGATGAAAATCCGATTCATCTTGAAGGTGTTTTGAAAGACGACTTTCGACAGCTTTTAAGAGTGCTTGCACCCCCGTGAGTAAATCTCATTTTCATCTATCGCACATGTTGCTGAACTGCGTTCTTCATCTAGACGGAGGTTCAAGGAGCCTGTTCCCATCTTAACATTTTCAGAGTGGACGTCTGTATTGAGATTAGCAGATATGTGGTGCATGGACGTGGTCAAAGAGCATGCCATTTCGAACATGAACAACCTAGCCGATATTGACCCTATCGACAAGATTGTGGTAGCAAGGAAGTACGAGATCAAAGCTTGGCTGAAACCCGCTTTCAATGATGTTCTTCAACGTTCCAAAACCTTTACGGAGGACGATGTAGAACGCTTAGGTGTCTCTACCCTTTTGCAACTCGTAGCACTTCGAGATCGACTCCAGCTAGTGAAGTCGTATGATGAGACTTCATACAGTTTGAAACCACAGCGACAAGCTGTATCTTTTGATTTCACGCCAGCGATAGAGTTGAATTTACCAGATTTCAAGGGTATGTTGTGTGATTTTGATTCTTCCTCAAAAACTTCACGATTTCTCCTACATAGATTCCAACTTGCACTCCCTGGAATCAAAGAAAAGCCTGGAAACTTACTCGAAGAAGCCAAAGAAAATTAAGGGTTCGGGAGTGGTTCCTGGTGGTTTCAGAACTACAGATCATTGCGATTCGATCCATGAACTTGAAAGTCACACTTCCGGCTCAAAAACAGTCTTGATAATTCCATTTTGTACCTCTTCTTCCTGGTGTCGACTGTAGGAATGTACCGAATCGAAGCACCCAATTCAAAAAGATCATTCACGGCAAATGGTATGGTAGTACCACTTAATAGGAAGTAGCTGCCATTACTTGTGGGCTTGTGCCTCGTGTCATACCTCAAGCTGAAGTGACGACACTGAATGTGCCTTCGAAGTTCCCAGAGCTACTGCCGCTGAGCTGCTGCGCAGCAGTTCTACGTACATATGCATATTTTCGAACATTGATCGAGCTTCTATGAATGCATGAATAAGGGTATATCTATCGATTCGACCTCACACTCCATAACGTCTTCAAGGCCTCAACTCTTGACAATGCTCGATGATTCACTTGCAACCTTGAAGGCAACGTCAGAGTCATGGCCGATTGGCAATGGCGCTGAACCAGCGGGCCCCCGATCTTCTTTTCTTTCTGACGGCACAACATCTCCTCCTGCGGCATATCCTCGAAACTTCTCCTTTTACTATGACTATAGATCATTTTTGGTCGGAAGTTTTCATTTATCTACGTGCACATTCTTACGAGGGATTCCTCAGGTCGAAGGTGTTTTGTTCAGGTTCCCGATCAACCTCCTGGCGAAGGAGTCGCTGGTCTTCCGAGATATGATGGAGGTTCCCGCGCCTTTACAAACGGAAGGCTTGACCGATGAAAATCCGATACATCTAGATGGAGTTTCCAATGCTGATTTTGTACAGCTTTTGACAATCCTCGCTCCTCCGTGAGTGAACCTTACCCGGCTTCTGGGTCAACTCAGCTTTGGGTACAACTTGTTGTCCTTACTCCTTTTATGCAGTCAAAGATTCAAAGACCCAACGCCAAAATTGACATTCGACGAATGGACATCCGTCCTGAAATTATCAGATATGTGGTGCATGGATGTAGTCAAAGAACATGCCATTTCGACCATGAACAGCCTTTCCGGAGTTGATCCTGTGGATAAGGTCGTTGTGGCGAGGAAGTACGGGATTACATCCTGGCTTACACCTACAATCAATGTGATCATTCAACGTTCAGAACCTTGGAGTGAGCGCGACGTAGAGCGTCTGGGCCTTTCTACCGTCCTTAAGCTTGCAGAATTCCGTGATCGCCTCCAGCCACGCAGTCAATACGGATATGGCTTTGATTGGGAGTTAGTTACTCAAAGGAGGGAAACTTCCGTAGATTTTTCCGGAGTAATCATGGCCGAATTGCCAGATTTTCAAGGTATGCTATACCCAAAGAGGATTCCGCTATACTAACTGAACTAGTTGAAATTCCTCAGGATGTTATTAGTTTAACCCCCTCAGAAATTTTGGATCTGGAGGGACAGGGTGAGAAGAAGAAGAAGAAGAAGAAAGGAAAGTAACTGAACGACAACATACGAAGTTCGCGAGCACTATATCTCCTACATTGCTGGATCATATATTGTATCTGTTTCAATCGCGTCTTTGAAAAACTGTCCGACAAATGCAAAGAGCTTCGACAAATACAATATCCGTTACAATTTGGTTTGTACATACATATTACAACTAGGGCTTTTCAACGACCATGCCCATCATGACTATGATCTACCTCGATCCTACTCCGATACCAAACCCTACGCGGTGAGCATGTTCCGCAAGAGAGTTTGCGTCTACGTATCTCTAACCGTAACCTGGCCCCTAAGTACTTGAATCCCATCGGTTCTCGACAGCAAGCCAGGGCTCGAAAGGCTAATTACGCCTCCCTGTTTCTCCGAGTCGAATGCGTATCAATGAGATGTTGGATTTCTTCTCGAGAAAGATATCTCCCTGTAGGAGTTCTCTCTTCCCTATCATTTCCGACACTTAGCGAACTCCCTCCCAATCTGCTCATTGAAGGCGGCCTCCCACCAGTTATACTCATTGTCTGTATCGCCTGCTGAGCAGGACGTGAATTTGTACCTGTACTAAGCAAAGGTGAAGCAATTCTAGAAACTGGACCTGATCTGTCACTGGCACTTTCCAACACCGAGAAATCCGAAAACTCTGATAATGATTCTACAGATGCCGACGCCGATGCTGGCATGGACATCCTAGACACCTCTGAAACCCCAGACAAAGTGGTGAAGGCCTCAGAAACAGCGGGAGACATCGCTCTTGAGGTAGGTACGCTGTACGAGCTGTAGGCGTCGGAACTCGGGGGGCTGAGTAACACTACACCGTCCTCTATGTCTGCTCTCGGAATAGGGTAAGAGAGGGACAGTGACGGGATCATGGATGGCGATGAAGTATTGGATTCTGAGATGGAGGGGTTGGATGACCACATATTCGGTTGGGTAGTTGGATACGAGGGATACGTAGGATAAGTGGAGTGGTTCAACGGGCTTAACGCGTGGACAGTGGTCAAGGGAGAAGAATTCGGGTCCAGGAAGGGATTGTTGTTGGGGTCAGAAGGAGGGTCCACGGCCGTCGCGGGGCCTACAGGGCTAGACATTCTATCCAGATTCTGTAACGAGCCGAGAGATGACAAAGACGACAAATCAAGTACATCACGTACATCGAGCTGCTCGAAGCTCGTTCCTGTATTATCCGTCGAGATCATTATTGTACTCGATGGTGCAGGTGTCTCAGGTGCATTAAAATCGAACGTGGAAATGATAGAGGCTTCAGAAGGTAGCTGGCGGAACGAAGACGTGGAAGGGGAGGTAGAATCTGAGATGGTTTCGGTGTCAACGTCGGTGAGGATATGTGTATTCATTTCATTTCCTAATTCAGCTCCGGTTTGTATTGGAATGAGGGGTGTTAATTCGCGTGTCTGCCGCGATCTATCGACCAGCGTTGATGATGACGGGGAGATTAGTGATCGTGAATCGGCGGGCATCGTTGACTGTCGAAAAGCAGAAGATGATGGATTAGATTGAAACAATGGCACTTGAAAAGAGAATTACTCACGGTAGTTGCAGTATTCCTCTTCCTCAAAGTTGTAGCGGAAATAGTAGACTGGATGCCAGTTCTCCAGCTTTCTATACCTTCCCTCGACAAGGTCCTCGTGCGAGTGCGAACTTGGGTCGGGTTCAATGTCTCCATCTCATATCCGCGAGACTTTCCGCTATCAGATTCTTCGTCTGAATCATCACTATGATTGACGGGAACCGAAACTGCGACCGGCATCCGGCGTCTCCTTCTCGCCTCCCTCCCAGCGGCAAATTCAGTTTGCCATTGTCTTACTTTCGGTTTGATGTGTGGATCGTAGACGTACTAGAAACGGAGAATTTAGATTCGATGCGTGAGGGAAAAGAATAAGGGAGCATGAGGATAAGTACATGCTGTGCAAGCGGAATGAAATTATTGTATAAGATTAAAAGACGGAGTTCATGCCGAGGTGCATGAAGGGTGCATGATATTGGTGGAAAGGAAGATGGCGAAGGTAGCAATGGATAGCAAAGATTAGACGAAGAAAGGAGAGGAAATCTTGGGGGTATTTGGAATAGGAGATAGGGAGGAAGAACCAAGAGAAACGTACCTCCTTGAACGCAAAGCCCGCAGCGACAGTTCCCAGGACAGCTATAACATAAACGGCTGGAGCTGGCATATCTTCGTCTATTCCAGTTCGTTATTCGTTATGGTTCTTGTTCTTGATGATACTTCCTTCGAAATGCCTCAACTAATTGCTTTGGCCTCTCTTCTTGATGTTGTTGTATGATAAAGGGGTTGTAGGAGTGATGTGGACGTCGAGTGCAAAGAATTAGAAAGGTGTAGGGGCAGAGTATGCGCAAGCAAGCAGGAGAAGAAGAGTAAATAAGTATGTCGAGTCGGAAGAAAGCTGAAGCCTCGATCAGACGCAACTGTGCAAAGCTGTCAGACGCACGGACAAACTTGTACAAACCTTGGGTGATATTACATACTCTTGTCAGCCCTCTACAAGGTGTTGAAAAGGAGCAAGTAATAGAAAGGCAAGAACAGATCCGAGATTATCGTTGTGTTTAGCGCCAAAGGCAACTCGGCGCTTACATACGCAAACTCTTTGCGTTTAACGTCGACTTCAGCAGCGTCAGCGCCAGCCTTCAACAGCAACGAGCAGTATCAACACCAAATTCAAGGCAAAGGGAACAATAACGCTCGTCCAACGACGCGTTTGAGGCTGGTTCATTCAAATTTCATGATCTTTTTCCCTTTCATCCTCCGACCTTCGAGTTTCAACTCGCCTTGCACAATCATGGGGACAATGTAATAATATGGAGCGTTGTTCTTTTAAGCAACATTGCTTTGCATGACCATCTCATTGAATGCTTTCTTTCCCTTGCATCCCTTTGACGCGACAAACCCAGTCATTTCCCATTGTCGTTTTGCCACCCTTCCTCTGCCTTCAAGCCAACTAGGATCCCATGGCAGATATATTAAGCCCTTCATGATCCCTAGTCCCTCCCACCTCTCATCATAAACATAATCCTATCGTTACCAACAATCGCACCTTGTCACTTGCGCGTATAAAGCATGAACATTCGGGACAAGACGTTTTATTCCGACTTCAAGATCTTCAAGGTAAACTTTCCCATTTCTTTTGGCATTGACACTAGCACTTCTTCCTTTCCCTCTTTCCTCCCCAGGTGGAGAACGTCCTCTTCAAAGTACCAACCGACGCCCTTACAGCTGAATCCGAAGTCTTTCGAGACTTGCTGAAACTTCCGCCGGTGCCGTCAAATGTGGAGGGCTTGTCGGATGAGAACCCGATCCATCTTGAAGGTGTCTTATCCAACGACTTCCGCCAACTTCTGAGAATCATTTGTCCTAGGTTAGTCCACCAAAATCGCTGCGTTGTGTGTTTTAATATCTCACCGCACTCATGGAAGGTTCAAGTCTACCCAAGTTCTATCATTCACTCAGTGGACGTCAGTCTTGAAACTCGCGGATCAGTATATGATGGATTCGGTCAGATCGCATGCTATCTTCATCATGGATCAGCAATCCGATTTCGATCCTATCGACAAAATCGTCGTCGCGAGAAGATACTCGATCAAATCATGGCTCACACCGACTTACAACAAAATCCTCCAACGTCCTCAGTCTTTCACCCAGCACGACCTTGAGCGCTTAGGATCTGATACTGTCCTGAAACTCGTAGCGTTGCGCGACCGACTTAAACCGATGGAAAATTCTCGATTTGGGAACTTCGGACTGTGGTCTCTTGGCACAAAGAGAGAGGCCATATCTGTCGATTTTACTGAGGCAATCGAAGAGACCTTATCCGACTGTCATGGTGTGTTTCCGTCACTCATCAGTTCGTTGCCACTTATAATACGTTTTAGTGCAGAAATTGACTCCGAGTCAAAGCAAAGTGCAAGCACGCTCATTGTAAACGCTCCGACCGATATGTTCATTTTTGCTGCCGAACCCAGTGGGATTCCGGCCACGTCCGCAACCCCAGCTCGAAGATTTGGTTTGCGCAAGGCTCGGGCTGGAAGGCGTAATTAGACGAACACTGTAGATGTAATTTTGTCTTTTCCATTGTAAGTACGATTATATCGAGTCAACGATAATATACTTAGCAAAGTGCTGAATATTGTGGACACACATGCGCGCTCTGATGAAGTCTGTTCAAGGGGTACTGTTGGTTCGCGATGGCTATCTCTGTACAGCTTTTGTTTCCAAAGGTCAAAGCTCTTTTGCATTGTCCGCCTCTTGTTTCAGATCTCAATGCGCAAATTCAGATTCCTGTGAGCTACCTCCCAAACTCTGGAGTATAGCTCGTCTCATAATTACATTATACTAGGTGCCACTCGTAATTCCGCTTTGCCAGCTTTGGAATCACCTAAAATTCATCGCAGTCAACGATAGCATATACCGTTCTGGCCAGTCCACTGTCTATCGTAGGTCCCGCTCGGTGGAATGGCCAAAGCGCCTTAGATTCCGGTATCGGTTCGTGCCCCTTTGTGCCTTCGTAATTGTTCACCGTGGCAGTTCATACATGGCCCGCCTTTTCCAATGCCAAATCAAGTAAGTCAAAGAGTGCGGAGACAAGAGCCTCAGTGAACCGCAGCCACTATAAAAGGAGAACGTTTGGCGGCTTTCATCCTCACTCACTCTACTCACTCTACTCACTCTACTCACTCTGATCATCGTATCGAGCTTAACTTTGTTCTTTGAACTTGTTCGCATCTGTTGAACCACTCGATTTACTCGATCTAACAATGGATTCCTCCACCACATGTATCCTCGCCAACACCTCCTCCGAGTCAAATATTTGTACTCGCCCGCCTCCCGCGGCCATCATTGTCGTATCTTCCAAATCTATAGACGCTGCATTGGACTCCCCTCTGCCCATTGATGAAGAGAACTCTAGTGGCCCCGGGGACACCTCTTTCTGCGTGATCGCCTAGACATCGACGTCGGGCTCTCGTTAAAAATTCCTTTCGCATCCAATCTGTAAGCACACTCCACCCCCTACCACACAATCTTGCTGATGAACAAGTATGTTCCCTAGGGCTCATTCAATTGTTTCGGCGCTTTCGTTCGCCTTTGTTACTTCTCAAGCATTGAGGCAATCTCATTCTCTGTTGCCAATTGTGCCCAGGCTATCGATATATCTATTTCCTCCGTCTCTCAGCATGTTACCAGAATTTACGCCAATGGCCTCTTAGAGTGCAAATGCTGCATGTTCTTCACGCGGCTAAATCCCATTTCGGACGTTCTTCAATTCGGGCCTTCTTCTATTATTCGAATTTTATTTTTTTGACTCAACTTCACCGCTGGATTCGTTTTTGACCAGTACCACATTCATTCAGTTTTCATTTCATTTTCTCCGCTTTATTTATTTGCATGTTTGCTCCTTTTCGGTGGCGATTACTTGACGAACTTCTTCTGTCCCCCAACGAGACTTACACTGGTGATTAAATTGCCAAGATGCACTTCCTTGTACTCCTAGTTATGACTGTAATGAATTTGACTATATATTTCCAAACAACCAGATCTGGTACTGGACATTGAGCACTCGTGAGCTTCCGAAGGAGTGGACAACTTGAAAGCCATCATCATTTTTGTCCTCTCATGGCAACCCACACCGACGCACTTCTTCCTTGGCTTCTTCCAATGGCTGCTCGTTAGGTGGACCCACCGCATACACACTCTCTTCACATCGTACATCAAAGGTATTATCTCCTTCTATATCGACCTTTTGTCTATTGTCGCTCGGATTGATCTCTATCGCGCTCGTCACTCCTGTCACGGCGAGGCATTTTATTCAGTCCTCCATCATACCCGTTCTCAACATTCAAAACATGGAGTTGCAAATGGCAGGAAATATCACAGGAGCACCTGAAAGTTCAAGATGATTTGAAGAGAACAAAGAGAAATAATCATCAGACAATGAAATTCAGGACAAAAATATGAACGACAAGGGAAATCAGATATTATTGTATCAACACAGTTCCCCCTTCTTCTATAATAGGGCAAACTTGTGTGCTGAGGTACTTGCAGTGCATTTCAACCAGCCTGGAGTTTACATTGTCAATAGCTACAATTGTCCCGATCTGGGTTTGATTTTCTGATGCTCAGGCTGCCTCACGATATCGTCGTCGTAAACACGTTCCTGTAACGGACAGTATTGTATTCCAGTCGAGATGAATATCAAGATGGGTGGATTGAAACAGGACCTCGGGGCAGACACCATGAGGCAAAATATCGATATCAGAAACAATGGAAAGAAGTGCAATGTGGCGTAAGTCTCTGTCGCAGGAAAAACACTCGGTGACTCAGACAATGCAGGCGCGCAAGCATATTTAAGCAGGCTGCTCTCTGAACATAATAATTACAATTTCTACTCTAAACCTCGAGTTACCCTTCAAGCTTTTGCTATGTCTGTTCCACCCCGCTTTCGCACTGCAAAGAAATTATCGAGTACACTTCCAGCGTCCGGACGGGCACGCCCTACATCATCGTTGAGCCCAGGATATCCCCGTGTCGATGGAGAGCATGGAGATGCAATCCCCGACCCTTCGTTTAGCACCTTACCAGGGGCATTTGTACGAGATGAAAATTTCCAAATTGAAGGTCAGTGTTTGCAATGTATCAGTGTCAACATCAACACCCAAAGATCATTGAATTGCCAGGACACCTCAGCACTGCCAGCTCAGGTTTCCGTCCCGAGGATAATGACACTCAAGCTCATCTATCTTCCAGCAGTAGCACCAACCTCAGTATCGATGCCTATCTGTCAGACCCTGAGTTTGTTCGTGGAAGGTCGGAAAAGATTCTCCCTGTTCCAGTAACGCCCGAGCGAAAAGCAATCTCTGATTCTGCACTAGCTAAAGCTCAAAGTACACCGTTCAGTCATCATAGCAGCAGCTACAGCGCTACAGCACTTTCTAACGACAAGAAATACAAGGTCGAGGAAGCAAATAAATACCTCATGGGGGATCTCGCTAATGTCCGGACTCTTCCTGTCAAAGAGTGGGCATCGCTCAGTTTGAACCTGGATGTTGACAAGGATACGTACGAATTAACTGAGAACATCAAAAAAAAATTCCAGGATTACTTGAAGGCAGTGAAAAACGCGAAGAATGAAATGGACAAGGAGCTGTATAAGTCCCTCATTGCGTTGCTCAATGAATTGAGGGGAAATAGCGAAAACATCGTGTTCTATAAACAGGATGCGATTCCAGTGCGGGGGTCACTTGTAAAGCAAACTCCAGACATTGGTGCAGTCTTCAAAGAGTTGGTTGAGTCCCGCGACCTACTCGCGCTGCCGCACGCTTCCGATGAGAAGATTTTCTGGGGGCTCATCCATACATTTGTCGAAGTAAAACACGAAGACGGGAAGATGATTCGAGACGATTGTGAGTTACTACACTAAAAGTTGGATTGTTTCAGTTATGTTAACATACCTTTCAGTCGGTGCCGATGCAAACTGGAGTACCAACAAAGAGAAAAACCCTCAGAATTCCGAGTCCGGGAGCGGACAAAAGCGAGTACGAGAAGCAGGTAAGCTCCAATATTTCACCTATGGTCGCCTCTAACACACGTTTTTATTATCAGATTCGTTGAATGAAACCAGTGGGCGCGCGAGGAAGGCAATGCGAAGTAGCTCATCTCATCAGATGACTACTGTGGAGGACTCCAACGTTGACGATGTTCCACTCAAAGGTTAGTAGCTTGTAGAATAAGGTGTCGGCGGCACTAACTGTTGGTTTAGCGAGACCTATGCCGCTCAGCATGCAGCAGTACATCGAGCAACAAGGAAATCCCCAAGATATTTCGCCGGCGCCAGATAGAAATACACCAGAAGGGGTTAGGACGCAAACGGCCGGCTATGCACGTGATATTCTTTCAAACGGTCTTCCCCGACGTCACGTGCATAGCTTCATCGTTGATTCCACACTTGTTCGAGGCATCTTTTATGACCATTCGGTATTGACCTCGTCATATCTATGTTTACGCCAGTATACTCATTATATATCTTCAGATTATTGTGGAGTCTGCGGTATGCTTACACTTTTCTTCATGTCCCTATCGATTTCAACGTTGATCATTAGGTGTTGAATCTTGCGAACAAAGACGACCAGCTTATATTTGCGAAAATGATCAAACAATTGCATGCCCTTCCCCCAGTAGGCCTAGGACTGATCCCAGGGTTGGAAGCACCCTTCATGAAAGATCCGGCTAGTCTCAAATACGGACAGAAATTACCCGAATTCGAAAAAGCTAAAGGACCGCCTTCGAACGCAATTTTTGAGATCAAAGAGATTGAGGAAGGATCCACATTCACCTTTCCCTACAAAGATGGGACACGCACCGTCCAGCTCCAGCGCATTCTCTTTCGTTCCCATGGCATCATCGGTCGAGGGACTATCGTCGTGCGAGTGGTGTGTGCTTGTACTCATTGTGTTCCTAATCAATGCGACTGGAGTGGGAAGAAACTTGTTCTGAAGCTTAGCTTTCCTAGCGAAAGTCGAGTTCCTGAACAAGCTTTCATGGATCGCTGCAAAGAAGAAGCCAAAGGTGATCATGCCTGGGTTCTCAACCACTTGCCGGATATCTACTGCTCATTCGATATTCCGTGCGGTGAACGTAGTCCACAGGCCAATTTCAAGAAGAAGTTTGAGGACAAATACGAGATGCGTTTCCTACGGGGGTCAATACAGGAAGAACTACAACCACTTTCGAGCCTGAAGACTGCGCTAGAATGCGCACAAGTGTTCTATGATATTGTACAATGTGAGTCTTCTCAAAGAGTCATTTTCATTCATCATCTTCATTCCCATATATAGGTCATCATTGGGTTCACACTTATCCTCGAATACTTCATCGGGATATCAGCGACGGGAATATCATGGTGCGCGTCAAAGATGGGAAGAAATATGGAGTCTTGAACGATTGGGACCTTGCAATTTGGCTGGATGAGCGAGACGTAATTTCGACCTCGCAATTTCGAACTGGCACCCGTCCTTACATGGCTCATGAACAACACTCGCCTGATTGGGAAGGCCCGCATCGGTATCGTCATGATATGGAGTCTCTCTTTTATGTGATTCTTCTCCTTGCTACCCTTTTCTCCAACCCTAGTGAGAAGGATCATGAACATTCTAAGAAAAGGCAGCCCTATACAAAGTGGTTTACCCAGGGTGATGACTTTCTCCTTGACAAAAAAATCAGTATCATTTTCATTATCTTATGGCGACCCAACCTAACTCAGTTCTTCCATGGGTTCTTGCAATGGCTGGGAAGACTTCAGCAGTGCTTGTATGATGGCTTCACTGCATACACAGGTTTTGTCAAACGACAAACAGACAATCCACACCAAGTATTACATTTCAATGACGACACTTTAGGAGGCCATTTCTCATATGATCGTCTTGTCTGGATCATGCATCAATTCAGCGAGGAAACACTTGAAACCCGTGGTTGTGAATGGCAGAAAAAATTGCGGGGACTTCAGAAAGACGAGGATGAGAGGAAGAAATGATCGAGGAAAAGGCGGACGAAGACGTGGACAGGGGGATGATCATGTCCGCTATTTCTTGGATAGGCTAAGATTGGATATCGGTTGTACATGTATTATATGGATAGCTAGCTTACGAAGTCAACACTGTTACACATATCCTTCTTCGCCCTTTGAGGTTTCGTCCATGACCTCCCCACACTCATTAATCATGATAACAAAATCTGAATGGGTGTCCCACGTCGCACAACGTAACATTCTTCAACCTATGTACTGCATCTTTGGCCTCACACAACCATGGATGTATCCCAGGCAATCAGAGAGCATCCAGGAAGGTGGAATTGCACACCCCAGCGGAGCGTCAAAGAACTGTCATTCTTCAGCTAAATGATTGTCCCAGTTACATTACCCAATTGGCACCGATGCGAATTGTTCAAGTTTCCGGCAGCGGGAAAAAGCGAAACGAGAAGCAGAGAAGTTCGCTCACGGAAGACACTAATACATGTTGTTGCTATCGGATCCGTTGAATGGAACCAGTGGGCGCGCAATGAAGGCAATGTGAAGAACTGTGAAGAAGTAACACGTATCATCAAATAAGATCTATTGGTCTTAACGTCGTCCTACCTAAAGGTTAGTTAACTTGTCTACTCATGGCACATAGTGATTCAGTAAAATCCATGCTGTCCAGTATGGAGAGATGAGAAACAAGAGAATTCCCAAAAGCTTTTGGAGCCGCCAGAGTCCAGAAGAGGTTAATAATAAGAGGCCTGAAGGAAGCAGCTACGCACGTGACGTTGTCTTAAACGGTGTCGTTCGAACTTCGAATTGGCATCGTTTCGACGATTCTGGAGTCAAGCGGGTATCAGTGCTTTGATCGTTTTGGTGTGCCTGTCGTTTTGGGTATACATTGTTACTCCGAAAACGGAGACGACAAGCTTATATTTGCAAAAATGGTCAAACAATCGCATGCCTTTACCTCAGTGCCAGGCCTGGGACTTGTTCCATACTTGGAAGGACAAACATTACCCGAATTCAAAGAGGTTAAAGGACCGTCTTCGAACGTAATTCCTGAGATCGAGGAGATTGAAGAAGGATGCAAACTCACCTTTCCCTACAAAGATGGGACACGCACCATCCAGCTTCAGCGTATTCTCTTTCGTTCCCATGGTATCATCGATCGAGCTACCATCGTCGCGCGAGCGGTGTGTGCTTGTACTCACTGTGTTCCTAACCACTGCGACTGGAGCGGGAAGAAACTTGTCCTGAAGCTCAGCTTCCCTAGTGTCACCCGAGTCTCGGAGAAGGCTTTTATGGACCGCTGCAAAGAACAAGCAAAAGGTGAACATGCCTGGGTTCTCAACCACTTGCCCCATATCTACTGGACATTTGATATTCCGTTCCATGAACGTCGTCCGCAGGCTTATTTCAAGGAGAGGTTCGGGGACGATTGTAATTACGAGATGCGTCTTCTACGGGGGTCAATACAGGAAGAATTAGAACCACTCTCAAGCTTGAAGACTGCATCGGAATGTGCTCAAGTCTTCTATGATATTGTACAATGTTAGTCTTGCGATGTCTCTGTTTTCATCCCCAGTTTTCATGCACATAATCAGGTCATCACTGGGTTCACACTTATCCTCAAATACTTCATCGGGACATCAGCGACGGAAATATCATGGTGCGCGTCAAAGATGGGAAGAAATATGGAGTTTTGAATGATTGGGACCTCGCAATATGGCTGGATGAGCGAGACGGAAATTCGACCTCGCAATTTCGAACTGGCACCCGTCCTTACATGGCTCATGAACAACACTCTCCTGAATGGGAAGGCCCGCATCGGTATCGTCATGATATGGAGTCTCTGTTTTATGTGATTCTTCTGCTCGCTACCCTTTTCTCCGACCCTAGTGAGAAGGATCATGAACATTCTAAGAAAAGGCATCCCTATACACAGTGGTTTACCCAGGGTGATGACTTTCTCCTTGACAAAAAAACCAGTATCATTTTCCGTACCTCATGGCGACCCAATCTAACGCACTTCTTCCGTGACTTCTTTCATTGGCTGAAAAGACTTCATAATTCCTTGCATGACGGCTTCCTCACATTAGATGCCCATATCAGCCGACAAATTGACACACCGCAACAAATATTACTTTTCGATGACGATACTTTGGAGGGTCATTTTTCATACGATAAATTTGTTTTGATTATGCATCGATTCAGTGAAGAAGACCTTGCAACACATGGTTCTGAATGGCAGGGAAAATTGCGGGAACTTCAGAAAAACGAGGATGAGAGGAAGAAATGATCGAGAAGAAGGCGAACGAAGACATGGACAGGGGAAAAGAAAAGGAGGAGGATGACTGCTTATCTTGCCTTCATACGGATTAACTGATGCTAAATACTATTCATTGTATCTATAGTCGTTCTCAATTCTTCTTGGATAGGATAAGATTGGATATCGGTTGTACATGTATTATGTAGATATCTAGTCTACGAAGTTTCGATCGATGTTAGCCCGGCCTCAACACCTTTCAACAGCTTTCAACACTGTTACACACAGTACTTTTCGAGGCTGCGTTAATGAGGTTTCGTTAATGACCACCTCCCGGCACTCATCAATCATGATAATGAAATATCAAAGGGTATTTCGCGGGACACAATGTAACATTCTTCCTACTGCATCTTTGGCCTCGCACAACCGTGGATGTATCCTACATAGGCAATTAGTCAGGACGCAAAACAGGCAGCGACACACGTGACGTTCTCTTAAACGATTTCAAACTGACATTCAAACTGGAGTGGAGTGTGCTTTGGTGCTTTGTTTCGTGTGTCTGTCTTTCTGTCTTGATTGTTCCCTCGAAAACGGAGACGACCAGCTTATATGATCAAATATGATCAAACAATCGCATGGCCTTCCCTCTGCAGGCCTAGGACTGGTCCAAAACTGGGGAGAACCGTTCATGAAAGATCCTGCTAATCTCAACTACGGGCACACATTACCCGAATTCGAAAAAGCCAAAGCACCGCCCTCGAACGGAATTTTTGAGATCGAAGAAGGATCCATATTCATCTTTCCCTACAAGAATGGAACAACCCGCACCGTTCAGCTCAAGCGCGTTCTCTTTCGTTCCCGTGGCATCGTCGGTCAAGGTACTATTGTTGTGCGGGTTGTATGTGCTTGTACTCGCTGTGCTCCTAACCACTGCGACTGGAGCAGGAAGAAAGTTGTCCTGAAGCTCAGCTTCCCCAGTGTCAACCGAGTCTCGAAGAAGGCTTTCATGCACCGCTGTAAGGAACAAACCAAAGGTGAACATACCTGGGCTTTCAACCATTTGCCGCATATCTACTGGAAATTTGATATTCCGTTCCATGAACGTCGTCCGCAGGCTTATTTTAAGGAGAGGTTCGGGGACGAATACGAGATGCGTCTTCTACGGGGCTCAATACAGGAAGAATTAGAACCACTCTTAAGCTTGAAGACTGCATCGGAATGTGCTCAAGTCTTCTATGATATTGTACAATGTTAGTCTTGCGATGTCTCTATTTTCATTCCCAGTTTTCATGCACATAATCAGGTCATCACTGGGTTCATACTTATCCTCAAATACTTCATCGGGATATCAGCCACGGAAATATCATGGTGCGCGTCAAAGATGGGAAGAAATATGGAGTCTTGAACGATTGGGACCTTGCAATGTGGCTGGATGAACGAGACGGAATTTCGATTTCGCAATTTCGAACTGGCACCCGTCCTTATATGGCTCATGAACAACACTCGCCTGATTGGGAAGGCCCGCATCGGTATCGTCATGATATGGAGGCTCTGTTTTATGTGATTCTTTTGCTCGCTACCCTTTTCTCCAACCCTAGTGAGAAGGATGATGAACATTCTAAGAAAAGACAGCCCTATACAAAGTGGTATACCGAGGGCGACGAGTTCCTCCGCGTCAAGAAAATCAGCATCATTTTCGTTGCCTCATGGCAACCTACCCTAACGCACTTCTTTCGTCCTTTCCATGGATGGCTCAAAAGACTTCACGACACCATGAATGACGGCTTCCACGCATTACATGCCCACATTGTCCGACAACGTGATGCACCGCGACAAATATTGCAGTTCGATGATGATACCTTGAACGGTCATTTTTCATATGATCGTCTTGTCTGGATCATGCATCAATTCGGCGAGGAAAAACTTGAAACCCATGGTCGTGAATGGCAGGGAAAACTGCAGGAGCTGCAGCAAGCCGAGGACGAGAACAAGAAATGATCTAGGAAAATGAAGGCATGGAGAAGGAAAAACAAAAGGAGGAGAATGAGATGTGCTTCTCGACTGGCGTCATTATATCCGCACTCCTTCTCATTCTGCATGTTGCTGTGTCTTGGCCAGTATAGGATATTGGTTATATCATATATCTATATTCTATCCGATCGATCTTAGCTGGATTAGTACTTTTCGCTGAATGTTAGCCTGGCCTCAACAAACTCCAGGAGCATTATAAGTCATACAGATCGTTTTTTTAAAAAAAATTTCATTAACCGCAAGTAAGTTATGTAAAATATGTGGGTACTCAGGCGTACTAAGGCGCGGGCCTGCGAAAACCAGTATCCCTAACTTACACACCATCGTTCTTGGCCTTTTCAAGGTTTTACGAACCACAAGTCAATGATCCCCCCACACTCATCAATCGTGATGACGGTATATTTACCTGAAGACAGTAGAAAAATGTGAAGCTCGAGACGGACAAGGAGCTGTATACGTCCCGTAGGAAATGGCGAGCCACTTGGTAGACAAAGTCCAGACATTGGTGCAGTCTTAGGGCTGGTAGAATATCGCAACCTGCTTACCTTGACGCATGATTCCGACGATGAGAATTTTTTCCGGAGTTTAACTAATTACACTTGTCAATAAAAACTCGAAGACGGGAAGATGATCCGTGATTATTGACAATCCATATCCATAAACCTGTAGTGTCCTTTTCTTCTTTATCTTCCTTGCTCCTTGAATTAATTGTATCCATCTCGCCCGGTAACTACGCCATAAACCGGCCCACCCTTCCCAAACATCTTTCTCAAGTCCCCAACAAGCAATTCGGGTTGTTCATGGGCTGCGAAGTGCCCGCCTTTGTCGTGCTCGGCTTCAAAGACCACATCTCCAACACCAGGATACCAACTACACAATCACGTTTAGTAAAAGAATAAGATTGAAAACCCCCAACGGTTACATACCTCTTCGGGATGCGTATGAGTTCCTTTGGGAAGAGCGAGCATCCCATTGGGATAGTTGGTGGGGAGGACTTGGTACCTAATGCTTGGCCGGAATGTGCGACTTCGTAGTAGAACCTGATAGATGCTGCAGGCCCAGCGCGTGAGAACCAATAGATTGACACCCATGTTAGGACTGTGATGCTTTAAATTAGCAGAGAGTCCAAGCTTCACCAATCAGATATATACCCTCGTCATCAGTCCAAGGATAGTTATCACTCCAAGACACAAGTTTTTCGTAAATCCAGGCAAGCAGCCCAACAGGTGAGTCTGCCAAGCTATATCCTAAAGTCTGCGGTTTTGTCGAATGCAGTTGAAAATAGCCGCTTCCAGAGCGCTGGAATTCTTGCCAACGAGCAAGACCTTCCTTCTCAGAAGCAGTGTAAGAGCTCGGATCATCATTCTCTGGAGGCATAGAGCTGGAAAAGAAAAGGATGGCGTCAAAGGATAGGAAGTTGAAAAAAAGGAATTCAAAAACGAACAATAGAACGTTGGTATGCCAGGCTTTAGAATGCATTCCGCCATAGCGGCGGGCAATTCCTGCAGTAACCTTTGCCATCATAAAATCAAGAGGGACTCAATGTGAAGGGCAATCCTCTTACTCACCCTAGAGCCTAAATCCCCGCCTTGTGTCACTGAAAATATTGGGTCACATCAGCCAAGACTGCTACGTTATTGCTTCAGGCGAATGCACACACCATACTCCGTATACCCAAGAGCAATCATTAGTTTGTGCGAGACCTAATTCGTGGCAATAATGTGATCTTCAACTCAAATAAATGATGCATTTGATAAAGACATTACCTCAACGTATTGTGATAACGAAAATCCTTTTTTCTTAGGTGCTTCGGAGAATCCAAATCCGGGAAGACTGATAGCGACCACATCAAAAACAGGACATTGAGAGTCCCCAGACCCTTTGGTTAACAAAGGAATTATTTTGCGAGATTCAAGGAAGCTTCCAGGCCCTGTGAGGAACAAGGGAAATACATGCTAAGGACATCAGTGTCACTGGTAACAGTGCTCACATCCATGCACAAAAAGTAATGGTATGCCCGTCCCCCGGTCACTTTTCTTGTATACATAGTGGACGTTCAAGGATCCAAACCCATCCACCTCGATATCTCGTGTGAATTGAGGCAGCTCATTGTTGAGCTTCTGTTCCTCCTGCCTCCAATCGAATCCATCGCGCCAACGCGCGACGAGTCGTTTCATGTCAGCAAGAGGTACCCCGTAGGCCCATCCTGCGTCATCCAGCTCATCTGGGAACGTAGCGCTTTCAATCCGAGACTTCAAGGCAGACAAAGCTGTAGAAGATACCGCGATTTTGAAAGAGTTGGACATCGTAGACTGAGTCAGAGAAGGTAAGAGACTGGTTCCGGAACCGAATGAATTTAAGGAAAGCAAAGTAGCCGGCATCTCGGATCACCTTGAGGAAATTGTCCGTCAGGTGTTCTCATTGAAGCGCTGCGAACATTTCGGTAGATTTGAAGCGATTGTCAATAGGTACTGAGTCAATACATGGGGGCAAGAGGTATATTCGCAGATCTCACGAGGCCACAGCCACTACCATATTAGGCACTTGCGCACCGTGACACAATCTATGAGTCATGCTGTACTACTCAGTTATCAGTTTGAAGTCTAACATTCGGTGATGCTCTTCAGGGTGATGCTCTGAAGAGCGACTCGACGCGTGCTGCCTAGAGACTTGTACAACTATGTAGAATATCATAGTAATTCATTTATCTATATAGGAGCCTCGAGCTTAATCGGTGATACAAGCATCTTCGGTCTGATACTGTCTGATACTTCAACTCTAGTGGCGGGTCGAAGACATCATGAACGATGCATTGCAATGTCCACTGGGCTCAGTTATGGTAACTAATGGTCCTGTGGCCCTCGGGAAAGCAAATCCAAGTGAGAACAGTTTGTCGCCTGCCTTCATGAGAAATGCCAAGAAACGTACACCTTTCTTCGACTTGCGCCAACTTTTACGAGGCGTACATGGCCACTGTTAGACCGCAAACCGCCCTCTATGAGGGCGAACTCTGATCAAATTTTTTTGATTATTAGAGGATTGAATGCTAAAGTCTTCGAAAACGTCTTCAGTGGTCTTGATGCCCGACTCTACCTTCCGAGCTCGACTCGAAGGTGTCGAGAGGCAGAATCACTGCCTTTTGGAGACGTCCTCCGAGCCAGACGAAGGGGCTCACATGTCGAAGGAGTCGGGGACTTGGACATGGGGATGACTGAACGTGAAGAAAAAAGCTCTATGCCCAAGACAATGAAAAAAACGACAATAAGTTACCACCAGCCTCAGTCACAAAGTATCCTAGGAATTCAACTATTAACTTTAGTGCTTCGCTTCCCGTGCACTCTGTTCAGTACTTTCTGATGTCTCCACCCCCGTTCCAGTGAGATCTAGACCCGCATTCACACCCTCCGGTGAACTTATGGAATCTATAGACGAAGATATAGATCCCAAAGAACCTTCACTGGCGGAAAGGTCCGATATCCAGCTTCCTGCTGTAGGAGTCAACTCGCCGTCCAATGATTCTTCTCCATCTCCTCTAACATCAACAGTAGGATGATTACGAGAAGGAGGTTCTGAAGAATTGGGAGCAGTGCCCCCAGTTTGAAATTCTCCAAAATCCCCGAAATCCCCAAAATTATCGTCGAATGCGCTATCATCGAGATTATCCATCCCTTCTAAGGCCATTTCATCGGTGAAGGAAGAGGAAAACGATGGAAAGGGATCGTCCGAGTTGGAGGGAATGGAAGAGCTGGATGCAGTTGGAGCAGTGAATGGGCCGAAATCATCCTGTGATGAGGAAAGAAAGCGAGCATTAGTGTATGTAATATATTCGAGATAGAAGGGTATTGTAAAATACATCAGCGAAAGGGTCTTTCAGCCCCTCTGTCGTAGTCTCCTTTCGAACTTGAGGATCAAACACGTCCTATTGATATACTGAGTATGGATGATCATTGCATAAACAATAAACTCACGTCGAACCCGTTCACACCCAAAGGTCTCCGTTCCGACATGGCTGAGAATGTACTAGACTGGGATAACCACCCCTCCTCATCATCTCCGTCATCATCTTCATCATTGTCGAATCTTTTCAGCTGAGGAGGTGAAATCAGTGGCAAGGTACCAAATCTGGAAAAAAATTCATACACTGTGTCCCGCGACAAAGTCATCATCATCATCATCGTCCATCGTCGTAGGAGCAACTCCGAAATCAGCACTTCCTTCTCGCCGTGGTTTAGACGATACCGAACGACGGAACTCGCCACGCATTTCGTTATTAATAGGCTTATTGTCTAACGTCGGGCTTGAAGCCGCACCCACAGTAGCCTGTATGCCTCCCATTTCCTCTTCATCTACCTTCCACTTCGTTGCCACATCTCCCATTCTTCCTCCTGAGTTGATCCCACTCAAGCCCACAGCAGGTTTACCCCCACCAAGCAATCGTGTATCCCGCACCTTCGTTTCGCGGTACCTTCCGGTCACGTATTCGTCCCAACTTCCTTTCCCGTGCTCTGTATCCAATCCTTTGGGAGCATACTGCATAATTTCGTCGCGTAAAGAAGCAGGATACCGGTCCAAAGCGGTGAGCACGTCCTCTGAAATGAGTGTTAAATGACCCATATATCCAAGGCGGGGGGTGCGGGGTTTTGCACTCTCTTCGTCGTTCCGTCTCTGCCCTTCAACAATCTTATGCATGAGTTGCGCGTCGCGGAATAGGGAGAGGATAAGTTCGCGGTTATAGCCTCTGCTGCCTTCAGAACGTCTTTCTGGATCGTGCTCGTCCGTTTGCGTTGATGGTTTCTCAATATCCTCACGGTAGTGGGAACTAGTATCCACCTGCCCGGTAAGAATCTGATGGAGGATATCGTATACCGCATTGTGTAAAAAGTTATTCCAGGGAAATTCGAAGAAAAGATCCTGAAATCCACATGTCAGTCATAATCATAAGGAAACACTGACATGGAGCCACTTACCAACAAAACACCCAGCACATTGAGTTCCAGGAATCGCTTTTTAAGTCTCTCGCCAACGACGAGGGGAGCTTCCGCGGATGGGGCAGAAGCGCTGGGCAGAGTCGATCGCCGTGAGTTTCTCCGCGTTGGTAAGCTCGACACAGATCCATGTCTCAGGGGGCCAATGTTTTCTGCGGATACAGAAGGAGGAACAGAATTTGATTCAGCGGCATGCATATCGACTTCAGGAGATAGCGGAGGAGGTTCTGCAGTCGACTGCATTTGAGGCTCGTCGTACATGGCTATCTCTTCCATGTCCATACTATCATCTTCTGAGCTTGTGGACATATCTTCATCCTCATCAGAGTCAAGTAGTGAAGATGCGTTAGAGGTTGATGATGCGCTAGATATGGGAAGTTCCAGAGCGGGCTCTATCTCTGTGTCCATGTCATCATTGCCATCAAATCGATGAACGTCCCCGTCTTCGTCCTCGTTCCCCAGTGAAATCACTCTTGCTAACTCTTCCAGCCCACCTAAGCCACCTTGAAGCCGACCTTCGGCATCATAAAGGTGCTGATATCTGTTCTTGTAAGGAAAGAAGAAGATATGCAAATGTCGAATCAGCACTCGTGTTGGTGATCCTGCTTAGCAACATGAAACCAGGATAACAAAGCGGACATACCGCAGCGGCCGGTTCAACAGTGCCATGTTCGAGCAATGCAGCAGTTCAGCTAGGAGTTCCGTGATGCGGAAACGCTCGAATGTGAGGGCGGGGGCGGGTATATTAGCAGGAACGACAATCTATTGAGCGTCAGACACATGCAATGTCGCGAGAATGTTTGCAAAGGACGCACACCACTTTCCGCGAGTAAAGACCGTGGTCTCCGCAAATAACTCACGAGCCGATCCAGTCTTCTATCGTCGCAGAGGATAGTTAGCACAAAGCCGAGATTAACAACCCCCATCCTGTCGACCATCTCCCGCATAGCACGTTCAAGAGTACCACGACCATCCGTTTCACCGTTGTGCCCTTCACTGAATCAGATGTTAAATATAACAGGAGCCTTTTTTCGAGAACGCAAGCTCACCCCTGCTGTATCATTGCTTGCTGAACTCCAATCAACCGATTTCTCAAGGTATGGAAGAGATATGGTTCAAAATAATCGGAATTGTTCTTCCGTATAAGTTCAGTCAGAACCCCCATTGCATGAATGGACGAGGAGGAGGCTGATTCGAAATGCGTTGCTCTGACAGAGTCTGGGGACAATGTAGATTCGGATTCGGATAAAGATGTAGAGAAATCTTGCAACATATACGCCACCAGCTTCGACACACTGTCCTCTCTCGCCAACTCTCGCGCAAATTGGTTTGATGAAACGCCTGAGCCCCCACCGTCAGACATTGCAGTATTTGATGCAGCGGGACCGTTGGTAGTAAGTCCAGCCCCAGGGGACGGTGTTGCCATCGAGATGATACCTTTTATCAAGTCAGACACCACTTGATGTATGTCGGGCGGATAGGCGGGGGAGAGCATATCTATGAGACGAGGAATAAGTCTTTCTGACGAAAGCCACTAAAGATGGAAATGAGTATGAGCTATGTTCATCAAATGGCATGGACGAACCTCAAGGACTCCAACAGCGCCGTCATACCCGTACGTATACTCATCCAACTGAATAATTCTCACTAGCAGATCGACGAAGGACGGATTTTCGATATGCCGTAGTATCCTTCCAAGAACACTGGGCTGGTGTTGTATGAATTTCAGCATTTCACCCGGCTTTTTACCAAGGAAGACCGCGTTGACTTTAGCAAAATGAGCTGCAGCATGCGTGTTGTTTTTCTCAGTGCTGAATCTCAAATCCTCGGGTAATTTGTCCAATACAGCATTCCAGAATGGTACCAGGAGTTTGTCTGGGTGAGTAGATACGCAGGTTTCAACGATGGACCAAATTTCGGAGCAGAGGACTTCGGTAGCAATGTAAGGATATCTCAAGTAGGAGGTCAGATAAGCAGAAGTTGAAGGGGCATCCTGACATACTTGAACCTATTTGTCTTATTCCCCATCTCGGATCCCCGTAGTAGTTGTTCTTCTTCGTCGTCAAACTTGGCTGCCCCGACTTCACCACTGACCCAGCCCAGCAGTCTTCCAAGAACATCTACGCGCTGAAAATAATCAACAAGTCTGGTGTTCTGTGATTTGCACTCTTGCAGTAGGTCGTCTTCATCTAATAGGCTATCAAGGGTGAGGAGAGATTGGTCATCCTTGTCAAGGAGAGTGTCGATGGAAGAGGCAGCGTGAAAGCCAAATCTGTTGATCCACTGTCAAGTTGCCGATGTATAAAAGATGAGGCAAACAGCACAGACCTCCAAAACATGAGGGTCCAAAAAGCTTGACCCGGGAGCTTGTGCGATAAGAAATTGCTACAGATCAATTCGCACGTGAGTGCAAATGACGCGCCATTCTGTTTTACTAGTATAGAACTCAGTATTCAGAAGGCTGGCCGTGTGTTTTATTTGCACTGCGTAAACGTTGCTTGAACGAGCTAAACACAGGCAATTGCATCGTATAGGCTAGTCTTCTTGCCCTTGAACAAGCTGGGGAGAACAATTAGTTCAAACCTTACACAAGGACCGAACACTCTCCTTCCCCCATAATAAAGGAGGTCAATCTCTCTGAGATTATACGGTTGTAGTACCTTCGATTGGTAGCATAGCTAGCCGCCTTGCGAGTCCTCATGTAAACCCAATAACGGACAGCGATAAATCATCTATGAATCAAGCCATGACTACCACTGATTCGGAAACCATTTCCAGTTTATAAAATTAGTCCTAGTCCCAGGAAGTTCCAAATCGAGACATACCTTCTTACTTGCACTACTATGGACAATCGAGGCAAGATCTTTACATGCATGAGAAATTGTCTGTATTATTTTTGTGTGTCATGGCGAACTAATCTGGACCGTCCCGGAGTACTTACCATCCATCATACAATAATCACGAAGCGATTTCGCAGGATCTCCTACTGTGATAAATATACAAGCGAAGGAGCAACAAGCATTTACGGTGGTCGAAAATAGATAATCACCCTCCCAGAGCCTACAGGTAGATTAGAAAATCTTTACATATCAAATCACGTCCATATAGCAAACACGACAATCCGCAAACGATTTCCATGCAATTCCCTGAGGACATAGGCGTCCGGCTCAGCTAGACTGTTAATCTTGCTTCCACTAATGATTGACCGCAAGAACGCCGAAGTATGAGCCGGGGACGAGGATTCGGGGGCTGAGAAAGCGGGCGACGATAAGGATACAAGCGCTGCTAATGACTGGAGGAATAGATGGGAACGAAAGAGCGTTGAGCCAGAAAGGAGAGTGATGTTTCAACCGATGAATGACAACATATTGGGCTGATATGCGAGAGAACAAATTCAAGCCCAGTCTAGCATGGATGTATCACCAATCAGCTGCACTCCCTTCATTGGTCCCAGAGCGTTTCCAGTCTGCCGCACTTCCTTCATTGGTTCCGGACCGCTTCCAGTCTGCCGCACTTCCCTCGCTGGTTCCAGAACGCTTCCAATCAGCAGCACTTCCTTCATTGGTTCCAGAGCGTTCAGAAATACGTTCAGAAAGCTGCAAGAACAGTGGCAGTAGTTAGATATGCAGTAGAATTATGGAGAATACCAAGGTCACCTCTATCGGGGCTGCTTGTAAATGTGAAACCAGCATGGAGAAAATAAACATAACACCAGCTAGGACAAAATTGGATCGCATGGCGAAGGGGGGAATGGTGAGCTTAGTTAACAGGGGGTGAAAACAACAATCTTTCATCGATCCATGCGATATTTATGTCCTGCCATGGTAATACAGACCTTGAAAAGGAACGGTCCCTGGGAATGTATACAATGCTTTCGCAGGGTAAGAGACTACCTAAAGCATTCAGGAAAGCAAACCATTCATATGACGGTGTTGCTGAAATATTCAAACCGAGCTCATGCTATCCGACCTATGCCGGACTTCAGTGCAGACTCAACAAGGAGAGAGGTTGAACTTGAAGGTAATAACTGAAACCGATGCACACGCTACTTATTATAAGCAGCGTCGGCTGATCTGCATGGGAATTACACGCATAGAAAGGGATACATAAAGCAGACGAGCGTGTAATCCTTGTCTTTCTAAAAGGCCCGGGTCCAAATTTGGACTGACCTTTTTTCTAAAAATTTCCTCGAAACAGACGCGGCTTCTCCGAACCAAGTTGCTGTTCCCTGGTGGAGCAGTGCAAATCAACCTCGATCCTCTGATCCGTTGCTCTCGACACCCGATATTTCCGAGTCGACGTCGGATCGGATAAACGATCGACGCAATACGCACATGGGAGAAAGAGTCAAAAAAGTAACACAAGGCACTGGTCCAAAAATACATTGGCCAACGTGGGGATCGAACCCAAGACCTTCGCGTAACATATATTAGCACGACGCTCTAACCAACTGAGCTAGCCGGCCATAACTTACTGTATGACATGAACTATATTATTTCTTATTCACAAGAGTTGTCTATCAATTTCACTATCGGTATCGTTTAATAGTCTTATTTGGAGATATCACTACCTGAAACTAGTCTCTATCTGGCATTCCTTTCGACAACTTATCGGACTCCTGCTTTGCTAACTCGTAGGTTTGAAAACCAAGAGATTCCTGAACAACGTCTTCGGGTGCATCAGGCTCCAGATGACCTTGCTGGTTTCTTCGGGCTCTATGATAGGAAAGAACGAGATGATCAGTCACAACACATCGTGACATGTCTTGGTAGTAGCATGGTTAAGCTGTAAATCGTTCACCTGAAAAATGTATAGCTTAACACGACATCTTCCACATTCCTACAACTGGGGTCATCTAGTACGTCCTTGTCGATAAAGAATAGAAGAGGCATATCAACAGTTTCCGAAGCGAGCAGTTTTTGTTCGTCGAAGCAGAAACATTCAATTTTGGAGAAGTAAGGAGCAATCTTAAGGAGGAATTGGGGTGTCAGCATTGGGATTAGGAGGAATTGGCGAGTTTCGGCGGGGAAGTCGTTTGTTCAACTTACACGATCCGGAGTTACGTTGTATGTGGCAATACCTATAATATCATCTTTGCTATTATTTTTTGCCGTGTAGAACGCAAGAGAGCTTTCGCCTGCCGGAAAAAATGGTAAACTTCCCTTCGAGACCTGTATACTACCTCGGAACGTACCGGGAAGAACATAGACATGATGCTGAGCGGCCCTGAATGTCCATGGAAGCGCTGTAGAAGTGCTAGATGTAAAGGTGACTTTGAACCTCCTTGACTTTGGGTCATCTGCAGGATCGACAGCAATCAACCTCGACGGAGCAAAACGATCTTGGGATGCAGTAGAGGGAGAGAGCAGAATTTTCAACCATTCCGGCATCCATTCGGGGTATTCCGGTCCAGGAGCAGCCTGGGTCCGTGTACTGGGCGTGCCAGCAAATCCAGTTGCGGAGCAGAAGAGACGGTAGAGGGGGACAGCAGCATAGGTTAGGCCTAAAAAACTTACGATCTACACGAGGGCAAGAAGAATAATATAAGACAAGAAGAGCCAAAAAAGAAAAATCCGCAGCAAGCATACCACGGCTCCAGTATACATCAGTAATGAGCGATTTTTTTTAGCGCGATCTGCGTACATTTCTTCCCTCGACCGATACCGCGGCGTAGGTCCTACCCTAATGGGTCTCCGAGAAGGAGAAAGAGATGGCGAAGGTTGATCGGAACCATGATTTGTCGCCAGTGGGCGTACCCATGGTTTCATGGACCTGGGGAGCAGCTGAACCAGATCATAAGAAATACACAAAGATAGAAGTTCATCTCAGAGTAACACATACAAATGTTTTCTTGCCTGTAAGTACAGTCGCATTAGAAGAGATGATAGAGTAAAATGTCTTCCTGCAGATAGTACTATGGAGAAGTGCTTGATGCGAGAATGTTAACCTTGTATGTCGAGATGAAAGCAAAGAGCGTATCAAGGTTGCATTCGAGCTCATGACCGTCCTTGTTGAGGGATCGGGCCGCATTGCCGCTTATAAGCTGGATGACTGTATTGGTGGACCTTCTGAATTGCTCGTACCTCATCGTGGCTACTCAATGTCAACATCAACGTCGTCGAATAATGCTGCTGCAGGCCCATCCTCGAAATCTTCAAAGGGGAAACGTTCACCATCACCGCCCACTATACTAGATGCAGAATTAGAGAAACTTCTGTCAAGAGAGGCATCGGCTTTCCAGAGGGAAGTCGAAGTAGAGAGGATATTAAAGGCTTTCAAGTTGAAGTGGGTCAGATATGTCCAAGGCACGGCTTCAATACCTAACGAATCATCTCGCAGCCCGTATGACATTCTAGATTTGGATGAAACCGCAACTCAAGACGATATCAAGAAAAAGTACAGACAACTATCACTGTGTTAGTCTCAATCAAACTGCCTTCTCATCGAGCTTACTTCCTAATTACTCTTTTAAAAAGTCATACACCCGGATAAGACTCCTCATCCTCGCGCGCCTGATGCTTTCGATATCCTGAAGAAAGCGGAATCAGAGCTTTCTGAGAAGGCAAAGCGAGACGAGCTGGATGCACTATTATCTCAGGCCCGGACACTATTGGTGCGCGAGATGGGTTGGTCAAGCATGAACAGCAAGGCTATCAAAGAGATTGAAGCAAGTGAAGAGGTAACAGCGCTTGGTGGAGTCAAAGTTTGGAGGGAAAGGGTTAGAGCAAAGACAAAGGAACTTTTAATCGACGAGGAGCTGCGGCGGCGGAAGTGAGTACTGCAGAACGACTTCAAGCAGTACTTGGAGCGGTCATATTCATTATCTATTTTCCAGAGCTCTTCAGCTTGCACTCGCCAATGAAGGACTTGAAGCCCGGAAGAAGGACGAAGAGGTCGCTACCAGGAAGAGGAAAGCTGACGATGAAAAAGCTTGGGAAGGTATTCTCTTTCCAACGGTTGTTTTTTTTGTCAATATCATGACTCCCTTCCCCTGCAGCAAATCGAGAACAGCGTGTCGACTCCTGGCGTTCCTTCGCGAACACCAGTAAGAAGAAGAAGAAGGGTAAATCGGCTACGCTCCTTGGATAATAGGCTGTAATAGGACTCCGGAAGGAACTCAATGCATTTTGCTGGTACTAATTTGAAAAATCATCACTACTGGAACGATTGCGAAGTCATTAGCTCCACCTGAACTATTTATTCCACCCTGTAAGATCATCGTATGAAAATCTGAATTTCTAAGTCTCGACCTATGTACTACTTGGAAGGTGATAATGAATCCTGACATCAGAATACATACATATTCCCGCTACCTCTTTAAAGGTTGAAGCTTAAGAACCTGTCCTGCAACTACGATCATGTGTACGAGTTAACTAAAGAAAATAGTAAGTAATGTTAGAAGAAGAAGGAAGAATATATATATAACGAACTCAGCCTCAGGAAAGGAAAGGAAAACCGACATGGTTTCATTGAGGGACAGCCGCGTATCGTAGAAAGCTGAGGGCGGGGGCTTTTGAACCTACTGTATTTAAATAAACATGTCTGCCATATTCATTGAACATAAAACGACGGACGGGAAGAGAAAAGACTATACACAAGATAAGAGTTTGAAACACACTGAAATACTTCTTTACGAAGTGTACCTGACCGAACTCGTATCGCCAGCTTTGGCCTTATGTCTATATTCGTTCAACACGTTTGATTATTCATTACAAAGAGCTTTCTACGATACGCTGAGGTTAAGTTGGTGCATAGTACATAGCAGTAACCTTGAGCTTCAGGTTCTTTTTCTTTGTAGACTTGTGGCCATTAGGATCTTTCAACGCTATTTCGGCCTCAGCACCCTTCTGCTTCGCGTCCGGAGTGAATGTGGGGGTCGTGGAGCCAATATCAGATTTAAGGGCATCGGTGATCCACTCTTGAGGAAGAGCGGAATTGTATTTGATCGTCACTGATACGACTGTGAGTGGTGGCGGCACTGGCTTGTTCATGCGAGGAGAGTGAACTTGCACGGTGGTGGAAGAGACCTGACAAAAAGAATATTCGTCGGTTATTCCCTCAGTTCGGAATACTATAATCTAACCGGATGAGCTAAAGGTAGTCCGAATACCAAGGACACAAGCCCGATGATAAAGAAAGCAAGATTGAAATGCATGAAGGTCTGTGAAATTAAACAAGACGACTCGGAGAGGTGAACATGAGATTAAAATGAACACGGACTTGAACTCACAGATGAACGGGGCTCAATGAAACACGGGAAATTGAACGTTCAAAAGAGAAGAACAACGTTGAAATCGACCTGGATAATAGATTGTAGGCTGAATGAGATAGTTCATAGGAGATTGCGTGTACTCACCAAGTTTCTGTCTTTGACCAGCAAAGAAGGGCAGGAGGTAGATTGAACAGTTACTAGCGTTGGTATTTAACCGCTTCCCTCCGATTCAATAAAATCGAAAAACTGGTTTTCTGATTCAGATAAGGCCACCATTCTCCACCATTCCTTTTTTGGTTTAGCCGATCGCGGCCGACCTTAGCGAGAACAGGCGGTCCACTTTTGATGGATTTGCTTAGCCTCGCGTATTGCTGCCATTTGAGTCCCATTTCTCAATCCAGTTCTGAAAGAAGGGAACCCCTTCGTCAGGTACAGCCAGTGGCAGTAGTGGCAGCCACTGACATTATCATCCAAATAGGCTGTAAGGGCTGCTTGATTCTATAGCAGTCGTAGGGCTCCGTAGGCCCAGACTGTTGCACCTTTCATTTCTCGGTTCAATCAGGTTCAGATCTCCTAAAAAATGCGACGGAAGACGATTGAACTTATGGCCAGTGGTGGTCACAGACTGTTCAATCAGGTTCAATCTCCTGCAAGATACGCTAAGATACGACGGAAGACGATTGAACTTACGGCCAGTGGCGGTCACAGACGGTTGCACCTTTCCTGTCTCGGTTCAATCAGGTTCAATCTCCTAAAAAATGCGACGGTTGAACTAGTAAGAGCCAGGGGCAGTATAGGGCAGCCACTGACATTATCATCCGAATAGGCTCTGAGGGCTTCCGATTCTATAGCAGTCATAGGGCTCCGTAGGCCCAGACTGTTGCACCTTTCCTTTCTTGGTTCAATCAGGTTCAATCTCCTGCAAAATGCGACGGAAAACGCATCGTCGCGATGGCCTAGGATGAACCTTTTTGAAGTACCCGACGCCCTAAATATGATAGATAGATTGCCAGCGATAGACGCTGATAGACGGTTCCGTGTCACATAAATACTGACAATTCTGGGCAGATTGAAGATCATTCTTTCCTTGCTGGTCACCGTGTTCTTTTTTCTTCAAATCCCTCTCTTGCTGGTCCAAGAAAGAGATTTAACACAGGTACATCACCTTTTCACGGCCCTTTGCTGTTTTGTGAATTTTAATTGTTGTACCTTTGCAGTCTTCGCTGGTCTTCCTACAAGAATGTGACTCTTTTTGTGGGTTGCTGCTGCCAAACTGTCTGACCTAGCTTACAGCTCAGTCAACGATCTTGCTCATCAACGATCTTCTCCATCGCCCTCTAATGAGTGATTCGTCCCTTGTGCTTCTCGTAATTCGCTCTAACTAGCTTTAACTTGAACCATCAACAGCACGGATCATGAATTTGAGTTCGGTTTATCTCGTTCTTTGCCTCTTGTCCTCTGCATATTCCGCTGCAATATATCCCCGTCAGGTGAGTACCGATGTTGCAGATGGATTCAATATATGACTTACCGCCATCTTTGACTTGTAAAGACACCATTTAGGGGCCTACGCGTAAAGGTGATCAGTGTCGAGGTCACTTATACGGAACAGTGGGCTGGAATTGGCAACATTTTACACAAGGCCATTATAGACGGTATCAATGCTCAATGTGAAGAAGTGGAAGGCATCAAATTCAGCGAAGTTAAAGATAGCATGGTTAAATGGGTCACAGGTACAGAGAACAAATTTAAGGTGGTGACGGGGGGTACTGAGTATAATGGCAAACTGGATGCGCATATGGCAAAATAGTCTCGGTACGGAGTTGCATGTTCTTCTTGCATCCTTCAAGGTAGCGGGGGCCCTACTAGGCCTTGCCACTTGTCGGCGCTGTTTGGATATATTCGTAGTACGTAGTCTTACTTGCTGTCGATTCGGGGACCGTGTTTACACGCACTATGATAGTATTTTACCTGGTGACGCGAAGTTGAAGATGATAACTTTTAGACCACATTTACGGAGTAAATTGATATTCATCTCAACCTGTGAAATACAAAAAGATCAAGAGCGGAATGCGAGTACACAAGAGTAAGAAGTGGAGATATTTAGTAGCAGCAATGAGAATAAACGACCGGTCGAAGTCTCTATACACAAGAAGTAAGTGATCAAATGAGGATGTGTAGATGAATTGGGATATACAGAGAGAAAAAGGAGGCAAGGGCGACATAAAGATATGCACAATACGTCCAAAAAGAATTTGAAAGGATCGGTTAATTTGACGGCCAAGGACTAACTACCTCGGAAGAAAGCAGAGAGTACAGTATGATAATGGTAGATAGTGTCGATAGTGTCTCGGAACGAAGCGCGCGACGACTAGAATGAATTGCGGTGGCTGATAGTAGGATGTAACACAATCGAGAATGGCATGAGGTGGGAAGGATATAACGAATATGACGGTACACTCTCCCGGTAAAAATTGCTGGGTCCAGAAGGATTATGAGCAGGGAATGAATGAACAATGCCCTCAGCATCAATGAAGGGAATAGACGACAAAAAGGAAGGAATGTGAATAATGCACATCTTGCAACAAGCAAATGATAGATGTGAATGTGGATAAGGCAGAGCGGCAAGAAAAGATTTAAGGAAAGTCGAAGGATTTGTTTCAAGAACAAAAGTGCAACGGAAACACAAGTGAATGTCGATACGAGTACGTATATACAAATAGGGATAGCAGGAAGGAAAGAAGGGCAATCAATAGATGATGGGATACGCAAAGAAGCAAAACTAATGGTACAATATCAGTGATGCAAGGGAGATGGGTTACTATATCGGGAGGGGAAAGTGATTTGAGAGACAACGAATGGCACAGAGATGAGTAAATATGAACACCGGAGTTAGATAAAAATGATGGTGATGCAGCAAAGAATATACTTAATGCTGAGGGTGGTGGCACAATATTCCGACAACAAAGATAATAAAACATTGGGAAGGAATGAATGGAAACCTGGGGGTAAAGCGCAAGGGCACGCAAGATTTGGCAAAAGTTAGACCAACCTGACGAGGACTAGGGCCAGATAAAGGCGACGATGTGAACCACCGGAAGGCAGGCAAATAGGGAAGTTTTTTTTTGAGATAGTACAGACCGAGGATGCGAGGATTCGCCAACTTGGTCATGGTTAAATTAGGACAATTGGAAAGCACTCCCTAATTTGGGATGTTGTCCTCCTTTGTCGTCTTCTTCGACGTCAGTATCATTGCCATTAGGGGCGACTAGACTCCCAAAAGAGATTTTTCTAGAGGGAGCCAAACGCTTGACACGTCGAAGAGTTTTTCGAGGAGGCCCTGCAGGCTGACTTGCAGGCTGACTGGGGGTGGCAGTATGACGTGGATTACACGACGATGAAGAGGCAGAAGGGATAGGACGACTAGCTGGAATATGTAGATGAGGCAATTCTTCCCCAAATATACTTGAATGTTGTAGATTCATCTGTGGACCTGGACGACCCAAGGGCTGAGTAGGGACCACTGCAGAAATAGACGCAGGAGGAGGAGATTTAAGACGAGATGATGTAGCCTTACTTTCCGAGAAAACCGCGTCTTTCGCTTTAGTACGCTTCTTTGCTTTCCCTTGGTCCGAACTGGGAGAATCGGGTGGGAGTGAGGCAGCAGGACTTCTGCTGGCTTTTCCTCCAGGCCCTTTCACCTTTTTCGCCTGATTATTACGTAGTTTCTCTTCCTCGTCACTAGAGGGGCATGGACTGACATTCATCTCCTCCCTACTCTTCGACCCGTATATGTGCGGGACGGCACCATTTGAACGCTTTTCTTTCTCCCTTTCTCTGGCTTCCTGGACAAGCGCACCATAAGACGGAGCACGCTTGAAGGCCTGGCGGGTAGACGGAGGGGTTCTTGCAGAGGCTACGAAAGGATGATTATCATTCGATGCACTATACGGCGGATTATAAAATGATTCAGATCTTCGCACACGTTGAACTCGAGCGTCGATGGGATTGGGTAGAACGGATGGCAAGAGATGTGCCTTAACCTCACTGTCAGCTAGGCTACTTCGATTTCCGCTGATCATTGAGCTGTCCGAGCTGCTAAATGTCGAAGCTGAACGACGAATGACGTGGGGACGAGCAGCGGAGGTTGAGAGAGACGAGAATGAATTGAGGGTGGAGGAACTGGGTGTAGAGGGGCTAATGAGAGAAGGAACGTGCGCGGGCCGAGGAGGCGACGAGGATCGACGATTCATCTGATCGATACGAGCTTGAGTTTGCGACTGAGTTTGAGCACGAGCACGAGATCTTGTGTAAGGATGATAAGTCGGGTTTGGGACAAGACTATCTGTGCGCTGCAAGCGAGTGGATAAACTATATAGTGAGAAGAAAGAGCGTAAGCGAAAACAAAGAGATTACCAGAAAGGTAAAATGGTGGACAAACCGAGTTATATTATCCCCATTCTTACGGTCGCCAGGATTTACAAAGTCCATACTAGATTGACGATAGAGCGGACGTCGGGATATGACTCGCGATCGTTTTCTATTATTCATGTCACTGTCTGTAGAATAACAGGAAATGTCATCGTTTTCGTCCGTCACCACGTATTTAGGTCCCCGTGGAGGGTCCTCTTTAGCACGTTGCCGGGCAATCTCAATGAGTTTGACACGGGTCGCACGCAGGGAGTGGGGCCACTCGGCAGGACCTTTTGCATTAGCGACTCCACGAGCAATTTTGTCAAGGAGATTTGAAGGGGGGATAGGACCATTGAAGGGAGTGACGAGATGTGAAGGGAGAGCGTCCAAAGTCTAAGGAATGGGATTTTTTGAGTCGTCAAAACCACGATAGACTTTTTCAAACTGATTGTACTAAAACACATACCCTTGATAATAGCAAAATCTGGTCTGCCTTCCACTCTGATTCACAATCCTCTCCTACATCCTGATTTGAGCTATTCCAGCTATCTGTACTCTTCCTATTGTTATTGTTTGCAAACAGCCATGACTGACAGGTAGGCGAAGCACAATTGGAGGTTCTTGGTGTATGTGGGGAATTAATAGAGCCTTGAGAGAGCAACGAAGAGCGGCGCCGGAGTAAAGGAGGATGTGGGAGTACTATTGCAAGCGTAGAGACGCGATTCTGGCGCCTCAAGCTCATCGTAGTGGTGGTATGGGGTGATGAAAGACGGAAAAGAAACGTGTTTGGTGGGAATCTGTCAAAGCGAAATTTCTCAAAATGAAGTTTATGTCACAAATTTGATTGATTGAGCCGGATTTTTCCTCGTTTGACCAAGTCTATGTACGAAATAATGATTAACAACGAACACGTTCCATTCTAGTGCCAATCATTTCAATCATAGGATTCGAGGATTCGAAGCTTCTCATCAGGTCCGATTCCATTAATTCCGACGATGTGGGACAACCAAGCGAGCGTTGTTATTAATGCGATTTTGGTCGCAAATTTGGGCTTGCCAGTATAGCGTCGCTAAACATTCGAAAAGAGAGTACATACATGCCGGAATAGCTCCAGTACCAGATTCGGATAGTACCGGAACTCGAGAGCTCAAGGAAGAAGAATGTCAACCTCTCACCTCGCCTTCCATAATGAGTGCTCTGATTCCCGAAAAACCAAGAAAGCCTCGTTATGGCAGGCGTCGGCAAATTGCAGTGCTTTGACTGTTGACTTGACATGCAGGAAAGCGAACCGCCGTCCCTTGTCGGGTCCAACGCGGTGAGTAAGTAGTCGGTCGAATCAGATCGATTGGAGTTCAGGAATAGACGGCGTTTGTATACATGACATTTGGACCTTGCTCTGAAGATGCAATCTACATTGGGTGCTGATATTCAATTCACCATGAACGATTGAGTGTGACACGCTTCAACAAGGCGACTGCACGGACAGAATTTACAGCGAGTGATACGTTGACATTTGAAAGAAATCCGAGCACGACTTGCTGTATGCATTGCAATTAGGTATTGAATCCTTTCTGAATTTTCGATATGATCCACACCATTTACACATATGCCAAATGTAGCTCAGTGCTCTTCTTTTTCAGCCATAAGCTTTGCTTCAAGAGCCTCTGCTTTCGCTAACCGCGACTTCCTACTCTCTGCTATTTCAGCCTTCTTCTTCTCAATGAGAAAAGCCGCCGTTTGGTCCCATCTGTACGCCATGTAACCTCCATAGCCAAAGACACCCATCGCAAGGGCATGTCCACCCAGATCTAACATACAAAAGGTATGTCAACACGAAATTTCAACACGTTTAAAGGAAAAGTACACACTTTCAAACAGATTTCGTTTCTGAATTCCGAGCTGGCCAAATCTGGCAGCCAGGCCAAATAATGAGAAGCCTAGAATGTTGGCTAGCATCGACATGCTCTTCTTGTGTGGTCAGATAGGACCTGTTCGCGGTGTCAAGGAAAGTATTATGGATCCAGCGCTTGATTTAGGCGCCGCCGTTGATCGGAGTTCGTTGTTCCCCTTTGTTCTCTCTATAATCGCTCTACTCCCTCTGTTGTTGTTTCGATCCCCTTCAATATCTTCTTGAACTTCAACACGCTATCATGTCCTCTACCGAAGAAAAGTTCGAAATCGCCAAGAAGCAGAAGGAGACGGGGGATCAGGCTTTCAAGGAGGGGAAAGCGAAAGAAGGTAAACAACTCAATGTAGACTGCCTGGGTTTAGTTTTGCTCGAATGCTTGGACTAACTGTTCTGCTTTTCAGCTCTGACTTCGTATCATGGGGTGCGCCCTTAATCCTATCTCAGATATTGTGTGGCGTTTGATGCTCATCTACTCCCCAGGCTTTGATGTACGCGCAGGGGCTGGACAAGCGAGTGAAGAATTTTGACTGCCAGAAAAGATATTATTGACGCTGTCTTCGTTCAGAAATGCGTTCAAATCTATGGGGATGACAGAGCCTGCTGAAGCTGGCAAAGAGAAAACCGAAGTGAGTGCTCTGCAATTCGAGTATGACATAGTGATTCGATTCGATCATCACTTGTCTAGGTGGATGAGCTTCTAGAGAAGATCTATAACAATATGTCTGCATGCTACATGAAGATTGGAAACTGGAAACGTACTCAGGAGACGGCGGAGAAGGTTCGTGCCTTCTCAAGCATTTTCCATCTATAAGCCAATCTCCTCCTTCCATAGGTGCTGTCGAAGAATGAAACGAATTATAAGGCCATGTATCGTAAAGCCAAAGCCTTAGCTGAACAAGGGTATCTTGAGAGAGCGTACAAATTATTTTCCGATCTGATAACGAAGAATCCTTCAGGTATACACACCCTTGACGTTCTGTATCCTTGGTATCCTCCTCATACGCGATTGTGCTCTTTTCAGAGGCTACTCTGTATGAACAGGAACTTGCTCGATATAAAGCGATTGACGCTCAACGTGAAAAAGCCAACAATGCAAAGCTGAAGGGTACGTGTTTGGTCTTCTCTCCCTATTTTCATACCTTCATTTTCGAATAGGTTTCCTGAACAAAGCGGAGAAAAAAGCCTCTGCCCATGCTTGAGTTCACGACCTATCATTGCTTCATCTGATCTCAATTCACCAAGCCAGTGTCTATATCTTCATATCTTAATGCCGAACTGCGTAGGCTTATTGTACATAGAACTCGGAAATAAATGTATTTTTCTTCTCTTGAAAGTATTCCAGTCACGCCAACTTCACCACCTTCGGATCGATGAATCTTTCAACAGTGAATCCACCCTCTGGTGATTTGACGACTCCAGCATTTTCAAGAACACTGTACACAACTTGATCAGTCAGCTTGTGTGGCTTGACTGGAATAGAAGAGAGCTCGCCTCAGAGTATTCATAAGGACGTCCTTAGGAATAGTGAGACAATCTTGAGGATAACCTACAGTTTTCATCCATGCCTGAATGAACCATTTAAGTGATGTACTTATCATTGAGCTGCATAACACACCTCAATGTCTTCCTCGCCATACCCGAACCGAGACTTGATAAAGTTCACGTTCTTCGTCGCTCGACTCTCAGCTGAGTCAAAAGAGCGAACATAGCTTGACAATGTTGTCAAAAACTGCTTCAAGGCTTCTGTGTTGACGGAAGGTTGAGCCGCCACGAGCCAGGAAGGCCAAGGTGTAGGAACCGAGCCAATCTATGTAGCAGGAACTCTACGCGCTCACATACACGAGAAACGGGTTACATACGAAGCGGACTTCACCCGAATCAAGCCAGGGCTTAGTAGTAAACCACTCCCACATGAACGCGGCGGTCGAATGATCATTGACAGAGTCGATGAGACCCCGTATATCGTTATTTACTAAATATACAAACATCTAACGTCGAAGACATTGAGAGAAAAAGGTACTATCAAACACACCTTGGAAATTCATGCTCTCCGAAGGCCAACCTTGCTGAAATCCCATGACATAGGCCATTGTTTGGCTTCCGCTAAATTCAGAGTGTCATGACTCAGCGACAGAGTGTAATAATTCACTCTCACCTGCCCAGCCTGGATATGCCTATTATAGAATCTTTGAGATCACTAATCTTCTCGTACTTCGAGTCCTTCCCTGTAATTACGGCCCTGTGTATTTCACGGGTATGGTCAACCACGGAGTTTCTTTCAGCCTCCACACAAGATCTGTACCAGTTGAGTGGTGTGGTCACATAACTTCCAACAAGTTTATATGCCTCAGAACCATTTGCAATGCCAGAAATGAGGGGGTCGGTGAGAGCGCTGGTGTAACATCAGCTTCGCTTCGATGAAAGGCTGTCAGACTTGCATAGCAACATCGATTTCATCTTTCGTGAGACGAGAGATCAGTTGTCCAGTTCCACCTATGCGCAAGGTTTGGTCTACGTGAAAACAGCTTTCAAGGAGGCAGGAAGCTCACTAGGGCATTCAACCAACGCGATTGTACGACCTTCGTCTGCTTCGGCGAATTGAAGGAGTGGAGAGGAGAAGTGTTCGCGGACTGTAGGGTGTCAGTGAGCACGATAGCATTGTGGTGCATGGCTAGCTCCGTTACCATATCCAATTCTCAAAGGCATCGCAGCAGGACGAAGAGAAGGACCGTCTACTAGATTTATCATCCCCAGGATCTTCGGCAAGCGTTTCGGGCCGGTAAATCTGGGCAGTCACAGCACGCGCATGTGACAAACGTGAATAGGCGTCCAAGCGTGACGCAATGTTTCTTGCGAACGCTGTTTCTTGACACTATTAGTCTCTACCATGGATCACTCCGTGACGCTGGGCATTTTGAAGCACTACTTTACGCACGTCAAAACCTTAGCTGCCCACCTCAAGGAGTCTCTGTCTGCACCAATTGGTAGCCAACCACTGGGACCTTTTGTGTCGGAGAACGATGAGAGTATCTTCCGAAATTTACTTGAAACGACCTTTGTCGCGACTCAAACGTCGAATGACTCAATCCCATGGTCTCCACATCCTCATATGGGAATGAAGGATGTGTGTAACTTTGTGAATTTCTGGCGAGAGATCAGGACTAATGTCATGAAAGATTATAGAGAGATCTCAGGAGCTACTCCTGTCCCGAAAGATTCAAACTCACACCATTACTCAAGGATACTCTCTCGTGATCGGTGCTTTTTTGTTTCCTTTGGGTCTTACTGAGGCTTTGGCAGAAAGATGGTAGTAGAGGAGCTACCATTTCTCATGGACGGTTGAACAACTTATTCGTCAACACCATTGTAACGGCGCTTCAACGACTGGAGTGGAACTTGCTACTTCAAAGGTCATTTCTATGATTACTCTAAAGACCTTGATCGATGACCCGAAGCAAACAGGATTGGTGTCGATGCTATGATCTATCTTCTCACTCAAACCAGCATGTTTGTTTCGTTGCCAAATGGATGTCTCTGCCAAATGACAGGGCCTCTTCTTTTGCACGCTGTTCTCAAAACAGAGCGCGAAAGGATTACAGAATCGACAAATAAGAGAAAGCGATTGAACTCCGACAATGGGCTTTCCGATAGGCCACACAAACGCTTGAAGGTCAGCTCTACTGCAGGCCCGAAACGACCACTTCTCAAAATGCGCATGTGTGTTAATTCTATATATTCTGTCATATCTACTGATTCAAACATAGACGATCTCCAATGGACATTTCGTTCGCGCGACAACGTATGTTCTATGCCCGTCCAAATTTTACTCCTTCCAGATACATTGTCGTAGGACTTCCGTTAAATCGTAAGGATCAGACTTGGTATAATCCGCCGAAACTCACCGATATCGTAGATGTGTTGAATAGACTACAACTGTCCTTTGGTTCAAAAATTGTCCAAGATCCAGATGTTCATGCTCAGGCTGAAAAAAGTCGACGTTTCTCAAAATATGTATTTCCTCGACAGTATGGCCTCGCTAATGCTTCCATGTTTGAGGTTTCGAAATACGAGCCTTCATATATTCCTGATTTTGCGGATCGAGATAGTGAAATTGAGGTGATTACTCTGTCGTTGGAAATTATCCAATGCGACTTGAATATTTTCACAGATGCTGGGTCCATGCAAGACTCCAAAGAGAGTAAAGGCGGTTTTACCACTTTTGGAAAAGTTAATATGGAGGCACGGGAAGTGCAAGTATCGATTGTTACGAGATAGGTCATGTCCGTCGAAAGTACTATCACAGCCCGGTACGGCTTCCTCATTAGTCCACCGCATTCTCGCTGATTGCTCCTTAGTAGAAAACGATATGGACGGGACTCTGATATTGGTCAGGATGCCTGTTCGCCTCTAGATATCCTATTCATGGATAGTTCAGGATATGATGTCTGAAAACATGTCTCAATTACGTTCGCAAACTTCCCTGAAGCTCAATTCCTTTGACTCTGAAGGGAAAACAATTTCTGCTTTTGGCCTTACCCAAGCTCAACAGGCCGCAAAAAGCAAGCCTCGTTTCATGAATTTTGCAAGTGACTATAGCGAGGTACGTTACTCGCATCTCGATTCACGCTCTCTTCCGAAAATTTTCGGCAGGTTTACAAATATGTCATTTGGGTCACAAACGCTGTTATCCCGAAGAGCTTCTGGGGTACCAGAGCAAATTTCCGACTCGTTTGCCAGCGTAAGCCAAAATTTTCGTCACAGTTTTCACGTCCATCCTCCTGAAGCACCTAAATACAGACATCAAGAAGTTCATCGTGTGTCGACGATACGAGACTCTAACCCTACATCACGTATTGCAGGGCTTCAGCACGTCCGGATGTGAATGGCTCATGCCTTCCGGGGATGGTCAAAATCAAACAAGAGTCTCAGTCTCAGATGATCTCAAACGGCGCGAGCTCCTGGAAGACTTTATGTTCTGGTTCTTTGATTCTTTCATTATCTCACTTCTCCGTGTACGTCTTCCAGTTACGTTGCACGACATCGATATGTCCAAACGACTATTCTAGACAACCTTTTATATTACGGATACTTCGGCATTTCGCAATCAAGTGCTTTATTTCCGACTTGACGACTGGGAGCGGCTCTGTGCACCGCTCATTGACCGCCTCACAAATGGCACATTCGAAAAGTTATCCGACGATGACGTAGTGGAAATGTTGAGGCAACGCGAATTAGGATTTTCCTACGTCCGGCTCCTACCCAAAGAAACCGGTGTACGCCCTATCGTCAATCTAAGGCGAAAGCAGGCCTTACAAACGGTATGTGAATCGATTCATCATCATTGAACCTCGAATAACTCTGAACAAACCAGGGTCCCAAATTATTCCCTCACAGTCGCTCAATTAACCAGATATTGCAAACTACTTTTAGGATTCTAACATATGAGAAAGTAAATGGAGCTGCTCAAATCCGGCCTTCAATACATTGATTGAGCACATCTCAGGAAATCCAGCCTCATCTCATTGGCGCTTCCACATCTGGCGATGACGACGTGTATGCAAAACTCAAGAGATTCAAGCAGACGCTTCCCTTGGACTCTAATCAAAGAATGTCGGTTGTTATACTCATGTACAGATGAATCAAAGACCTTGACGGAACACACAATACTGCAGGCCAAAACTTTATTTCGTCAAAATGGATGTTCAGGCATGCTTCGATACCATCGATCAACAAAAGTTGCTGGAAATTCTCCGGAAGCTCATCTCTCAGGTGTGTAGATAGCACGACTCGCGGACGCCGAATATGGATGCTGTAACAATAGGATGGCTACATAATTCAGAGATTTGGTCAGGTTAGCACAATTGTCAACCGACCCAAACGCATGTATCTCAAGAAAGCCATACCGGATGGTAAGCGCGCTTGCTCGTTATGTAGGCGGCGTACTCACATTGAAGACATTCGAGATGATCATCCTCACTTCTTACAATATGCTCTTGAATTAGCAAATTCTTTGCGTAACGTCATATTTGTTGATCAAGTCAGTACGGGTAAACTCACTCTCTAATTCAGCTAACTACCGATTACAGGTAATATACCCTTCGACGAAAGCACAGACTGTTCTGGAACTCCTTGAACAACATATAACGGAGAATATCGTAAAGGTATGTGCCTTGTTTGGGAGACTTATCTTGGCAGTGAATGAGTTTCAAGATTGGAGCTGCTTATTATCGTCAAGTGGTCGGCATCCCTCAAGGATCCGTCCTGTCAAGCATATTATGTTCATTTTTCTACGGAGACCTTGAAAGGCAGCCAGATTTCCCAGATTTTGTTAATGACACTCAGAGTGTAAGAGCACACCACAATATTCACTCAGTTCATTTATTAACAATTTGCAGTTACTCATGAGACATACCGATGATTATCTTCTCATCACTGCCGACCTGTCCAAGGCAAAAGAGTTTCTCAGAGTAATGAACAAAGGTTTTGCTATGAATCACTTCTGTGACTTTTATGATTGTGACCGGTCTTAGGGCATCCGGAATATGGATGTTTCGTTTCAAGAGACAAAACTTTAACCAACTTTGATCACGACGAGCAGATAATGAACGTTGTTTCTCCTAATCAAGATTGTATGGTTCGTTCTCGTTGGTCGTGAAACTGGGACTGATAAATTGCAGTCTTTCCATGGTGTGGATATGCCATCAACATGGTAGATTTATCCGTGGCCGTAGACTATCTCCGATACGCCAATTCCCGTCAGCCAGTTTCAACTACAAGTTCTTTGTCGCGACTCTCACTGATGGCTCTCGATTTCAGGTCTGGGTGATACCTTGACTATTGCGCGAGGGCGTTCGACTGGTCGAAGTTTTCTCAACAAGATGTTACTGTAGGCTCGTGTATGTTTTTTTCTGTTTGCAGGCGTTAATACTCGACTTTCAACAGACTCGCGAAGAGACGTAGTCATATCATCTACACCGATTCAACACTCAACTCTGAACATACGATCCATTTGAATATCTATCAAAACTTTCTACTTTCGGCGATGAAAATGGATATTTATGTTCGTGATTGGGAAGGTAAAATGCAACGCGAAACTGATCAACTCATCAAGGGTACGACAATTTTCCGAACTAATGATACGGAATTTGGAACGCTGATTGAATATACCGTATAGATACTGTCAATCAGATGTTTGTCTACTGCTTTAGTGCGATGCGCAGTAAAGCGCTGAATCGTATTGCGAAAGCCAACGCCTGTGATGTTTTAGTAAAGAAAGCAGATGTACTTTGGTCGGGATCTCTGTCTTTCATTTTTGCGATGTTTGTTTGACATATGATATAGGTTGGGTGCTTATGCTTTTCACAAAATCTTGTCTAGTCGGCCCCAACGATATTCTTCTTTATTGAAGAGGTTAAAATTCGATATGGAACGAGGAAAGAATCGACATAGACGCAACAGATTCCGCAAAGTCCTTGATGACGGTTCTGCTTTCAGTCTCGAAGTTAACCGAAGCTGATAACGTGACCAACATCCGGACCCCTAATTCCCGAACCAATTTCCTAATAAATCCATGATCGCACATTCTCTCATTTTCTCATCTTTTCGTCTTTCCCAGCGACCACTGCCCACTCTCATATACTGTACACGTCCTGCTCTAAAATCTTCGAACGCGATATCTTTCCTGCACACATCCACCATGTCGGAAAAGACCGGATTTTATTCCTTAAAGGCCGAAATGCCTGGCAACAAAACTTTCGATTTCGCGGACCTTGAAGGCAAAGTGGTTCTGATTGTAAACACGGCTTCTGCCTGGTGAGGCCTCGCCCTTCATCCCAGATGGTGATCATTTATTCAAGCATTTCTCTTAGTGGGTTCACGCCTCAATACAAAGGTGCGTTTGTGATCAATCACTCATGTAACCAGATGTTCAATGCTATCCATAGGTCTTCAAGCTCTATACGATAAGTACAAGGACCGCAACTTCACTATAGTGGGCTTCCCTTGTAATCAAGTATGCCTTATCCATCTCGCCTACTCAACGATTCTTACTGTTATCAATCACCACTTTCAGTTTGGAGGCCAGGAACCCCTCGATGATGCCGGAGTCGCTGAATTCTGCACAGTTAACCATGGCGTTACATTTCCACTTATGAAGAAATCTGAAGTCAATGGGGACAACACCAACGAGGTTTACCAATTCTTGAAGTCGCAAAAGTCTGGCATTCTTGGTCTCACACGTATCAAAGTACGTATCATCATACCCGGGTCGGCTCCCACGCTCACATCCCTCCGTAGTGGAACTTTGAGAAATTTTTGATTGACAAACAGGGCAACGTCGTCAACCGTTGGGCTTCAACCACCACTCCTCAAGCCATTGATGGTGATATTGCTAAGTTGGTCGCCGCTTGAACGACGTATGTACTCATTAGAAAGCGAGATATTGTATCAGCCAACTACATTTTGTATATAGGCATAGAATGTTTGCACGTATTATATGTATAAGGAAATGTCTGGATCGTCATCTGTTGGTATCCGGGGTTGGTGTTCCTCTCGTCCCCTCTCGTCCCCCGAACTAGAGCAGGTCTTTTCCTTTCGGCCTTATGGAATACACACGGAAGAACAATTACTTACGACGAAGCTATATTACTCACTCAGAAATATACACCGCAGGTGTCGGACCTCGGCTAGTCATAATCATTCATGTACTGACTTGATATAAGGGTATATGAATTTTTGCGCTGTATTTCGATTTCTGCAGTTCGACTTTAACTGTGTATGGTGGATATACACACAACCCGGCGCTCCCGACTTGTCGACTCTGGGAAGTACCGGTCACCAAGGTATATGCTTCTAAAAGATTATTAGCCAGTGAGCCAGAAAAAGACTGAAACAGAGTACTCTAATGCTTGTTAGATCTGTCTCCAATTCGAAAGCTTTACTCAATTTGTTACTTTCAGCAGGCGTTGTCAAGCCTATTTGTTGTCTGTGCGTTCGAGATGTCGCGGAAGAAGGCTCACCAAATCATTGTAGTCGGTTTTCACGGCAGTCCTGACTTATCGCCACTTACATAGAATAGAATCGTGAAATCGCAGCCCATTGACATCGTGGAACACCCGATGACCATTTGAATCTCGACGTGGGGGTCTGCAGGGGTATAGATATCATTTTTCATGTTGGGGAAAAATTAGATACTTAAATCCATATAATGGAAATCCCAGACTGGTCGTCTTGAATGAGTAGGTGGGAGCCTATACTATGGCAGCAGAATCTGAGGTTGAAAAGGGTCCGAGAATCAAGAAGCTTATAAGAATAACACACTATGTACGTGCAAGGACGATGCACAAGTGACCGCAATTTTGAGCAAGGGATTCATCGAAGAAAGCTTTTCAAGTAGGATTTAACAGAGGCATTACGGTCGCCGCTACGATAGTACAAATTTATGACCTACCGTGAAACCAGAAGGATCCGGGTCAATGAGTATCGGCTGAGCATGATTCTGGAAGCGTGAAGGCAATGTCCGATGTGAAAAAAACATGAGAATATACTCACCAATGCCTTGGTATCTGAATTCCGAAGACATGATCCATTAAATAATGAAAAAGAGATCATAAGATAGTCGAATCCTCGACATAATGATCCTCGGATGTTGCAAGATATAAGTCGAGAACCGAAAAACTGCAGTAACAAGGGGGTCAGCAATGTATATCGGGTGGCGCATGTTCGAGCTCGTCGTTAGACGTAGTTCGACGTCTGGATTTCTGAGTGAATCAAACTTAAAAGGAACGGGAAATTACGTTATCAAAGAAGTACCAACGCTCCCGGCGATACGTGATCGGGATTTTGCTCCTTTGCATACATTTGGTCCACTTCAAATAAGAATGAGGTTCTTCTCTTCTGCCCTTTTCTCCTTAATCTTGTTATCCAAAACTCTCCGTGAACGTAGAGCTATTTGCGTGGTACCCAGCAAACACTTCTACTGTTTATTCTCGGCGTTCCTCTCCCTCCGAATTTAACATCATACTTCTACCACATACGAGACCAACAAATTGAGTATAGGGGAGCTGGATATGTGAGCCCATGTTTCATCACACGCAAATCAACGTATAATTAACTTTTCTGTCATTCACTTTAGCAGTCGCCAGTTTTTACTGGTGGTTCTTCCTCAAAACAACGTTACTGACTCGACTTCTTACTTGCTTCCTCATCCTCGAAGCCTTGACGGATAGGCAGCATCACTACCAAGGACGTAAATCCCGACGCGACCCCACCTTAACGAGACGGCGGCGCTTTCAGTCTTTCAAACGCGTGCTTATAAGGCGACTGATTAATTCTGTAACATATATCTCTAAGCAATGGACGTCTTAACATTTCTCGTCCTTATCATTGGGCTCGTCTACTCCTTATATCTCTACTCTCGCTCCGGCAAGCAGGCCTCACAGTCGGGTATAGTACGCATACCGCCAGGTCCGAAACCGCTTCCTCTTTTTGGCAACATCTTCGACCTGACCGCGAAGGAGTTATGGGTAAAGGCCACCGCCCTCGCGCAGACCTACGGCCCGGTATACCAGCTATCAATATTACATCCTTCACTTTCCATAAGCCAACCTTTAGTGTTCCTTTCAAGTCCAGAAGTATGCTTTGATTTGCTGGACAAGAAAGGCGGGATGTATTCCGATAAGCCGAAGTTGGTAATGGCAGGAGAACTTTGTGGGTATGTATGAAATCCTCCACCATGTGCGGATGAACTCAAATCAATTCTTTCAGATGTGACGATATGGTCGCGTTCACCGGATACGGCGCGCAGTCAAGGAGACAAAGAAAACTTATAGGTCTGGCCTTCTCCAAAGAGAGGATCCCCGCGTACCAAGGTTTGATTGAAAGGGAAACGGCTGGTTTCTTGACTGGCTTAGTATCCGCACACACTTCTTCTGCTTCTACCGCGTCATCATCTTCCCAACCTCTTCCTTCTCGCTTTCTCTCGTACATCCCTTTAATTCGTCGGTACGCTGGGCAACTCACACTCTCTGTCATTTATGGATATACTGTTCCAACATCCTACACACAAAATGTTCACGACAAGTTTTTGGATATGGCTGAAGACTGCGTGGACATTCTCAGCAACAAGATTGCGTCAGGAGGAGGAATATGGCTAGTGGATATCTTTCCCTGGCTAAAAAAGGCTCCAAAGTCTCTCGAATCCATTCCGCTCTTCTCTTTCCTCCCTAAATCTCGAGCATGGAAGGCGAAAATGGTTGAATTTGTGGAAAAACCTTTTGAGTGGGTCAAAGCAGAAATCGAGAAAGGAACGCAGAAGCCATCTTTCTGCTCCACGCTTTTGGAAAATTCCGATGCCGTCGTTCCCTCTGCAGTAACTAATGGACACATGAAAAGGAAATCCGATATTTCCCCCGAATTACTTTCATCATGGGCGTTGGCTTCTTCTGCTGTGGCCAAACCGGTCACGGCAAACGCAAAAGAATATGCACAATTCGAATTCGACCTCAAATGGACCGCGAATAGCATGTATTCTGCCTCCGGAGACACAACTGTCACCACTGTAATGCACTACTTTCTCGCCATCCTGCAAGACATGGACACAGGTGGCGAAGTCGTACGCAAAGCGAGGAAGGAGCTCGATTTGGTTACTGGATTGGGTAGGTCTAACTGTCAGATTTCATCTGTCGATCTCATTCCTGACATTCCCGTTTTCACTCCCTTTCACAGCGGACGACTCCCCTCCAGCAATCAAACCCCGTCTTCCAAGTTTATCGGATCGATACGTCGACGTTGATGTCCCAGATGCAAAGGGAGGCACCAGGAAAGTCAAGAAACCTAGGTTTCCCTATGTCGAAGCTGTAATGTCGGAAGTATGGAGGTGGGGTGTAGTTGTACCGTTAAGTGAGGGCATTCTGCTTCTCGATGTCAGAGTTTTCACTGACTGCACGTTCTCTTAGATCTTCCGCATCGGCTGACAGAAGATGATGTGTATACACCTCCTCCTTCACCATCCAACCCTAATCCTTCGCCCATGTTCCTCCGTAAGGGCTCGTTAATTTTCGGAAATATCTGGTCTATACTTCGCTCCAAGGAATTGTTCGGAGATGACGTGGATGAATTCAAGCCGGAGAGGTATCTTCCTTCACCGCACGAAGAAGCCGTTCTATATGGGCCCCATGACGAGGATGAATACGAAATAATTAGAAAAGAGAGAAAGAAACGCGATCCGCGTTCTTATGTGTTTGGGTTTGGTCGTCGGCAGTGTCCCGGACAAAATTTAGTCGAAAGTAGTGTTTGGTTACTTACGGCCACGCTACTGAGTGCTGTCGATGTACGCAGGCCGTGTGTCGAGGGCGAGGATGGAAAAGAGAGCGTGATCATAGAGAAAGTAGACTTCAATAACAGTGTGTTCAGGTGAATGAATTTCTTGACATTTTCATCCTTATATTGTTAACATGGCTCTTGGATGTTCAGAACCCCGGACCCTTTCGGTGTTGATATCAGGCCAAGGTCAGAGAAGGCACTTGAAGTCATCATGCTTGCCGGGGAAGGCGAAGAAGCCGAAAGTCTTTAAACCCGATGGCGTTGAGTATCAAAAAGTGTGGATCACTCTCTTGTATACTATAATTTTCTTAAATCATGTTCTCTTCACCATTCTCTTCGCTTATTTTCTCCGCGCTTATCTTACTTTTATCTTTTACCCATTCCCCTCGCCCTTTATTTCACTATGGGCTCGTCTTTTTCCGCTCTCGTTGAACATTCACGGTATCCATTTCAGTCTCCCTGCTGTCCATAAAATCTCACCTTGATTCATCATTAGCCGTCAGTCTCCAAATCGTTTCTTCATTTGAGCTGTTTGCCATCATATATCGCAACTTTTATGTGACTCAATAGCAATGTACATTTATCAATAGTCTCGACTTACGAACGAAATTTTGGTTACGAATTTTCTGTCAGTGTCAGTCGTGTGTAGTCGTGTGTTCAGCTATATATGTTCAGTCGCTGAATATCAGCGCTAAAACGTTTCCCATCTCCGCTAGAACATCATCTTGTAAAGTTGTAAACAAACAATGCCTATTCTTGGGGATTCAAAGAAATTTTCGCCTCCAAAACAAAGCTACTTTGAAAGCCTCGAAGAACTGGACGAATGGGCTGGTACCTCTTCGCCAGTGTTCGACAATACCTTACAATTGTATCCTCGAGCCAATGGAAACGAGCAACGAGGAAGACTCTTGGTGAAAACCAAAGGCTTATCGATTACGATTGTTGCTAATTCTGATTGAACTTCTCAAGGTATGCCACGACTACAAGGTTTGTCGTGTTGCCATTTTTAACGATTGCTTACAGATTCTCTTACAGGGTGGATACACTGAGAGCCCATTTTCTTTATCTTATACATTCAACTTTTGGTCAAGTTGCGAGACTTTTGTATAGTGGGTCATTACATGGGTCATTCGTCGTGCTAGTCTTTTATATCAGTCCTCAATTAGCTTTTCTCATCATCGTGTTACAATACCACCGCCAGGATGGATCAACGCATCTCATAGACAGGGAGTTAAGATACTAGGGACGCTGTGCGTTCAACCCATCAAATCTGTTTCTCGAAGTTGATTTTCCACAGGATATTTGAGGGTGGCGGCGAACAGGACAGTTTACGGCTTCTGGTGGGCAAGTTACCGAAATCTCGCACTGGACCAGTATCCCAGCCGACTACGCCGACATCCCTGCCATTATCGCCTCACTATGCTCGCATACTGGCTGATCTCGCAAAGAAGCGCGGATTTGACGGCTATCTATTAAATTTTGAATGCCCACTGGTCGGTGGAATCGAACAGACCCGAGCACTTGCTGCCTGGATCACTATCTTACAAGCCGAGTTGAAGTATAAAATTGGAGATCATGCGGAAGCGATGTGGTGAGTTACTCGATGTTCTTCAAAGTACTCACGCGCTTTTGCACTCATTCGTTCGTCTAGGTATGATAGTGTTATCATCAACGGAAAATTAGCGTGGCAGGATCGTTTAAACAGCCTTAATCTACCTTTCTTTCTTTCATCCTCCTCATTATTCAGTAATTACACGGTACGCAAATTCACAACCGAGAAGAAGCTCCGCTGAGGTTTCTACATAGTGGAGAAATAATTACCCTTCCTTGACCGCGCAATACTTCCTAAGTCTCGACTCTACACTTACTGGGGATGCTCATACTTATCCGCACATCCACCGCAAGAAGCTCCATGATATATACATGGGTGTTGGTATGTCATTACCTGCCTCTTGTGGACACTCTACCATTAACAGCTGGCTGGGTAGATGTATGGGGTCGTGGATCACATGGGAACGGTGGCTTTGGTTCTTTTAAGGCTATCTCTCATATCGCACCGTCCTCGCTCGGCCTAAGTGTCGCTCTCTTCGGTCAAGCTTGGACGTGGGAATCTGAACAAGACAAACCTGGATGGAATTGGGATTCCTGGTGGACTTATGAACGCAAGCTCTGGGCAGGAAAAGCCGACCCAGCGGAGGAAATTACGGTACCCGTTATGCCTCCGCTAAAAAACGGCGAATCCCCTTGTGAGGTGGGAGTGCATGATGTATTTACCCCAATTGTGTCATACTTTCAACGTACCCCACCTCCGGACCCCCTCCTATTGCCGTTCCATACAACGTTTTCACCTGGTGTAGGAAGACGCTGGTTTGTCAAAGGTCGGGAAGTGTTTCACCGACCCGAAGGATGGACGGATATCGACAAACAGACGTCCTTAGGAGATATGGTATGGCCTAAACCTATAGTATCTTGGGAAGGCGAAATCATGGACCCGGAAGGGCTAGATCTTCCTAATGCGAAATCGCAGATATGTATGGACAATGCTTGGAACGGCGGAAGCTCATTGAGATTGAGTCTGGTCGCTTTCGGTACCGAATCGGAAAACGCGGCATTTCGTTGTATTTGGATTCCTGTCCAATCTTTAGCTACTTCTGTTGGTCGGATGTACGAAGCTTCGGCAGTATACAAACTAGAGACAGACGTAGCTGGCGTGGACATCGATGTTGCTCTATCTATCAAAGGTTCGGAATCCTCACCGACCACCCGATATCCCAAATTTGATATCGAATCTCTCCCCAGCGAAGATATGGACTTGGGGCGAGGATGGTCCCTTCTGAAAATTCGCTTTAACCTTGGGAACTCTATCATCGGCGATGTCAATCGGCTTTCATCTATGGGCCTTGTCATTACTATTGTTTCGGAAGAGACCACCCAGCCGCTTGCTTTTTCTTTACTCTTAGGGCAATTGAATGTCTACCCCAGTATACCCTCCAGTATACCTCCACACGTCACATCCCTTCTCTGGGCTCACTTTTCTCCTTCGGAACCAGAAACAACGTCCCTTCCAAACGTGCCAGCGTCCCTCGGCGTTCTGACCTGGGAAATATCTACTTCTTTCCCTTCTCATGCTTTACCACGAATCACATCCCCAGACGATCCCTTAGCGGCGTGGCCCGCCCAACCTTCGGCAGAGGCATGGTTTCCGAAACTCCTGTATGCCAATGTTTATGCTCTCGAGTACCAGACAGATGGGACACCGAGTAAAGTTGAGGATGCAATCTGGATCGGGACGAGTGGATGTGGCTATGAGGGGATGAGGAATACTTTTATTGTGCAAAGCGGTATCGCTCTATCGTCTACTCCAGACACTGCAACAGCTGGGGAGGGAGTTCTGCGCATAGGTAATGGGAAAATGAGGTTTTACGTGCAGGGCGTAACGGAGACAGGCAATGTACTTGATTGGACTCGATGTGTATACATAGATATGTAACGACACTCATCCGTACATTCATGTGAGTAAACACGTCGAAGTTCATACAGCTGTTAGCAATATTATAGCAAACTCCAAAAAAAATATTCCTCAAAAGTTCCGTCTGAAGACCCGTTGGCCAGCTTTTGCATGTGGAGCTTTGGCATTGACTCTGTAAACCCCGTTGTTGAGGAGCATTAAACTATGTTATATATTTGCTGATAGCTGGAGTGAGCAACTCTTCCCGAGTACATAGTTCCATTCAAACATATGCAGTCAGTTTCTATCTTTCCTTCCCTTCATTTCCTTCCCTTCATTTCATTAATGTTATAAGAAGAGTGACCTTCGGATTCCGACGTAGCATAGCTGCGACAACTGAGTATTTACACAAGATACACGATTATATGTTTTCAAAGCTGAAGTTCACTGTTGGAAACAAAATGGTAACCCCCAGCGCATCGATATCCAGTACCGCAAGGGATCCACCTAAATCCAGCCACACATACTCCCATCTGCTGCAGTTTCTTCTGAGCCTCTTCCTCCTTCCTCTTAGCCCTCTCCTGAGCCTCCTTTTCAGCTTTGAGCCGTTCCTCTTTCTCTTTACGTCGGCGTATTGCTTCCTTTTCTTTGATCAGCTGCTCCTTTCTTTGACGCTCTAGTTCTTCTTTCTTCAAACGATCTTGTTCTTTCTTGATTTTCTCTGCTAGTGCCTGAACACGCCTTCTCTCCTCTGCGGCCTTCTTCGCTGCGTCAACTGCTGCCTTGATAGCTGCATCAAGCTTCTTTTGGGCCCGCACTTTATTTGCCTCCTGTTCTGCCTTTGCTTTTTGTAGTTCAGCCCAAACTTCATCACTGACCCCAGAATCACGCCTGGCGTCGTAGCCGCTTTGGACATGCTTTGGTTCATCTGCATTCCTACGCGGGTTTTGCTTTGGGGCCGACGAACCACTACCATCGCTTTCTGTGTCCTTTGTCAGCTGCTGAGCTTTCTTTGGCTGGCGTCGGCGTTCTCTCCGCCGTTTTTGAGGTGCTGCACTAGTCGCTGTATTCGTGCCGACGAAAGGTGGTGGTGGTGCCTGTGGTGGAACAACAGGCGCGAGCTGCACAGGTGCATCTGTCCCCTTGCGACGGGTAGAGCCGGGAGAAACTACCATTCTGGAGCGACGGTCCGCAAGCATATCCTTTGCAACGTCCAAGGCATCTTCACTCGACAAAACTAAGCTGTCGCCAATAGTAACATTCCGAACGAATGTCTTCTCTATCATCTTCTTTGCAAGAGTCTTCACGTCTCGAGCATTTCCCCAATCATTTAGAGATATGAAGTCATTAAAGAGTTCTAAGACATTCTGATGGATCTCCTTTGTGGCATCATCAATGCCTGCGAGCATGACCTTCTTTGCAGCAAGGTCATTCACTAGAATAGACATACACTCTTTCGGCTGAAGGTTGTTGAATATCACTTCTTCTGTGAATCTGCTGGACAGCCCTCTATTGCTGGAGAGTAGTTGATTGATATCCTCGCTGTATCCTGCAAGGATGACCACAATCTTCCCTTTGTATCGTTCATCCGTCAAGAGAGTAACAATCTCATCAACAGCTTCTTGTGAGAAGTGTCCTTGACCTAGACGGTAGGCTTCGTCAATGAACAACACCTTGCCTGCGGCTCTCTTGAACGCATCCTGTACGCGGGGCCCAGTTTGGCCAACATACTGTGCTACAAGATCGGAAGCCGAGCACTCGTGCACCTCCGCACTGCTGAGCAAACCGAGATCAAAGTAAACTTCCCCCATCTTGCGAGCAGTAGTAGTCTTTCCGGTACCTACAGCATCAAAGAAAAAGGTTAGCTAGTGGTCTCCATTAAGTTTGTTGCCTCACCGGGCGGGCCTTTGAAAACAAAAGTCGTGGGCACAAGATCGCTAATCTCTTCACCGCGCATCTTTCCCGTTTGAGCGACTTTCTGGAAGCTCCGCATTTTGTCCATGATACCCTCACACCCAACAACGTCCTTGAAGAGCTCATCAATCTTGTTAGAATCATGTACTCGATTGAAATGGGGATCGAAGTCTGCTGGCTCAAATATAATACTGGCATCTCGCGGCACGAGTGACCCGCGAATGCGGTGAACATAGTTTTGCTTCGCTTTGTTGATGAGGTTCTCGACATCTCCGCCATTACCAAAGTTCGGGCGCATTTCTGAACGTGAAATTTAGTCAGAAATTCGACTTGAAGAATTTAGTTTCAAAACTGACTGGCTCTGTTTAGGACTTCCTGGGCGACTTTCTTCGCATCATCTGTAGCGCCAAGACTTTGCTGCTTTAACTTGAGGTCCAGGATTTCGATGAGTTGGTCTGCAGTGAAATCTTCGAATTTGAATGCATCTTCAATAGAAAATCGACGACTGAGACCCGGATTAACCGCCTATGCACGTAGAAAAATCAGATAGATAGTTAGTTAGTATATACTAGCTTATTTTTCACAGCAGAACGGTCAAATACCTGGAACATGTCACGCATCTCTTTTTCATAACCACAAAGGATTACACATCGGTCCTCGCCCAAAGTACTTTGAACTTCTGCCACGATCGTGTCTATGACTGCAGTTTTGTATATATCTGAGCTTTGGTTCGTCTTGCCCGTGTGCAACATGTACGCCTAGAACTTATTAGTATTATTGACAACGACAAAAAATGTTCATGTTACCTCGTCAATAATGAGAACCTTTCCAACTGAGCTTGCAAGGATAGCTTTCGTTTGGGTTTCGGAAGCACCCAGCACATTCCCAATAAAATCAGCGGGATTCTTCATGATGACTAGATAACACATGAAGTCAGAGTTGGGTGCACTAACAGTTCATCAAATACTCACCTTCTCCGTTAGATAGTAATCCGAGATCAACCAAGATCTGTCCGTAAAGTTTTGCTACAGTAGTCTTACCAGTACCAGGCGATCCAATGAAGCACTTGTTAAGCGTCATTTGAAGCGGTTCTTCCTCATTCAACTCTCTGGCGTAGTTGCGCCCAATTATGTCATATAAATCCTCAATTGATCTCTTGACAGAGTTCAATCCAGTAAGTTCTTGAAGCTTTGTCCAGCTGCCACATTGGAGTATAGCAGTTGCAGGATCTGGTCCAATGAGGTCCTCCTTGACAAGCTGCAAATAATCGGGACGCGTACCGGAGGTACGCTCCTTTGTTGTTCGAGAGGCCTGACGCTTCAGGATGATGGATACTAGATTTTCCAGCGCACGAGCATTGCCAAAGCCTTCACGTCCTCTTCCACGACCTAAACGGCGTATGGCGATCCGGCCATACAAGCCATGAACACCAGCTTCAACTTTGAGTCTTCCGTCGAATTTTTCGTGTAACTTCCTCTCAAACATGAGGCGAAGCTCGTCATCGCTGTAGTCATAGAAATGGAATGTATGAGGGACACGGCTAGGAATACCGGGGTTGTGCTCGAAAAATTTCTCCATCTGTTTGTTATAACCAGCAAGAATGAAGACAAGCCTGCCAATGTTATTTTCCATTTCTGCGAGCAAGAAGTCTAGGACCTCTTTCCCACCGTAAGCACCACTGACAAGCTGATATGCCTCATCGATGAAGATGACACCACCTCCAGCATTCTTGACCTTGTCCAGCAGGGCCTCAGTGTTTTTAACGCCGTCGCTGGCGAGCTTGGATCCTGTTGTCTCCTCAAACGCACTGCCTGAAATCACGCCGACAGAGCTGAGATATTTAGCGTAATGCCGAGCCACAGTTGTCTTGCCTTTACAAGAATACCAGTAAGTAGATGATCTCAACTTGCATCAATTAAATGATAGATACCTGTCCCAGGGTTCCCAAGAAATGCCACATTGTACCGTTCATCATCATACCGAGCTCCCTGGCGCTGCTTTACTTCTATACTATCGAGGATTTTCAAGACCTCAGACTTGACCTTTTCGAGGCCGGTCATCTTCATGATGGCATCAACCGCTTGGTTGTTGACTCCTTCGATGTTCTTCTTGTATTGCCATCGATCTTCAGACTCGGATGAAAGCTTACTGTTGCTGCTTGGTGATGTGAGGACTGCAGGAAGACGCTGTGTCGTATCGCTCGACGTGGTCACCCTCTGAGTCGGTGGCTGTGGAGATTTCAATGGATCCGTTGAAGCCGTCGTGAAGGTAGGGAACACCTGTTGCCTAATCTGTTGAGCCAAGGAGATGGCTCTTTGGGTCAGCGTCTTTGCTTCTTCGACGTCAGCGGCCTTCTGCTGAAGCTCGTTGTCCCGTTGTCTCTTCGACTGAGCATCACGAGCAAGTTCCTGCTGTTCACTGATTTTCTGTTCTAACTCCTTCAATTGCTTGTGATGTTCTTGCTCTTCCTGTTGTCGCTTCATTCGACTTTTGAGTTCCTTGTCCTTTTGAGCTTGCACTGACTTGGCTATCCTATCACAATGCTTGCAAGTCGTAGGTGGAGGATCCGAACAGCGTCGAGTTTGATCATGTCCCTTCAGACATTGCGCTTCGATCCTAGTGGAACAGAAAACGGTGCTGTGGTCGCCAATACGGTGACACTTCAACGGGCATTGATGAATACCACATGAAAGGATAGAACCACTGGTTTTCGAGATGAATAAAAACTGACAGTTTCCAAGAATCACTATTGAACTCACCAAGGTTCAGAGCAGCCACCGTCCGGACAATCAACGTCAAATTGAGCCTCATCTACTATGATTGATTTGCGCTGAGTATGTTGCTGGCAAACGACAGGTAGACCATTGTAGACATGCTTGTGCTCACGCAGAAACGTGAGTAATTTTGTCCAGAGTTCATGTCCCTTTCGAGAGTGTGTAAATGTGTGCGAATTACCGATGAGCACCATCCCGTTTTTTGCGCGGGATAAGAGTACGTTGAGACGCTCTTGGGCAAACATGAAGCCGATATCATTGTTATTATTGCTTCGTGTCAAAGACACAACAACAATATCACTCTCCTCTCCTTGGTAATTGTCTGGAGCACTTTTAAATGAAATTTGAAAAAGATATGAGTTGTGCGTGCTTACCAATCGTGGCTAATCGCAGCTTTTTCTTGTACGAATTCTGGGAAGAGCGAGGAATTAATCCAGCCTGAACGAGTTCAAAGTTGTCGAGGTCATTCAGGACTGGATCTGTTTCTGCTTGAAGTTCTTGTTGGAGTGTAGACAATTGTCCAAGGTATGGAGTAAGAACAACAAGATCGTCCGTGCGATATCCCTGCTGAACAAGGTACTTTATAATCTTCAGCACCATCCGCGCTTCGAACAAGTTCTGCTTTGAAGCTTTCGAACCCAAGTCACGTTTGTCAGAAATTAAACCATTATCACCCTCCGGTTGGGAATGATCAATAAAAACGACATTATCCTGTAGACCAAAAATGTTTGGACGATTCAAGGTCTTTGGGGCATCGAGAAGGTCGGGATATATGATATGACGAATGATAGCGGATATTTCTGGACGCATACGATGTTGCGCAACAAGAGTTTCATGAGGATACCCTTTAAGGACCAACCGTTCAAAGAGGGATCGGTTAAGATCATAACCATCTCCTTTCTCTACAGTGAGGTTATAGTTATTGACTTTTGGGCGGAGTTGCCTGACGGAGAAAAGTCAATATTCATATGACCATCATTTTGAAACAAAACAGACTTACTTATGATCACCGATGAGTATTACTTGCTCAATTGAGGAGCTGAGCGCCGTAATGACATGACTTTCAAGAATTTCCCCAGCTTCCTCGACTAAAAGGACATTGATACCCACTTCGTGAAGATCAGAAGCATACTTGGCCGCAGCAGTAGTGGTGCAACCAATAATACGTTTGCTTTTCAAAACGGCGATGTCTCTTTCACGGAACTTCTGCTCCAGCTCAATCTGAGTTTTGTCGTAGCGTCGCGCTTGCTTATACAATGTGTCAATCTTTTCAGTCAATATCTCCTGCACCCATTTGTCCTCGAGAGCCTTCCGATCCACCTTCGGTATGTTCCATATGTGCGTGGAATTCAAGACATTTTGTTGTCTTTGAAAGACTCCTGCATCTTGTCCTTGGCGCCACCTATTTACCAAGTAGAATTCATTGACTGCACGACCACCTTTTCCCACTGTAGCCATGCCGTCTTCAGAAACCGGTACGCTGAAGGCTTCGAAGAACTCTGGTTCCTCAAACTCAATGTGAACAAGAAGGTCCGCATCACCCACAGACGATTGGATGAATGAGTCAAAGGATCGCTGAAGGCCAAGACCTCTGAGTTCTCCATCAGCTTTCAATTGAGTGATGATCGAATTATCGCCTTTGCTAAAGCGGTAGGAACGAGGCTGATTTCGCAAAAGCATGGACTGCGTGCGTTCGGCAGTCTTTCCCCCTCCAAGTCGGACCATGTCATTTTCTGGAATGTCAACACCAAGAAGGTCTTCTAAGAATTGATCCAGAGCATGATTGGTGTAACATACAACCAGAATTTTGTGATCAGAGAATTCATAGAGAAATTTGGCCAGGAGAGCCCCTATGAATGATTTTCCAGTTCCTTAGAGAGGTATTACATGCATTCAACAACAAGCTATCCATACAAACAAAAATATTCAAGTACCTGGTGGGCCTTGGATGATTGATAAGTTTTGCTTGAGTCCGGAAAGCAGAGATTTAGCCTGAGCATCGTCGAGTACAATCTTCTTGCCCAATTTGAGCATAGCACCGACATCAGTTTGTGGATTTCGAGAAATGTTGGAGATTGCCTGCTCAAGAGGAAAAGGATAAGATGGACCTCTAAGAGGTTTATCGGGATTCCAAAACAGAATTTCATCTACCAGCGGCAGAGTTTTCATTCGTTTGAGCGTGTTGAGAATGGGTTCGAATGCGAAAATGGCAGTATTGATAGGGATAAGACGGACGTCCGTAGTTACTTGTGTTTTCAGCAACAGCTCAGTCACAGCGGATTCACCCCCAAGCTCTAGAACAATCCGCGGTGGCTTTTTGGCAAGAAGTGTTTCGTCCCGACGGATTGTCGGAAAAGCAACTGCTTTATCACCTATGACAAAAACGCACAGCGAGCCATTCTTGAGGATTTTCTGATTCTCCTTCGCTTTAAAAAAACTGATGCGCTTTTCAGAATCCAAACTGGCTAGCTGAGGCCAGTCCTCCAAGCACTCAAAGACCAGACCCCACTTCGCTCGGCGCTCATCACCTCCGATATCAACTCCTACCAGTTTCATACCGTTCACCGTGAGCCCACGACGGTTCTTCCGAGGCTGTTTCCCCAATGCCAATTGCAACTGCTCTCGCATTTCATTAATCATCTCCTCTCTCGTCAAGCGAAAGAAATGGTCAAGATAAATTGCCTCGCGAAATTCTTCAGTATCGGGATCGTCTAAAGCAGAACTGATGCGGAGAAATGGTGGTGTTGCGCAAGCAATTTCATCGCTGGTAGGAACGATGGCGATGGCTCTAAAGTCTTTGAAATCATTATCATGGCGTCCGCCAGGAGGATGATCTTCTTGTGTAGTAGAAGTAGTTGTAGGGGGAGCTGAAAGGACGGAAATGACATTGCGGATACCTGCGGAGAAGTTGCGGACATCTAATATATGAGACTTGGCCATGAGCGGCTCCACGTCTAAGGCGATTGGAAGATAAGGAGAAGTGGCATCGGTAGACGACTTCATGAGTTGCAAGAGCAGCCATGAGAAGCATTTCTGGGTAGGTTCAGACAAACCACGATTTCTGAATGCCTCGACAAACGGCGTCCAGAAGATTGGGGGATCGACTATAGCTTGGAGTATCTTTTCGAGAAAACGGCCACCACTGATAGCCTTTATAGTAGGGTCTTGGAGGTAAGTTAATAACGTTGTCGCAGGTCCGTCAAAGAATGCTGAAGACAGATCGGTACGCAACGATGCTTGAATGGCCCCCAGGCCCTGCTGACCAGCAGCGATAATCCTATCAACACACCCAGCGTGGTCCGCTTGTGCACAGATAGCTTCTATGAATTGCTTACTCTGAGTGGCGGTAGAGATAGTAGCTTTTCCGTTGAGAACATTGCCTAAGAGCTTGTCCAACTTGGCGACTCGATTTTGGTCGGCCATGGTAGGAGAAAGCAAGCAGCGAGGCGCAGCAAGACCCCAGAAAGCTGTCTTCTGCCGTAATGGTCGCACACTTAAAGTTAAGGTTTGAGCACCTGTAAGCGCCTGTACAGGCCAATGGCCGAGTTGACAACGAACAAAGGCGATAATAAGATCAACGCACCGAAATCAGTACGCCTTGTTCATGGTTTTGCACTCTGGTCTGATGGCGAAGAGCTAAGATGTCCGCCGTTACACTGGGGATCAAGCTATTCCTTAAGAATAATGTTGGACAAGAACGGACAAGAATTTGAATTACGGGATGTGCGATTCATAGTCAAAAGATATAATTTCTGGGCAAGCAACCGCAATCTCTATCCATCGATGGGAATGATATACACCTCCACAAAATATAGGCAAAGAGCTAGACGTTGATGCGGTCTGGAAGATGGTTCTCGATTTGTATCATCGAAGTTTTGCGCAAAGTCAGGGGGGTCGCTGAATTGCGGACTCTGGTGAAAGACCATGGGAGAAAGATAGGCTTGAACTTAAACACTGAACAAAGGGTTTACAGATCGCCCGTTTGAGTACAAGCTACAACACGAGGAACTCAAACGTACCTAATATCAGCCAATATCCTTTTGCAATGGAACTTTTGTGATCGCGTGCCCCCCCAGTATTTTCCGCAATTATGACCATAGTCACATAATCATCCCTATCAGCACTCACCCCCTTCGCAGTCGCACGTTGTCTCCCATGCTCTGCGAGGCAAGAAGTGCGATTCCTGTTCCTTCCGGCATGCACAACTATAAGAAAACTTGATTTTTTTTCAGGGACATGACGGCCACACTGAGGACGGAGAATCTTCATCCAGCTTCTCGGTGTGGACGAGGTTGAAGGCGAGTGATCAATTCCAGATCATCGATGTTGGATGATTTCGTTTAGAGACTCAGAGACGGAACAATGGCGCAGGTGAGTGAACCGTCGAATCGAGAGCTCCAGAGGCGGAGATGACGCTGAAGTTTGAATTCACCGGAACCCACGCTACCTAATCCTAAGTTCTCGATATAAAACCTTATGCGGTGGCTAATCTTGTTCTGTCAAACATCAAAAAGGGTAAGCGCACGCTTAAATGGTGGGGACTGGGACTGGGACAAGCTTGATCGACACCCACTTTGACATACTCTGCTTGAAAAAGCGAAAACATTTCTATATATACACGATAGCGCGCAAGCCTGCAGAACAACTAAGTTCCCAGCACCGCACAAAGGACACAATGATAACTCACACTTGCAGCACTTTTTGGAAACCGCACAATTGAAGAGCTAGATAGTCGGAACGATCTCCTTCGTACCCGGAAGCAATTTCTGGGTATACTAGTCAGTTCCGCGACGAAAAGAAATGATTAGAATAAACCTTGTTGCTTGCAACAGTCATGGCGGTTGAGGTTCAATTTTGTGTTTTAGCACTTCGTCTAACTCGTGACCGGTCGCGTATACCAGATTCTAGATTCTAGTTATAGTAATTCTTTCTGGGAAATATGGAGAATCACTGTTTCAGCAAGCGTGTTTCGCAAGGAGTAGTCGGAATACTCAAGGAATACTTCCTCTTAGTTTGGGGTAGTCGTGCACAGTTTGACGAAACGCTTATTCCTCTCTCGTCTACTGTTCATGCACATGTTGAATCCATCCGCATTTTTCTACGGGGTACAAACCAAATACGAGAATACTGAACAAGCTGTCTTTCTAAGCCGAATCTGGCAGAACAGCGCAAAACAAACTACTTGCATCCGAGTTGAGGCAAGCCATACGAATTCACACCGAAAGCTGTTGGCTTTTTTCATCACCAAAATCAGAATAACGGCTCCCGGCATTGCACGTTAGTGATCGAAGGTACCGGGAAATCTCGACGTCTCAAAGCACGATGGACCCAGAAATTTTAACAACTGAGCACATATTTGCAGTCTTGCTGACCAGTTGGATGCACAGGCTTGACTTGACTTACACTGCCACAATCCACCTAGACTATACAAACTATAAAGGTAAGGGTGGTGAGCAATCAATTGAGATACACGTGAAGCGTGAAGCCATGTGCAAGATAAGTGCGGGTGGGAAGTAAAAAGCAGATACCCTCAAGCCAGCTTGGACCAGGATCCTTTCCTTCCCCCCCATCCATAACATCCACTCGCCTATCGTCTCAACCACAATTCAGCATCCATTAGAGCTCGAACAGGTCCCAAATAGCATCGGTGTAGCACAGAATAATATCCATTAAACGATTCTAGTCTCGTCGCCATCGTTGCTGCCATTCAAGAACAAGGTAAGCTGCCTGTAAGATGAGACGTCAATGGGACTGATACGCGAGGCTGAAAAGAGACCATATTACACACCATGTCTCCTCGTCACTACACCCCTCAGTCTAACACAAGCGTCGGCATTTCAAGCCCTTACGCTGCCTCCCCTTCACTTCGTACCTCTCAGTATCACGCATCTCCAAACATGACCATGAGCCCAGCATCTTATCCCGAAAGCATTCTGTCCATTCATAGATCACCGGTTGCGCGCGGGGGATACTCGAGTTCACAGAGGGAGGCGATGTTGGGGGATTCTCTTTCTGGATGGCCCGTGCGCGCTGTCACCGAATTAGGATGCGGTACCGGTAATGGATTGATTAGTCAGATGGTGACCGAGGTCCCACAAACCCCAGAAAACATATCCAGGATAACGTCGAAGACTGTCCCTTTGCCATCTCAAAATGGAAGCCATAGCCGGGTAGAAGTAGACCTGAATCCAGCCCTGAAGTTTGATCATCGTCGGGAAGAAAGAGGGATGGTGTCGATGGATGTAGCAATGTCAATTGATGCTATTCTTCGGATGACAAACAGTTCCAGGGGGGCGAATGAATGGGCCACGAACCCGCCTTTACCCTCGATAAACCTTGTACATCCAACACTACCATGGTCAATCACCGTGCACGCAAGTGTGACATACGTGACAGTGTGTGACGTCCTTTGCGCCATCTGCCACTCGCTACAGTTGCCGCTACATGAAGAATACTGGTCGTTTTGCCTGGGATTGGGCGAAGGATACAGGAGAAATCCGGAGCGGTACGGGCGAAGCTTGAAGCGGTTACACCTTCTACATGGAAAGACTACCTTCGTTGGACTCTCCCGAACAGTAGCGGAGACGGCTTTAGGAGGGGATATTTGGCGAATGAACTTTGCATAGTGTTCAAAATTTTGTCTGGGGGAACTAGGTGAGAGGATTGCTCTAAAAAGCTGAGTATGCACTTACCCACAACTCAGTTGCTTGGGCATGATTGTTCAACGATATGCTCCGTATTTTTCAATGTACAGCGGTCTAAATACCGTATCGATAACCTGCGGAATGTGTATTACTTGTGTGAAATCAGGAGTAAAAACAAACGGACGATACCTTTTCCCACCAGCGCTAGACGGGCGCTCGTCAAGACCTCCATTGAAGACACAAAAAATGGAGTATACCATAGCTCAAGGGAATTCGGAACGCAATAAGAGTTTTAAAAGAGCAACGGAAGCCACTGTGTATCGCTGCGAGAGGTTTGCGGAAGGGTTCGTTGCGATTAAGTAATCATTGTTCAACGAGTTCGTCAGCCATTCCAGCGTCTAACGAGCGCCTGCGAACGGAAAGCATCCACTGCGGGCCGCGGTACACAACAGTCGCTTAGAGTATTTGAACTCCGACTACGTCCTCTATATAAAGGCGTCGCATGTTTTTTAAGATTTCTTTATCGAAAGTCACCTCGGGGGTCGATATTTGGGATTCCTCTTTTTCTTTCAAAGGAGTAGTCTTGAACCCGTCTACCGTAGGCAGGGGGTGACACCCGTCAAAATCCGAAAGATATCAATGTCCGTTGGTGTCTGTTTGTTCACCATCTAAGCGCTGGAGTTGCCGCACCTGCCGATTGATGCCGTGCGTACCTTGAGCCTTCAAAGTTCAAAGTTTCAATGCGTTCAATGCAACCCTCAGAATCGTTGTATTTTAAAATTTATCTACGTTTAGTTATATGCTCTGTATTGTCAGTATTAGAAAGCCCTCGCTTCCTTGATAATTCATCTATCTGTAGTTGGAGATCATCCTAGATCATCAGACATTGGTATGCCATCTGCATCCCGAAAATCCATTGTCGCATCTTCAGGAATCCGCCACGGTAGTACGATAAAGAGGCATCTCGGCCTTCTAGCGCATGGAAACCGAGAGCATTGACAATGGTATAAGAACGAGATAAGCACTCGATGAACCTCTGTAAATCGATAATAATTTCTAATCCAGCGGCAGGTCGCGGCAGGTGCGGCAACTCCAGCGCTTAGATGGTGAACAAACAGACACCAACGGACATTGATATCTTTCGGATTTTGACGGGTGTCACCCCCTGACCGTAGGGAGAGGGAAACATACTTGTCATACTGTCCCGCCCGACGTTGTTTTTCGTGTCGGGTTGGGCCCGTATGGCATGTACATTTTGTGTCTTATTTAGAATTCTAGCCTTCAGGCTTCAATGATATGTGTTTTGTTTATCATTCACATCCTGGCTTTTCGACATGCGAATTGTGTTACTTCTGCCAGGAGGACTGGTGGAATATGAAGATATTGAGGACCTTTGAGGACGGTGTGAAGGTAACGAATGGAATAGGTATGAATATTGTTCACATTCTCAATGTTTTCAAAAGACTTCGAAGCTACGTACATGTGGATATGTGTCCAGATAGGAAAACTGTTCATCATAGTAACTGGCGCCGTTGAACTATATCATTCTACCCCTCACTGAATCCGCTTCAATCTGTCTCGTGTCCACGACTGTCCACCTTTTCCCCCCATCTCACGTACTATCGGTTTACTTATCGGCGCCCGTTCGGAAATCATCCCTCCCCAAAATGCCTTCCGGAATCCCTTACAATCTTCTGACTACCCTATTCAGAATGGCGCTTCCTCTCTATAAGAAAGCTTGACTCGAGACTGTGCATATACGTCCGCCCGGCAGCATGATTATCTTCATTGCCAAAGTAATCTTTGCACTCGTACTGATTCCTATCGGGTATATAGTCTATGGTCTTGTTTATCGTTACCATCAAAGGTCGTTGAAGTTCCTTCGAGGACCAGCAAACACATCTTTGTTTTTCGGTAACGTTGTGCTTTCTATACATTACACTGTGTACATTGCTGATCTTGAATTTTCAGGCGCGGATTATGATTTACTGCACCAAGAAGTAAGTCCCTGTGATTTCTCTGCCAGCTTTGACAGGTGGTCACCTCTGATACCTAGGAAACTGGCGTCCTCGAGAAAAAATGGTTTGAGGAATACGGTACCGCGTTCCGAGCAAGCACTTACTTTTCCGTAAGCAGCATACTAGTCTCATATCGTCTATGCCACTCACGCTTCAAAATTCAGGAAGATATGCTCATGGTCGCTGTGAGCTCTTCAATTAGTCTCATCTCTATCCCTCTGTGTAACAAGGATCACAGGATCCTAAAGCTCTACAATATGTTACTGTTACTTCGGGGTAAGACAATTAACGACTACAACAGGTCTACGAAACTTCTCTGATTCTGGAGGAGTAATCTAGTTACCGTTTTCCCAAGCCTGAAGACGTCCGGCAAATAACCGCCTTCTTAATGGGTCGTGGGATCTTGAACGCTGAAGGTCAAGGCAACTTTGTTGATTTCTACAACAATTTTTGAGGCTTTGTTCGATGCTCTTTTCTTTTGACTACTAGGCGTAATTCATAACCGCCATAGGAAGGCACTCAATCCAGCATTTTCGGCCAAACAGCTACGACAATTTCTCGGATTGTTTCAACGTTCGACAGGAAGGGTAAGGCAGAGTTTACGATGCAGGGTGTTGACATGTCAATGATTTCTGCCTTGACTGTACTTAGCTGGTCGGGAACTGGCAAGAAGAGCTCGGCAATTCTGCAAGTGAAGGCTCTGTCATCAATGTAACTAAATGGCTTCCGAAGATAACGTTGGACGTCATAGGACAGAGTGCGTACATGCAATATCCTAGCTGTCCGGGTGCTAATCACGAAAATTTCAGGCGCTTTCAATTACAATTTTGGGTCGTTGGATGGAAAAGAAACCGAGTTAGGAACCATCTTCGAGAATTTGTTGTGAGTACTTTTCTTCTTTATATTTAAACGTTTCACATAGCCACCTCAGTGTTGAATCCCGGCTCTACCCTCGTGAAATGCAGTTACTATACCGTGCGCTGCGTCGCAATGTTCCCGCTTTCGTGGCCAACTTTCTTCTCCAATTTCCGTCAAAGGAGGAGAAAAGGTTCTTGGGCTTCTTGAACGCGTCGAAAAGAGTGGCAAGGCCATTGTTCAAGAAAGCTTCTGCAGAGAAGATAACTAGAGATCAATTTGAAGGCAAAGATGTATTGAGCGTCCTCGTCCATGCTAATCAAGAAGAAGATCCAAAAAAAAGATTGGATGAGGACGAGGTACTTTCCCAAATGGCGTAAGCGACCCGATTTTCGAAAGCATTGATCAGTACTTACTCTCTTTCCTCAGCACGATGATATTAGGTGCGCGCAGGTTTTTCAAATCTAGTGCAAACTGACATCGAAGGAAGCTGGACATGAAACCACCGCAGTGAGTTGTAAAGCCTGATTTTCTTTCTTGTGGCTTTAACGATCTGGTAGTCAACGATGACCTGGATTCTTTACGCACTGACGAAAAACCCCAAGGATCAAGAAAAGATTTACCGGGAAATACAGGAAATACGTGAACGCAACGGCGATAACGAACCGAGCCCCCAAGATTTGGATTCTATGCCTTTCTTCAACGCTGTCATCAAGGTTGGTCGCTGTATTTCTGATAGCGGGTCGGGGGATTAATTGTATACTTGAATGGTGTAGGAAAGTCTTAGGCTATATCCTATCGTGAGTTCCTGTCTGTTTTGAATTATCCCTTCACCAATTCGATGATGAATTATGACAGGTTCCAATCATCACCCGCGAAGCTCAATCAGACGACGCTATACCCCTCGAATTCCCAATTACTACTGTTTCTGTTTCAGGAGATCGGATATCTCAGATACCTGTGAACAAGGGCCAAAGGGTAGCACTTTGTTTGGGCATGTACAACCGGTGTGCCGAAAGATCTACAATACCTTGGACGTTTCGCTGAAGCTTCTCTCGTGTGGCAGGCTCCCGCAGGTGTGGGGCCACGACGCAGACCAGTGGAACCCCGGACGCTTCATGAACCCAACGAAGAAAAGAACTTTGGGTGTTTATGCAAATTTGTAAGCATCCGTGACTCAACGACCTTCCTGCACCCTTACTTCCTTTACAGAATGAGTTTCAGTGAGGAGTTAATCATTACAGTGAACTTCTGAGCAGACCTTTTGAATAAACAGGTGCTGGTCTACGAGCTTGCATTGGATGGCGCTTCGCGTAAGTCATTGCCACTACCTATGTGAAATGAGTGTTAGCGCTGAAGCTCTCGAAACATCCACCCTGTAGTGTCATGGAATTGCAAGCAATCCTCTTCGGTCTCACTGAGAAATTTGAGTTTTGTCCGCCCGCTTCAGGAGTGTTAGATGAGATCCAAGCAGTTCCATTTGGACTGATCATTCCAATGAAGAAGGGCAAATGGAGAGGTTCATCCTCTTCTCAAAGTGATTCCAGATATAAACTGATAATATTTTTACAGAAGGTAAACAGATGCCTCTGCTCGTGAAGGCAAGACGGTAATCCAGTAATCCGATCGACTCGTGTCTCGTTTGTATTCTGCCAGTAGTTCGATTAGTCCTTTGCAAATGTAATATATCCTGAATATATCTATCATTCAACAGCCTTCGTAAGCGCCTGTTCGAGCTTGATATTCATGCCTAACAGATTTTTGAATGGCAGTGGCAGTGTCGTGCTCTAATTCTCTTAGATGTTTGACCGCAAATCATTCATCTTCGTCGGAAATGATTAAACGACCCTTCTTTCTTGAACCAGCCTTGGTCGGTGGAAAACCACTCTCCGCTTGATCTTCACCATCTGCTTGTGACAGCAAAAAAGATTGGATCATAGAATCGTCGAGAGGTGGTGCCTGCGGCTTAGGCCTTGGTCGCGGACGAGGTTTTTCAATAGTAGCCTCTGCCGTCCCGCCCTTCGCTACCCTCTCCTCATCGTCATTAGTTCGGCCATGAGTTTCTGATTCGTCCTCCGAAGAAGATTCAGAATTATCTGCGGGAGCAATCTCAACTGCGTCCTCTGCTCCTTTCCGTTTCTTCTGCCCAGTCCCACTCTTACCCGTATCACCTGCCTTTCTACGCCGTTTCTTCGTCCCAGTGGATTTCATCGCTCCACTCCTTCCCTCTCCTAGAGCAGCAGCGGCACTCTCCGTTTTCTCCCTCCTCTTTTTCTCTAGTTCCAAAAACGAATCAATATCTCCATACTCCGCATCACTATCTTCGATAAACTGCGCAGATTTATACTGTACTTCTTCTTTTTTCTTCTTTTCTTTTTTCTTTTGTTGACGCGGTTCATCTTCGTCTTCGTCTGCATCTAACTCGGGAGCCTTGACCCTTCGACGGCGACGTGACTTCTTGCTCATTAACTGAGAGGCCTTCTTTCCCTCGAGGTCGAACGGCGTCTCGAGGAACTGCGTTATGACAGTGATAATGCTATGTAGTTCCGCTGGAAGGATCGCCGCTGGCACATACCACTCCAGTTCGTCTGCGTCTGAACCCAACCATCAATTTAATCTCACGAATGACCGATAACCTGAACGTACCTTCATCAAGGATATAACATTTGGACAGACGGAAAAGCAGCTTGAGATTCGGATTCTTTGTCGCGGCATCAGCGTGTTCGTCGCTGAGATATGGTATGACTGTGTGTGGTCTCGAGCGTCAGACCAGTCATTTGGATATTGAGCGCAACTCACGGTAGTCAGTCAATTTAGCCTGCGCGTCGACAGACGGACCAAGCAACTTTGACTGGGTATCAGTGTCGTCAACGTTTCCATCAGAGTCATCGCCGCCCTTCTTGTCGACTTCTTCAATGATTCTTTCGCGTTCGGCTTTGGCTGTTTGTAAGATCTACATACAAAAACACATGACAGAAATGCTGCTGGACATTGATGGCATAATCGTACCTCCTGGGTCCAAAGTACAAGCTCTGTCTGACCAGCCTCGACAAGGGAAGCAATCGTAATTCCGACTTGGTCGCTCCAGGAATATCCCTTTTTGACTTGGACTTCCTGAGGGAATCGAATATCTTCAACGCTTTTACTCTTTCCACCCTTTGGCGGTGGCTCCCAACTAGAGTATTGTTTCCAATTCCCTCTGTTCTTGGGAAAGAACGCCTAATTACGTTGTATGTGGTGATCCGAATCAAGACATGAAGTTGCAACTCACCTCGACCGCTAGGAACGGTTCTTGTTCCAAGGCCTTGAAGAACTGTCGAAGGATATAATTGATCAAGTTGATCAAATCCTTGTGGGGTTGATCAGGGGGGAACGATTTCTTGTCGGCGACGATGGTTTTGAAAAGGTTGAGCGTAGAAACCTGATCGATTTAGAAAGAGATATTAGCTTGACGCTTGCAAGAACATAACAATGGAGGATATCACGTACTTTGAAGAACAATCCCTCCGCTTTGGCACGAACTGCCTGTCTATGCAATAAGCTCACTACCCGCCGCATTTGTTCAGAGTCGGTGAAATCCTTGTAGCGCGACAGATATACGAGAAGTGTATGCGTTATATCAGCGTGAGCAAATTTCTAGTAGAAATTGAGATAGGAAATTCACCGGAAGAACCGAAACTACGTACCATCTCAAATGCTTCAAAAGTGAACATGGTTTCATGAACGACATCGTCATCATCCTGTTGCTGAGGCTCTTCCTCCTCTGGTACTTCTTCATCTCCTTTGGGAATTATAGTAAGAATATTATCACGATCTTTGGCTCTAGGAAATACATACCTTTCTTCTTTCTCCCCTTCCCTGTCTTCTTCTTCCTCACATATACCTCATCCTTTCCCTTCCCTTTGGTCCACCTCTCCAGCATTTTCAGCAACGCGTGGGCCATATAAACACTGGAGTTCAGATACGCCAACGACTGCGTGCCCTCCTTATACGTCCGCAAACTATCAAAAGTCACGTCGAGTACTTCTCCGCTGTAGATGAGTTGCTGTTGTAAGACTTCTGCGGCTTCGCTTAGTGTTGGGTCAGAAATATCGACTGAGGACATCGAGTCGATTAGGAGAAGGAGTTGTGTAAGGCACTCGATGCCTGCTTGGAGTTCTGTCCATGCTTTGGGCTAGACAGAGTGAGCGAGGAAATACACTCTGATAATATGTATTACCTTCTCGTCAACAGCCTCCCTCATTCGTTTCAACACCCAAATTATCCACGGTCGCTCGAGTACCTCAGCAACCAATCCGAATCCATATTTTTGCTCATCAAGGTCTTCATTCGTAGCGGTCAATTTTGTGTCCTTTTCTTTTGATGCAAATGCTCGTCTGGACAAGAAAAAATCCAGAAACCACTTTGTCACATAGAGGAGACGGAGATTATCCTTTTCCGTGATCTTGGCCTTTTCAGAACGAATGTCCTTCAGTAGGATTGATAGAAAAGCTGTGAGTTATAGACATGAATAAGGCACACTCGAAGGGTTGACAGTGACGACGTACAGTTGAAGCATTCCTCGAGAAAATCTGAAGCAAAGGCTTGAAGCACCTTCATAGCCTCAATCGAAAGTGTTTCATAACTGGCCAACTCGTCCACCTTGTGTCCCTTCCAAGCTTTTTGACGCTTAGACTTATCCCACAAAGCCCCGGTTTCTCCAGTGATTCCCTCTTGCCTGTGAATAACGAACGTCTGTGATTTCTTCGATGAAGACAGATCGAGCGCGCCAGAAGCGTCTGTATTCGTGTCTGTATTCGCCTGAGCTTGCTTTCTGTTCGGATTGAGTTTGACGGCAATGGTAGTTCCGAAGCGGGAATGACGAGTAGGTGCTTGACGCGATGAGTGGCGCTTGGAACGTTCCTCTTGAGCAAGGAGACGGTGTAGATCATCAGCTGGGCGCTAGAATACAAGTAGCGAGTTTGTGATATCTAATCGTGAGCAAGGCTATTATACACACTTTGGATTGATCCATTGACAGTGAGGAAGGTTGTACTCCACGAAGCGACAGGTAGATAATCTCCAAAACAATTGTGTTCCAACTGTCGAAAAGAGGGTCATTGTCACTATTGGCTGCGATAGTGAGGACGAGTTGTAGTATATGTGAATCGGACAGCATGCGAATGAATTTCGATTGCATTGAAGAAAATTCCGCATGATCAGCACTGAGGAATGTATTGGCCGGAAGATCCTTGATGAAAGCCAGATTCCGCACAAGATGTAAAACGACATTCACAATTTGACCGTCCCTCTCTGTGCGTTCCTGTGGGCCTTTGGTCAAGGGCGGCAATACGATACCGAATAAGGCTTCCAATACCCCAGGCTTGAGTACTGCTGCCTTGTAATGTAAATGACTCTGCAACAACTCTGTATAATCGGCTTTACTGTCCAATTGGTCGTCCAATTCCTTCAACTCCTCAGCTAAATCGATAGGCCATGTCATTGCGGTCATTAGGTCCGCGCAAGCAATTGCGCGTTTGTCTTCTACAAGACCCTGTCCTGCAGTCGCGAGAAGGATAGGGACTAGGTCATTGGGTAAAACGCGTGTTTTCCAGAAGATTCGAGCTACGGTCCTGTCATCATCAGTCTCATCTTTGCGCCAAAGCTTCTTCAAGTCCTTCAAGCAGCCATTGACCTGGTCTCCCATTCGATATACGTTCTCTTCGTATCCTCCGAGAGCGTCTACAACCCCCTGTACGATAGGTTCGAGAAATTCCCTCTTTCCATCTGTGTCTCCTGCGCTACCGTTCTCTGACTCGTCTGAGGAAATGTCAATGATCTCGTTTTCGTCCATGAGGAGATGAAACTGAGGTGAAATTGGGATTGGAATGGAGGCACGATGGTCACGTTCAACGCGTTTAAGCACGTGAATCCTTTTATTCAATGATCTCAAAATAGAACTCATTTAGCAAAATCACTTTTCGACGTGAACTGAATTGGTTGGAGCTGTTCTCAGCCAATCAAATCCCCTCGAAATTTGCTGCTAATAAGCTCTAATTAAAAGTTCAAGTTTGAACTAGGATTTTTACAATGCATGGCGAATTTAGCTCACGCCATTTCCTTCATCAGAGGTGCTGGGGATGCCCTCTGCATAAGGTCTTCCGTTAGCCGCTAAACTCTCCTGGATAGAATCCTGATCCTGATCCAAACGACACAGGCCCATTGTGACGAGGGGATGAGGAGTGCACTCTGATAGATTCAGGAAATAATTGGACGGGCAACCATGTCTTTTATCCCAGTGTACAGGAGAGAGTGCTCAGGAGAACTCACTGTGCAGAGCAGACCGAGATATTGCATGCAGCTTTTCGGAGTGAACTCGAGGAACACCATGACAAGATATGGACGAAATCCCCTCGCTATGCACATTTCAGTGTGATAGACCCATCGAGTGCCACAATAGTAGACTCGAGCCAGTAGCTTCGGATGTTGACACTTTGGAAACTGGCGCTCAAAAGTGATTCCGCATATCGCTTCTCAGCAGCAGACTGGTTCGAGTCTACCACAATAGCAAGCCGCCGGTTCTGGAAGCTTGCCCGTGATTTGCCTAGGAAGCTCACATGCATTCTGACCCAACTACGAACAGGACACATCCCTCTGCAGAAACACCTGCACCGCATCCATCGAGCGGACACACTCATATGTCCATGCTGTGAGCAGCAACCAGAGACAGTCTTCCACTACCTTTTCCCATGTCCCGCGCACCGCAGAGCCCGCGATTGTTTCCGCATACGTGTCCCGAGAACCCAGTGGAACATGAGCTCCTTGCTCACCTGTCGGAGCACCCTACCGCAGCTCTTCCACTACATTGACGACACGAAACGTTTCCACCACATCATAGGTGACCGATGATGAAGATCAATGAAGACATGTAGAGGATAGTGCCCCTCTCCCTGCCTCCTTATATTCTACTTCTATTTCACTTACTTATTCTCAAATTACTCCCTCATACCTATACCTACCAGGCATATGGACACTGTCCTTGCTTAATCAAACCCTCGCGGTTAGACGGGTTCCCGTCGAGGGCTCCTTATGGAGCCTGATGTAGATGTCAGTTTTTCCCACAAAGATACAGGTCCTTTTTCTAGTTTGATAGAGTTACTACAGTACAATGTTCACTACATATGCATTGGCACACAGGTGAATAAACGAGTTTCAAAAAGAAAAAAAATTGCATGCAGCTGTTGTTGAGGTCTTTCGAGTCTCGACCTGCAGCGGCAGGAGAAATGCCTTGCATATTTGACGTTGTCAAATTCCACTGATAACACATAGAAAACAGAGTTGCCCTTCGAGACCTTGACTCGTAGAAAAAGATGTAAAACTAGTTGCTTTCTACCAGGATCGAACTGGTGACCCTTGCATTGGAAGCTCGGACACAAATCTGTAACCGCATAAGTACAAAGCTCTAAACCACTGAGCTAAGAAAGCATACCATTTTTACACACTATGACTAAGCAGTTTTTGAGCCTTTATAAAAACAAGCTTTGACTCATGCATGGCAGAATTTTGACCTTCCAAACGGAAGATATGAGTTGTGGTTGCAGATACAGTCATCTTCAAGGCCACAAGTAATGCTTCAATAACCGTGGAAGCGACCTTGAGTTTGTACAAGTTCGGTGAACCAAGATTCAAACTGTGTTATCACTCATATAATACACATAACAATCAAATTTCAGCCTGTTCATATCAATGCTCGCCTTAGACTTTGCCAAGATTTGCACAAATTCGTCAAAGAGAGCTTGATCCCGGTCATTCGGATTCCATAGTTCAGTGTATTTTCCGTTGGGATCAAGTTATTCTTTATCCGTATACGGTACGCAGCGAGTTTCGAATAAAAGGCGGTCAGGTCCTTCATGTCTATCTCAATATTCGGGTGAATTGTTGCTAGAATACCGTCACGCCGTATAAGCATGCATGCCAACATTACACGTACAATGAAACGGAAGGGAGAAATGTTTTAACACACCAAAAACATGCAGCAATTTAATTCGGATTAACACCCTTGGGCAACTTATTGCGACGCCAATCATCGTAGAATGTCGCTTGTGACAGTGGCGGACGCCGTCATAATGAAGCTTTGAACTTACCCAGCCAGGATGGATCAGCCATGATAGTAATGAGGTTGTACAGGGACTGAACTCTCTTGTCAAATTTTTTGTCGATTTTTTGCATTCAATAATGATTGTGATAAAGTTAGTGATGTTTCTGAGGAGAATGAGGATAACGGGTGGACTGTAATAATTCAGAGAACATGGTGTTACAGGGCGTTACGAACAGCTCCGACTTATTTGGTGGTCCCACTGTTGCTGACGAAGGACTCGCAATTTCATTCAGATTCAGCAAAATGACTTGTATACCCCTGCGCATCTGCTCAGAGGGTGTACATGACATTAAACCAAGGACTTTGGTGATGCATCTGGCACGTCTGCTCAGATAAGTACATCTCGTCACTTGGTGGGTATAGCAGTGTTCTAAGGTCCAAGGGGTCCAAGATAGTCCAGGTGCCAGCCTGATTGGTCCAAGGTTTTGTCTTCTCAAACTCGCCAACGTTCGTACAGGTCCCGTAGTGCCCATCGTCCATCGTCCACGATGCATGATTGTCCATTGTCCCGAGTCACGCTCTGCAGAAATCCTGTAGATTCAGAACAGGTCAGTACAGGGGCGCCCCGGGACAGCAGGTGGTCGACTACACCCACTGTCCTTGTAAGTAGTAGGATCAATATTTTACTCATAGTTAGAATTGTGATTGAGTTTGAGTTGCGGGTAGTTGCTATGAGACATGCGAAGTGAAGTCTTAGCCTTGGGCTCCGCCGAGAGCTTCAGAACTTGAGACACGAGACGCAAATTACACTTGTCATGTAAATAACGCGTCGAGGATCATGTCAAGCAAGAATCTCGAGCTCGCCGCACACGTACGACGTTTGGGCTCAATCAATGTCGAAACATATGGAATTCGGAAAAGGCGACTAGATATATCATGAGTGAATGTCATTAGAAAGAGTTCATTACAGGTTCAGACAGCAAGTTGGATTCCATCCGGCGAGCCCTGTAAGACGCATAGGGGAGGAGGAGTTATACGAGAATAACTATGGTCGTGCTCACCTTCTTAGACACCTGATCGCAAAGGCTTGTCTCCGCACCTTCTTATACCATGTTTCCCAGGTGTAAGCTTGCTCCTCATTCGACGTATTAGGATTTTCACAAGCTCGTTAAGAAGTACGATATCACCGTCATTTTCAATTCATAGTTCGGGGTATATGTCATTGAGGTTATTGGAGAGGTCCTATGCTAAGTTATCCTTTTACGGCGCCGAGTGTCGAGAAGCCCGGTCAGGTTCTTCCAGTCCATATCTTTGAGGTTTCATCGCTCCCAGAACGTCAAGGGAGGAAGACGAAAGCTGAATGTGAAGGACCAAGCACTGTGTACCAAAAAAAGACGGGCTCACTATTCCATAGCGTAGAGAATGCCAGTGAGAATGGAGGAGCTCCTTGATAGGGCATAGTATCAAACGTACAGTCGCAGTCGCAAAGAGGCACAGCCTGAGTGAACCCCTTTGACTCTAAAAAGAACAATGGAAATCAATGGTTTGTCGAATATTGTGTTGTTTCGGGAACAATGGAAATCAAGCTTAAAAAGGAAAGAATAGCGCCGTGGTTGGTACTTGTTTATACAAGGCGTGTATGAGCACGGAAAGTTTGTTCTACTTTCATTTCCCCACTTATCCACCATCATAGAAGTGTTCCTGCGCGCAAATACTCAAATCTACACACCAATTATTAAAGGAATCGCCTAGATATTTAACATATCGCAAGCACATGTCATTTGCCGGGACACCTTTAGGTCAAGGCAGACGTCTCGATCATCAAACGTTTTTAGGAAAACCGCCATCGTCTAACGGGAGTACAGGAAATAATAACCCACAAACTCAAAGAATTACACCGGTCCCAACTTCTTATTCTTCTGGGTGAGTAACCCAGGTAAATTCACAATGAATTTATGTTTATGTTTTTTACAGTGCACCACCATTAGGCTCTCGATCACCACCTAAACCTTCTTCTTCACGTGAACGTGTCGATACCACCAATCTCAATCCTGAAAAGTGGAGTGTCCGTGACACCAGCGTCAACGCCGCCAGCGCCATCTACCAAGCCATGTCCAACCCTAACACTGCGTGGGCTTCTAGCTCACGAACCGCCAGAACTTCTAATCCTCCCAGGAGCACTTCTGTTGAATATGAATCTCAAGCATCAAACAACGCCCGCAGGCTGGGCGCACCTCCGAGTCGATTAGGATCTAAAACCAACAACAAGCCGTTGTCGATGAATAGCTCCTCGAGAAGCATCGTCCCAGATTCAGAGGGAGAACAAAGCCAGAGTCAGATATTGGACTATAGTCGAGAAAAAAGTCCATTCTCATTCGATCAACTCACCAATCTGGCTCAGACAGCGATTCAGAAGACTTCTTACTTTGTGAGGGAGAAACAGAGAGAGGATCAACAGCCGAATGGGAATGCGAGCTATGATTATTCGGCGGAGGAAAGGGAGTACCAGCAGTATGAGAGGAACGTCAATGCAAATGCATCGTCATCCAAAAACCTTTCCTCCTCAGCCGTGCATCGCAAAAACCGAATATCGACGGATAACAAAGCATACAAACCCAGTCAAGAGGAATTAGAAGAATCCTCGGACGATGATGTTTCCGATACGAGGAGGAGGAGACGAAAGAAGGGAGCTAGTGGGCCTGCTGGTGGTCCGCTGACCACCTTGCCTAAAGTCGGCCCGGAGAAGAGACGGAAGAAGGGGAGCAGGAAAACGAAAGGTGGTGCAGCGAACGGAGAAGAAGAAGATGAGGAGGAGGAGACTGACAAGGAACAGGTAAAACCTAAATCTACTTCCTACCTATGATTTCTTACATTTCCGTCGCAGAACATATCCGCATCCCAACGTGCTTCTGTTCCTCCACCTGCAAGACGATCCCAATCCCGCCAACCACCCGACAACTCCCTATCCTTCATCCAAAACCAAAGTCACTCCCTTAACCTCGATGCCATACCTGAAGACCCTGATCCCGACCTAGTTGATCCAGAATCCAATCCAGGCGAATTCTACGACGATTCTTACTCACACCGATCTTACCTCGACGACACCCACTCCCTTACCAGTCTCCGCCCATCATCTGGCATCGGTGCCAGACTCGGCACGATCGTCTACACCCTCTTCCGTCTCATTGGCACGGGGTTGACATCTGTAGCGCATTTCGCTGGAAGAGCCTTGGGTCAAATCGTCAGCGTGCTGGTACTCTGGCCGATTCGAGGGGTGTTGCAGCTCCCAAAAAATCCGTTGGCGTATTATTTCCTTGTGGCTTTTGTCATCTTGTTCGGAGCATGGACAGTCAATAAAGTTCCTACTGGCTTATCACCGCCGTCGTCAGGATGGCGCTTACCATCTCCCTGGCCTTTTTCTTCCTCTGGTGGTTCGATAAAATACACTCCACCTGCTCTTCCCGTGGAAAACGTTGCCGAGCTCAACGCCCGACTCCGTGCTCTCGAATCGACCTTGAGTGCCCTTGTGCTGGAGAATGAGCAAACAAAAACAAGGTTGAGGATGACTGAGGAAGAGGTCAAGGAGTACGAGAAGGAAAGAGCTAAAGAAGCGAAAGAAAAAGAACGAGAGCAGGTCACGGAACGGCAGAGAGAAAGATCGCGGATGCAGCAACAGGCTATCGAGAGGGAGAAAGACCGGGAGCGGGCTACCCAACAAGGCAAATCCGAGCCTGGTGAAATCAAGGAGATTGTTGGAAGACTCGGTGCGTTGGAGGGGTTAGTGAAGACAGATATAAGCGGGAGGGTGTCCAAGGTTGAGGATGTTGTCGGCGGATTCAACCGTATTCAAGAAAGAAAGGAGAAAGAAGAGAGGGAGAGACAAGCTCGGTTGGCTGTTGAGGCCAAAGAAGCAAGGGAGGCGAGAGAACGCGAGGAACGGTTCAAGGAGCGGTTGGAAAGGGATGTCAGAGAGCGTGAGCAAAAGGAAAGGGAAAGAGACCAACGAGAAAGAGAGAAAGAAAATCAACGCCAAAAGGAGGAGAAGGAAAGGCAGCAGAGGGAAGAGCGAGAGCGGCTGGTTTTGAATCAAGTCAAGAAAGAGATGGAGAGTTTGAAGAGCGTTATCGGTGCTCTTCAGTCACAACCTTCCTCTGGTTCAGGATCTTCCTCGGTGGGTAGCGACATTGAAGCCCGCACACAGCTCGCTTTACTCGAAGAACGAATTGGGTCTATCGAAGGAGGGGTTAAAGAAGCTCTTGATCTCGGAAACAATGCCTTGAAGACAATTAAGTCTTCCTCCCAACATCCTGATTCCCAATCAAACTGGTGGTCCAAAATTTCCCCCTCCTCCTCTTCTAAGTCAGGCCTAACAATCAAATCCACCGACGGACAAGATGTCACTTCCCTGCTCACTCACCTTGTCTCTTCTGCTGTCTCATCCGCCATATCCATACACAGCAAAGACAGTATCGCCCGCGCAGATTATGCCCTCCATTCAGGCGGAGCGAGGGTTATACCCTCATTAACTTCCGATACGTTTGCTCTTCGGATACCGAGCACCTTCACTTCGCAGTTGCTTGGTCTGATACCGTTCTCTGGATCCGGATTCGGATTTGGTGGACCTGGGAGTGTAGCTGTGGGTCGGCCACCAGTGTGGGCTCTGCACCCAGATATCACGAACGGTTTGTGCTGGCCGTTCCCTGGTTCCCATGGACAGTTGGGTATAGCACTCGCTGCGCCAGTGGTAGTGGATTCGGTGACGATTGATCATGTCGCAGCGGAGACGGCGTATGAAGATGGGTTGGTAGAAGTCGAAGAGGAAGGTCAGGACGGGGATGAGGACGTTGAAGATGGGCATGTAGATAAGACAAACAGAAGGAGGAGTAAACGACGTAGCGCACCAAGGGAGATGGAGGTTTGGGGTCTGGTGGAGGGGAGGGAGAACATCCACAAGGTCAAGGAGTGGAGGGAAGGCTTAATAACTCAGCGCCAGGCAAAGAACGCTGCTCGAGAAAGAGGGGAAGAGCAGGACTTTAACCATCTCGACGACCTACTCGGGACATCGGAACTCGATGTTCCTTACCCATCTACTCTACCAAAATCGCCCACGTACATCCGGCTCGCATCGTTCACCTACGATATCCACTCGCCTTCGCACATCCAGACTTTCCCAGTCCTACCGTACCTCAGCAAATACGGAAAACTCGGAGAGGCAGGGGTGGATTTCGGGGTGGTGGTGTTGGTGGTGAGGAGTAATTGGGGGATGGAGGAGTATACGTGTTTGTATAGGGTTAGAGTGCATGGGGAGAGAGGGATGATAGGCGGGATCGAGGAGAGTTGGTGATGTTGTGGGGAGGAAGTTCGAACCGGGGGGGGGTGAACGTTCAGTAGGAATGCTGAAAATCACGAATATTACGACCCAAAGTACTTTTAAAGTCAAAAAGTACAAAACTCTCGTTTCTTCTTTTATTATTTTTTTCTTTCCGTACATAAATATACAGCTTATTTCAAATAACTAACTCTCGTTTCTCTCTTGTTTAGTGCAGGTGCCTTCAAGTTGTATGCCAGTGCTTTCTTTGATCTCAACGCTATATATCGATTTGATCTTCTCAGTGCTATTATCGTATACATGTCCTCTTTCTTTTTACTTCATTTCCTTATTACTTCCTTCACTCTTTTTTCTCATTCTCTCTTGACATGTATGTGGCTACGCAGGTTTTAATTGGGGCCTCATCCAACTCTATTTTGCTCTCTGGCTGCTATTATTTGACTGGAAACACCTGGCAATCAACAGCAATCTCACATCACTGTAATCTGCTTACAATCAAATAACACACCATCCACTATTGTCCCCTTTGGGGTGACATACGAAAAAATTGGAACAATGCAGTCATGCAGAGAAGATTAGCATGACCCTTGCACAAAGATGACACGCGAACTCAGAGTGGTAGATACCTTCGGGTCCCAATATTTTTTTTTGCATGAACAATTACTGGGAAATTACAGGGAACTCAACCCTCTTGTCAATTTTTGCATTCGATATCTTGATGAATTTGGTGATGATTCTGGGGGGAGCGAGGGTAATTAGCGGACTGCAATCATCCAGAGAACATGGTGTTACGAAAAGCTCCAAGGTTATCGGATGTCCTCTTGAGGTAAGGCACTAGGCGCACATCTGAGTATAGTACAGATTAGGCAGACTTTGTGAATTCATACTGTGAAATAATTTTTAATGATAGACTGTCGAATGACTCATAATTTTATTGAGGTTAAACATGTTAGCGTAACGTTGAACTCAGTTGATAGCGGAACAACTGAGATTGTGTAGGTACCTGTTAGCGTACGTTTAACTACGATAAAGTTAGCGGATGTGTGTCTGAGTGTACTGCCGAGCTCACCTCAGGTGATAGCGGAACAACTGAGGGAGCTCGTGCGTCTCTACGGGGCATGATATAGCTGGTGGTACTGTATATAGTTCTATGGTAAGCACGGCGTATACGTGTATGGATAGTCTGTGTAGTCATAGCTTGTTCCCTTGTACGTACGGAGTATGCGCCAACAAAACAAAATGACTTGTATACCCCTGCGCATCCGCTCAGAGGGTGTACATGACATTAGAGAAACCAAGGACTTTGGTGATGCATCTGGCACGTCTGCTCAGATAAGTACATCTCGTCACTTGGTGGGTATAGCAGTGTTCTAAGGTCCAAGGGGTCCAAGATAGTCCAGGTGCCAGCCTGATTGGTCCAAGGTTTTGTCTTCGTTCGTGCAGGTCCCGTCGTGCCCGTCAAGTCCATCGTCCATCGTCCCGAGTCACTCTCTGCAGAAATCCTGTAGATTTAGAACAGGTCAGTACAGGGGCGCCCCGGGACAGCAGGTGGTCGACTTCACCCACTGTCCTTGAATATATTAGGGTTAATCTCTTACTCAAAGTTAAAGTTGTGATTTAATTTGAGTTGCGAGTAGTTGTTATGAGACATGCGAAGTGAAGTCTAAGCCTTGGGCTCCGCCGAGAGCTTCAGAACTTGAGACAGGATTTGTTCCAGAACTTCAATCGATAAGTGGGAATGTTATCTGAAATATCACAACTTGCATACTCCTCATTGACGTATCAGGATCTTCACAAGCTCGTTAAGAAGTGCGATCTCACCGTCATTTTTAATCGACAGTTCTAGGTATATATCATCGAGATCATTGGAGAGGACCTATTCTTTATCCCTAACTTGAAACGATACTTTGCACCGCCGAGTTTCGAGAAGCCCGGCAAAGTTCTTCCAGTCCATATCTTCAAAGATTCAGCAATCAAGGGACAAGACCAAAGCTGAATGTGAGGGACCGCCACTGTTCTATCTTGCTCCTCCTTACCCTACTATCCTCGAGGGCAGTAGGTAGAGGGCAGTAGGTAGAGGGCAGTAGGTATAGTCGACCACCTGCTGTTTTGGGGCGTCCTATACTAACACGATCTAAGCTCACGGGTTCCTCGCGGAACGCGACTCGGAATTATGAGTTCGGCGCCATGGCGTGCTTGGAGAACTTGAATGGAACACAACCAAACAATTGGGCCACCCCAATGTCAGACCCTCGGGGCGATCCTGATATATCGTTAAGGGTGAGCGGCTATGAGCAGGAGTCCACAGGGTTAGCTGCCTCCAAGGACAACGCCTACAAATGTGCTCTCGCCGACTTTGAGATCTCCTTCCAGCTCTCATAAGGCATTTACCAACGGAGGTTTGGGGGCTTGTGCTCAACATGCTGTGAGCCCTGCTGTAGCACACGGTGAAAGCAAAGTGAGCCACCACAGCGAAGACATGGGTTCTATGTAAAACTTGAAGGGATCTAAATAGCCTCTATACATTACATACGTAAGTGCTATTCTACAAGCTATGAAATCAAGTTACAACCCTTTCCTCAGACCCTCAACACCAGCATTCCCATTGATCAAACCACCCCCTTCGCATTCCATGCAACCCAAATCATCATTACCACCTTCATTCCTCAGAAACCCGTCCTCCCATAAAATTATTTTGTGCCCTCTTTCACCACCGGCCTGGCACACGACACCCTCGCCCATCAACTGTAACCACTCAAGAACAGGCTTTGTCGTCCACCGATCCTTCCCCGAACTATCATTGAACCAACCCAAATGTCCTCCGCCCGACGTCAACACCATGACCGCGAATCCGTTTCCTGCCCCATGCATCGGAACGTACTGCACTACAGGATCATCCGCAGAGTTGATAGCGAGGTAGGGGATGGTAATGCCTCCGACACACTCGTGGCTTGACATGGCGTTATAGTACTCGTTCACCGTCGCGTATGGAAATTGCGGCGGTGGACCACCGACTTGAGATAGGAATACTTTGTCGAAATTGGTCAACGTCATTTGAGCAACAGACATCAGTGGTTCGAGGGCTTTGGCGATTGGGAGGGACCGATCCGCCATTAGAGCTTTGTGGTGCTGCTTAGCGACATTCATGAGATTAGTCCCCAGTGCGTTGTTGTAGACGTTTCGGCCTATGATTGTTCCGGAGAGACTAGAAAAAGCCCGCGTCGAAAATCTTCCGCGCTCGAATTGATACACACTTACATATCGCTGTTGGCCGCAAGGTCCCAAGGCTTTCAAGTGGTACTTTGAGCTTATGGGCTTTCAAAGGGAAATGGCAGACATCCTTACATTCGCAAGCACACAAGCTGAACTAAGCCGACACTTTTCTCCTTCTTGTGCTATGTACCGGGTCATGATGTTCGATCCAAGCGAGAACCCAAGCCCAAGAAGGATTGCCCGAGGATATCTATGGGAGATGTAAATCAACGCTTGTCGAAAGTCGTCCGTTCCACCTGCGGAATAGAACTTGGTGCTTGTGATAGGTACACCTCCGCCTAGCAACATCGCTCGTTTAACGATTCGACAGTAAGGAACCAAAATGATGATCCAGACGTACATCCACGAGAATGAGGAATGACCGCTCGATAACCCAATCCACCCTTGTCTACAGGTTTTATGACATGTGTCAATATAGATTTAATGTAAGGTTCATAGGAACCTATGAATGAAAACTTGAACGACTAAGTTTCGAGTAACTGGGGAAGGACATTTACCTCCGGTTAAGCCATGAAGGATAACAACGATGGGTGTATCATCTCTCAGCGCCGAGTCGTCTATGGGCGCAAAGTCAAGTCCTCTGCACCAATTAGTTGCAAGTTTTGTATGCAAGAGTGTATACTCCTCACAATGTACCACCGTCTACAAGCCGGAGATTCTGCCTGGTTGAATCGACATGGATATGGATACAACAGCAAGAAGTTGGATCGCGACGTACCTCCGATACCAGACGCTGTCCACCTGCGAGATATCCGCGAAAACAGAATACGTTGTCTGTATATGGCCGCTTTACATAAATTGTTCAACCCGGGATCCCAGAGCAAAATCAAGAAGGCGTACTTGTTAAGCCACCAAGTCGGTTCAAAAGGCGTGAAGAGACTCGGACATTTATCTTGAACCAGATTACGCAAAGAGTCTGAAGATTCTTCTTGAGTATTCGACTTTTTCAGCGGTATTTGTGCGGTTTTGGGAGCAAAGTGGATGAGTGGAGGAGCAGAAGTAGAGCATCCGAGGATCCCCATTGCGGCAGTCGGGATAGAAGCGAATACAAGATATAGGTATCTCACATCGTAGCTTATAGACCAGGGTAAAAAGATCAATAGAGGAACATTGAGCTGGACTCGCGTAATACTAACAATCTTTCTCTGGTGTAATTATTTTTTCTCACGTATACATCTCAATCTCAAGGACTCGGCTCGCATCCAATTTTATATTGGTGGAAAAACCTCCAAGGAAATCCTCAAGCTCAGAAACACACTGTCTTAACCCAGTTCCTCGAGACATTGTTCGACCTCGAGGGAAAGAAAGCCTCTCAATTTATGAGCAAGAAGTCACGTCGCCGGTCAAGGTTCCCGAGTCAGATGCAGACAAAGATGAAGATGATCCGCGACGAAAGAAAAAAGAAGAAGTACAGTACACATCGGCGCAGTTTATCGAAAATCGTGGGGCGGAGTACGGAAATATTGACTCGTTTATGGAACTAGAGAAAAAGAGAAGGGAGAAAACTGAGATTGCTGCTACTGCTCTATGAGAGGGAAGGAGTGGAGCGATGAAATCCACTGGGACCAAAAAAACGGCGTATGTAGAAAGGCAAGTGATAAGGGTAAGAGTCTGTAAGAGTGGGATTGGGAAGAAGAAACGGAAAGGAGCAGAGGACGCAGTTGAAGTTGCTCCCGCAGATAATTCTGAATTTTTCTTCGGAAGACGAATCAGAAACTCATTGCCGGACCAATGACGATGAGGAGAGGCTAGCGAAGGGCGGGACGGCAGAGGTTACTATCGAAAAACCTCGCCTGCGACTAATGCCTAAGCCGAAGGCTCTACCTCCCTCTTGACAATTCTATGTTTCAATCTCCCTCACCGTCTCCTTCTTCCTCCAACCAAAGCCGGTTCAAGAAAGAAGGATCGTTCAAGTCTTTCCGACGAAGACGAACAGAGACGAACGATTTGCGGTCAAACATCTAAGAGAATTAGAGGACGCGACACTGCCACTCCCGTTCAAAAATCTCGCTGACGCCGTTGAATGATAGATATATATATTCAGGATATGTTACATTGGCAAAGGACTTATCTATCTATTGGCGGAATACATACGAGACACGAGTCAATCGGATTACTGGATTACCGCCTTGCCTTCACGAGCAGAGGCATCTGTTTACCCTCTGTGAAATTATCATTAGTTGATATCAAGAATCACTATGGGAAGAGGACGAACCCCTCCATTTGCCCTTCTTCAATGGGATGATAACTCCGAATGGAACTGCCTGGATCTCGTCCAACACTCCTGAGGCGGGCGCACAAAACTCGAATTTCTCAGTAAGACCGAAAAGGATTGCTTGCAATTCCATGACACTACATTTTGGCGAACTTCAGCGTGAGCAGTTGTTCAAGGTATGTAGTGTAATGACCTACGCGAAGCGCCATCCAATACAAGCTCGCAGACCAGCACCTGTTAATCCAAAAGGTCTACTCTCAGAAGTTCAAGTTCATTGCAATGATATACAACTCACTGAAACTCAATCTGTAAAGGAGGTCAGGATGCACGAAGTGGTTGAGTCGCGAATGGCTTACAGATTAGCATAAACACCCAAAGTTGTGTTCTTCTTCGTTGGGTTCACGAATCGTCCAGGGTTCCACTGGTCTGCGTCGTCGCCCCACGCCTGCGGGAGCCTGCCACACAAAGACTTTAGCGAAACGTTCAAGGTATTGTAGATCTTTCGGCGCACCTATTGTACATACCCAAACAAAGTGATAGCCTTTGGCCCTTGCTCACAGGTATCTGAGAAATCTCTTCTCCGGAAACCGTAGTAATTGGGAATTCAAGGGGTATAACATCGTCTGACTGAGCTTCACGGTTGATGGTTGGAACCTGCCATTATTCATCGCCAAGTTAAGGTAGGAGAAATTCAAGCCAGACAGGAACTCACGATAGGATATAGCCTAAGACCTTCCTACATACAATCAATCTCAGGTCCCGCTATCTGGCGAGAAACACAAATACAATGACCAACCTTGATCACAGCGTTGAAGAAAGGCATAGAGTCCAAATCTTGGGGGCTCGGTTCGTTATCGCCGTTGCGTTCGCGTACTTCCTGTATTTCCCGATAGATTATTTCTTGATCCTTCGGGCTTTTTGTCAGTGCGTAAAGAATCCAGGTCATAGCCGACTACCAGGTCATTTAGAACCACAAGAAAAAAAACGAGACTTCACGACTCACTGCGGTGGTTTCATGTCCAGCTTCAAGTTGTATTTCAGTCAGTCTTAACTAAATTTGAAAGACTCGACCGCACCTAATATTATCGTACTGACCAAAGAGAGTAAGTTAGGATCAAAACTTCGAAATCGGGTCGCTTACGCCATTTGGGAAAGTACCTCGTCCTCGTCCAATGCTTTTGTTGGATCTTCTTCCTGATTAGCGTGGACCAGGACGCTCAATACATCTTTGCCTTCAGATTCATTTCTAATCGTCTTCTCTGCAGAGGCTTTCTCGAACAATGGCCTAGCCACTTTTTTCGACGCGTTCAAAAAGCTCAAGTACCTTTTCTCCTCTTTGGTCGGAAATTGGAGAAGAATGTTGGCCACGGAAACAGGAACATTGCGACGCAGCGCACGGTATAGTAGCTGCATTTCACGAGGGTAGAGCCGGGATTCAGCACTGAGGTAAGTCGGTATCTTCTATGTGAGACGTTCGGATATAGGAAAGGAGAGTACTCACAACAAATTCTCGAAGATGGTTCCTAACTCAGTCTCTTTTCCATCTAAAGATCCAAAATGATAATTGAAAGCGCCTGTAATTTTGTGATGAGTACCCGAACAGGTAAAATATTCTTTGTACGCACTCTCTCCTATGACGTCCAACGTTATCTTCGGAAGCCATGTAGTTACATTGATGACAGAGCCTTCACTTGCAGAATTGCCGAGCTCTTGTTGCCATTTCTCGACCAGCTAAGTACAGTCAAGGCAGAAATCATTGGCGTGTAAACACTCTGCATCGTAGACTCAGTCTTACCCTTTCTGTCGAACGTTGAAACAATCCGAGAAATTGTCGTAGCTGCTTGGCTGAAAATGCTGGATTTAGCGCCTTCCTTTGTCGGTTATGGATTACACCTAGAGAAAAAAGTACAGGCCAAAGATTCAGCAATAATCGGTAAAAATCGAAAATTTTGCCTTCGGACCTTCAGCGTTCAAGACCCCACGACCCATTAAGAAGGCGGTTATTTGCCGGACGTCTTGAGGTTTGGGAAAACGGTAACTAGATTACTGCAGAATCAGAGGGGTTGCATAGACGAGTTAAAGTCGTTGATTGTTTTACCCCGAAGTCACAGTGACGTAGTGTAGAGCTTTGGGATCCTTTGATCCTTGTTACACAGAGGAATAGAGATGAGACCAATTGAAGAACTCACGGCGAGCATAAGCATATCTTCCTGAATTTTTAAGCGTGAGTAGCATAGACGACATGAGACTAGTATGCTCCTCACGGAAAAGTAAGTGCTTGCTCGGAACGCGGTGCCGTATTCCTCAAACCATTTTTTCTCGAGGACGCCAGTTTCCTAAGTATCAGAAATGACCACCTGTCAGGGCTGGCAAATAAATCACAGGGACTTACTTCTTGGTGTAGCAAATCGTAATCCGCGCCTGAAAATTCAAGCTCAAGATCAGTAATGTACACCGTGTAATGTATCAAATACAACCTTACCGAAGAACAAAGAGGTGTTTACTGGTCCTCGAAGGAACTTCAACGACCGTTTATGGCAACGATAGACAAGACCATAGATTATGTACACGGGAGGTAGCAGTACGAGTGCAAGGATTACTTTGGCAATGAAGATAATCATGCTGCGTATGTGCATCGAGCTGCATCGAGTCGAGCTTTCTTATAGATGAACTCTGAGGAAGCCCCATTCCAAATACAGTAGTCAGAAGCCGTTCCAAAGATTGCAAGGCATTGCGGAAGGCGATATAATTTCCGAACGGGCGCCGATAAGTAAATCGATAGTTAGGAGAAGGCCGATGTGCTGATAACTTTTCCAAGCGCCCGTGCAGGCACCAGCGTTTATTCAACTTTAGCCTCATAATTGCATTTTTTGCTTCCTTTTGGCGTCTTCCAGGATCTTCCCTGGTCTTCCGTCGGTTTCTCCCATCGGTTTTTGCTTCCACATATGTACTATCTGTCTATCTCCATTCTCGAATCCTCCTATATTTTAGATTGAGGCCTAATATCACTTTCTCTGACCCTATTTGTACACCCTCTCCCAATATCTTTTCTGCTATCTTTCTGAAGCTTTCCAATTCTTTCACCTTGCTTTTACTTGCCCGTAACTTTAAGCGCCAGTCAAATGCCTTTTGTTCACTTTCCGTCGGCCTTAGGTTCCCCTCCTTTATCTACTGAATTGTCCCTATTCTACCCAGTTTTAGATTCCACTTCGTTCCGTTTGTCCAGGACCCAGGTTTTCCCCCTGTTTACAGGAGCAACATCCTGAAGAGAAAGAGAGAGAATAGAAAGAAGAGGGTCACAGCTAGTCAGTTACGCAGGTCATCTCACCTGCCTACACTTCGTCGGATTTTGCTTCGACTTCGCTCTCAACGTCTACTTGTCTCACCATCCACATCTTCGTCGGAATATGCTTCCACTTCGTTCCCTCACTTCGTAGTGATTACCTCCGGTTTACCTGTCGTCCCACCCTCCACTTCTCCGCAGCTATAGCTTCCTCTTCGTACACGTCGCGTCTACCTTATGTTTACATTACGCGTCATCGTTCTACCATTGGACATTGGACAGAATGTACAACTAATTGTCACAGTAGGCTGGATATGTGTGATAATACAGGGTTCAAGCATACCTTATCTAGTATACGATCAGCCAAGAAACGAAAGACCCTCCCATTCCAACTGCGGTTCCGATTCCGATTCCGACTCCGACTCGAAGAGTAATTACATAGTACCTACTGCTAGTGGGGAACCTAAGGCAAGGAAATTCATTAGACTGCGTGGTCATAGTCCAAAAACTGAACACCGGCTTCCAGATCATTCTCCTGCCAGGTACCATGTAAATGGTGTCTCTACACGTCGACTATGTACTAGCCTGAGGTCGGAGACATCGAATAGGCGGCAATCGAGGAAGTAATAAATTTGTGTACCCAACTTGCAACTCATGTTTAAATGGACGCAGTGCTATAGATGCTTGACTCCTTCAACGACGGGGGCTAGTTCCACAGGAGAACAATAGCAGACAAAACCCAATGCCCCTAGTCATTTTAGTATCGCATGTACTCACAAGTTGTCCATAGAATGACGGTTTTATGATTCCGAGTCCCTGATACGGAGTCGCAAGTCAATGGTCCTCTACTAGTAGGTCTTCACACATAACCCCTCCTTCAACAAGACCCCTCTCAATAGTCAATACTCCCACCTTCATCAGTGGAAAAGCCCCCCCTCTCTCTTGTGGTCCAAAAGAACACCCATATGTCGAGTCTCCAGTCCCGTGCACCGGTTCCCCTGGACCTCCTACTCTCAGAATCATACATCTTCGACCCTCGACCCCACTATCCATTACTATCTACCCTCAAACGATTCTGGAATCCTTCATGGACCGACTCGGATGGATTGACCCTGTTGTTTACCCATGGCACAGGTTTTCACAAAGAACAGTGGGAACCTACCATAGATTATTTGCTGGAGCTGATTCAAGTCAACACTGCGAGTATTAGTGCACAAGGAAGGTCCAGTCCCAATCGCCGGAACAACAGCATTAAAATACGAGAGATATGGACTATTGACGCACCGAACCATGGAGATGCGGGGGTGCTCAATGAAAAGTCTCTGCGGAATGGGTACGAGCCTGCTTGTGAGTCGAGTTTTCTTTTGTTACAAGTTCTTAAGCCACAGTGGTTATTTTGAAAATTTCTTACAAACATACCACATACCACATACTTACATATACATACAGTTCCGAAGTGGCAGGAATATGCACACAATATACACGCCTTCCTTACCGGAAGGGGCCAGACTCTGCTTGGAACTTACTCGGAAGATAATAGAACCGTGATACCTAATTTTGACTTTAGCAATCATACTATTGTGTGTATAGGTCATTCCATCGGAGCCATTTCCCTCCTGCTCTCCCTGGACCTTGCGCCATCCATTGAGAGCCTTATCAATATCTCTTCGTTGATCTTTATCGAACCTATGACGATGCCGCCTACTCTAGGAAGCTTCCAGGACCTGGCGGAGAAGCTGGCGTCTGGATCACGGTCGAGAAGAGATGTATGGCCCAGTGCAGAAGAGGCATATAAAATGTTCAAGACGCGTCGAACATGGCAATCATGGGATGATAGGGTGTTGAAGATCTTCGTGGTACGTACAACCTACGAATTCCATACTATGCTACTTTCGAAATCCAATTTACCATTCATGATCATGGTCAAGTAATAATTTGGCAATAGGATACTGGTTTACGACCCCTCCCAACATTGAGCTATCCCAATGCTCAATATGGCACTAGCACGCCGGTAACACTCAAATGTACACGGGAACAGGAGACGGTGTGTTCTTAATACTACTCTTCAAGTCCCCTATGGTAACTCAGCTAATGCATTTTTCTCACCTGATACAGGCCACATACAGAGAGACACATGGCTGGGATAGGATATATCGAAACCTGCCATCCTATGCGTCTCGCGTACGGATACATATTTATTATGGAAAAATTCATGATTTCATGTAAGCCAGTGTAACGGTCGTCAGACTTATTACATTTTCATTGCGGACTGAATATCGCATTATAGTGCTAAGGAGTGCAAAGAAAATGTTATTAACACCGCCGCTGGGGGACCGCAGAATTTCGCGAGTATTGGGTTTATCGACGGTGCGGGACATACGGTGGGTCTGTGCACTTTCGCTTCCAAGATGAATCATCATATACCCTTCCTTCAGGCTCCGCAACAAAAACCGCGCGGTGTCGCAGAAAAGATCTTTGAGGCAATCGAGACTGATGCAAAGGATCGACTCAAGGGCGAATCCTTTCAAGCCAAGTTATAAGTTACATTTTTTTTGATATTATGTCTGGAATGTAGACATCAATTAGTGAACATAGAATACATGAAAGCAATTGTTCTATAGTACAGCGATACACTTCTTCAAACGTCGAGCTTTCAAGTTGACGAACTAAATACTTTCGTGGTTGATTTCTTTTTTTCGACCGTCTCTTCAATCAATTGTCCATCATGACCTTCAGCTTGACCTAAAGGCCCATCGACTGCGTCCCTAGAGAAGGAAGCCTCAGTAGGCTGTACGGCGTTTTCCGGCGAATGACGTTCATGGATGTACTTTATGGTCTTGTCTGTAAGCTCGCTCGGCGAGGCGGTCGAACGATCGGCCTAAGAAATGAATGAGATATTAGGAGATGAGTTATTAGATATACAAACCTTGACATGAGCCTCGGAAGCGGAAGCCAGGTGTTCATTCCAGCCCGGAGCGTGGTCATGAGGAGTGGAAGTGCCGTGTTGGGTTTTTGAAAGATTGCGCTTCTTTTCAGTGTCCAGAACCTAGATAATATACCGATCCTTGAGCACTCGGGTATAATTTACGAAGGTTCTAAACTCACATCTGGGTCATTGTCGTGCATTGTACTGTTGAGCGAGATCAATGAACAGAACAGCGAGGACAATACGAAGCTACTGACCTGCTATATCTAAAATGAAAGCTAATTCAACTTCTACAACACGCATATATCGAAGTCATGAACTCACCTCATACTCGTTGTCGCAACGGGTCCTACAGAACGCGACACAAGGGTACGAGTTACAGCTTTCAGCGCAGAACGGGAATTCAAGGCAAGAACAGTGGTCATTTTGTTGAGTTGGATTTTGGTGGTGGTGGTAGTCCGAGTTTAAGTATGTAACGTGGATAAAAGAAACGGAATTTGGAGACCATTTGGGTGGAGATAAAGAGCATATTATGACGTCAGTATTACTTTTGGGGTTGTTATGACGCAGGTTGATTACTCTAATTTAACTGGGTCAATTATCTACGGTGGTGATAGCCTGTGATAGCACACTAAAAGACTTTGAATTGTTAGGTCGCAACTCCTCCAGCCATCTGATACAAATGTTCCTTGTCAGCAGATTCATCCACCAAAGCCCTCAGATGCCCCGACTCGTTCTTCAATAATTCCTCGGGCGAATCATATTCAACCTGCAAAAGAGTACGTAGATAGATGTCAGAGTTAGAATTGAAAACTATAAAAGAAGCGAGAACAAGTCTCGACTTACGATTCTTCCGGCATCCAGAACCATCTGTGAGAGTTTTTCGTAAACTCATTTCAGAACTCGTTCATTTTTAGAGGCATCACTCACAATTTTATCTGCATCCATGATGGTCTGAAGACGATGAGCGACTGTGATGAGGGTAACATCACCCTTCAACTCATGGCGGAGTGAAGATTGAATGACAGCATCTGTTTTATAGTCTATAGCAGAAGTCGCTGGAGGGAGAGGAAGAGGACAAAACTGTATCAGCACACAAGGCAAATGGTTGAACATGTGTTAAGATTGAGACAGACCTTCATCCAAAATAAGAAGTTTGCTTTCTCGCACCATCGCTCGAGCAAGAGCGATGATCTGGCGCTGACCAACAGATAAATTCCCTCCTCCGCTAGCCACAGCAGTATCTAAACCAACTCGCGCATCTTCGTCCTCACTCTGAATGGAATACAACCCGGCAGAACGGAGCGCATCGTATAACGCAGCATCGTCGTATTGGTCGAATGGGTCCAGGTTCCGTCTTACGGTTCCACTGAGAAGCTCTGGCTGCAAAACATAAGATTAGGAAGAAACAGTAATGAGAAGCAAGAAAAGGCATACCATTTGAGGGATAATTGTAATTTTCGTTCTAAGATCATCCAGATTGATCGTGGAGGTCGATAGACCATCCAAATACACTTCGCCATCGGTGTAAATGCATCTTAGAAGAGATAACATCAAAGAACTCTGAAAAAGTATCTTTCAATAACACATCTCATCTTAGTCAACCACAACACACCTTGCCAGACCCAGTGCGTCCGACTACACAAAAATTGCAATAATCAGCATTGTACCCACGATATCAACTCACCAAACCTACCAACGCCAATTCTTTCGCCGGATTTAATGTGAAAGTTGATGCCCTGTAAAACCTGCGGACCATCAGGTGAATACCGAGCGCTGAGATTTTCTACTCGTAAATCCCCGCTGGAAGGCCAATACGCTGGAGGCACACCCTCCTTGGTTGGTTTGGGCTCTTGCTCTATCTCGATGTAGGCGTTGATACGTTCGAGGCTTGATTATGCATATGTCAAACGAGTGATGGGGAAGGTAGTAGGAAGCCATACCTGTTGGCTGGAGTGGATAGGCGAAATAATTAGAAAAGTTGGTCTGAAATTCAAAAGTCGGCACAAACATACCTCTGACTTGGAACATGTTCATGATCCTAATATAATACAAGATCGAAGAACTGAACATTACTGTCGACACCCGTCCGACCATTATCAATTAGCAAAAAATCTTGAATCTATCACGAAAGTGTTCTCACCAGCCATATTCAACGAGAACCCAATCGTTGCCGCCTGCCCATGACTGACATACACCAAATACGCCGCCAACGAAGCAGAAAATACGTTCCCGAGAAGGTCGAGGCGGACGTCGATCCAGCGATTTAGGTTCCAGAATACACGTGAGGGACGAGAGTAGTAGTTGATCCGAGTGAGGGATTCTTTGATGAAACGTTCTTGGACGCCGTAGGCTCGTACCGATACTGCAAGAGCCCATCAGCAAGGTATCGAATAATCATTTTCTATCACTTACCCAGTCCAGCCATGACAGTTCCAAAACTACGAACGGCTTTCAGAAAAAAAAGCTTAACACAAATATGAGATCGAACAACTCACTGAGCTAAAACAGGCGCCTTCGCATTTGACTGAATACGTTTGATAGGTAATTGCGCTTTGATGTAAATCGATCCACATAGAGCGCCCGCTACGGAGACCAGGATCCCAGGGACTAAGAATGCGGGGCTGAAGTAGATCACGGAGCAGAATTGGCCTATCATCATGATGGTTAATCGTAGTAAGTTGCTGATTTGGTTTGGGAGAGGTCCGTCGACTGTGTGCCGTCAATTTTTGAAGTAGTAGTAATGGAATGGACGAGAGAATGATGAGCGCATAATCGACAAGACGAGAAGGAAGGGATAGGGATGAACGCACCATCACGCATATCTTGTGTAGCCCTCGTAATCACTCTAGACGTCGGTGTGGTATCCAACCATCTGGGAAAGAAAATGCCCTTCATGAGTCGGCAATAGTTGATCAAAGTCATCAAATTAACACACCTCAAAGTAGATCCCAACACCGACTGCATCAGTTGTTTATGGATGGACCTAGACGCCCTCAAGACTCCGTACAAATATATAATAAATCCGACAGCGAAGGTCACCACGACGAACAGGAGAATGAGGGCTATCACGCAACGCATCAGTGTCCAGCATACTCAGAAATAGAAGAACTGACAGTAGCCGACGAGGTAACTGCGCGGAGAATTATTCATAAGCAACATCATCAGCATTGCACACGAAAGCATTGTCCACTCACAAAACAACATCCACCTCAGAGGGATCCTTCCGCTCATACTGACTAGCCCAAATACCAAGAAACCATGTCTGGAAGATCTCGGCCGACTCCGAGAGTAGGAAACTGGCGAACACGGAGGCGACGAATAGGATAACGTGTTGTCCGCCGAGCCCTTTTATGAGCAATCGCACTGGAAATGAAAGTAATTAGAGTGTGGAAATGTGAATTTGAAAAGCACAGACCAGCGGGCCAACCAACGTTCCCGATTTGAATTTCCTCTGCAACGATGAGTTTTCCTTGACCTTCCACAGGCGGAGATTTCTTGGATTTGGTTCCGTCGCCTTCTCCATTACTTCCGCCGCTCCCGTCATGATTGCCAGCAATTTCATCCTCAATCTGCTCGATGGTCTCAATGGTTTCTACATTTTCAACGTTCTCAGCACTTGATCCGTCAACCTGTTCTATCTCCGATACTCCCAGTACCTCCGCTACGGTACCTTGTTTCGCCACCTGTCCGTCCTTCAAGGATACAACATACCCGGCAATGGGATGAGTTAGGGAGGTATTGTGTGTCTACGAGTACTTGTAGGTAATCGTAAAAATGGGAGTAAGGGGCAGTGTAATGGGAAGGAACAGTCACGTTGAGTAAAGCTTGTAGAGGGGAGTTGATACTCCAACACTCACCACCAGCAAGATTGTCCTATCCTTGACCAAATCACCTTTGAAACACTTCTCGACTATCCACTTGGACGTATGAACGCTAGAAACAAGAAAAACGGTCAGCAACATCTTTATACACATACACACCAGACGACCAGTGCATAGCTGCTGTGAAAAAGACTCACTCCAACGCAGCAAGTACATCGTCCAACAACAACACCTCTGCACTAGAATAGATCGCTCTTGCCAACGTAACCCGTGCTTTTTGACCTCCCGAAAGCGTCAACCCTTTTTCCCCCACCTCGGTCTCGTCCCCAGCTTGGAACAGTTCGAGGTCTTTTTCCAAAGCGCATTGGTACAAAACCTGACGGTATCTCGTGGCTTCGAAAGGAGAGTCAAATATTATATTTTCCTATGTGTGCGGAAAAGTGAAAAAGTACGCGATCAGTTTAGTGAGTCGATGATTTTGTGAACGGTCATGTCTACAGGCTAACCGTGATAGTAGCATTCTGAACCCACGACTCTTGCGCAGCATACGCTACCCCTCGTCCTCTTGGTAAATTGAACCATGGTTGGTGAAGACCCGAATTATGGGGAATAAAATGCATCTCGCCCAACAACGCCATGAGCATCGACGTCTTTCCCGATCCAGTACTTCCGACAATGAGGTTAATGGTGTTCCTCTGGAAAATTACTTCGTCTGGGATTTTGAGCGTAAATTGGCGTTTGATAGAACGCGGAGACTGAGAAGTCGGAGTGATAGACGAAGATATAGATGGTTCGAAGGGTTCAGAGCGGGTTGATGTTGGAGTTGACAAACCCGACTGGTACTCGTCGGAATGTCCCGAATAATCGTTCGACCAGCTGAACGTGACATTACGGAACCCAATTTCTTGAGTTGGAAATGGAGGTGGGGGTGCAGTGACCGGGATACCCAACTCATCACTAGCTGCAGAACCGGTAGTATGGGGATGTGTTTGGAAAGTGTCAAGAAGTTCGGTCTGTTCAAAAAGGTCCAGTCAGACGTAAAGAGGAGCCTTTCAAGGTACGTACCTCATACAAGAACTCTGTCACACGATCCAGAGATACTTTTGCGTTGACCTAAGAAAAATGAAACCCAACATTATTCGTGATAAGGCGGCTAGACGTTGAAGTAATACCTACACTTTGATTGACGTAGTGCATTACTCGCCACATCAACCTGTTTTGAATAAGCAGTGAGTAACGAAAATATACAACACTTGAAAGCCAAAGCCCTAGAAAATACGGTAACAGCAGACTTTACGAAGCACTTACATGCTAAACTTTTCGAAAACGACCATACTACTGAATACCTTGGACGCAGAGAGTTCTTGCTTCATGACCACCGTCTAATTTGGAAGATATATACATAATGGCTTTTTTCCGTCAATGACAAGATTGAACTCACATAGGTAGCATACGTAACCAGCATTACAATCAGAGGAATAACATGGCTATGAGGTCCCAAATCAGTGATAACACAACAGGTCCTAATTCGTCTCGACTCACTTGGATAAACCAGAAGCCAACTCCAACAGCCTCAACTTTTTCACGTATACTAACTCTTCCTCTCGAGCATCTTTGATCCTGTCGCCCATGAGGGACTCCCAACCAAAAAACTTAACCATGCGAAGAACAGATAAAGCTGAATCGGTACAGAGAGAACGAGACGGAATATTAAACCAACATCCAGAAGGCGAACAAAAATCCATTTATCACATACTCTCTGTAACAACCCCAATCCTTGCGTCCGTCTTTCTCATCTTGATTTTCTGCCTACTTTGCATCAATTTGGTAAAATAGCCAGGAATCGGGAATAGAATGATGATCGTTGCCAGGCCGACAAATGCACTATAATTGGAGAAGAAGAGAAGTGCAAATCAGGATCGAAAATGTCGAAAAAAGGCGGCATGGGACGTTATGAGAACATGCCACTCACCTCCACCCCAAAACTCTCTCCAGAAACCACACACAAAGTGCCACCTGAATCGGCACTTGAATGATTAGACGTAGCGCTTCCTTTCCATCGGTGATGTTTTGCATGTCAGTCGTGACGAGGTTGGAGAGTTTGCCGAGAATGTTTTTTGCCTTTTCGCTTTTAATTTTCTGTGATTTAGGGTTTTTCGACGAATCTGTGGTTAATGCGAGTGCAGACACTTTTGAGGGTTCTTTTGATTTGATGACCTTGGATGAGGATGAAGAACCGGGGCGCAGTGTGGTGTCTGTAGCATCTGTGGCTTCAGTCGCATTGGTTGCAGCTCTTGAATGAGTATCAGACTGTAGTGTCCTCTGATCCTCTTCGTCGCCACTGTCTGGAGGTGTCGACGAGTCAGACTCAGATTGAGAAGGCGAGGCAGATGCGGAAGGATAATTGGACGAGATTGCTTCGGAGGCCTTTTGATCATCTTCGTCATCCGTTTCCGCCTTCACCCGTATCCTAAGCGCATGCTCGAGGATGACCTCAGTAAGAATCGCTTCTGCATGAACGACCTGACGAGTCTAATGTCCGAGAGTCAGTGCAGCAAGTATCATAGAGACGAAAATAATATGGCAAGACTGAGAAATGGATTGCGAGGGATGAGACAGCTCGAAAAACGCACAGTGATATACAGATAACTCTCTGAAGCCATGGTCTGTAACAACGGACCGAAAAACAGCCATGCTATCCACACCCATGGCTTGAAGGTTGCGTTGACGCCATTGGTTTCGATGTACCTGCACGACATCAGTCGACACGACAATCTCAACAAAATAGAGATAATATAGCATTAAGCACACACCCCAACAGATTCTTTACCCCTACAGGCGTCGCGAAATCTAACACTGACTGCAACAGCACAAGCACCGAAAGCACCGAAAACTCCCAAGTGAACACGCGGACGAGGGAGAAGAATGCGTTCCGACGTTTTGTGACTATTGTTGGATCAAGGTGCTGGATTAAAAGTAGGCGTGTTAGCGAATACCTGGAGATTAAAGAAGGAAGAAGCTTGTAGACTGACACGAAAACTCCTTTTCTTCAGATATTCCGCATGGTCATAATCTGCCAACGAGGGAAGATCTTCATAAGGTAAACTTGGTGAATAATATGCCTTGAGAATGACTGAATCCATAAAGGCAAATGTAAGCCGGGACAAGATGGAGCATGTTTGTTCAGGATTGGGGGTTTTCGGGTGCTAGAAGACACAGGTATTAGCATACTACGTATACGATGAATGGTCGTACTCACCTTTGGATCCACAGGAACATACTTTCTTGGAACGCATAGCGGAACTAGAACTCCTGCTAGAAACAACAACCCAACTTTGACCCACGTGAAGCTTCCATCTGAGCCATCCTGTGGCACAACCTTGAATTTCCCAAGCGGATATACATCCCTATAAGCATAGGTCGCAAAGGTAGCACATAACACTGTATTAAGGTGTCGGATCGAGTTTCGGCTCCAGCGGTAAGATGCGATGAGGGAGGACAAGGAAAGGATAGTCGTGTACAGCTGCAACTGAGTGAGATCGGTAGCGTGTATATTAAGGAATGACACATACGAAGATAAAAATTAGCGCGGTATCAACGCTCGACCTACTCCTTACTAGCTCGATGGTACCTATCACGACGAGGGCTACACAGGATAAGAGTCGAACGAAATAAAATGCAAAGATAGTTGAGCCTCCGAGGGTAGTTATTTGCCTTCTTAAACTTGGTGAGTCTCGGCTAGACGCGTCGGGACGCGCACTCTTCGTCTGCGATACAGATATGTGTAAAAGCATTAGAGCGGCCGACGCTATGGCCACGCATGTTGGGATTAGGAACGTTGATCTTCAAAACGCGAACAACGATCAGAAAAAATATGATTCAAGTTTTCCCACCCACACTTACAAGGCAACTTCTTCCTTGACCATCCTCAACGACTCTCCTTGTGAATACATGAAGGACATTTGCTGTGAACCCATCGTTGAGTCCATCGTCGAGTGAGGAAAGAATCGAACTTTCGTGGCAAGTTTGACACTTTGTTGAAGTATGTACATAACCTTACTCAGCTTCGAAGACCTTGTGAGCTTTTTATATTCCCTCTCTACGATTGTATTACTAGTTCCTTATCAATATCATAAATCAAGTACAGGTATTGAACCAGTAGTACATAGGCTGTATCAAGATGTATGAAACCCACGGAAAGTCGTCCACTCACCGACGAATCACCGAAGCTCAGAGCACAAGTAAAGTTTTTGTTTTGGATCCCTGATTATTGTTCATTGTCCCAAGGGATATGGTAGGCAGTACATTACGATAGTCAATGTTCATGATCTTGAAAGTTGTCCTTCCTCCCGATCTTCCTGAATGGTAGGGGAAATATTTCATGACAAACGCGACTGTCCTTATCACCATGCAGTCCGAGACTCCGGGTTCAGTTCAATTTGAATAACGTTGAATCTTCAAGCTTCAAGTTCCTCAACATGGCCAGAGATGGCCAGTAATCACGAACAAATTTCTGAACCGATCCCGCCAGCATTAGATCTAGTGACAAGACAATAGTCGTCAATGTTTTGAATCTGAGATGCCATTAGCCCTTCTCATATCGACGCAAACAGACGCAAAAATAGCTAGTGAAGACACGAAAAGGGTGAGTCAATAATGAGCGCGACCTTTGGCATAGGATCGTTAAATTTAGAATCACATTCGAATTTTCTCGCTGTAAAAGTTCAATAATAACAGCAGCAACTGAGGCAGATAGGACTGGGATTGAAGAAATGAACAACTGCAACTTCGGCTCATGGCGTTCAGAAATTAATTTTCATTTTGTTCTTTAATCGGGTGACTCTACCAAGAGGCTAGCACGGAAGTGCTGGAAGAGCACACATACCGAGACATCTGGATCAGTGTTAAAGAAGCAAAACGGGCGCTCGGTGTCATAGAGCGCCTAAGTATCCGGCTCATCCGTTGGAACTCCATCGGCCAACCAGTGCAGCTGCTGCGCCTCTGGCGTCAACCCTGAAGTAAGACGTGTCTCCAACGATGATTCTCCGAGCACTATGTCTGTCGCTCGTGGCTACTCTATTATTTCTAAATGTCCAAGTCGTGGCTCAGGACCCGACTCACGAAATAACATCATTCGAAAACCTTCCGGCAAAATTAGTATTTTTGGAGGATACCACAGTGCGTATCTTGTTCAAGTGCCGTTGTAATTATACTGACGGTTGACTGCAGACTGCTTTTTACTTGGATGACTTGGAAGGAGTTTTATATGTCTCGCAGGACGAAGGGAAATCATGGAGTGCAGCAGACAACATTCCCGCAGGCGAGGCCACTATGGTCATTGAGCATCCATTCGAGAAAAATTACGTGCGTGTACTAGCCATAATCGTTGTTGCAATGCTTATGTTGAAAATAGGCCTTTGTGTTGACGCAAGGATACATACATTACCGAACCGAAGACCGAGGGAAGACTTGGAGGCCGTTCGATGTCCCTGTCAGACCAGCCTTCGTTGCTCAACCGTTATCTTTTCACTCTGATCCAAAGAAGTACGGATACATACTCTACCAAGGAACGTCCTGTGATCAAGTTGGCTGGGGAACTGTATGTCATGACGAAGTGAGTATCAACTGAGGGTTTTCTACGACGATGCACAATTTTCTGAGTTCCCACTTATCAGACCTATTACACCAAAGAGGCTTTCACAGATGAAGCAAAGCTACTTCTCACAGAAACCACTCGTTGTCAATTTGCACATAGCACTGTCGATTTCAAGCATGAAGCTCACTCAGACTTGATTTACTGTGTCGCGTTTGACACGCTCGAAGGAATGCATTCTCTTTCTCACAGCCGACTATACTCTACTACCACCTTTTTCGACGAAGACATGACCGTCGAGGACTTGGGAATTGGTAGCAAAAACGCAAAAGGCGTTTTTGCATTCGCTATAGTGGCAAAATATGCCGTCGTGGCCCTCAAGGATATGTCAGCGGATAACAACGGAGAGATGCTTTTGTACGTGTCAGTGGATACTAAGACTTGGGCAAAGGCACAGTTCCCACATGCGTCTTCTGCACGCTTAAGGGAAAATGCATATACCATCGTTGAATCGACCACGCATTCTTTGGCGGTGGACGTCGTTCTTCAGGACCAAGGCACTATCGGAACGCTTTTCGTCTCAAACTCGAACGGAACCTTTTTCGTGCAGAGTCTAAAGGATACGAATAGGAACGACATGGGTTTTGTGGATTTTGAAAAGCTTTTTGGTGTTGATGGTGTGGGCATTGCCAATGTTGTAGCCAATGCAGAGGAAGTCGAAGGACGAGGTGCTTCCAAGCTTCTCAAAAGCGTAATGACTTTTGACGATGGAAGCAACTGGTCCCCAATAAAACCACCCTCATACGACTCTAGCGGCGCGCGAGTCAACTGCAATCCTGGCGACGATGACTGCGGTCTCCATCTTTGGTCTGTCACCGCTCCGCACAACTTTGGGAGGATCTTCTCATCTCCTGCGCCTGGTATCGTCATGGGTGTGGGTTCGATAGGGAAGACGCTGCTCCCGTATGAAGATTGTGATACGTTTTTGAGTACGGATGCAGGGTTGACTTGGAAGATGATCACTAAGGACGCACATAAATATGAGTTTGGAGACTCGGGGAGTGTTATTATAGCGATCAACGATGAAGATGGTGTAGACAACATCTTATACTCGTTGGATATGGGCGTAACTTGGTCAGTTCCTTCGCTGGCACTCATCTGTGTACACTTACCTTTTTCATATACACAGGAAAAGTTACAATCTCGGCCTTAAGCTGCGCGCTCGCGCTCTCTCTACTGTCCCCGACTCTACCTCACAAAAATTCATCCTCGTTGGTCAAGTATCCCGCAAAGACGAAAATTACAATCAGTACGGTAGATATGTCGTTGTGTTCCTGGACTTTGCTGGGATCAGGAATAGAAAATGCGAGAAGGACGACTTTGAAAACTGGTATGCTAGGTCAGGGAAGTCGGAGTGCTTAATGGGACATAAGGTTTGTCTGCTTTGAGTCCATTTTATGTTTTCGTTGATCGAGCATATCTAGCAATGGTATCGGCGCCGAAAAGCCTCAGCCGATTGTTACGTCGGTGATAAATTCATTGATCCCGTTGAGCACGAAGACAATTGTCAATGCACAGATGCTGATTATGAATGGTGCGTCCGCTATTCCTTTTCCATTTTACTCGTCGTCACGCATGTTCTACCAATCAGTGACTTCAACTTCGTTCGTGATGGCGACAACTGTGTTCCTGTTGGACCCGAGCCGATAGCCGCTGGAGTGTGTACGCTTCCAAGCCAAAAGTACATGGGGTCTTCTGGGTGGAGGAAGATTCCGGGTAATACGTGTACTGGAGGACACAAGGATGATAAGGTCGAGAAGGATTGCTCGAATGGTATGTCTCATCCAATGTCTGCTGCTGCTGTACTACCTACCACTGACCTAATTTTCAGCTCAACCCAAAGAAGGCGAGGTCATACACCAAACCGTGCGCAGGTCCACAATAACCTTATAGGGCGCTATACTAATCAATTTCGCAGTTCGAATTCCCTAGTCAGATTGTGCAACATGCCTATTTCCGCGATCACCCCGTGAGACACTGAAAACATTCCTTGTATCAAACCCTCATACTGATATCTTTTCCAGACGATTTTGGTCCGCTTACACGATAACAGTATCTGGAAATCTAGTAACGAAGGTTATACCTGGAGCCAATTTGCCCCAGATGAAAAGTTCCTCGCCTTCTACCACCATCCTTACTCTTCCGACCGCGCCTATCTTATCACCCCCGAATCATATTTCTACTCGACCACCGACGCCGGTCGCTCATGGAATAAATGGAACGCTCCCGCACCACCAAATACCTTCCGCGCCCAGGTCCTCCGATTTCAACCTGAAGCCGACAGACTCATTTGGACAGGAAATGTAAAATGTAACACGGGCTTGTTCGAGGATTGTCACGCCACTGCGTGGTACTCTCGAGACCACGGCCGTAATTGGAAGCAGATAGAAGAATACGTAGTCAACTGTGCTTGGGCAAGTGATACGAAGCTGAACGCGGACCCAACGGAGATTCTTTGTGAGAGTTATCAGCGGAAAGAGGGAAATCAGAGATTCTTTTTGCAGGATAATCCGCTGGAATTGATTGAAGGACAAGGATATTATTCGAAGAAGAAAAAGTTGTTCAATCAGGTCGTTGGGTTTGCTAAGTTTTCGGAGTTCCTAGTCGTTGCAGAAGTAAGTTGGTCAGTTGTAAGTATGCATTGACATGAGGGCTAATATTCAAATGCGACTTTAGCTTGCGTCGTCAGGTCGCGCTTTGGAACTTCAAGTTTCCCTAGATGGTGTAAACTTCGCAACTGGTGAATTCCCACCAAGTATGCATCCCGAAACGCATGTATGTTTCGTCATTCGCCTTTCACAAGGACCTACAAATTTAACCATTGGTTGAATAGGCTTACACTGTCCTCGAATCTTCCACTGGGTCTCTCTTCATCCACATGACGATGTCCGAACCTCCGAGTCCGTACTGGGGTACTATCCTCAAGTCAAACTCTAATGGAACATATTTCATCGTATCGCAAGAGCTCGTAAACCGTGATGAGCGGGGTTACGTTGATTTCGAAAAGGTAATCGGCCTGGATGGTATTGCCTTGATTAACATCGTCGCGAATCCTTTTGACGCAATGCTTTCTGGGAGAAAGCTGATTGCAAGTAGAATCACGCATAACGATGGTGAGCCTCGACTTTCGTAGTTTGAATGAAGACATCGTCCGTTGACAATTTGCATATGTAGGAAGTACATGGAAACCGTTGACGCCACCCACTGTCGACTCTGAGGGAAACTCTTACTGGTGTGATTACACCGTATGTTATTCTCTCCTGTGTATTCTTTTTGTTCATTTATAACATCAACCTAGGCATGTTCTCTTCATGTTCACGGCTATACCGAACGAAGAGACCCAAGAGCAACTTATAGCAGTCCTTCCATCGTCGGACTCATCATGGCTGTAGGCAACGTCGGGGAAGAACTCGCACCCTACACCGACAGTGACACCTTCCTCAGTCGTGACGCCGGTTTCACCTGGGAGGAAGTTCACAAAGACGCTCACCTTTGGGAATTTGGTGACTCTGGTTCTATTCTCATCATGGCAAATGACGAAGAACCCACGGATCATGTCTTGTTCAGTACGGATGAAGGGGCTAAATGGCGCGAATACAAATTCACCAATGATAAGATAAGGGTCACAGCGATCGTTACAGTTCCTTCAGATAACAGTAGAAGGTTCATTTTGATGGGCCAGTATCCATCGAGGCAGACAGAATCTGTGGTGGTGCATATTGACTTTTCGGCGCTCACAGGCAGGAAATGTATGTCCTGCTTATTGATCGAAGCGTTTTACCATTGATTTTTCCTTTCTCCCTCACAGGTGTTTTGAAAGTCGAGGACCCAAGTCATGACGACTTTGAATTGTGGAGTCCAAGTGAGGATCGTAACGAGCTCTGTCTTTTTGGTCGCCAAGTAGGCTAAATTTCTTCAAAATGCGCACGCGTGGATACTTAAATTCTTTAGACGCTGTACCATCGCCGTATTAGGGATACTAACTGCTACATTGGAGACCAACGCAAGGAAGAAGCTCGTATACAAAAGAATTGTGCTTGTTCTACCGTTGATTTCGAATGGTACGATCATTGCATGCACCTCGATGTACTGCCTCATACTCCATATTTTCTCTAGTGAATTCAACTACATCAAGAATGCAAATGACGAGTGTGTTCTAGCACCTGGAACGACACCCTTGTCGAACGATGAAACTTGCCGAGCTGGTGAAGAGTTCTGGTATGAAAGGACACCATATCGCAAGATAACGTACTCCACTTGTGATGGCGGTCACCGGCCAGATCGTGGAAAGGCCCACCCATGTCCCGGGTTCAAGCATCATTCGGGATGGTTCTGGTGGTTTGTCATCCTCATCTCCTTCGGCCTTGCTGGATTGGTTGGGTTATATTTCTATCGACGCAGCGGGATTGCCCGAGGGTCAGTGTTGTGTCATCTGTATCTGTCGTCACAAAAGATACTAATATAGTCGTACTACAGAAACATCAGGCTTCCTACCGACGCAAGATCGAGTCGTTTGGCTGGCGATGATGGCGTCCTTTCAACTTTGGCATCGGTACCATGGTTCCTCGTCGGATTGGCTGGAATTGCTTGGGAATTTGTTGCATCGAATGTGGAATCACTATCGAATTCATATCGGGCTCGTAGAGGATACCGGAATCTGCCTGTCGATGAGGATGCACAGATACTGAGGTTTGAAGACGAAGAGTAGTCTTGATGCTCACACGTGATATAGCTAGTTGGTCGCCCATCAACATCACCCTGGGGAATCTGAGTTCTCGACCAACCAACTCAGGTGAAAGCGAGCGTCCATATTGCAATCTGATACCATTCTTTTTTATGATCCCAGAATAGCATTGGCGTCACCGTAATTTATTTACTTATAAAATTGTAGAATCTGACTCCCTCAAAATTGTCTCCCATTCCATTTGTTCTGTACAAGTAGGGGTGAATGTCGTTACATAGTAGAGCAATACTCATGTTTGGGTCCAGTGCGCACTTTACGAGGTCATGACAATGTACAACAATTTTTTCTGCTTACAATTATCAGGATGCATATTTAGGCAGAAAACTCAGGGGGATGATCTAGTCCTACATGCTGTCCATAAGCTCTGGGTTCGTGGTTTGCAACAAGCAAGAGTAGTGTGGAAGAGGGAATCAGCCTTAACACTATCATAATGGCTTTGAACATCACCCACTGGATGTACAGATTGTTGTATGTTTATTATGTTCTTGTCTTTACGGAAAATAACCGCTGAGTGAACAGGTGAGAGAACAGGCAGTCGTTATTACTCGGGTTGCATCCTTCTACTTGTTCTCTTCCTTTCTACAGGTTCCCCATTGCTGCAGTCTATCTGGAATAAAACTAACTTACAGTAAGTACTATTGCAAAACCCTTGCTTAAGTGATTATGATCAGGTTAAAGATGTTGCAGAGAACATAGATCGTTCCTGGGGAGGTTTTCGAAGCCAGAATGGCCCTAAATCCAAGTCTCAGCGAGTGTAAACGTCTTGAAATTGAATACTTACCAACAGGATCGTCGTCGTCGTGGAATATTGTTGTCCAAGAACCCTACATATGTTTCAACGCTTCAACTCCCGGTATGGAATGAAGTAATACGTGCTTACCAACACTCCATACGATGAGCGGATACCACCGACTTGGACACCCTCCGAGCTTTAAAGTGCTTGTTTCCATGGCTTACTGTTACAACAGGAATAAATAAACGAACCTCCAAATCGCTTGACCTTGTTCTCCCGAGACCTGTAAGCATATATTAGTTGTTTATCGTCAGAAGCTCCGAGTAATTTGCGTACAAAATGCCATCGAATCTGATCGTCGTCAGTCATACAAACATAGCCGTTGATAGTAGACGTGCTAGGTGAAGGATCTGTGATAGCACCGAGAAAATATATTCGGGGTCGTCCGGGATGATTTGGGTCCTCCTTCACGTTAGTGACTTGTAAATTTACTTTCATGGAGCGAAACATCTCTTGAAAACCCGGACCAGTTAAAAGCGATTCGCGGAATGGACCAGGCTCCGAGTTCTGTTGATTCATTAGTTGGTTTAGAGACAAGGTCGGATCGCCATACAGGAATGTTATTATAACCTTTTACAGTTTTTATCAGTGATTCAACGACCAATTCCAGGAAATCTAGTGATGCTCACGAAGTAGAAGCGCATGATCCACGAAACAGAACGAAACAGTCCACACCCCATTAACCCCAGCCCAATCATCCTCCTGGTCTAAGTCTATTCCTTCTGGAATAATGATTTGCGTATACGGGAAACTCAATGGGTATATCACAACCTCGAACCCTGCATCATCCGCCAACTCCAGCATATGCATGGTCATTGAATGATGTATGTGCTTCATGTGTACCCAATTGACCTTTCCAACCCCACTACCCTCCGTGCTCGAAGGAAGGAAAGGTCCAAATTCGTTTGACCAATTATAGTGACGCATATTATAGATATACGCCCGAGCAGCAAGCCGCGAAGCGGGCTTGTAATCTGCGGGTGTCAATCCAATGGTTGTATGAAGCCTAGCACGTAGCTGTGCTTCTTCCTCTGCTAGTTCAGGATCGTCTGAAGGCAATCCAATCTTGCCAGGATCGAGGAATACGCCACCGCGAGTGACGGCGGTCACCCAGAGTAAGTTCTGGGATAAATTCTCGATGATGTCTCCATATGATCCAAGCGGAGGTACCCAGCAAACCATATTCAACAGCGTCTTCAGTACTTGTATCCTTTCATGCGGTTTGCATATCGATACATCCTCTAGTACCGTCCTTGCACGGATTATAGCCTGTAATTCTGATCTCCAATCAAACTGCCCTACGCGAGGCCGCCCATTCTGTGATACGCATCGAGTGGGATCATCGAAAGGTTGCGCAAGATAGAGTGCGCGCCAAATATGTTGAGAGGAATCACCCGGAGAGTTGTAAACCAGGTCGTAGAACAATCGAGAACAGCATGAAATGATGCCTACTTCTATTGGATCACATTGGAGGAGAATCTCTTCAATTATTTCGACGGGCAGATCGTAGAATTTGCCCATGTTGGCGGCAATGGTCAGGGAAATTGAGGGACATGAGAACAGTCGAGATTCTGAATTTCAAGAAAATGTCGGTCCGGCGCCGGGTCTTGTTCATCATAATGAGCTCATCCTCTCCAAAAATTCCGTTTTTTGGGACAAATGTTACATATAACTCGCTTTGACTGCTTTCAATTTCTACTACGTACTACATACTGACAGGTGAGGAAATTTGGGTAGTTGATTGTTGGTGTTGGGGAGAAACGTTCGAAAATTCATGTATAGACAGACGCACAATTTACCCACATGAGACAAAACAGTAACGTAGTTGGATTCCGAAGTAAGTTTGCAATGAAGAAGCACTGTCCGTCCTTCGTGCCTATATGTCTGCGAACTTGTTGGTGGCCTGGATATGGATATGAGTGGAATGAGTCTGTATAGTAGGGGCCAACGGGTGCGGGTAGGAAAATGCTTACATCAACCAAGAGCTTTGCAATGCCAACCTCCCGGGAAGAATGCCCAGCATCTGGAACGATGTGAAGCTCCAACTCTGGCCAGACCTGATTCCGGGAAAAATATGTCATTTCAAGTTTGGACATGAACTAAAAATGTTATTTGCCTTCTTCAGAGAATACGCAGTGGTCGCCTATCACCGTTCCAGTAGTATGTAAGTCGAGGTCCGAGGCCACTAATCGAGAATCATACCGGGCAAACGACATCGTATCTACCTTGCACTACGATGCAGGGGATATTGCGGCTGAATGAATGTTTGATCATTAATCCTAGACGAAGACTTTCAAACTGGACGCACATCTTATCAATCTCCTGTTTCTCTAAGAGCTGACCTTCTCTCATGAATCCCTGTAGAATCACGATATATACAGTCGTAAGGAACGGTGTGAAGTCAATGCACGCACGTCGTTGATGAAATAATGATTCTCGATCCGGGCAAAAGCGCTGAGAGTACTGATTTAGACTTCTTCGTCCCGGGGGCAGTAGGGAAACAAGGAGGGAATGCAAACACCCACTTTGCGAACTCATCACTCTCTGCTCGGTTAATGTAAGATGGATCTACATATAACTTGGATGTAGCCATTCTGTTTGTGCAGAACAGTCAGCATCGAAAAAGTGATCCTAGAATATGGCGACTCAAGACGCACTCCCATTTGGACCAAGCTTTAGCAGCGTTAATTCTCGTAGAATCGTCGATTGAGTTGAGCTGCGCATGATAAGCTAATACCATGTCGTGTCGTTCCGCCTCAGGTATGGGGGCCAAGTAATCTTCCCTACATTAAGTTACTTCAGTGCAGATAGCAGATTTGCCGACGAAGCCTTTATCTCACCAAGCCTCCGGGAAGAGGTGAGAAGCACCGTCCTGGTAGAAAAAATTGAGCTCGCTATGATCCTGTCAAAATCGGATGCTTTAGAGAGTAGATAGAGCAAACGGACCTTTTCCTCAGCGTGAAAATTCCTCTGTACAAGGCAGACTCAGATGACAGAGGGGTCAAGAAATGGCAATTAAGCACACCTCATAATCAGGCTCTTGACTCGGTCCGGATGCGACTAGAAACTTCTGAGAAACTGCTAAGGAAAGCTGGGAAACTTATCCCGTACTTGAGCATAGGCCAAAGAAAGCGTCGAACCCTTGGATAAGCTCAGTGACAGATAGTCACATAGTATCACTGAGGGACAAACCCAGGATCCACCAAAGACATGCCACTTTTCGATTTTGAGCTCTTCTCTCAATTTTTCTATATCCTTCACGAGATCCCAAGTGGTGTTCTCATCTAAGCACGCAGTGCTGGAATAGACGTTTATGTGTGAACATCGAGCGGGGTTGCCGATTGTTACTCACGGCGTTGACTTCCCGGACCCTCGTTGGTCGAAGAGAATGATCTACGGGACAACTCTTATCCCCGTATCGCTCCCTGAGCTTTACGACCACGCACCTTGTATTTATTTGGGTTGAAGAAGGATCGGTCCTTCTCGTCACAACCGCCTCCTGGGCCACCTACAAGATGGAGTATTGTATAAGGACTACTCAGTGAACATCATTCCAAACTGACCATGAAGAAAGACAACTGCACGAGGATCAGTAAGGGGATATAGTCATCGATGGAGACAAGGAGCCACTACCAGGTACTCCGTCTTTGTTTCCACTAAGTTCGTAACTGCAAGCAGTAAGCGATGAGTAACTACAGGTTTGTTGCTGGTTCCTGGATACATACTAGAGAGTGTGAATGTCAGAGACTTTGAGCGTTGAGATCTGGTAGGGCTGAATTTCAGGATACATAGGTGGTGGTAAAGATTCAAGGGGATGTAGGATCCGATTATTTTTTGACGGCGTCAATATTTAGTCTCCTCATAATCACGAGGAAAAGCTCTATTTCGCCTTTTCTATTCCATCGTTGGAGTTGGTGGAAGGGAAATTCTCGGAGGCCTGAGAATTCAATCAGCTTGATCGATGAATAGACATTGTTGTCAATATTCCTGAATCTTCTCAAGAAAGAAATAAAGCGCTCCTAGTTGTGACGTAATTCGTCAGAATTTTGTCCGCTGCCCTATAGCTAAAGCTTTAACACCACAAATTTGTGGAAAATACTTTGGTTGAATTCGAGTAGAATAGAACCCCTCCCGAAAATTCACCTTGTTTACACAGAGTCGTTAGTATTATTGCCGGTGTTATCATAGCCTCAGAATTTCCAGCAAATTTCCACTTGCCTTGCGCGAATTCAAGATTCCCATCACATTGTAACTCATACGTATGGACCCCAAGAACAAACTTAAATACATACAGGGAAATTCGTTTATGTCCGAACATTTTGACAGCGCAAGGTCGTATGTAAAACGAAAGAAAATCATGTATCAATAACACCGAGTTTGAGAAGTTTATTTTGACGCTCCGAATTTCTGCGAGTTTCTTTTCGGTCTTGGTATCCAGTCTGTATATTGAGGAATAATGACCTGAAGTCCGGATGTAGATTAGCCCTCATTTAAATTTTAGAAGCTTAAGCAGGAAAAATAGATACAGCTGTGGCCCACTTGCTTCGCTTCAGCTCCTTCTCCAGCAGCCGAAGATTATAGAGATTCGCTTTGAATGCAACGTCAAGAAACTCTCCTATAACTTCCATGAGCTCTGGCATATGCGTAGGAATGTTAGCTGTGCACACCAATGAACGGTATAATTCCGATAAAGGCATCGACGAGGATGTAGAACACCTTTGAGAAATTAATTTCACAAAAACTCAAAAGTATTGGAAGGGGTACACATACCATGATTGCAATCACATTTATAGGAAGTCCAAAGAGCATACTCAAGAATAGCTGGTAGAAGGCCAACAGCATTCCGATAGCATCACCAAAACCAGGCAGCACAGCACCAATAATCGAGTCCAGGCCAAATTGCATCTCAAAAGGCAGCGACCCTAAGAAAGGGAATGTCGGTATAAGCCATTCGGACGACGCGTCGAGGAGGAAAGCAACGGTTCTGACTGATGAAATCACCGACGATCAGTCTTTAGAGGAACATTGGTTATATTGACGACTCACTATGGTTGTAGAGATGCTGCGCCTATGAGGGTATTGATATCAGACCTGAAGAAAACGAGCACAAGATAATACGCTGGAAATTGTACATACATCGATGGGGTTCTTGGCTTTGAAAGGCGGCGAAGCATGTCGATAAGCATTGTAGACTTGTGACTTGAATTTAACACGCACGTCTGCGATATTTGCAGGTCCAGCGAGGTTGAAAGTCTGCTGAGCTCATTCTTCACAATGAAGGATGGAAGGTACAATTGGCGTGGTTCCACGTTGACATGTACCCTAAAGCTATATGGGATGATGTCATAAGGGTTTCCTCCAGCGCTATGACTAGATAAGCGCCCAAGGAAATGGATCAGTCACGAGATGTGCGTGATGAGCAATAGCTGTATAGCTCCTTTCGCACGATACTTCACGCCGTTCGCAACCGTCACTTCAGCTTCACGTTTCCACTCGAATCAAAGTAGGTATTCATAGTCGGTCTGCTTCTTGTTCTTTCTCATTCATTTCTCGCAAGATGCAAATTTTTGTCAAGACCCTAACGGGTAAGACAATCACCCTGGAGGTGGAGTCCTCGGACACCATCGACAATGTCAAGGCCAAGATCCAGGATAAGGAAGGGTACGACTGGTTGACTTGAGTTCGTCTTGATGACTCTAAATTATCTTGCTTTATCATCACAGTATTCCCCCTGATCAACAACGTTTGATCTTCGCCGGAAAGCAACTCGAAGATGGACGAACTCTTTCCGACTATAACATTCAGAAGGAATCGACGCTCCACTTGGTACTTCGGTGTGTAGCAATACTTTCCATCAAGCTGCAATTTCTCTAAGCCTATTCTGCGATAGTCTCCGTGGAGGTATCATTGAGCCTTCTCTCAAGGAGCTTGCCAGCAAGTACAATTGTGAAAAGAAAATCTGCCGAAAGTGCTACGCTCGTCTGCCACCCCGTGCTACTAACTGCCGTAAGCGTTCATGTGGTCACACAAACCAGCTCAGACCGTATGTCTTCCCCACTCTGACTCGTCTTCCTTTACTCAAACTAAATTCATTAAATTCCAGTAAGAAGAAGCTGAAGTAGTGGTTGGAGGAACATTGGATGGGTGCTTCATGTTTCGTCTATGCCGATGTATGCTATGTATATCACACGAATCCGCTAAGCAATACTGCTCCGAATATGTCACCTTCACCATGAGTTCCATCCAGGTTCCATCTTTGTGCTATTGGTTGATGTTGATGGCATACTCTGATATCGTCAATATGGTCTGGTAGGTACGGCTTATAGACAGTATATTGTTGCACTCAAATTTGAATCTGCATCTGCGTTGTCCGAGTTCCCACCAAATCACCAACGAATCTTAGCATCTGCAACAGCTGTACCTAGCTGTACTGTGTGAAAGAATGCTTGCCTACCAGTTACTTCGATGGGAGAAGTTATCACAGCGGTGATCCTGGTGCTTCAGTACTTTCGGCATATCTATGATAATCCTTCTACTAGTACTACTCTTCAGCCTCGCCAGCAGTAATAACATCATCTAGTTTTGGAAGTGTGGTTAGGTTACGTCAAAGTATGAAAACATTTTCAGAAGACAAACCGATTTTCAAGACCGCGCGCACAAGTTGTGTCGCAAGCAGGTACTGCTGCCTTTTGGAAATGAGAGGATCATACACAAATTGATTCTTCATGTCTACAGCCACATGCATTAGTCAGTCATTCGTTCCACAGTAATCAGTATAGTGGATCTGCACCATTGTTTCCCTTCCCACTGCAATCAATACCAATGTGTGAGTCTCCTTCTTTTATTTGTCGACTCTTGACATCCGCCAGAGTTTCTATAGGAGATAGACCACTGTTTTCTGCCAGTGCTAAAGGAATTGCATCGAGAGCGGAGGCAAAGGCGCGCATAGCGTATTGCTCGATAGTTGGAATCTGTATAGAACGACGATAAAGCCAATTGTCAGAGGAAGAATAGATGGACTAACCTCATCAGCAGCTTTTGCAACAGCGACTGAACAGCTAATGTCAGCAGCACCTCCGCCGTAAACGACCCGGTTGTCCACGACGAGGTTGCGCACGGCACAAATCGCGTCGTGTAAAGCCCGCTTAGCTTCATCAACGATCTAGAAGATTCAAGTCAGTCACGGAATCGATATTCGACATTGAAAACTGACCATTTTGTTGCTACCACGAACAAATATAGTCACGGCTCTACTATTCGCGCACTCCTCAATGACCAACATCTTGTCCCTAGTAGTACCAAATGAGACCTCCCTGACGATACCAGCTTTGCCAAGCTTGGCAGAAGTCAAGTCTTCGAACCGAGGAACAATACGACCTTGTGTTGCGATCGCAATAAGCTGGAATGTTTTGAGCAATTGTATGCAGCGGATCGAAAAACATGATTCACCTCGATCTCGGGGCCACCAACCCATCGTACCGCAGGTAAATCATTCTGCATCAGTAGATGGTTGGCTTCATCATCGAAACCCCATTGGCAAATGACTAAGTTCGCGCCAGTGTCCTTCACCCGCTTGATCATGTCAATAAATTTCTCCTTCTCGTATGCTTGAAGCTTCTTGTACTCATCCACGCTCGATATTTCCAGCTTATGTTTGGTTTTCGGACGTGGCGGTTCAAACGGACATGTGAGGATGGCAAGACGGGCATCATTTACAGATCGAGGCATTTGTTGGTGAGACATGTCTTTGTCAAGGAGAACACCCTTGATGAGCGTTGTGTCGGCCAGTGACCCGCCGACCTTGCCGTCCACTTTGATGAGGTCGAAAGAAACATCACGACGCTCTAGGTCTGCAACTTGTAAAACTGCATCGACGGCGATCTGAGCGAACTGTTGATGTTCTTTAGAGACACTAAACAAGGATGGGGATATTCGTAAAACAGCCCGTCTTGTGAGACCAGAAGAACGTACATCTTGCTGCCCAAACTTGTCATGGCAGTTTTGAGAAGGTTGGAAGTATCGGTTTTCGAGAATTCGACACGATCTGAGATACGATCTAGTTCTTCGACCGCGACTTTGCAAGCACGGTCGAAACCATCTGCAATACGGATTGGATGGATTCCACGGTCGAGTAAAGCTTCACTCTGCTCCAAGAGAGCACCAGCAAGTACTAAGTTTAAGAATCAATCAATGAACAGCTGAATCACTGTAAAGACGACAACACACCAACGACGCCAGTTGTGCCATCACCAATTTCATCGTCTTGACTTTTAGATAGTTGAACGAGGAGTTTTGCAATCTGATGCTCTACCTCCATCTGTGATAGGATAGTTGCTCCATCGTTCGTGACGATAATTTCTCCGTCAGGAGTTATCAGAATTTTGTCCAGGCCTGTATGACAAACCAGTTGGCAATGAAATGGTCAAATTAAGCGGAACTGACCTCTCGGTCCTAATGATGTTCGGATAATATTGGCTACTGTCCGTGCTGCAAGTATATGGGACTAAGTAAAGGTCAGTAATGCGAAGGTAAATATTTTAATGATGATTACCTTGATTGCCTCTACACCATGAGATCTCGTTTTCCTTGCTTGTTCCCGGACGATGATGAAAGGGCGGCCATACTATGCAAGTAGATTATGCCGTTTGCTTTGGGCTCAAGAAACGTCATGCTCACCTCGTCAGTAGCATACACCGCCTGAGGTTCTGACATTTTCAAAAGAAGAGACGCGTTCGCGATCAGCTAAGGAATTTCGTGACATGATAAGTCACATCTCAGAGCTGTCACACTCATCATCGCTTTTGAATCTCTTCGCCCACCTCCCAGAACTCCCCTACCATGATGGAATCAGAAATTGACGGTTGGATTGAACAGCTCAGTCAGTGTAAGCAGCTCTCTGAGGCTGATGTGAAACGTCTCTGCGAAAAGGTGCGTCAATCAATGACCTTTTACTTCCATCCATTGTTCATCGTTACGTGTAGACGAGGGAGATCTTGATGGATGAATCCAATGTCCAACCTGTGAGGTGTCCGGTTACTGTCTGCGGTGATATACATGGCCAATTCGTGCGTCTCTCATCGCCTTCCCCTTTTGGGCTTATCTTAAGTTCTTCTCCAGCATGACTTATCAGAGCTTTTTCGCATTGGAGGAAACTCACCCGACACCAACTACCTTTTTATGGGTGACTATGTAGATCGTGGCTACTATTCGGTTGAGACTGTTACTCTCCTGGTCGCCATGAAGCTTCGATACCGAGACCGAGTCACCATTTTGCGGGGCAACCACGAATCCAGGCAGATCACCCAAGTTTACGGATTTTACGATGAATGTCTTCGAAAATACGGCAACGCCAATGTTTGGCGCTACTTCACCGACCTCTTTGACTACTTACCCCTTACTGCACTCATTGATAATCAGGTGTGTTCTCGTTTGTTTGTCTTGTTCTTGTTGATTGCTCTATGTACTATTTTGCTCACGGTTCTTGTTCATGGAAGCCTGATTTTACCAATATCAACCTTTGCTTCCGGTTGTCTGTCGTGTGACACCATTCTAATCGCCTATTTCTCATCTAGATATTCTGCTTACACGGTGGTCTCTCCCCATCTATTGATACCCTAGACCACGTTCGATCCATTGACCGGGTGCAGGAGGTGCCTCACGAAGGACCCATGTGTGACCTGCTTTGGTCTGATCCGGATGATCGTTGCGGTTGGGGAATCTCTCCTCGTGGTGCTGGATATACCTTTGGACAGGATATTTCGGAGGCCTTCAATCACAACAACGGTCTGACGCTTGTCGCGCGCGCGCATCAACTGGTTATGGAGGGTACGTTCTGCAAGCTGTTTCCTAAATTACGTCACTTACATTTTTGGCGTTGTCCTGATAGGCTACAGTTGGGGGCAGGATCGGAATGTAGTGACAATCTTTAGTGCACCTAATTATTGCTACAGATGTGGGAATCAGGCAGCAATCATGGAGATCGATGAAAAACTATCTTACAGCTTGTAAGTCAACTTTCTACTCACAGCGTATGAAGAACCATGCTGAAATTTACCTAGTTTACAATTTGATCCTGCCCCACGAGCAGGTGAACCGCTCGTTTCGCGGCGTGTACCAGACTATTTCCTTGTGAGCTTTTCAGTTACTATGGTTGAGTTTAACGTTGATTACCATGTATCTCTAGTAATTGTCTACTACAATATATCTCTTTGCTATGTGTATCAATGATGCTCTCCGAGAGATACCCCGCGCTAGCTCCATCATCATAATCCATCATAATTTAATTCTCTCAGGTCCCGACGCCCGTTCCGAAACGCATCAAGGCTTTTTTCAAAAATAATGACGGTCGAAGTCACCGTCCCGTAATTTCGTGTCGAATGGATAGTATAACCCTGGCGGCATCGCTTTCCAGTTCTCTGGCTCTCCGAACCAATCCGGTCCCATCTGTTGCTGTGTATAAAATTCCTCATGATCAAAGACATTTCTTAAGTTCTGTATACCTACGTAGACGTTTCCCTACTAGTTCCACGAACTTTTCCTTTCTCAATTTTCTTTTCGTATTTCCAGACCCCCACTTCGGAATTCCATAAATGAATAATTTGCATGGGCTCATTCGAATATTCATCATTCACAACTGTGACTTTCATCCGTTTCTTTGTTTGTTCTTTTGCTATCACGATGGACAGAAACTGAATATTGTAAATGCTTCTGAGTATGTTGGCCAAAAGGAAACCAGGAATACAAACAAGTAAATGTCGATGCCCCTTTGTACCCATTCGACCTTCTGGAATCGGAACGATCTGTGTCGATGCTCCTAGGAGGGTCTGGCTCCCTATTCTACTTACATGCTATTTGGCTGGGATCCCGAGTCGCTCAGTGGGACGGAGCAGGAACAATCAAGCATTAGTTCCATCTCGCCTGGACTAAAGCATTGACGTATACATGAAACGCTCCGGTGTGCTATAAGCTATTGCTACCAGAGCCTACAAGTAGCTCCGTAGCACTTGTTTCCCACCCCGGTTTCTGTCTCCCGTATAGATCGGAGGTCTTGAGGCTGTAGGCCATGGTCTGCGAAGGCCGACATCTGGCATATATAAGCTGGTTCTCTTCCCATTTGCATAATATCAGAACAACACTCCTACACGCAACACATTCCTCCAACAGCCTTAGAAAAGATGCGATTTATCTTCTCCCTCTTGCCGTTTCTTGCTCTTGCCACCTCCGTCGTCCATGCTCAGAACGCATACATCTATACTCCTGCAGATATGACCGAGGTCCCTGCTGGCTCGAGCTTCAATGTCACGATCGCTCAAGGCGTGAGTATACTTCCGTTTTTGTTATGAGCGAGTTGAGCTTACTATAATACATCGAACGTTCGACAGGATTCTAACAGCAGCTGGAAAAACATAGCCATTGTCATCGCTTTACTGAATTGTCATGAATATAGCAGCACTTGCCTGGGCCCCGCTGAAGAACTAGGAACGATATTGTACAGTGGGCCGTTTAACCCTCAATTCACGACTGAGCCTGGAACTGCGGAGCTACCACCTCACGAAAATTTCACTCTCACCGTTCCGTCTGACTTTGAGACAGGACAATCACAATTGGGTGTTGCACTCTTTGATTTAGTTGGGGTGCGTACGACTACTTGGATTGAGAATATATCTTCTGATGAGCATGTTATACCTTCAGGCATTGCTGTTTCCCTACCTTCAAACATTTAATACAACCATTGTGGTTACTTGAGTAAACTGGATGCTCAACCTGGGCGCAGCTTCTTGCTTTAGCGCTTCATTATGGATGATAATGCGTACCCTAATTTGGACCTTATCCGCCGTGTATCCTATCTTATGTATCTCATGGACGGAGTAATGTATATGATATATAATATGTACATCCATATTCTTGTGTACTAGCCTATAAACGCACGTCAGTTCGAACCAGAATGCATACATGCTGCACTTAGCTACTTACAGTCGGGGACAATCAAACCCGACAAGTCTGTAATCAGCCGATAGCGGCCGAACGAGAGTTTTTTGCAGAAAACTGATGGCAGATTCAGATTCAGAACGATGAAATACGTCTAAAAACGCACCTCCGAAGTTTTTCCCACGACGTTTTAGGTACGGCCAATTTTTTGGCAGTTTTCAACGCATCTTTAGACCCCTTTTGACAAGGATTTCCACTGATTTTCAAAAACTTCTGAGGTAAAAGTTGACTATAAGCTACTTCATTTCATATCTGAGCACTATGGAGGTCACTGAAAGGTATAACAAGGGAACAATTGATTAGAATTTCTGTTAAATTCTACCCACTTCATTTCCCTCTGTATGTCCGAGCTGCTGCAAGCATCACATGACAGAGCATGTGAAGCTTTCCCACCCTTTTGGCAGATGGGAAACTTCATCAAAGCTGTTGTGGCACATGAGGGTGAGTTTTCTCGATAAAACTGATGATGGATTTGTACTCAGGAAGGCCAAATACGTCCAAAAACACACCTCCGAAGTTTTTCCCACGAGATTTTAGGGTACGGCCAATTTTTCGAGGTCTGCAACCCAAACTTGCCTTTTTCGGAGATCGGCTCGTTGAAACCTCTTCCTTTTTGTGCCAGAATACTTGCAAAGTAGAATAGAATGATTTCTACTATAATCTGAGCCTGGGAAAACTCGCTCATTTTTTTTGTCGACTTTGATGTTGGGGAGTACTCCGCACATCCAGTACGTACATACATTGACCATTACCGTTCCTAATCCGTATACGCTGATCTTTGTATACGCTGATCATGATTACTATATACTGTACAGTTGTAGGTAGATCACGCAGACGGACGTACACGAGCTCCCTCAGTTGCCTTTATATCAACTGAGGTGAGCTCACTAACAATTAGGATACCCGCACCTACTGATGATACCCGTTAGCCTAATCCTACGCTAACAGGTACCGAAACAATACACAGTTGCCTTTATATCAACTGAGCCTAATCCTACGCTAACAGATTATGAGACTGGTATTCTAAACTGAGAACGAAAAAGGTTGATAGCATCAAAACAGCTCAATACAGTAAAGTAAAATGTCGTTCGGAAACAGCCCGAACATACCAAGACTCCCGGACGAGAAACAGCTCGTTGGCGAGGAAAGCTGGAGGCCTTACAAGCGCGAAATTCTGTTCGCAGTGCAGTTGAAGGGACTGACCGGTTACATCGATGGCACCATCCCAAAACCAAATGCTTACCTGGGACCGATATACCCGTCAACACTTCCGCCTACGCCACTATTTAGCCCAACACCGTGCCTAGAGGAATGGGAAGCACGCGACAGGCTTGTTGCGGAGGCCATTGTGTCTAACATCACAGACCCTGTTGGACTCGGCGTAGACGAAACAAAAAGGGCGCACGAGATCTGGCAAGCACTCATCAAACGATTTGAGAAAAGAGACGAACAAAGGATCCACCTTGCAGATACTAACCTCCGTAATGAGAAGTTCGACCCACCAGAAGCGACGATGGAGGACCACGAGAGGAAGATGCGCAATCTCCTCAAGAAGGTCCATGACCTCGGGGGAACCGCGACAGATGCTCAGTTCCGCCGGATAGTCATATCTTCCATGCCACAGGAATGGAGGCAAGACGTCCAAAGCGTCCCGGGAACGTCCAGCGCCGACACATTCACGTACCTACACACATTGTGGTATGAGAAAGAGGAAGAACGGAGGGAAGAGGAACGAGACACGAAACGTGTCAAAGCGCTTATGGCAGCCCATTCACACACCCCAACACCCAACCAAATGAACCCCGCCCGCTCAGGCAGCAAAGTGGCTATCATATGCCACAACTGCAGCAAGCCTGGCCACATAGCCAGGAAGTGTTGGGCTAAGAGAGGAGGGATGGAGGGACAGTGGCCGAAGCAGAACCAGCCAAATACCACACGAACAAACGCGAATGCGAACACAGCGAAGCCAGATGACGCAGACGTCTCCTCACCCATGGCCACGTATGTCATGTCTGCCAAAACCAACTACGAACCGAGTAGGTCCAAATCCGTCCAGAAGACCGAGTTGACCACTGACCCTGCAAATAGACAGAATAATCCCATTCTAGGGGGTAAGGGTCAGCGGGAAACAAGGGAACGGGACGTAGATAGTGACTTAACTAGTTGTACGCCTGTAGCAAAAGGAGACTGTACCGTGTGCCATGGCAATACCCACCTATATTCAACCCCCGTACCCACGATCCGAACCTTCATTGATTCAGGTGCATCTGAACATTGCTGGGTGCAGAAGTCAGACTTCATAGAATATACTGAGGTACAGGGCCAAGCTGGTAGTAGCGCAATATCCGGAGAGGCTGGGAAGTTTGAGATACTTGGAGTAGGAACAGTGCAGTTCATCACGCGGGTCCGGCAAAAGGAGAGAGTAATCCGACTCCGGGACGTGAAACATACACCATCCTTCGGCCATAACCTAATCTCGCTATCAACACTTGACAGCCGAGGAATGAGAGGCGAGTGGGGGCTAGGTATAATGACAGTAAAGACGTCGAACGGTGAAACCATTTTCGAAGGGTATGGGCGCAGCAAAATGTATGAGGTCGAGATACTAGAATCAGGAAACACAACGGTAAACTACTCCCGAGCGCGAGACCGACCTACAGATATACACACCTGGCACAGGAGACTGGGACATATCGCGGTACGCCGGATACTACGCATGTCGAACCGAAGGCTGGTGGACGGCTTGAATATCACCAAACGTGAGGTCCAAGGAATGTGCGAGGATTGCCTATACGGCAAGGCAACAAAACACCCATTCGACGAAGTACTCACGCATGAGTCGGAGATACTCGAGAGGGTACACCTAGACCTGTTCGGACCAGCGAGAACGCAAACCCGTGGAGGGGCGAGCTACCTCATGCTGTGTACCGATGGGAGGTCATCCCTACGTGTCCTGTACTACCTGAATAACAAGCGAAAAGAGACAGGAGTGAAAGCACTACATGAGTATCGAGTTATGGCGGAGAAGCAAACAGGGAAGGTTCTGAAGATCATCCGAATAGATGGTGGAAGCGAGCTTAACAACGGGCTCGTGGATGCATACTGTAAAGAGCATGGGATAATCATTGAAAAGGTTCCGCATGATTCATCGGCAGCAAACAGAGTAGCGGAAAGGTCGTTTCGAACAGTCATGGAGGGGACACGCACCCTACTGGAAGATGCAGGACTCCCATATTCGTTTTGGGGAGAAGCATCAGCCACATTCATCTACACCGACAACTTTGTGCCCTCTGCAAGATTTCCCGACATCGTCCCAATTGAGGCATGGACTCAGAAACGGCAGGACGTCTCCCACCTCCGACCTTTTGGCTGCGACTGCTGGGCGACCCTCCCAAGGAGAAGAACCGACGGGAAGATAGGACGGCAAGCAGTGAAAGGAAAATTGCTGGGGTATATGGGCAGGCGAGGGTACAGGATATGGGTACCGGAGACAAAGAAGGTGGAGGAATCCCATGATGTGACATTTGAGAAAGGTAGAGCACACAGAACGCGCGAGGTAGAGGAGGTAGAGGATGAACAGAATGGAGAAATGATGGGGGAAACCGGGAAACTCGAGTCGATGCAAGAGCTGGGAAAAGAAGACAACCACCTCCCCGCAATTACCGCCGGTGATAGTAATCATGGGGATCAACTAGCGGAAGCAATTGATCCTATTCAACATAACGAGTCAATTCAAGTACCCGAACACATGGAACCAACTGAACGGGGACCAGAACCACCACAGCCGGAGCCGACACGGCGCAGTGACAGAGGGCACATACCGTCTCGGAGATACCTCGAGAGCAAGGAATACGAGGAACGCGAAAAGAGGGCACTAGACCTAGGAGACGCGTGGACAACAGACTCTGAGGAGAAGGAGGAACCTCTAGCCCTGATCGTGAATCACCCCTACGCATTCGCAGCAACATCCGGGGAGCTATGGGTCCCGCAGTCATTCAAACAGGCGATGAAGCGGCCCGACCTTTGGCAGGAACCAATGGAGAGGGAATTCAAGACACTGGTTGAAAAGAACTGCTGGGATCTTGTACCACTACCACCCGACGCCAACCTGACAGGAGGGAGGTGGACATATGCAATCAAGTTTGATGCACTTGGGAACCTTCTGAAACGAAAGGCACGATATGTCGCTCAAGGTTATACCCAGGTCCAGGGACAAGACTACGACAAAACATATGGAGGTGTAGCTCGGATGGAGTCGGTACGGCTCGTTCTGGCAATCATCGCAACCCTCAAATTATCCATTTTCCAAGTCGACTTTACTGCCGCATTCCTCAACAGCCCCATTACACATAATGTCTACATGAAACAACCGGATGGGTTCATTCAGCCTGGTACTGAGCACCTAGTATGCAAATTGAAGAAATCGATATACGGCACGATGCAAGGTAGCCACGACTGGCAGGAAACACTCGCAGCAGGCTATACTCAAGATGGATACACCACATCGAGAGCGGATCAGTGCGTACGATACAGACACGTCGGGACCGAGTATACCATAACCAGTACCTATGGGGATGACGTGTGTGGTGGGTCATCAACAGCGTCAGGTAAGATGCGCGCTATACAGGACCTTGGGAAGCGATGGGAGGCAAACGAGGTGAAGACAGAGGTACTACTAGGAATGACTATCAGGCAGAACCCCATGACCATGGCAATAACCATCTCACAGGCAGCTTATTTTCAGAGGATGCTCCAGCATTTTGGACTCGAGCATGTCCGCCGCCGAAACACCCCACTCCCACCAGGCATCAAGCTCCACGAATCGCCGGACCCCCTCCCAGTTGACGAACGAGAATTTATGGAGGGAAAGCCCTACAGGGCTATTGTTGGCTCAATCCTATGGGGACAGGTATGCACCCGCGCCGATCTGGCATTCGCAGGGAGTCTGCTAGCAAGATACCAGCTGAACCCTGGCCGATCCCACTGGGAGTGTGTCGAATGGGTCGCAGGATACATCCTCAACACGTTGCATTACTCTATCACCTACCGTTCACCCAACGGATCATCCTCAGAGCCAGGAACTGGCCTAAAACCGTACGCATACATAGACTCCGACCATGCTGGATGTCAAGACACCTACCGATCAACATCGGGATACGTTTTCTTCATGGCAGGTGCGCCCATCTCCTGGAGCTCGAAGAGGCAAGCCACTGTAGCACTTTCCACCACAGAGTCGGAATATATAGGACTATCGCGTGCGACCCAGCAGGCAGTCTGGCTTATGTCCTTCCTGTCGGAGGTTGACCTTGCCCAGGAGGGACCCATCACTATGCTAGGCGACAACTTTGGGTCAGTCTGTCTTACTGAGAACCCAAAACGGCATGCCCTCGTGAAGCACATCGCCATGCGACACCACTACGTGCGTGAAAAAGTCTCCAGTGGCGAGGTCCACATTAAGCGGGTCCGATCAGGGGAAAATGTTGCTGACATATTTACGAAGGCACTCAACGGCACAACCCACTCAAAATTTGTTTCACTCCTTGGACTGGATCGTATGGAGTAGGGGGGGTGTTGGGGAGTACTCCGCACATCCAGTACGTACATACATTGACCATTACCGTTCCTAATCCGTATACGCTGATCATGATTACTATATACTGTACAGTTGTAGGTAGATCACGCAGACGGACGTACACGAGCTCCCTCAGTTGCCTTTATATCAACTGAGGTGAGCTCACTAACAATTAGGATACCCGCACCTACTGATGATACCCGTTAGCCTAATCCTACGCTAACAGGTACCGAAACAATACACAGTTGCCTTTATATCAACTGAGCCTAATCCTACGCTAACATTTGATTGTCCCCGACTGTAGCTCAACTTTAAGTTGAACTTCGACGTGACTCGTGACAGATGAACTCGGAGTGCATATCTTCCAAGTTGAAGTATATTGCAGTGAGTGACATCCCTTTCATCAACCCGTCTCTTGGTATGGTTGTGGAAGAAGCAATTAAAATAGTTTCGACATCGGAGACCATTGAAACTCTTTGACCCGCGTGAATAATAATAAGCGCCCAAGCACTCGAGCTGTGGGAAATTCGCGCCCGAACCTCCTTCTCCTCCTCCTCCACCCCCTTCTCCTTACCTGAAAATTGACTGCATCAGACAAATTTGAAGTTATGCTGGACAGCGGCTGAGAGATGATTGGGGATATATATCCGGAGGTATTATGGTTTCCCTTTCTACCCTTATCTCGGACAAGCTTTGGCCGTTCTGCTACCACTTGCAACCATCTGATCATCTGAAATATCGAGAGTAACCTCAAATAGTCTGAATAATGAATGCCTTGAATGTGGTTCATCATTGAGGGAACACATTCGAATGACGTCGCAAATAAACACATATCGTTGAACTTTCACACACGCAATGTTCCTTGACGGAAATCTCCTTCGTTTTTTTCCTTTCCTGGGCACCTCAAAATCGATTTTTCTGTGTCTTTACGATCTATATAACCTGTCCCGCAAACTAACTGATCTTTGGTGTCAAGTTTCGTACGTTCTCAGTGACAGTGAAATATAGATCCAACGCTGACACTCATTAGCATATTACTCTCTTTATCTTTTAGGACGCTTTCTAGACTTGGGCTTCATTGGGAAGCTTACGCGGTTCATAGAATGTCTATATCTTCCTGCTCGTCGACCTGCTCGTTTTCTGAAGGAGTGCGTTCAAGTTTCTTTGTTCTATGATAGAGACCAAACTAGAACTCGTTTTTTTGCAGCGCTATCAATCCAACACAACCTCGACTCCGACGACTCCCAGTGAACACCGCTGGTCTGATGTTATTCCTCCAAAGACTGCTCTGAAATTCGCGGTCGTTTGGGATTCCGATGACCTCGTGGTGTTTTCAGGCGGAGAGCTTCTTGAAGATTCTCGCACCGAAGAACTCCTGCTAGGGTCACCACTTTCACCATCCGATGCATGTTCCCAAGCTTTTTCTGTAGGCCAATCCACAATGCCTCTATCTGACAAATCCTCCACGATGTTATACTTTCGGGACAACATGGGTTCTGTCCTTACGGAAAATCACCCGCCTCCCACTTCCGATTCAGAAAAGCGTATGATTTGGGGGCGCACCCAAACTTCGTCGACGTTGGAAGGTTTAGATGTATATTTACGTGGTTCATTAATGGGCCAAGCACACCGAAACAATCGATACTACTCATGTTTGGATAACCTGGATGGCCAGTTCGAATTCGATCCCCGCACATCTTTCGCGAAGGAGTACTTACGAAAGGTTGAAAGCAAGGATATCGTAGACGATGCAGTCACAGACGAAGGGTTTTTTGAGGTGGAGATTGCTCCTCGACAGCATCAAATTTTAGCTAAACCATCTTCGAGGGTACGAACTTGATGTCCTGAAGCTCTAGAATAGGACTAATCATCTGTACAGTGTGATATTCATCCTACAGACGCGCACTCAGTCGCGTCTACCACCAAAACGTCGGACTTTGTCTCCATTGAAGGTGATGACGCGTCGTCAATTTGGTCTACCGTAGAAGCCCCAGTGATACCATCCTATCTGGGATATACCTCCATGGACCAACGCCCTCACCTCAAGAGACGTCTCACAAAACCCCGTCCGGCTGATATGCCCGCACCACCCTCCGAAGTACTCAAACGGGAGGTATTCAGCCATGAGGTATCCCTCCCGCCACGGAACGCTCAGGAAAAACATTCAACTCAGATTCGACAAAGGAAATCTTTTGCAAAATTGGTTTGTCAGAGATCAAAAGAGAAACCTGTAGAGAGCGATCAGTGGATTTGTATTGAAGTCAGTCACGAATTAAGACAGCGGTTCGTGTAGGAGTCGGACGTAGCTGCGCACTTTCATTGGTCGAGCTTGCAGGTCTTGCCTTTCCCTTTCCTTACTCAACGGCCACCTTCATTTTTTGCCTTTGCTGTCATTCTGTCCTTGGAGACGGGTACTTGTACTAATAGATGTTGTACTACGGTATGATTGGTTCAGGGAACGTGGAGAACATATGTAAAAATATCAGTACATACTAAGGTACCTGAAGTTTGGGTTCAGGAAGAAGTGTGTAGGGGGGAACAAACAACTTCCACTGAGCTGAGTGGGAAGAATTTCAGCCATGAGGTTCTGATAGTTTGGATCGCCATTACTTGCAGGGCGTTGAAGAATCCTTGCCTAGTTTGGAAACCCTCGAAAGACTAGACTCTTATCTTATATGCTCACACCGTAAATCCAGCGCGTCACGACAGGTCACGACGCGTTGCCAACAAATCATAACGCGTCTTCATTTATCAATAGCTCGGCACCTTGCCATCTTGCCATATGATGCATGACAACCGCACTGCGACCTTGAGAAAAGCAGGAACTGGTAAAATAGCTTGCCGGAATTTCACTTACATACTTCCACATCTTTCTTTCGTTCTCTCCGCTCCTGCAGGTCAAGGAGTACACTTGCTCAGACCATTTTCGACTTTCTTGGGTGTGTTTATCGATAATCAATCGTGTCTGACCAGGGCTAACGCGCTTGTATGGCTCTAGCGATTCGTCTCTTTGTTCAAACTCGTTCAAACATCTACGAAATATCATGACACGAAGAAACGCGCGTCCGGCTCTTAAGCTGCGCACCTCATACGAAAAAAATGCAGTAAGTCGACATGAGTCGCTCTTCCTGCCTGAAATACGAATAATTTGCTCTGTCCCTTGTAGAACACATTCGGACTGCCTTCACCAGATAGCTTAGCGTCATCGATACCCGCAACATGCTCTCCTGTGACTCCAGAAGATGCTGAGACGTTTGTGTTCAGTTCGAAGGAAAGTGCCGAGACCGTCGCACTGGACGACGTGTTTACGGGGGGAAGAAGTGTGTATATTTTGCACATCGGACTCCTCGTGTATGCAAGGTTTAATGCCTTCTCATAGGCTACTTTCAGAAGACGCATTATCGCGAAGATCGCACCTATCTTCCCCCGCTTTCTGAGGTATCAGATCAGGTGCGGCGGTTTTTCATTTCGATATGCACTTCTCAACCTCATTCCAACCACGATGAAGGGTTCTATATACTCACAGGACAGTGCATGTGTTGTATACACGTCCCAGTTACGACCCGTAACCAATCCAACGCCTCAATCAACTCTGACATTCGCTGCTATTTGGGATCCAGATCATGGCATGTCAACATTTTCTGGAAAACAGCTCATTGGGCAGGAATATTCCTCTCAAGACGAGAGAGGACAGGATGGCAAGTCAAACTGGGTTCAAGAAGGGAACTACAATACATGTCTCTCTACTTCTCACTATCATAATTCTGAACACCCCGACTGCGAACCCCACTTGGTAGGATATTGATTATTTCTCCCATCATTGCCTCATTGAATATATCAATTAGCCTTCGCGCTTCTCTACCACTACTACTTCGACGTCGAACTATATCGAAGTGGACTTGGGAGAGGAAGATCAAATCAATCTATCTTCGAAACCCTTGCAGGATGATTTGCTTCCAGGGGACTCTCATCCTGCATGGATACCCCAAATTTTCACTGTAGGATTCACCAAGCCGTCATCCTATGGCCCAGGCCGACCCGAAATTTCAGAACCATTTCAACTTACTCCCATGCGACCTCCAGAGTTGAAAAGCCACACCTTACCCTCACACTTTTCATTGACTTCGAAATCCTCTTCACTGCTTACTCGATCGCGGTTACACATGTCCTCTTCCGTCGCTGCTGCTAATCCAACATCCTCGTCAACTCCCTCCAGAGAGGACATGAGCGGGACTCAATTGTCACCAACGGCATCTGTGCGACGCGGTTTCAGCTTTGGATCTGGCCATATCCAACGGAACGATCATTCCCCGCCTTTCAGCTCGACACATTCTAGGAACGCTGAAGAGAGTTCGGAAAGTTCTGCACTTGGAAGCGTCATTTCTCGTCCACAGACTCCCACCCGTCGCCCAAGCATCACTTCTGTTTTTGGGAAGTTGAAGAGTCCAAGGAAAGGACAGTCAGAACCTTGGGTAATGGTTGATGTGGAAGTCACGCCTATGATACACCAACGCTTGGTTACTGAATACTGAGCCTTGAAACTCCTGGGGAGCTGCGCGCGGACGCATGAAGTCGCTGAAAGTAGGCATTCTATTTCTTGGGATTATCATCTTTCCCTAAGTTGCTGGAGAGTAATACTGTTGTATTGGAAGTGCCTCAATACCGATGATCAATGGTGTCCAATATCTAGAAAATTTGTAACTACCATAGTACTTGTCGAAGTCTTCAATTATGATTTAATCTCCTAGAAATGAGTGTATTCACGGCTATGTATAAACCTCGACATCCGAAACGAAGAAACTCCAATGCAATTTGCATCGCGTCTAAGTATCAACCTTCCTCAGTCCCATTATTTTGGCTGATTAGACTGCTGAATCACCAGATAAGACAGGTACCTAGCAAGCCGACAGTAATGGATCCGAGGAGGCTGATTTGTTGATTTAATGTTGCACCGTTGTCAGCTTTAGCAGTAGTAGTAGGAGAAGAAGACGGAGAATCCACACTGCTTCCAGTAGCAGCGGAGATAGGGACTTCATAGAAGGAGACGGGCAATCCAGTTTCTGTGACAGTAACCAGAGATGTCCCGTCAACATCCGCCAGGCCTATGTAGACGCAACCTCCGGTATTCGAGGATTCCAGAGTACATTCGGCACTCATGGACGCTATGTCTGGCATCCTGAATCCCGATGCAGAGGCGATCATAGTGAAAGCTTTTCAAGAAAATGAAGGTTGTCAAAATAACTAGAATAGCATAACCACTTTTGAACGCACAGGTTGTGACCACCTCGGTTCCTGTTTGAACGTCACCAAAGAGTGCAGCGTCTCCATTGTCAACCTCGTTATAAAGGAAAGTTGTCTCACTACCATCGGAAGCAGTACCAAGGGGATCAACCCATGCAGTCGGACTTGGTATGGTCAATGAATCTGTTTCACCTGAACCATCATCTGGGGGAAGGGGCAACCAAAGGGTCAAACTGTTTTGAGCTTGTACAATAGCTGAAAGAAATGCGAGTGCAGAACAACTTGAGAAAATTTTCCAGAAATGACAAAGAAAAAACAAGGCTCACTCATAAGAGTTGGGAGTAAAAAGAGTGAAAAGGGAAAGGTAATCAATTTCATGGCCTTCAGGTTTGGGCAGCGTTTGAGGAAATTGGTGCAACCAACACGTACTTTATATACTCACTTGGAAGATATATGTACATTTAAAAACCTCATGCAGCCATGGTGATTGCTCTGATGGTTCTACACTGAGTAGATGTTCCTGTTGCGGCGTTTGACCCCTTGCTTGGCGCGTTTGCACGAGTAAATGTGGAAACGTACTTGCACTATAAATTTGGTATCAAGACTTACTCGTGAATTCCGAGTCAGACAGTGTAGAAGGTACCACAACTACGCGGCATATGGAACATATCACCAAATTTCTCATACTGTTTGTTCTCCCAATTCTCAAAATCCAACGACACGTCTTCGGTAATTCCCAGGCTTGCAAGGATATCAAAGATGGCTGCACACCAGTGACGGCAGCCCCTTCCTTGGTCATCAAAACTGAACAGTGCAATATTAGTTCGACTTGATCTTTGTTATTTGCGCATCAAATGACTGACTCATATTGATTGACTTTGAAGTCATTGAACAGTTGCATGCAAAGAACCCCAGCCGTATCATTGCGAAGAACAGGGACCTTGAACAAGTCGGTGTCTCTTGTGTTGGAATCAATGGACACCTTCTTCCACTCTAAAACGAGGTTTGTGCGCATTGGGTGAACAGGATCCGTATACGACGGGGTGGGGTCGAATCGAATGGCAGAGGATTCATTACTGGTAACGAGAGAGAGGCAGAAATGGAAGGTTTTTCCGTCGTTCGTAGGTGTGCCAGAAACGACCACAGAAGTAATTATCGCATCGAATAGATCAGGATTGTGGCGTAAATCATGGCTTAAGAAGACGTTTTTTGGAAAGGTGTAGGTGCTAGATTATAAGTTGAGGTTAGCATGTAGCCTTGAATACATATCAATCTCTGGAGAGCGTACGACATGGGCCGCTCGAATTCTTCTAGTGGCAGCAGTTGGATGTGGATTTACAGGAAGGACCCACTAAAGTTCTTATACACTGCCCATCAATCGGTACCGACAGAGCTGAAATATATTGATCGGAGACCGGTCCCGCCCACAAATTTTGAAGGTATGTTATCATTTACTTTATACATCATGCATCAGGCGTTGCGGCCTTTGCCCTTCTTCGGGGCAAATTGGACAAATAAATGAACACAAAGAGGTTACGAGTGACCCTCATCAGTCCTCGCCCAACCGAAGAATTTGTGTGGTCCATGTCGTAGGTTTTTCACAGAGTTCAATGCTAACGAACATTCTTACTAACCTCCGAGTCGACTTATCTGATACAGCTCCTACGCCTTTCCACATAACGTCTTCTTGAATCATGATTTGCGCCACAATCCTGATCTATTCGATGCGATAATCACTTCTGTGGTTGTTACTGGCACACCTACGAACGAGGGCAAAAACTTCCATTTCTGCCTCTCTCTCGTTACCAGTAATGAATCCTCTGTTCGATTCGACCCCACCCCGTCGTATACGGATCCTGTTCACCCAATGCGCACAAACCTCGTTTTAGAGTGGAAGAAGGTGTCCATTGATTCCAACACAAGAGACACCGACTTGTTCAAGGTCCCTGTTCTTCGCAATGATACGGCTGGGGTTCTTTGCATGCAACTGTTCAATGACTTCAAAGTCAATCAATATGAGTAAGTCATTTGATGTGCAAATAACAAAGATTAAGTCGAACTCTGTCGAACTAATATTTCACTGGTCAGTTTCGATGACCAAGGAAGGGGCTGCCGTCACTGGTGTGCATCCATCTTTAATATCCTTGCACGCCTGGGAGTTACTGAAGACGTGTCGTTGGATTTTGAGAATTGGGAGAACAAACAATATCAGAAATTTGGTGATATGTTCCCTATGCCGCGTATCTGTGGTACCTTCTACACTGCCTAGCTCGAAATTTACTATATCAAGTTTATTGCTCAAGTGCGTTCACACCTGTTTCCACAGTTACTTGTGCAAGCTATGGGCCAAGGGCTGCAACAGGAATATCTAGAACCACCAGAGCAATTACTATGGCTGCATGAGGTTATCGAGCCTTAAAATATATATCTTTCCAGTGACTATATAAGGTACGCATTGGCTGCACCCATTTGCTCGAACGCTGCCCAAACCTGAAGGCCATGGAATTGACTACCTTTCCCCGTTCACTCTTCTACTCCCAACCCTTTTGAGTGAGCCCTGTTTTCTCTTCGTCATTTTTGGAGAACTTTATCGCGTCGTTCTGCACTACACGCATTTCGTGCAGCTATTGTACAAGCTCAGAGAAGTTCGACGCTTTGGTTGCCCCTTCCGGTACTTAGAAAAATTGGCCGCAAAGTTGTTGAGTGAAGCCAAAGGCCTTCCGAGCTACCCCGGCTTAGGCTTAAGGCTAGCTAGCCCCTGTCAACAGTTACACATGCTTTTGCAAGATCATAGTAGCAAGGAAAGATAAATGTCCCAGATATTGTCTTGCTCCGCACCCAAATTTTGGGCTTTTTCGGGTAGTAGTCACCATAGTCGGAGCAGTCATTCCCGGGCTCTTCCACTCCCGCAAATACTACATAGGAGCTAACAGCATCTTCTGCCCCCCCTCTCCTTCCAAAAAATTCTCTGGCGTGTATAAATGGCCTTGTAAATGGTACATTATCATCACACTACTACACTTGCTAGGGTTCTACATAACTTAAGTACATACGAAATATATGCGTGTCCATCCCACCACCATAAGAAATATTCCTCTCTTCCCAACTCTCATTTCATGTTCATCGTCCTTTGACAACCTTCTCATGCAATTCAGCTCCTCTCAGCCTAGCCTTGAGATACTCCCTCCGAGCATCATACCTCCCAATCACATCCCGTTTTCGTTGCTGTATCTGGTGAATTTCACCCAATTCGTCTAATTCATCCAGGTCATCCAATCCATCCTGATCCCCCTTAGTTCGGCCTCGCTCTCGCTCTCCTGAGCGATATTTACTATGTCCAGACGGTCCTGCACGACCCGAGCTAGTCGAGTTCCCTCGGAATTGGACAGAAGAATTCGAAGAGCTGAATTCGGAGGTGGAGCGAGAGCGATGAACGGGAGGAGCTGCTGTTACGGAAGATGCATGTCCGTGTCCACTGCTGAGGCTCGTTCTCCCAGTACTCGAAGTACTGGTGGTAGTATGAATACTGCTAGCACCCGTAGAGGTACTCGATCTTCCCTGTCCAAACGAGCTCCATTCAGTAGACATCGACGGCATTCCTTCGACGCTTTTCCCCGAGCTCGAAAAGACAGAGTTGGACGGATTGGACGAGGTGGTAGATGATGCGACACTGCCGCTCCGGGATCTAGTGATGCTAGGCATCGTTGAAATGCTGGGAATGGATGGTAAAGAGGGTAAGGATGGCATTGAGGCCTTGGCCTTCAATGAGAATATCGACGAGGCTAGAGACGAAACCGAGCCTTTCCGGTGGAGTGTGGGAGTTCGGCTAGATGTGGAATGGGGAGTGCCAAGATTGGAATTAGATTTATGAGGCGGATCCAATCTAGTCATAGGCTGAATCGAGGTAGTAGACTGCGAACGTAGCCGTGGATGACCCGACCTGGACAGCGAATCATCAGCTGAAGCAGAAGAGCGTCCACTTACGGTTGCAGTTGCTGCCGAGTCTGACCTCGAACGATGTTGCATTGTGGGAGCTGAAAGCAAATTTAGACTGAATGAAGATGGTGGTGCGGCTGAATGGCTTCTAGATGAATGGTTCTTCGATTTCGTTCTCTTGAGCGCGCTTTCCTCTAGTTCATCGAATGCCCGAAGCACATTTTTCGCATCTTCGTCCAAATCTGATATTGCACGCCGGATGTCGGCAGAGGTAAAAAGTCCGCCGTCTTCGAAGATGTCATGGTTCGACATAGCGGATAGTGAAGTCTGGGTAGACGATTTGAAGGAACTGGAAGAAAATTTCACGGGGGATGAAGAACCTTTGGCAGCTGTACGTTGAGAAGGGGTATGTACAGGTCGGGTAGGACTTGTCGGTGGTGATAGTAGGTGGGGGTCTGGGATTGAGTGCATATATGAATGGGAATGACCAGAGTTCAGGTTCTTTCGCGAGGACGATCTAGAGAGTGTGGACTCTTGGGTATTCTTCTTGGAAATGGAGGGGAATATACTAGGACCAGGTGGGGACTCGAAGCTCCTCAGCGGAGACGTAGCTCGACGAATGAATGAGGATATAACATTATTACTCGTCGGGGTTCTGCCCTTGTCTGACGATGTTGAAGCGAAAATGTTCATCTTTGATTCGGACGGACGCCGATTAAGCTTCTTCGGTCGAGGCTGCGCAGAGCTCATCGCCATCGAGCTCGTTGACTGATTTGACTGGGTGATGGAAGGCTCAATGAATACTATGCCTCCGCTAGAACCTTCACCTTCTGTATCTCCGAGTCCAGCATATCGTTCAAATGCGTCTTGACGCAGAATCCGATATTCATCGTCACTATATTGACATGATTACTCGTAGAGGCAATAGGATATCTGGTAAACGCACTCTAACAGACCCTGACCATTCGCTGCAGCCAACTCGTTCAATCTGATTGCCAGTGTCGCCATTCTGGAGCCGGAATATCCACGAGAATAAGCTCAGAATGAAGTTTGGAAGATTGTAAATGCAGTATGGATTCAAGTGCGGATGCTGTATGAAGGGTACTCAACGAAGATACCCGAGTAAAACCGCCGAACGTGTCCAAAGCACAAGGGAAGGAAGGTGGAGAAAAAGAGGAAATCGCCAGCGAATGACAGACCGAATTTAAGAGGCGTAGTCTACATTTTTGGCATCGGCGATGGATGATCCAATTACGGCGAGAACTCGACAAATGTTCCGCATGATCGGAAAGTCATTGAACAGAAGAAAAACATACAGTCGAGGAAGCTTATTCCGACCAGCCTGGTTCGAACAGGCGACCTCAAGATATCAAAGTTTTCCAATTACAGTCTCGCGCTCTTCCAACTGAGCTATGGTCGGTTGATACTACTTGTGGTCATACAATTTCTCTCAGCCTGCCCAGCCCAGATTCACAGACAAATTCCCTAATTAGTATTACGCGTCCTTATTTTCTATCACTTTCCATGCCCGTAACCGAATTCGCCACCCTCGAAGTACTTGACTCGTCGAATCCCTCATTGATAACCCAGCCTCCCCTCATCGACCATCTCCGTCTCGTCGCTGAAAAGCAATCCGCTGTATCAGGATACCCCGTCTTGTTCTTCGAGACATTATCCCCAGATTCCAAATCTATATTTTACCTGATTTCCGGATGGTCATCTGTCGTTGCTCACTACGAATGGATCCATAGCCAAACAAATCAGGAATTACTCGTCCTCTTGAAGGATTTCGTTGGCGTGAAGGGACTTGCGCATGTGAGCGTGGATTTTGATGAAATGAGGTGTGAGCTTGAGAAGGATTGTGGAGCGATATTGCGACCAGAAGCGGAAGGAGATTTGCAGGATTCTCAAACAAGTAGTGGTAGCAGGAATGGTATTCTGGCGGTATCGTGTTCCAAAGATGGAATGTTAGAACAGATGCACTCATTTCGAAAAAGCAGTTGGACAAAGGAAGGATTTAGTCTTGATGAAGATGATGAGTCCAAAAGGATGGTGTACCGTTTTGCATGGTTTGCAACAAATTGCCTTGAGGATGTTGTAGCAACCTTGACTGAAGGGGGAGAGAATTCTCGAGCAATATTCATGGCACATTGTCATATCGACAAGGGAAGGAAGGAAGGTATACGTAATGAAGCTATGGTAGATACTCACTAGACTCGTTTTCTTCGAATTATTTGGAGCTTGATATTCATTACCTTGAATTTGTGTTGTGGGGTGATTCTCAGTACTGAGAGAAAAACAATACGATACAACCGCGTATCAAAACTTGACAATGTAGGTACAAAGCGATTAGTTACGTGGCTAACAAATTGAAAGGAGAGGATGAAAGAAAGCAAGCTGCAGATTTTCCAGCTCGGAATGCGCCTCGTGAAAAATTCCACCGCAGATCGAGATAAATCAGCAGCCCCATGAAATGGCTAGGCTTGGATAACTTATATACGCGAAAGGAACTCCCCTATGTCACAACAAGTAGCAAACACGGAATCCAGAACCAATCAGATGAAGAGAGGACAAAAAAATAGAGCAGGACAGTCGATCTGGCGCACGACGGAAACCACACCCGGGTAGAAAACATGATCCACACGAGCTAGCCGGGGGCGGAGGAAGGACATAAGAATAAAGATACGTGAGAAGGTATGAGTGGATGGGTATTTTATACCCCCTGCAGGGGCGGTATCCTTAGAGAGACAGAACCAGGATTCCAGCGACAGCGCTGAGAACCATGATGGGAGTAGTGGCAAGGGTCATAGCACCGTTGCTGCTAGCTTCGAGAGGGCCATTTTCACCTACAGCACCAACAGGTCCTGAGCTGGAAGATGCTGAGGCACTGGATGCGGAAGCGGTGGCAGCGCCGGTTACCACCAAGCTGTTAAAACGTCAAACGGTTGCTAACATTGTAGTGATATATACATACGTTGTACCAGTAACAGCAACAGAGGCAGAAATTGACGACACGGCAGAAGTAGAAGCATCGGCAGAGGAGGAAGAAATGGAGGAAGAGGCAGCAGCAACAGAGGAGGAAGCAGCAGCGAGAGCGTCAGCGGGGACACAGCTGGTGTCCGAACCTTGTGCCACAGTAATCTGAAAGTAAATGACATTCATCAATTCGAGCGGAACACGGTATAAATCATTGAAGGTCCATACAGTGCCTGACCAAGCTTCGTCGTCGTTAGCATCCACCAAAGACAATTCCAATTGAGTGCCTGGGGCAACGTTGGGAGTCCAGCTTACGGAAGTACCGTCCTGGTCTCCAAGATCAACACTAAGGAGGAAGAAAGAGCTTTTTTTAGGAAATGAATTTCTGATGGAGTGATTTTTTCCGTACAGAGCATCACCACAGGGGTCGTCAGGGGAGACCATAATCAAGTTGTAAGGACCAGTGGTGCTGGACCAGGTTATATCAACGGGTTCACACTGGACGAAAGGAAGTGAGTCTAAGCAGTAGGCGGTGAAAAATTTTAGGAGTACCGTTGTCATTGAGGGGGTCTGTATATTCAATTGAGCGGCAGCGCCATTGATAGCAGCAGCGGCAAAAAGAGTGACGGTAACGAGTGTGGTGAACATGTTTCACTAGATGCGGGGGAGAGGAGAGTAAGGGAGTGATGATTTATAGGACCGGAGATGGAAGTAGAAGAACAAGAGGCGACTTGATGGAAAAGAGTTGTTTGCGCTCCGAGCCATTGTCGTTCCGTTCCCACGGTTTGTTTGCGCAACGGTCAATTGTCGCCTTCCGTCAAAGCTTGGCACCTGGTCACCACGAGTTACAGATCATTTTTTATATCATCTATTTACCATATTTAATACATAAAATCCTCAGAAAATACAACTTCCCTCATGCCCTTCGTGAGGTTGAGAGGTAGGTATGTACTCCAAAGTCACAGCTTTGAACCCTTGAACGTTGCAATCATCGTCCGTTTACTGATTCTGGGCCGTGTCAAACAATCAAGGAAGAAACCATTGAATCACACAGGTTAGTCGCTATGGTCACCATCTTGAGATGGTAAATTTACAACTCACCCAGAATGCGATATTTGAGAAGGTGTCTTCTGAAGTCCCTCCACCGGACTGCGCTCTTCGACTGCTACATATTCTCTCTTGCTTGCACCGACGTAGATCTAAAAAATCAGAGAAAAGTATGCATTTCGATCGCAATCAAGTTATCACTTACTTGTCGTGGCCGCCAGATCTTGACACCGCCAGGCTGAAGCATCATCTGAACCACGAGTAAGGAGGGCGTTATCATCGTGTAAAAACCGTCAAAAACGGAACTTACCTGCCGCCAGTGTGCTAACCATCCCACTACACGGGGTACAGCAAACAGCACTGGAAAGAAATCGAGAGGAAAACCTAAAGACTGGTCAGTTTTTCCGCGTCGCTTGAGCAATACGTAAATATCATACCCATAGCCCGATAAATGAGGCCACTGAACCGAGAGTGGGTCAGTTTCGCCAATTGATGAATGTCAAAATCTTACCTCCTATGGGCGAGTTATTTTTGTCAAACCTGATCACAGCAAACGAGAGCAAAGCACGTACCAGAAGTCGACGTTGGGTGCCAGCTTACGCTTAATAAAATACTCATCCTTCATAGCAGCCTCATGGAGAGCCATTGCAGTCTCCAGTAGTTCATCTTTGCCAGTTCTGCACATAATGGAAACGTTGAACATACGAAATCATGCATGACCGAGGGTACATACACTTTAAAAACCTCGTCAGCAGTCTTCCTCACAATGAACGACCTTGGGTCCGACTGTCAACGCATTGAAGTTTTTATTATGGCAGCTCGTAGTTAGAGTAGAACCTACGGTTTTGTATACCCTATACAGGAACCGTCAATCACTAAAGCTTCTTTCGACAAGGGTGACGCACCGGTGTCCAAATCCTGAAAGAACCTTTTCCCGCTTCTTGACCGCTTCAATGAAAGCAGGAACATTCGCGGGACTACGGTACATAGGCATTTCGCCGGATCAGCCGAAGGATCAACTTGGACATCCAAGACTGAGAGGCCTACCTGCCAATGGAGATGAGCATACGAATGACAGCTTCATTCGCTCCTCCTGGAAAAATATCAGCAATTCTCACTCCACCCATGGCAAGGTCATAAGCATCACAAACCATGCAATGGACCGCTACAAACGAAATCAGCATCCATTCACGCAAAACACTTAATGTTGGACTTACTACAAAGACGCGCAACCAGCGCTGGAGAAGGGAGAGCCAATGAGAAACGACTTTCATATCAAACTTGGCCCACTCACGCTATCGCAGAGTACGGGTCCACAAGTGAACTTCCGGTTTGCAACACCGTCGTTGCGGAGGCATTCAGCTCGTGATCAGCATGTAGCAAGAACAGGACATCCAGGGCCTTTTCCAGAACAGGATTTGGTTTGTAGTTTTCCTCGCCTAGATGGTCCATTTGATACAGGAAACTGAAAATGTAGAATTAATGCTTCTAGTAATACCGATGATTGAGAATAAATCTTACGAGCCCGTATAGCTGAACCCAGTGGGCGGTGTGACAAAACTTCTGCCTTGCCGGACTCGATATGCCATTCTGGGGATAAAAATTGCATAAAAATTGTTTAGGTTATGATGGTTATGATGAACAGAAACCTACGCAGCGAGTGTGGTAGCTTTCCCGATCAACCTGTATATCTGCTTGTCCATTACAGCTAGTGATTCTGGACTTCCCTGAGTGAACAGAGTTTGACCTGGGTTCGAATTGTGAATTACAGTGAGTGATAATAAATGCTCGCAGCGAACCTTGCAATGAGGGATTTGCCTCGCTGTAATACGACCCGAGGTATGCGAATGCGCTGGTAAGTATTGCCATTGGATGGGCATCGTACCTATCGGATTGTTCAGGACTAAGCATCTTGAGAACAGAAGGATAGCTAACCTAAATGACCGGAAGAACTGCTCAGCATCGGCGTGTACGACGCCATGGTGCATAACCTCGCTCTCCCATACTTCGAGCTGAGATGAAGTCGGAAGAGAGCCGTATATGAGAAGGTAAGCTGGTACAAGTGTATCAGTCAAGTGATCAACTTCTTGCGAGGGCTTTTGTGCGGACCAGTTTCAAGATGAGAGGAATGCACGGCCAGTTCCTCAATGGGGTATCCTCTGCAGTATCAACTCGATCTAACTTTTTGAACCATCGGACTCGACAAGTGCATACCTGTATCGAAGGACTTGATTCGAGGTGTTAAATGGAAGAAATGACCAACTAGCCGGCAATGAACCGTACCTCCAGCCTCTCCATCAATATAAGTGATTTGGCTCCGCATTACAGCGGTGTTCAAGAATCCCTTGTCAGAAACCCTCAATCCTTTGTCCGTTTCATTCTCTTCCCTTTCGCCTTTCTCTGGAGCTGCGGATAGTGCTTTGAATGCGGTTGCTGGAATGCTATTGTCTTCAATGCTAGTGAACAATGAGCTTGCAATTCGGCCTTTGAAATATATCAAATCGTACGCAATTTCAATGCTCTTGCCGGTACGGTTGTCGCGAACAGTAAGACTATTCTGCGAAGATGAAGGAATGGGTCTGCCCATGACAATGATGAAGGACTTGTTGAGGTGGATGAAGAAGTAGGGCCGAGATGTAGTAGCAGCAGAATGAGAGCCGGGTCTTAAGTACTTATAGGCTGATTTTGAATGTGTTGCACTCAAAGCAGTCGGACTCCAGGTAACTTGTTCTTTCCGGTTGGCGCTCAAGACGCGTCGAAGAAAATCACATGCAATTGATTCACCTCTGACGCTGAGCCCTGAGCGCTTGAGCCCTGAGTCTTTGCTAAGCTTTTGCTCTCTATACTCAATGACCCCAGAAAAAATGTCAAAGAAAAAGCACAAAATTATGATATTTCGTTGTCAGTGATACATAGCATCGAAGTCTTATTGTCGCTTATAATTTTCCTTCATAATCGTTGCGCTTTCCAACCAACCCATTATTGTATCAGTATCATCCATGCCAGTACGAAATAGAAGAGCCTATATGTATGATCAATTTGCTATTCTGGGAGATGCGTTTGTAGACACTCACAAAAGTGGGTAAACTGCAAGCAAAATACGCTGAGGCTCTATCTTGGTTCCATCTAAGAAGTTCACAGACGCTGGAAAGGAGTTTCAGTGTCTTGATACTATGCAAAATGCGTGTAATTACCCCAAATGCACCAAGCCCAGGCCAATAGCGCGAGCGGCGCGCGCACATAGATGACCCGTACAAAGCAAGAAATAAGAGCCGCAAGGTCGAGAGGCGCAATGCAGTACCCTAAAACACAGAGACCTTGGAAGAAAGAGCTGATCAAAAGTTGTCAGCGCGTTAAGCTATCAGGGGCTATCAGTGAAATGATCATACACCCTGCCACCAAGAAGCTGTAAAAGGTTTATTAGGAAAGAACGAAGGATTAGATTGGCGGGTATACGTGCCTTGGCCTGTACAGTGACTGCAAGAGCCCCCAGAGAACAAATAACTATCACGCTCGTAAAAACATTCAATGATTGTGATTGTGGGGCCTGAGAATAGTTTAAGTAGGAAGGACTGGGAATAAAGATGACTTGGACATACGTTAACGCTAAGCATAATTCCAAGAAGAAGGCAGAGCATGAAGGGTCCCCATAAATCCCAATCTCTAGAGTGTGATATTCAGCGGCGTATGCTAGGTAAATTGGAGGACTCACCTGAGAACCTCACGTCCATTGGATCTCCGAGGGTACACCACTTGTATGAGTTTGGAATAGATCGAGAGAAGGTCTCGAGTCTTGGAAGAAATAGATATACGTGTCATTAGTAGTGAGCACTGACAGTCGGAACCAAACTGACTATAGTTTGAGAAACGGGTTCGTCAAGGGTATCGACGCCAGTATAACTAGAATATATGTATTTGCTTGGGATCGCGAACGATTTAGAGCTGGCGTACCGTGTTTCAACTTGTATACCTCCGATTGTTTGTCGCGCTGGACGTTGAGGTCCCAATGAACTCCCTATATTTCCGGAAAGCGGCACTGAGTTGTTTCCATTTGCTGAAGGCATTCCTAGTTGTTCTGGTTCTCTGGCACGATTCTTGCCCTTGTCCGACTGTGGCAACTGCGGCATTCCAGGATGTGAAAAACCGGGAATGTTCTCTTCGTCAAAGTCATCGTCGTCGTCGTCTACCAAGCACAATGAGTCAAGCTTGAGCCTCCAGAGAGCTTCATCGTACCCGCTTGAATAAACTGAGAACTTGCAGTCAAGGGTGTAGTCGCGGAATCCATATTCATAGTCGTGGGCTAGTCGTGGTTACTGCAAGTCCGAGTGCTGGCGCCAAAGTTAACTTGCTTATGGGAAAAACCTACCGAAAATGGATAGACGCTCATAAACACTGACGCGTCGCCCATCACGTCGAAGTATAATCTCTTCTCTAAACGTTCATCAATGGTCTGTATCAATTACCACAGGCTACTTGCCCACTAACTAACTGTACCAGGGTAACGCTGCTTCAGGACTCACTCCACCAGGGGGTCAGGGAAATCAAAACCCAAATGACAAGGACAAGAAGGAACAGCAGAAAAAGAAATGGGAACCGCCTCTCCCTACTCGAGTTGGAAAGAAAAAGAGACGAGGTCCTTCTGCAGCTTCTAAGCTTCCACCAGTCTATCCTACCACACGTTGCCGGCTTCGACTGTACAAACAGGAGCGAATAAAGGACTATCTGCTACTCGAGGAGGAATTCATACAGAATCAGGAGCGTGTCAAACCCGAGACCTCACTTGAGGAGAAGAATGAAGAAGATCGCTCAAAGGTGGATGATCTCCGAGGAAGTCCTATGGCAGTCGGAACGATGGAAGAAATTATCGACGACGACCATGCTATCATTAGCACTGCGTCTGGCCCCGAATTTTACGTGTCTATAATGTCTTACGTCGATAAAGATCTTCTAGAGCCTGGCTGCCAAGTCTTACTCCATCACAAGACACAATCTATCGTCGGTGTTCTGCAGGATGACGCAGACCCCATGGTCAGCGTAATGAAGCTCGACAAGGCACCGACCGAGAGTTATGCTGATATCGGTGGACTGGAAACTCAGATACAGGAAATCAAAGTGTGCATTTTGTGCTTGGATTTTTATCATGTTTCTGAATCAAGAATAGGAATCTGTAGAGCTACCTCTAACGCATCCCGAGTTGTATGAGGAAATGGGAATCAAACCTCCCAAAGGTGTTATTCTCTACGGAGTTCCCGGTACTGGAAAAACTCTTCTTGCCAAAGCCGTCGCCAATCAAACATCTGCTACCTTCCTACGTATCGTCGGATCTGAGCTCATCCAGAAATACCTTGGAGATGGTCCCAAACTTGTACGCGAGCTGTTCCGTGTGGCGGAGGAACACGCACCAAGTATTATCTTCATAGATGAAATCGACGCGGTAGGAACGAAACGGTGAGCATTCATCTTGACGCTGCTACTCGTGTTGAGGAATCATATTTTGTTCAGTTACGACTCTACATCTGGTGGAGAACGTGAAATCCAACGGACCATGTTGGAGCTTCTAAATCAGCTAGATGGATTCGATACGCGTGGAGATGTGAAGGTCATCATGGCTACAAATAGGATTGAAACGTTGGATCCTGCTCTTATTCGCCCTGGACGTATTGACCGTAAGATCGAATTTCCTCTGCCCGACGTGAAGACCAAGAGACATATCTTCAAGTGCGCGTTTTCTCAAAGTAGAAATATCGTATTTATTGATTATGGTTTCCAGGCTTCATACTTCGCGTATGAGTCTGGCCGAGGACGTGGATCTTGAGGAGTTCGTCATGACCAAGGATGACTTGTCCGGTGCAGATATCAAAGCGGTATGCACAGAGGCCGGACTACTTGCGTTGAGAGAAAGACGGATGAGAGTCACGAAGGCCGACTTCAGTTCCGCGAGAGAAAAGGTTCGTTTCACTATTGAATGACCCCTTATCATATTTGAATGGATTTCTCCAGGTACTATACAGGAAGAACGAAGGTACTCCGGAAGGGCTTTACCTGTAATGATGGTTGTTATCGAGCCGCTATCTCGCTTTTTCGCTTCTGTACGATATAGAAATCATCATACGATAACATTAGCGCTACCAACCCATAGGTGCTTCCACTACTGTTGTTGCTGTTGTCTATTTCGGCACAGTTCAGTGTAGACGATCCTGTCTATCGACCGGACTGCGCAAGCAGTACCTAGTAGTACTATCTAGTACTAGGAGGTAATAGGACCGGTACTCAGTTCGTAATCAGGTATTGCAAGCGAGGTATCTGGTATCATAGGGCTGTCATAGGGTATCATGCAGTAGTGGTGTATGGCTTCCATAAGGTCACCGACGGACGAGCGACGAGCAAATGGTGAGAGGGACTTGAATGCCTGCTCAGATTTTCTTGCGGACTGCAGTGGTAAGTACAGAGGAGATCAAAATACAGGACAGGTGAGCAGTGAGGAAGTGCTGAATCCAGAAATAATCATGGAAGCTGGACAAAACAAGCACATCTATACAGTAATCCCACCCTATCAGACCCTATCTTACCCCTATAGTCTTGCACTGAGAGCATGATGGGTCCGCCCAGCCGCAGATTTGCGGTGGCAGGTTCGCCGGTATGTATATAAAAGCGGGGTGTAAACGGTGAGTTGCCTCCAGACACTGCTGGCCAGTCCCTCCTACTTTATTTCGCTTCATTTTCTGCTCTCACAAAAACTACTCTATCACTGTCTGCCTTCATACTGAGTGCAATTCCCTCATCCATACATCGTCCTCGCTCTCTCCGTATCATCGATGCTTTTTCGACCTGTGTACCTCATTCTGGGGCTTCTCGCTGCTGTACAGGCTGCTCCTCTCGATGTAAGTGACTCTACTTAATTCAATGTGAACTGGGGTGTTAATTTCAGATCGATGGTTTTATCAGACCAATACAAGCTCTGAAGCATCTAAATCTCACCTGGACGCACGTAAAGCTCCTAAAACATCGAACAGTGCTTCCCAACTTGCCCAACAAGCGGCGTCGAGGATGCCATTCCTTATTTTGGTCAGATTCTCTCCGCACCCCGTTGGCCAGGGTTTCGATGTTCCTGCTGCAGTTATCGATCGCCTAGTCGTTCACTTCCAGAGTACCCTGCCAGTCAGCAGGGAGGAGATCGGATTCCCTGCCGGCTCGGTATGGATCCATCCTACAGTTCAAGCACCGTCCAATTTCGAGTGGTACGAAGTCGCCAATCCTGATAATGGTTGGCGTCCGGCCCACCTGGACTAGACTGTCGTTGTACTTCCTTCCTATGCGGCAAATTAAAGGAAACGAACCAACAGGGCTGTGCTTTCCTTACAACGAAAGATAGTAGTAATATGTAGAATTTGAAGCGAAACCTGTCTCACTCCGTTGTATGTATATGGTGTGAGGATGGTGTGTTAATAAAGAACAAAGCTTTAAAGAAGTGGTCAAAGCTGTCTATCACATAATACATTCTGTACCGCAAACTATCTCGCATCAGCAATCAGATTTAAGTTTGTGTTATCTGGGATCTACAAAGTCTAACACCGAATCGAGCACTACCTTAGGTGGCATCAGCATTCGTATCTCTGTAGCAAAATCTTCGGTTCCTGCAATTTCCCTACTCTTATGTGTTTTGCACCGCACACCAAGCTCTGTAGTTGTGATTATAGCACCTCTAGAGGTGCCATATTCACCGAATGTGTCGAACATTCGTCGAGGATCGAAAGCATCGCCATGTTCCATTGCAACGATCTCGAAGCAGGTCGACATGATCTCCTCCTTTGTCACCTGGGCTAGTTTGCACGCCGTCTTCGTTATTCGACGTATCTGCTCTCCAAAACGTGATCTGAGACCATCTCGAGACCCGAGGGATCCCTTCCCATAGCCCTGACAACCTGCAACCACCAGGATATCTGCTGACCATCTATACATCGTTTCAGCCAGCTCATTTGCTGAATAGTCGCTCAGGTAAGGATACATTGTATGGATGTGACGATGAGTCAATGCTCGCCATCTTGAAGATGTAGGTTGTGGCTCTGGTGAACATATTCAGGATCGCGCGTTCTTTGTGTCAATGTTGAGCGTCTCACCTGCCGCATACATGTGCGAGTAAATTTGGGTTAAGACGGCGTCCGCTTTCGTGGGGAAACCCATACAGAAGACGGATAGTGCACGGGCGACACAAGTGGAAATACAGCCCTGCAACGCTAGTTGGACGAGAATAGGATCTTGCGAGTGATCTCGTCCGGATAATATCCTCACCATACTCGGTCCAAGCCTCGAGGCTGTGTCTTGCGTGGCCTGAATGGCTACTTTAGATGATGAAGTACTCCCAAATGTACAAAGCTCCGTGGCTGCTGCTGAAAACTGGAGGATCTCTGAATTAAGATCATGAATGGCTTGAAGAACCTGTGCGCCTGACCAAGCGTCGGTGCGTGTCATGAAGACCTCTGTGGTCTTCGAGAGCGCTCGATTCTCGTCCAGCATGGAACCTGGATGACCGTCATCTTCCTGTTCAACAAAGCTGCGCGACTGTTCGTCCTCGCGATCGTCATGGTTATTCAAACTTCGCGTGTCTGCCTGTTTTTCCTTTAGTTTCTCCAACTCCTCATCCCTAACCTTCAAGATCTCTCTCGTCTCAAACAATGTCCTCTCCAATAACCTGCATCGCTCTTGCAACTTGGTCATCTCGGCTTGAGTCCTCGCAAGCTCTCTTCTTGTTTCATCGATAGTTTTTCTCATCAGTGGTGGATGGTGCAAGGTCGATATAGAGTCCCCCTGACAAGTACAGAGACTTTGCCGACGGTCCGCTTCGTCTAGACGTTGACGTAACAAGGCGCACTCCCGTGTCAGTCGGGCGACAGGGTCGTGTACAGGCGTGAGAGTTCGCTCCTCGTCCAAGTCTTGAGGACGATGAGTGGGGGTGTTAGTCGGGGTGCGGAGAGCGAAGAATTCCACTGTGGCAGTAGCGAGTTCTCTGAGGTGCAAGTTAGCAACGGGGAGCATGACCGCAATACCAAAAAAGATAATCAGCTGGCGACCAGATAGATACATACAAAAGTTTTTCAATCTGGGCCTCTGATATGAGGCTTTCTGGAATCTTCCTGCTCCACCACGAGGTGGCCTCGTTGCAGACGCGTTTTCTTCTACGGTGTGGTGAACACAAGGTTGGATTACGCGTCACCTTGGCTGATGAAAATTCTGTTTTGTTCATTTCTGCTTTTCAAAGTCGACCTTTCTATATGATTGTTTGCGCGATAGGAGCGACGTACTACAGTGTACACGACTTATCATATCTTATTTCTCTCTATCTTGATACCCTGTTCCTCCTAATCGCAGCATGAAGTCTTCTTCAGACACGCGCAAGCCCTATACAGGCCCCATTCGATCACTTGTACTGGCTCTAGATGTTGGCACAACGTTCAGCGGGGTTAGTCCAGCTTTGTCCGCTCAAGCATTCTCTCACGCCTTCATCTTCTTAGGTTTCTTATGCCATTCTCGAGCCAGGAGAAATTCCTAAAATACATGGTGTTACACGGTACCCGTTCTTCTCTCTCTTCCCGAATTAATTCTGAGGCATATTCTCCAGTTTCCCGGGTCAAGAACATGTCGCAGGCAACTCAAAAATACCAACAGTCATGTATTATGATAGTGAAGGAAAGATGATGGCAGCTGGAGCAGAAGCCGACACTCCCTCAATGCTATCATTGGCGGAAGATGAAGCGTGGATAAAGGTCGAATTGTGCGTTGTTCTTTTTTGTCGTTGGAGGATCGCACTCATTCACCGTTCGTAATTCAGGTTCAAATTACGGCTCAGGCCTCGTACAATGAAATTAAACATGAACGGAATGAGATTAGGGCCTCTGCCTTATCGCAAATCTGCTGTGGACGTCTTTGGCGACTTTCTTTCTTATCTTTTTCTTTGTACCCGCAACTTCATTCGAGACACTCACGCGAACGGTTTATCTCTATGGAACGCCGTTGAACATGATATCCAATTCGTTTTATCACATCCTAATGGATGGGAAGGTGCCCAGCAGACCAAGATGCGCCGCGCTGCCGTATACGGTGGCCTAATTCCCGACACTAATGAGGGAAAAGCTCGGATACGATTTGTAACAGAAGGAGAAGCTAGTTTACATGCCTGTGTCTTGAACGGCTTGGCAGATGATGTGCTTTCTGTGAGTTCAACTATTCTTCTCTGATGGAAGTTGAATTGATTGCGTTCAGGGTTCTCCAAAATCAGGATTCCTTGTACTTGATGCCGGAGGCGGTACCCTGGACATAAGCTCATACAGTATTCGCGCTCAAGCACCTTTGGTAATTGAAGAAGTGGCACCTCCAGATTGTAGGTGTTGAATATGTATATCCTTATAATTTAGCTAAAACCAGTTTTCAGGTGTCTTCGCAGGATCAGTGTTCGTGAGCAGAAGAGCTCGAGAACTCTTTCGAGGTGCGACCATCGCGATATATAATCTTATGTGGCTGATTTGGTTTTGGGTTTAGAGAAGCTTAAAAACTCCAAGTACGGAACCCCTGATGCTGTGGATCATATTACCAAGCGCTTCGACGAAACGACTAAGCGTTTATTCCGTGATAAAAGAGATGCCCAATACATCCTTTTTGGGTCACCTCTGGACAAAGATCTTTCGGTCGGCATAAGGAGTGGTCAATTAAGGTTGTCCGGGTAAGAGGAGCAGCTGCCTTTCATAAAATACAATCTTATCGTGACCGAGTCAGCACAGAAGTGGCGGAGCTATTCGAACCATCAGTCAAAGGTAAGGAACACCCATTTCAGAGAACCTCCTGTCCTTATCCGAAATTACAGCTGCAGTGCATGCTATCAAGGCCCAGGTCGAAGCTTCTTCAGGCATGATAAAGGTTGGCTTTCTCCTACCCTCATACATTTCATGAAGACAAACGTACACATCTAGTCGGTCTTCCTCGTCGGTGGATACGCCAATAGCGCATGGTTATTCAGCCAGCTACAAGAGAGACTTCAACCGTACCGTGTTGCTGTGAGTCGACCAGACACCCAAACGTAAGTCTTGAAAACGCCCGCTTGCACACTAATTAAATCTTGTACCGTGCTAGCTCAAAAGCAGTCGCCGATGGCGCGATAGGCTTCTACTGCGACCACCATGTTTCTGCTCGAATGTCCAAGTTCATGTACGGGGTAGAATATCTTCGCCAATACGACTCAGCGGATCCCGAGCATGTCGAACGAAAAGACAGACTATGCGAGCTTCCATCAGGACCTCGACTTCTACCTGACGCATTTGATTGTATATTGGCACGAGTGAGTGAATAGGTTTGAAGTCGTACACAGTTCACAAACATTGCTTTAGGGTGTAAAAGTCAAGGAATCTACTGTGTTCACGCGGAAGTACTGCACAGAGTTGACAAGTTTGTCATTGCTCTCCGTATTTGAGGTTGAAATCTGGTGCTACAGGGGTGGAAACACTATACCAAAGTGGATTATGAGGCAAGCAGGTAATACATAACTCTTCGGGCTTCCGCGCCAACTTTCACTCAAATTGTCATCACAGAGGATTTTTCCACCCTTTGTCTAGTCCGCGCAGATCTGTCTCCATTGAGTAGCAGTGCCGAAGCAAAGACGGGTAAGCACGGAAGGGTGTACTGGAACATAGTGTTTTCTGTCGAGATTCATTTTGGGTTGACGGAGTTCAGAGCACGTATCAAATGGGTTGACAATGTGTGTAAATCCTCCTCATTCACTCATTTATCTTCTGTTGTTAAACCACCTATAGGGCGTAACAAAATAGTGAGTTACTATCTTCATACTTTGTAGGCCCGAGTGCTGATATTGGCCTCTAGCGGTCCAGCGTCAATAATCTACAACGAGCGGGGACATAGGTTGGATGAGGACGAGCCAGATGGCTACCCAGAAGACGACATGACTCCCGCTCAGTCTCAAGCGAACAGAAGCCTCCCAGGTTCCCGTGCTCATTCAGTCGACTCGACGTCCTTCCACACACCTGCGGCTGTCACGTCCACTGCCAACAGCAAACGTTCATCAATGCTTGGTCCCGCCAGGAACGAGCCTCCACCGGCGCCAACAGTCATTCCAGAGGTTGTTGCTGCGACTCCAAGTTTACGTGCCTCCAGCGTGCGGTCTTCTCGCCCTTCTCTCTCTCGCACTCCCACAGAGAACGGAAGTAGAGTAGATTTTTCTAGAGATCAGTCGCGAGGGAGATCGACATATAAAGGGAAGGAAAGAACGATACCCTCTCCTCCTCCCACAGATGATAGTATGGGCACGGCAAGCACTGCCACTAGCAATCGCAACTCATCGTCGAGACTTGCTGACACTCTTTCATCTGTTTGGGGTGCGGTATCTCCTACTGCCAGATCAATAGCAGAGTCACTCAAGTCAAAAGAGGCTACCCCTTTGTCGTCTCCGATCAAAAGAGAGTTAAGGGAAATCTTACACTCCCCACCGGCTCCACTACCAGAGCCTGCTCCGTCTGCTCCTGTGGAAGAAGCACCGATGTCTGCCGTGGACATGCCAGGCGCATTCGGAACTGGCGTTCCAGCTGCAGAAGCCGAGCTTGCGCAGGCAGAACCTTCTCCTACAGCAGCCGAATATCTGGAAGCAGCAGCATGGGGCTCGTTCACCAGCGCAGGGGAGGCTACTGGTGCCAACATGGGCCCCACGAACCTAAGGATCTCGACAGCTCTCTCCAATAGAGCTCCTTCCGCAGTCATTTCTCCGATCAATTTACCAGAAATGAACATGGATCTGGCTACACAACCTATAATAGATGCAAGTTCAACCGATGGCATGCTCTCATTATCGAATGAAGCTTTTCTTGCCTCAGACGAATCATCTGATTTGCTCTCGGGACCGCCGGAGTCAGCTCCGTCAAACACAAACAATCTTGCAGACTTACTGGGAACAGTTTCATCTGAAGTCAAATCACCAACAAAAGCGTCACCGAAACCAGCCTCTTCCCCCAATCCCCCTAATCCGACGACACCTGCTGCCGAGGTACCCCCGACATCCTCAAAATCACCATGGGGCACGCCAAAGCCTGCTGGAACACCGAGAGCTGCATCCAAACTAGGGTCGAAGATTCCGTCTAGAGTTGCCACACCTCTGACCGCGACAACGCCCAAGCCAGCGGCCACACCCAAGGCTGCTACCCCTGTACCAGCTTCGTCCCCCAAACCAGAGACTTCTGAACTTCCACCTCCAACTTCTGAACCAGTCGAGCCTGTAGCGGTGGAATCACAGGAGCCTACAGTTGAGAATGCTGTTCCTGATCCAACGACACAACAAACCACAGAAACCCCAGCTGAAAATACTGTGCCTTCCGCTCCAGAGCATCCGAGTGAACCTGATGCTACTGCTGCACTGGCCAACATTCCACCTACCGAAACCCCTGAGCCTGCAGAAGTGCCTGCAGAACCTGCGGTAGAAGCAACAGCGGAGACAACACAGCCGTCAAACGCAGTCACAGAAGAGACAGCAGCTCCAGAGACCACGGTTGCAGCAACTCCCGACGAATCTACACCGGGGACTGCACCTGGGACTGCACCAGGAACACCGGGTGATGGCTTGAATGGAGCCGATATCGAAGGTGAAGCCGAAGAGGGAGATGACAAGGATACAAAAGAGGAAGAGGCTACTACTCCAGGCGGTAAAAAGAAGAAGAATGAAAAGAAGAAAAAGAAGAAGGGAAAGTAGGTCAAAGATGAGCTCATGCAGACCAATGGAGGATATTTTATTGGGGTATATGTACATCATAGATTAGATGCTCAGTCTGCTCGAGGATGCTGGTCTCCAATAACGGTTTGCGAGATAGATGTACAGTAGTGTTGTTATATTAATCAACAGTGACACCGCGACTCCGAAGTTCATTCTTAGCTTGGGATATTTCCTAAGATCCGAATGTCAAGAGGTTTCAAGAAAGCTAATAGTATCGAGAAACGCACAGCTAACAATTCCTCGTATGCCTCCGGGCAATCTCTAAATGTTAATAGTCCCCATCCCAAAGACCAAAGAGAGTAAGATCCAAATGAGACTAGCAGCCACCACGGTAGCTACAGAAATGCATAACATGAGCATCGACAAAGTAGTGAGAATAAATGACATGTACGACTGGTAAGATTTCCTGCACGACAGCTCCTTCAACAAGCGGAACTTGAAGGATCTCGAAGAATGCAAGCAGGTATAGAGCAGTTAGTATAGTCGAAATGACTGCTATACGTTGAGCACGGGTCATATTTGCCAGCAGATATTATGATGGTTGAGATTCAAGTGCGTCGAGTTCAGAATCATACGGTCAGCCGGGTCACGGCTTCCAACTTTAAGCTTTATCACTCATGAACTCTCAGTTGCACTCTCAACTAAACGAACATTATAGGGTTGATTATCAGGTCAATCTTCATCCGCCGCAAGATGTGTCTTCTCGCCTGAGCCCTGCAATTGAAGAATACATTCAAAACACATTGGAGACGGCAAGTCCAATTCTGGGAGTGGTTCATCCTCTGTGATTAAAGGTCAAACGTAGACCAAAGATGAGCTTTTAAGCATCCCAATACTATCACCATCGCAGGGGGACGACTCGTATCCACTTACCCACTACTTCGTCTCGTGCGTGGCTATGTGAACAATCTCAGAAATCAGCCTATTCACAGAGCGCAGATCCTCACACAATACGTATCTCTTATCAAGACAGCTCGTAGGGCGGGCATCTGCAGAATCATATACTCATGCTCTGTCTCGGGGAGCACACTGTGTGGAAATAGATGTATGGCCAAGCTCAAGTCCAGAGGGCCTCGTCGTAACACATGGATATACTTTCACCAAAGGCGTGTCTTTCCGAAAGGTCTGTGAAGCAATCGGCGCGGGTGTAGATAACCTTGGCCCCGATGCGTGGCCGGTTCTGGTCAGTCTCGAATGTCACGTCGGACCAAAAGGGCAACAAATCATGGTCGATATCCTCAAGAACGCCTGGGGTGAAAAACTCGTAGAGGGAAAATTGACAGATGACTCGGAGCAAGAGGTCAAAGTGTCACCTCGCGAATTAAAAGGAAGGATTATATTAATGGTGCGCTCATTTCATTCAGACTTACTATATCTGATATCATCACAGGTGGAATATTATGCACCAAGCAACTTTGCTGAAGTCGAAGCTGAAGAAGAGCTTGAGGAGCTTGACCCTGACCAAGAGGAAGAATCAACCACTTCCGACAGCATCGTCGAAGGGGAAGATCTACCGCAAGTCCTTGTTGGAGAGATTGAACGAGGGAAAATATCAGACGAGCTTGCAGCCCTCGGCTACTATGCACGCAGTTGGAAACCTACTAAGGGTTGGTTGCAACAAGGTATTCTTCTTTCACAAACTCAATTTTCGCCTTTCTTCACATTTCATAGAACTTATCGATCCTCGTCATATCCTCATCAACATCTCCGAATCTAAAATCCTTTCTCTATTACCGACACAACTTGACCCTCTCATCGAGCACGGCCGCCTACATCTACGTCGCATCTTCCCCAGAGGAACGCGTATTCGATCTAGTAACATGGATATCTTGAAATTGTGGCGAAATGGATCACACGTTGTGAGCTTGAATTGGCAAACATTCGATACTCCGATGCAGATAAACGAGGCAATGTTTGTCGGTAGCCCAGGATGGGTGCTCAAACCTAAAGCCCAGAGGTTGCTGAATCCAGATTCGAGGAAATTTGGGTTCAGTGCCGAGATCGTTGGGATCAGCTCTTGTACGGGAAGTCTTGGTTTGCGTGCGTTCTGATCAGCTTACATATTTATTAGTACTGCCATCAAAAGACTACCAGGACAAAACTTACAAAGCGTATGTCGAAGCAGAGTTATTCCACGGTGTACAGGATCAAAATTGGAAGTCCAAGACTGTAACAACAACAGAAGAGGGAGACGCTGTGTGGAATGAAGCACTAGAATGGGAGTTTAATCGTGATGAGCTAGCCTTCCTTCGGTACGTAGTATAATATTTTGGGCGCAAACGAAACGAACTGAGGTAATTTGTCTTTCTCCTTCAGCCTTCGCGTTCGCGAAAATCGTAGCTTCGAAAAGGATCTAGATTTGGCTGTGTTTTGTGCGCGCATAGATGACCTGCAGCAGGGATGGGGTCTGGTACATATGTTCAACATGGACGGAAAAGCATCAGGTGCAACACTGCTTGTAAAATTTGAAGTAACTGTCCATGATTGAGAGAAAGGGTAAAATTCCCGAAGTAGGTTATCATTTGACAGTCAACGATTATGTATATGTATGTACAATTGTGAATCATTTCGAAATCAAAGAACTCCGTCGTCGATATTTCGAGTTGACCAAATTATGGGTTGCTCGTTTGTCAATGATGTATCTGTATCTGTGTCACCGAGGCCCCAAAAACTGACCACAGACGGTATAGAGTGTTTAATGGCATGCATGAGTTGGGGAGGAGCCACGGAACCACCTTGCCAAACCCCGATATTACGAAGCTTCCACTCAATGAAGATTCTGGCTTTCAATTCGGAAATGAAGGTCTACAGCATCGAATTGATCTGTAAGCGAGAAACTACACATACATGTGAGGAAAATAAGACTCACATGTATATCCGGTGGCACTGTACCGATATACAATGATAGCGAGCGCAACCTTGGCAGCTTACCTGCGAGAATCGTGAATACCCCAACATCCAATTCACGAAGATTGAGTCTCAGCGACTGTAGATTGGGTAGTAGTACATCGATAAGTCTACGCAAATCCTGTGGGTCCAAATAACGTTCTCGCACAACTAATGTGTGTAGTGTGTCTGCGGAGATCTGGATGCACGTTAAAAGGGCATCGAAACCCTTGGGTAAGGCGGAAGGATAGAGTTGGAGTTCCTGTAAGTGAGGAAAGCGATTCTCGCAGAATGTCTTTAGCATCCATTCACTCAAAGGTCGTTCTAGCGGGATCGCATTTAATAGAGGAACTGTATTGAGCCTCAACACTAGAATTTCTAGTTGGGCGCAATGCCGTGCAAGAAAGTTCGAGAGACTAGGGGATCATCCCTAAACGTTCGCGGAAAAGAGGTCTGAAAGTTGAAACACGTCAATAAGGGAAAATTGCCTAGGGCCTTGAACAAGGCAGAAAGTTCAAATGAGGTCCACGCCCAAAACGTGAGAGCCTGAAGTCTAGGTGTAAAGTTGTTGATGAATGGCGCGAAGACTGTGAGCAGAATGTCAGCCACGTCCTCTATGTCAGACGGTGAAGACGGGCTATCAATGAGCTCGAAAAACAGCTCTTCAACCTTCGGCAATGAAGGTTTAGAGGTTATGATGGTGCGAAATGAGGCAGCATGTCCTCGGAGGGAAAGTTTCTTCAAGTTGGAACTGAACGAGGTCCAAGCTGTGTTCAGGAAGGTGTTCAACTCCGGACCAGAATGCTCTCCCCAAGAATGAGAATCAACAGTAAATGCCATGACATTCGACATTACAGGTAATGCATTGATTAATGCAATAGTCCCTTCTTTTTCCGGTCGCAGTACATGATCAAATCTAGATCGGCGAAACGAGTGCAGGACATGTTGAAGGATATTGATTCTGTCACCGAAAGATGGCGGGGAGGCTACTGCACCGTAGAATTGAAAGTCAGGACTTGCTGTGAGGAATCTCACTCTCTTCCCGACAGCCGGGTCACTGCAAAGTCTTGAATCAGCACCTATAAGAGTCTTGCCCACAACATAACGCACGCAAGTCGTAAAAGTAGCTTCTTTGTTCCGGCGCTGAATCGTTGCAGTACGACAGACTTGTATCGTACGTCCATCGAGATATTGTAGAAAAACAAGTTGACCCCAAGCAGATCACGAAGCGTAGCTTCTGGAATAAAGGCAGCAATATATATCCAGATTTCGAGAGGTAGTTCTATCATGCTTTTAGAGTTGTACAAACTCGGATGTAAAGAGCAATCGCATTAGTAATCAACGTTCAAGTCAGCTGGCGCTAAATTCGCTTAAATTGATTTATTTAAAATGATCCAACTATTCGGCGTCTACTTTAAGTACCTCTTTCGATGTCCAACAAAGTCTACGAAGCCCTACCACCTCCCAAGGAGAAGGTCAAACTAACCATACCTGAGCTGAAGCCCGAACAAATTGCAATGCAAGAGAAGATTCAAGTGCACTTCACAAAAGCGGGATACACACTTCCCGGCATCGAAAAGAGCGGCGAACTCATGGAGGAGGAACAATTTTGGTTGTCGTATGAGTGTCAACTGAGGTGATTTTTTCGCCATATATGCTCGTTTTGAATAAATTCCAACAGTGTATAGGTACCTGCGTGCCACAAAATGGAAGGTGGACGACGCAATTAAGAGACTGGAATCTACTCTTAAATGGAGGAGAGAATTCGGTCTTTACACTCATATAACTCCAGAATATATTGCGCCAGAGGTGAGGCTTGTTCTTTCTTAATGTTCATTCATATCTGAAATAATTATTTATTATTTTTGGAATAACTCTTCATAATTAGGCCGTCACAGGCAAAGAGATTTTGTTTGGATACGACGTCTACGGCAGACCTGCCTTCTACATGATACCCAGTCGCCAAAATACTACCGAAGCCACGCGTCAAATTGAATTTGCCGTATGGATGCTCGAGCGGTGCATAGATCTCATGGACGAAGGTGTTGAGTAAGTTCAAGCCGAACAACTCTCTTCATCTTTTGAGTCTGTGTATTCATTCATTCCCCCCGCATTCCTCCTCACAAAAGATCACTCTCCTTACTCATCAATTTCGCCGACAAGGCCAAAAATCCCTCCATGTCTACTTCCCGTACGGTTCTCTCTATCTTACAGAACCATTACCCCGAACGCCTAGGCAAGGCGCTTGTCATCAATGTTCCTTACCTTGTCAACATTTTCTTCAAACTCATTACCCCGTTCATCGATCCAATCACGGTTCAGAAACTGAAATTCAATCCCGATGTGGTAAAGGATGGGATTTTTGCTGAAGACCAGGTTCGTTGCAGAATTAGTTGTTGGGATACATATCTACATTTTTGCCCGTTCAGGTCATGAAAGAATTTTGGGGTGGAAATCAAGACTTCGAGTATGATCATGAAAAGTACTGGCCGACATTGGTTGACCTCTGCAAGGCGAGAAAGGTGAAGTGGATGGATGAGTGGAGAAAGCTGGGCGGGAGGATTGGTCTCTGCGAGTCTGATTATAAGAACGGGGGGAGTGGGCAACCTGTAACGGATGCAGATTCACCCCAAAAGGAAGAAGCGGACACCTCAACAGAGACACCCAAAGTAACGGAAGTAGGGGTACCTACTCTTGGTGTAATCGCACTGGAATCCGGAGACGGACCTGCCTCCATAGAGCAGGCTGTTGGGGTGAACACTTCATAGGTTTCTAGTACAAGCCTCTGAACGCCAATGAACGTTTTACTTCGCTACAGGTTTGTTTACTTTACTTCTAGTACCTTCATACTTATTTTACATCTATCCGTACTTATACCCGAGCTACACATGGCCTGCTGAAGTCGTACAAGCTTATACATGCTCTTAATGCAAAACAATATTGGATGAACACTACCTAATGCCGAATACATCAAAAGTACGTCTGCATTATTCTTCCCACGTATACTTCTCTCCACACCCCTCATCAACGATTGTTCAATGGATCCTCAGAGCGATGAGAGCAAGAGTTATTTAAGCACCGGGAACGTTTCAATTGACCGATTGGCGTTTTTTCACATTCTCGAAAGACTGAAGGTCAGCTTTCTTCGCTAGATACAATAGTTGATATCGTCGTATCATCCAACTAGACTCAGAAACGCACCGGATGGGTGAATAACAACGTTTGTCAAATCCACCTCCATTAAATCTCAGATCGCAAAAATGATTGTTCATGGACGTCCCCCACAGATTCGGAATCCTGAGAGGTAAGCTCTACATTCTGGCTAAAATCATGCTACTCGCTCTCTGTAATCGGCTGATGACGATGTCTCATATCATCTCCACTTATTTGTTTTAGTATTTCAGACCACATGTATCGAATGGCCGTCTTATCCATGTGTACATCGGACAAGAATTTGGACGTCGCAAAGTAAGTGGAACGGCTCTCACAAGTACTCAAGCGATCCAGTTCGAAACCCTGCCATTTTTGGTAGTGGAAAAATTCCAATCCTTGAGCAATTTACTAAATAAAGTCAACCTCTACTAGATGCGTAATGCTGAGTGTAGTCCACGATTTAGCTGAGGCTCAAGGTTAGTAAAGTTGGGTTCTCCAATTACCTGGCATGTACTCAGCTTTAATTTCGCAGTCGGAGACATCGCTCCCAGTCATGGAATTTCCAAGGAAGAAAAATCACGATTGGAAGCGGTTCGTACGTTCGCTTTCGTTCGATGTTCGGACTTGTATATCATGCAATCAGTCAAACATCAGTATTGACTTGAACCTTTGGCGACATTCGTAGGAAGCCATGCATATCTTCATTCACGAAATGCTACACGACAGTCCAGCAGCTCAGAGGATTGGAGCTCTTTGGAAGGTATGAAGATCACCTTTGTTCCACTGGCACTGACAATCCGTCGCTCCTTTCATAGGAATATGAAGATCGCGAAACGCCCGAAGCTCGTTTCGTCAAAGGTATTGGATACAATGTACACCTCCAGAGTTTCCTTCTTATTGAACCGTCTAGACCTTGACCGGTTCGAGATGGCGACGCAAGGTGGGTTGGCTTCCTTGCGATACCCTACGTCCCTGTACATTCTACCTTTGTAAACTGACCTATACACCATTAATCAATGCAGCGCTTGAATATGAACGCGATCTGAACGCTTCTCGGCTGCAGTCTTTCTACGATAGCTCGATCCCATACATCGAGCATCCTGAAGTACAGCAGTGGGGGCAGGATTTGTTGGAAGAACGCGGGCGGTTGTTAGGAGCTATTCACTCGGCCAAGTCAGAGTACTCAATGATCGAGGGAGATATGCCAGTGGAGGAGGAAGCCTGAAGGAGGTTAAGATTCTTCACTGTCAGCGAAAAAAAGTCTACCGAATTATCCCTTTTAAAAGTAAATCTTTGCCTGGAGCTGGTTCGGAATTGAGTACATCAATGACACACAGACACACACCGTTGCTTCTGAATCGCACTTGTTTGATGATGTTCTTTGATCAGTTGCACTCTATTGGACTACATGAACTTCATAGGCTTCTGCTTATTTTGGTAGACATCAAGTAAAGATTGCAGTGGAGAAACTTAGGAACAATGTGATATGGTGAGGGAATTTGTTGTGGCCCCCGGATGGTGCTGGTAGAGTCTGGTAGAGTGCAGGGTTGGAGTAGGAGGTCACCGTTAGATGGGAAAGTCGGATCCCTTTTGCCCTGTAAGGCAATCATGTGACCCTCTACCGCCGTCGGAACGGACAGAGACAACTTTAAAAGGAATTTTTGCATGCTTATTTCAGTCCAAGACTCCAAGTAACCTGGGTAAAAAACACCATCCGATGCAACCATCGGACATCAATGCAGATCATTCAATATTTTCCATACATAATGTCTTCTCTACTGTTAGCACTCGTGTCCTCGACGCTCGTTGACGTTCATACTCCATATGTCTTCACCTCTACTTTCGGAATCATACACTTTCGATCCTCGACCATATTATCCATTAGTGTCGACTGTAAAACGGTTTTGGGATCCATCATGGACTGCCGATGGATTAACTCTGGTGTTCACACACGGGACAGGGTTTCATAAAGAGCAGTGGGAGCCTACCATAGATGACTTGCTGGAACTTATCAGACAACCAAGTCCCAACAAGATCAAAGTACGAGAGATATGGACGATTGACGCGCCGAATCATGGAGACGCGGCGATACTCAATGAGAAGTCTCTGCAGCACGCATATGAGGCTGTGTGTGAGTTTGCTGCTTATGCTTTCTGCATGATAATTTTACAGAATTCTACGTGTAGTTCAGTGGCAGGAATATGCGCGCAGTATACACGCCTTCCTTACTGGGAGGGGCCGGACTCTGTTCGGGAACCTCGACTTGGATTCAGAGAACAGAGCCGTAATGGATAACTTTGACTTCAGCTCTCATACTATCGTCGGTATCGGTCATTCTATGGGTGCTATTTCACTCCTTCTCTCGCTGGACTTTGTTCCATCCATCGAAAGTCTTTTTGCTTCGATGATCTTCGTCGAACCCATGACAATGGAGCCTGTTTCGGGTTCCAAAGGGCCTGCGAAGAAGTTGGCATCTGGGTCACAGTCAAGAAGAGATATATGGCCTAGTGCGGAAGAGGCATATAAAATGTTGAAGACACGTCGAACATGGCAATCATGGGATGATAGGGTCTTGAAGCTCTTCGTGGTGTGTATATCTCGCCTTCTAAATACTAGGCCTTTTACAATATGATTAATAACGATCGACTTATTTCTTAGGAGACTGGCTTACGACCTCTCCCGACATTGAACTATCCCGATGTCAAAGATGGTGTGACACTCAAATGTACGCGGGATCAAGAAACGGTATGTGTTCAATACTAACTCCCTCTACATCCGCTCATCTATGCTTTCTATCTTTTGATTACAGGCCACATATAGAGATACCCATGGCTGGGTAACCATGTATCGAGGCTTGCCGTCCTATGCGTCTCGCGTACGAATACATATCTACTACGGAAAAATCCATGATTATATGTATATAAAGGTTGAATGAATTGACCTCTTCCCAATACTGATCATTGCGTTATAGTGCCGGGGAATTCAAAGAAGATGTCATCAACAACGCCGCTGGAGGACCGCAGAATTTCGCAAGTGTTGGGTATATTGATGGTGTGGGACATACGGTAGGCTTTCGCTCAACTCACTTACCACTATGAATCACCGTATCCCCAACCTTCCCAGGCCCCTCAACAAAGTCCCCGTGGTGTTGCAGAAAAGATCTTTGAAGCACTCAGGATTGACGAGCAGGATCGAAACAAGACCCAGGGCAATCTTCAAGCCAAGTTATGAGGTCCGAAATTTTTTTTTTTTTGGATTTTCTATGTCCTGCAACGGGGGTGCCTCTTTTTGTATCATCTATTCTTCTCTATTGTTCAACTTCCAGGGCACCATCGCTATAGCTACTACTCGGGGGCTAAGGCTAACGAACTAGAACCTACTACATTGAACAAACTAATAATAATCATGTACTGTTGGTTTGTGACAAATGTGGTTATCTTTAATCTGGGTTTTGAGTTCGAGCTTAGTCGAAAACTCCATTCTTACACCACGTACCTACTACTAGCATGTTATTTCTCGACCACTTAAACAGACTTAAACGCGTACACTATGATTCCCAAGCGCGTCTAGCGCTAGCACGTGTATTAAATGTGGACAGTGGCCCGATTTTCGACGGTCGCACGATTGTGGTCTGATCTCAACTTCTTTCTTCTCATCCACCATGTCGAAACTGAATCCCCAAACAACTCACTACGAGTTCCTTGGGCCTGTAGGAACGTTCTTCATTTCAGTCGGCGTTCCTTCCATGATATACGGGCTATACTATGGATGCAGCGAGCAGACTGGTGGTTGCCCCCCTCCTACACTCACTTTGTCCAAATTGACTTCAGAATTAACTGCGCTTCCTGTGACGATTTCTTTGCACGACATATCTTGGTGGCAGGGTTTATGGCAAGAGGTATGGGACACGGAAGCCGCGCTGATGTATCTCGCGTGGTACGCATTCTGTGTTGTCGCTTGGAGAGTGTTGCCTGGTGCTCAGGTCGAAGGAACGCGTATCCGGGATGGGAGCGTTAAAAAGTACAAAATCAACGCATTTTCGACATTCTTACTGGCTCTCGGCTTGGTCACAGGAGTGATCATCCGCTTTGGTCCCGAGAAATTCACGTTCTTGTACGAGCGCTGGGTTGGGTTTGCTACTGCGGCTATTCTCATGTCGATCGCCCAAGCTTTCGTTGTATATGCTATGTCTTTTAGAGAAGGTGCTTTGCTTGCACTTGGCGGAAACACTGGGAACTGGGTGTACGATTGGTACATTGGCCGACAGCTCAACCCTACTCTGTCTATATTCGGCGCCGAATTCGATATTAAGAGCTTCAACGAGCTTAGACCGGGTTTGATCCTCTGGGCATTGATTGATATCAGTATGGTGTGTGAGCAGGCGGTGAGGAGGGGTGGAATCGGCAATGTAACAGACTCGATGTGGCTTGTTCTCTTGTTTCAAGTCGGCTACGTAGCGGATGGGCTGTATAATGAGCCCGCCATCCTCACCACGATGGATATTACCACAGATGGATTTGGTTTCATGTTGAGTGTCGGAGACCTTGCCTGGGGTGTGTACGCGTTACCTATCTAGCTACTCTTCGACTCACTTTATATTCCTCCTATGTTCTTCAAAAGTCCCATTCGCATACTCCCTTCAAGCGCGTTATCTTGCTTTCCATCCGATCCTTCTCGGACCTGTCGCTACAGCGTTGATCGTTGCCGTCAACGCTACTGGTTACTACATCTTCAGAGAGGCAAACGGACAGAAGAACGATTTCAGAAATGGGAAGGATACCCGAGGTGCGTTCCCTTTTCTGTGTCTGCTTTGAACCATCAAATTGAGAACCCGTTTTTAGGCCTAAAATACTTCACGACCGAATCTGGTTCTAAATTGATCACGTCTGGGTGGTGGGGACGTTCGAGGCATCCCAACTATCTCGGTGACCTGCTCATGGCTCTCGCCTGGTCTCTCCCAACCGGTTTCGACACGCCCATAACTTACTTCTACGTGATGTATTTCGCTGTGCTGTTGATACACAGACAGAGGAGGGACGACGAGAACTGCGAAAAGAAGTGAGATCTGTCTAAACTACTGTTTTTGCGTTGTTTCGTTCGAGCTAAATGCTGATATTCACTCACAGATACGGCAAAGATTGGGAAAAATACAAGAAGATGGTGCCATACAGAATTATACCTTATATTTACTAGGTTCCCGCCAGATGGGGAGGCCGAATGTTTGTGGCTAGTGATTATTGGTATATTCGATGGACATCAGTGTGCTGTTACAGTATTGTGCTTTGTTCGGAATAATATGTACAAAGGTTAAATTTCTGGATACTGCTGGCGATGAGACCTACTGACAGAAAAGCGATGAGTGAATTCAGATAGTAACATCAGGATGTGTGATACAACTGCAGTACACCCTTTTACAGCTTCGTATCTCTATCCTGGAATAGTCCTGGAGGCAGGAAAACTGCATACTAGTCCCTCATCCGGGCGGGAATAAACCGCCTCACGATGACTTCCCTGACAGAGTAATGCGCGAAACACGCAGGAGTGTTCAACATCTCCCTCGATAGACGGCTTCGGGCGGGAATAGTCACGTACGTGAGAATTAGAGTCTATATGGATTGGAAAATGACTATAAGCATGCTGATACAAAAGGGAGAAATTGACTAGAAAACCAACTTTCATCACTTGCGAGTTGGCCCGGTTGATTGTGCTTAACCATGACCAAGTGAACGGAGACGCGTTTTGTAAATTGGTAATTGAAACTTCTTGGTCCTGTGGGTCTTCGTATACGGGACATACGACGATCGCGAATCTGCATATCGTTGGTGTGTTGATTAGCACCTATGCAGCTGACAAAACCAAACAGACCAATGGAGACTTACTCCGCATGTGTGAAGACCGGACCCCGTTTGTAGAGGAGATAGTCAACACAAAATTTGAGTCCATTCTTCACCACCCAGCCAAGAGATCGATAGTGGTGGTACACAGCATAATGGATAAGGAAAGGGTTGTCGAGTTGAAGCTCGGGTGTAGGAAGGGTTGGTATCGGGGGTGCGAGGTAAATTTGTTGGAAAGTAATCCATATTTCTGGTAACGATAAAGGTTCGTCCTGGTGAATGAGGAATCAAATTTTAGATATTGAAAGACGAAATAAAAGACATAACATGCCGTTTCTGGATCCAGTATGGTTAGACAATCAAAATTCCAAGCAAGGAAGAAGGCTTCTGGAAGCGTGAGTTGCAAGTGTTCCATATCCTCCAAGGGCTCTTCCTCTTCCTCCCCCTCCCCCTCGTCCTCTCCCTTACTTTTGGCGTTCTCTGGACTACCTGATTCTTGCTCCAATGCGAGTTCGGATTCAGCGGTTTTGGGTTTCCATGTAGCACCGGAAGGAATTTCAGGACCAAACAATGCCGGAACAACAACGCGACCCTCAGTCTCGAATATAGTTTCAGCTTCCGCAGCGACTTTGGCTATGGCTGCCGCACGATCCAACTTGAACTGTTTGCGGTCTGCACGCCGTTTTTCTCGAATTTCTTCCGATGTCATTTCTTGGAAGGATGTAAAGCCATGAAATAATCAGAATGGATGTTGATTACACGCACTTTTTGCCCCGCTATCAACTTGTCTACTTTTTCTATCCTTAACCTGGCGCACAAACCAACTGGGCTCACTTCTGGACAGATTCCCTTTCCCAAAAAAGCCTCTTCTCCATAATGTCTCTGAATCACGTTGATTGACGACCCAAACGGAGCGTGTCGATGGGTCGTAGTAGCCTTCACAGTGCGGATTTATAACTTGACTTCGAGATAAACCTAGAAGACCGAGAATGGATCGGGTTCTACTGGAAGAGGGATCAGAGAAAATGAGGGGAAGAGGATGAGCGTAGATTCGGTCGTTTTCGTGTCGTCTCGCTCCGCCTTTGTTTGGCCCTTTGGATTTACTAAAAGACATGAGAAGAGTCAGAAGGAAATTAGACGCGCGCTAATCGATTATATGGCTCTGATCTTCTGCTCATCAGGCCTCAGGATCCGAGATTACAGAAAAAATGCTGTTGTCGCCCCAGCCTACCATCATCGCGCTTCTCTGAATGACTTGGCTTCCGGAGTAGCTGCGCTACCAGCCTCTTTCCTCTCACTCCGATCTCATATTTCGCTTTATTGAGCCTATAGCTTGTCCTACTCCGTGTTGTTGGCTGGAGATGCTCAATGAGACGAGTCCAAACGATACGCGTTCAAGCTTGAAAATTGATACAGTTAATTATTCTGGCTGCGAAACTCGGATATTTAGGTCATGCTCTCCCTCGATGGGGCGTAGCGGCCTTCGTAATGGTTCATAAATATCCTCACTTAGAGCGGTGAGCCTGAATTAGAGCGTTATGTATGTACTTGAGAATCACGATTTCCTACCCATTGGAAAATCGTGACCTTCGGCAAAGAAGACTGGTCCGTGCGCGAATTCGCAACTATAAAAAGAGGACGAGGACATCTTAGCAACTCATACTTACCTTGATGGCACAAGTCCCTTCACGTACCCGGGTTTGTGGGCTGTGGAGATCCTTCATAGCACGGCGACCTTGTCCATACAAAGGGTGTCTGCGGCTTGTATAGGCTCAGGCTTATGCACCGTCTCAATATTTTCCTGTCCCGCATCGGCCACTCTGGCTGGGTGGGCTCTTTTTTTTTTTTTTTTCGGTTGATCGCAGCTCTAACCCTAACCTTACAATATACCTAATTGGGTATCTACTGTGTAGAATTCCCTCGAGGAATTTGGGGAAACAGGTTGAACTTGTCCATACTTTATATTCACCAGGTGCAACTTGTGAGCTTTGAGGAACATTTTACATTGGATTAAGCTTTGTCTACATAGATAGATACATGAAATATATATTCTAAGTAACTAGAGAAAATACGTCAATGGTCAAATTGTTGAACATCTTCTGAACCGGTGCTAAATTGCAAAAAACTTTGACTTCTCCAGCTCTTTCGCAATCTTGAGGTCGATACAAGGAGCAAATTTGCTCTTGGCCCGAATTCGTGCACCATACTTGTAAAATAGGAATGGACTGGGTGCCAGCAAGAGCGCAATAAAACCTATAAGCGAGGCTGCCCATCCGATGCCCAGAGTTTGAAACATCTGCACTGTGAATAGTGGAAAGGCAGCAGCGACGAGTGATCGAATTATGGTATTCGCTGCGAATGCAGAAGCACAGTACATGAGGTAGGTGTCGATAAGATAGGTCTGGGGAGAATTAATACATGAGTTTTCGGCCTGTTTTGAAGAACTAAGATAGGGATCACATACCAAAAACGACGTAAAGATCAAAAAGATACCAAAGCCTAGAAAGACAGTTGCTACAGCCGGAGCCGCCCACGATATACTCTCATAGTTTCCTGTCCAACCAAGCCAGAATGTGCCAATCACTAACGCTGGGCTCCCGACCATAGCACCCCAAAGACGGTACTCTGCAGGCGGAAAGCCTTTCCACCGAGCGTAATGGGGTACATATAACGTTTCAGTGAGATGCCAGTTTAAGACTGCACCAATTGTGCTTCCGATGCCGACACCGATGAAGATGAGGCCGTTCTGACTGGAGCTCAGTCCGTGTCGTTCCATGAAGATGATTGGGAATGCCTCGAACACTATAAAGTTCAAGGGACAATAAGTATTCGCGGTATGTAGGCTGTAAATCAGAGAAACCTACGAGCATAAAGAAGACCATATACGATAGACATGTACACTGTCACAAGCACCAAAATAGGCTCCTCAGCAAGCATTAGGAATGGCCTGCAAAATGTCACGCGGACCATTTCGCCGATTGTGGTTTCTTTTCTTTCGTGCTCTGTGAATATAGCCTTCGCAACCTGCGGTGTCGCTGCCTGTTTCCTTAATCTCTTGGCTTTCCTCGACAGAAGCACTAATGAACAAGTCTCAGGGAGCAGCACAATCATTACGAGAGTTGACGCTCCAGCAAAGATGAACATGACCCAAAAGATCCAATTCCATTTGAGGCTTGATTCCGCAACGAATCCACCTACGAGTGGACCCAAAGCGGGACCCAGAAAGACGCTGCCAGAAAAGATACTGGAAGGGAGGCCACGGTCTTTGCCAGCCCAAAGGTCAGCCAGAACGGCGCCGCCGACGGTGAGGGGGGAGGAGGCAAAAAAACCGCTGAAGAAACGGGTGACGATAAGGGTTTGAATGTTCGGTGCAAAAATTTGGCCCAGGATGAAAAGAGTGTAGCAACACATGGTGATCACCAGAATACGTTTACGCCCAACCACTTCGCTCCCAGGACCGAAGAAAAACGACTAGACCGTATATGAGTATGGATACATAGGAAGTGAAGAAATAGAACTAACACCGAACACATATCCTAGCAGATAGACACTCGTCACAACATAGGACACTTCGCTTGAGATAGCAAACTGTTCTATGATCCTCGTGGTCGCTGAGCTTGGAGCCGATGAAGAGAATGTGCTATAATGTGTTTTTCTTAGGAGGCCAGGGATCATAACGAAGAAACTCACGCATTAATGGTTACTCCTGAAGTGACAAGGGTAATGATCCACTTCTGGCGTAGACTCCAATTCTGAGGATTCTGAGGATCATTTGGACCATCCCAAGTTACCGGAGACGGTGCTATGTCCTGTTCATGAAGACTTTCCTTGCTGTCTTCATACATTACCACTTTACTGTCTACGGTACTTACCGTGTCGGTCGAGCCGGTACTGGAAATTGGGGGTGTATGCAAACGTCCGCATGAGGATTCCATGATAGCGCTAGACCCTGATAGAGAGGAAGCTATATAAGAACAACACGACCTACGAGATTAGTGGACGATAGCCGTCGTGGAAACGGAGCACGAGTGCCATATGCGGCTGAAAAACTATCTGATTGCGCTATGATGATACAGGGGACGCCGAAGGTAAACCAGCAAGCAGGTATGGGCTCCGAAGGAATTGGGACCCGGATAGGAGTGCTCATCCCGCAGGATTGACGATGAATACCAGTCGCAGTGATTAACCTCATCTTAAACGGTTAAAGTAGTACCCGAAAGTATCACGGACAGATCACGGAGTCCAGTTAGTGTGATTTAGGCCGACTAGGCGTCCACAAGTTGATTGATATTCAAATATGGCGAATGTCCATTGTAAGAATCATTGCAAATATGTAAAATTACACTACCATGCAAAGTAAGTTGAGTGAAATACAAAAAAAAGATTGAAACAAGCAAGGCGCACCGAATGGTATAATATGACTATTTTCAAACGTCCTTCCTTCCCGCGAGACATTACGATTCCCCCTTCAAAGTCTTCGTCGGTGCTAACGTGAAATTATTGAGGACGATGACTTCTAGGCAGTACTAGGCGGCGTACCAATAAGCGGATGCAACTGCGCCAGATAAGTAACCATCCACATTAAGTAACATGCCGCGAGAGCAAGCATAAGAGACGTTCGTATGAGACTGTAAGGAGATTAACCAACAAGTCTTTGCAATGATAGGTCAGGAGTAAAGCGTACACTTGTTGAGGCCCTTTGGGTGTGAATAGGGCAGCACAGGCCATGAGCCCCACGGCGATGACAAGTACAAATAGTATGGGAAGTACGGAAGGCATGAAGAGGGGAGACCGATTGTGGTTGCTGGCGTCGCAGAAGAGAAGCGTGGGACAATCATTATTACTCATTGGGCCGCATCTCAATGATCTCATGTGCTGGGCGTGTCCCACACTGAGAGGTATTATACACAAACTTTCATATACATATCCCTAGGTTGGCAAGTAAGATAAATGAGTACTGACGTAGAGAACACTATAGTAAAGACGGCAATAAAGGATTATGTTTCCTTTGGATCCGGAAATACATCTACTGGTGGAGGATCCGACGGCGAGAGCGCAATTTTCTCGTTTAGAACAATATTTTCAACCTCTCCACCTTTGATTTCATCCCCGCCATCTGTTGCTTCTTCGACAACGAACCCTTCCTCCCTTAACACCGACCACGTCCGCTCCTTCACGTCCCAGTTCTCCGCTAACGAAACCATCTTCAAGATCTGCCCCTCATGTGAAGTATGTAACGTGCGCCGACATGACCGCGTAATGAAGGAGGAGAGTAGATGTAATGGCCAGGATGAGGGAAGCGTTTGAATCACCTGATTGAGGATGCGATGGGATGAGGACAAGTGAAAGAGGGAAGCTCAGATTACTTACATCGCAAACGTCCAGATGAACACCTTGAGAATTTAGCAGGCGTGCGACCTGTACTTGTTGTACTTGCTCCTGATCGATTCTACCGCTGGGTTGTTTCTCCGCATCGCCGATGCTCATATAAACCTCCAACAACATCCGTAGTAATGTACCGTTCGAGACTCCCTTCTCTTCTGAAGCATCCTTGCTCGTTGCTATCACAACACCCTTCCAATTACTCAAACCCTCGGTGTTTTCTGCAATTGAACGACATAGACGTGTGGGGATGACCTGTCTTTCTCCGTTTGAGCCAGGTCCGTTGTTGCCTGTACAATAAGCCTCCGCAGAGACTGCATCTCCGACTTCACGTACGAGACACTCAAGTACCGCGCGGTGATTGCCCAGTTTAGATTCCAGGACGGCGAGCTCGAGACTAAGTAGCGGTTTATGTTTCCCCTTGGCTGTTTTGATGTGCTTGTCCGACGCGCTGAGAATCCGCTCTTTGACGACACTCACATCGTACAGTCCGGATACTTGTAGGAAAAGGAGCGTTTTGAGCCGTGCACGCTTTGAAGGGGAATCGGGGGTTGTAGAGGCAAAGTAGGATATGAATGGGAGAGGTGTGGAAGTAGTAACAGCAGGGGATGTGCTGGATGAAGAGGAGGAGGAAGAGGAAAAATATGAGGAGGCTACAGTCATATTATGAGGTCGGGTGTATCATCACTTAGCCAAATGATGTACCTTTCGCCCTCCAAAGCTTCTCTATCCCCTCTTCCGCTTGCAAATAGCCCATCAATTCGTCGATGCAGGCAGTAGCATATTCCATGTGGATATCTCGGGCCTATGTCAGAATCAACGGTTGATCAGGGTAGCTTCTGGAAAGGGAAGCCACGTACTTTACTACCTCGCTGTAAGATGAGATATTCCAGGTATTGGAGCGCTGCCGTGGGGTTTATTTCTCTGATACCGAAGAGAAGGTTTTTGTCTTCTGCGTCAAGGTTAGCATCGGAATCAGGGTTCGAAATGCTCTTGTTGTTGTGGTGACGTCTACCACTCGTGCGGGCTGGAGAAGAGCGAGAGGATATAAGGAGCTGATACCAGACCAGTCAGGTGCCGAAATCAAGGATGGGGTTGGGGAACAAACCTTCAAACCTTCTTTTGGAACCCGCTTCTCGTGCATGAGCCAGAGGGCCCACTTCTGCGTTAGTTGTGTATATGTCGCTGACTTGTCGGGTCGTTCGTTCAACTTGTGTAGGTAGACGACCATGGCCCCTACAGGATCGGAAATATCTTCGTCTGACCACTCTCCATCAATCAACCTGACCAGTGATAAATTAACACGCGAATGATATGGAGAAGGAGTTAGACTCACTTTGCCCAAATTTCTAACAGTTTATGGTGGTTTCCCATCTGCAGATGTAGTTCACAAAGCGCATTATACTGGCCGTTCTCAACCAACATTGTTTCCACCTCGGGCAAGACGATATAATGAGTTTCTTGTAAGAGCGCATAGAGGTCTTTGGTTTTCTCGCTTCTAGCGAATAGTTTGACTAGTACTGTGTCTACGACAGCATACTCGTCTTGCCGATTAGGTGAGGTCGACCCCCCTCCGCTTTGATTCTCTAAAACTCGTCGGGTCCTGCATTTCCTCAAATACGCCTCGAGCATATCCTCCGCAGCTATGAGCAGAATCTTGCGCAGCTCGGATGTGGATGGTGCTTCACGGGTATTTGGAGAAAGATGCGGAGAGTAGTTCCTAACTAGGTTGGCGGCAACTGATTAGTTTGCATGAGGGAAAACATAATTCAAGTCGTCGGATGGGAGCAATGGTATGGAATGAACACTCACTAATTTCTTCCACTGAACTCTCAGGCGGCATATGTTCTGCTACACCAGCAAACATATCAACTGTGTTATCTACTCCATTGAGTTCTCCACGTAGATTTGGGAAATAGCTAACAAGGACACGCGGGTCGAGACCACCCTCGAAGAGGTGTTTCCCTGCGTCTTCGAATAATGTTTCTTTGAAACATTGGAAACCTATTCGTTGATAGATATACTGGAGCTGTTCTGCCTATGGGCAGCTCAGTGACTGTAATGGCTTATTAGTTGTTAGTACGCACCTCGGCCTCGTCAATATTCACACCGCCATAAAGCTGTCTTCTCCGTTCCTGGTCGGCCAAGTCCGCTGCATGTGGGATCCGATGACTTTCAAGTAAAGATTCAACTTGAGATATAAGTGTAGCTGGGACCAGAGATTGTACAGAGTGGCGTCCTAGTAAGAGCAGAAGAGAACGAGACATGCATTCGTAAAGATAGCGGAAGAAACGTGAGAAAATTTGACAGCAAGATATTTATTACAAGGTCAAATCGTAAGTAACACAGGATGAGTATCCCTAAATATTCTAGAGTACGATGTTAGAGGCATTATAGTCATACACGGGGCATGCGTCCATAGCGGTACAAGAACCCAGCTAATCCGAATCAGAAAGTTCCAATATATCGTCCGTTGCGACCATAATCGGTGGAACGCCTCTGCGTTGTCGTACATGTCGCGTGGGGGCCGGAACGTTCTCTTTATCATCCTCGTCGTCATCTTCGACAGTGATTACTTCTGAATGCACAACCGAGAACGACGCCGAGTGATCCGTCGTAGAGCCTCTGCCCGTGCTCGTAGATACCACTGAAGCAGTTGATAAGGATTTCATGCCAACTGCAAGTTCCACCTTATCAATTTCGTCGTAAAAAGAAGAAGGCAGCTCCTCGAACATGTCATCATCGTAGTCACTTTCTGTTGCTTTCTCTTTGCCCTTTCCTGCTGAAGGTGATGGTGGTTTCGCAGAAGAGGTGCTAGATCGCGCGCGCGCAGGTATGGGTCTCATAGGCCTGTTCCTGCTCTCCCATGTTGTGTTTTCGTCTTCATCGTCACTGTCGATTACAATTGGTCCGCGTACAGCAGGGGATAATGGCAGAGCTTGACGAACGGCATTGATAGAGCTTGAAGCTCGATTTGGAACGGTTTCTTTGAACAAAGCCGACGAAATAACATCATTGTGTGGAAGGGTATTGCCACGATTAGCGGTGGAAGCTGAAGCATTTGGAATACGTCGTCTTCGAGGCTGATCTTCGTCATCGGAGTGAGGGTGTGCACTACCAACGAGAGTGGGAGACGGGGGAGGGGAAATTTCGCGCAAAGGCGATCTGACATTCCCCGTGTTCGGTACTGGTGGTGCTAGGAGAACAGCCTGTACTGCTGGATCTACATCAAGTTCTGGTAGTCTGGGCATGTCGACAATGTAAGAAGTAAGTCAGGCATCCAATAACTTACTCACCCGAGTCTTCGTCTTAATCCATGCGCGAATTCCGCTTCTTGGTTTACCTCTCGATCCGAGACCGAATGCCCTTTGATCGTAATATTCCGCGGTTCAAGAAATATTATTCCCCTGCGTACTTCGGCATTCTGAATCTGCAACTACATACAGTACGGATACCATCACGTAAGAACCGCACTTTCTCATTCACAGGAGTTCTGCCACTCACTTTGTATCCGAGAGGCGTGTGACCGAGGGTAAGTTCATGTATTGGGCGATATTCGGCGGCTCGCAATGTCGTCGCACCGTCGCTCAATTCCAGCCTCAACATTGAACGGGTATAATTTGGGATTGGCCCTTCACCCTCAACTTCACCGTCTGCCTCACCCTCTTGTTCTTCGCCTGCATCTCTTCTTTCTTCCCTGATAAGACGCGTCTTGTGCAAGCTATACGCGCTGACTCCAACATCCGTGATTGCTTCAATTTGCACGAGAATAGGAGGTCCAGTCAGCTTGGAATACGCAGTATTGATGTTTGCGACGTTGTTTGGTATACCGGTGCCATGCAACATAGAGTCGCGTAAGTCGGATTCAAGCAACTGTATTTCGACTTCTTCGATGATCTTTTGCATATCAGTGGCTGGGTTCATATTCTTCTCGGTAACGATCCAGTCGTAACATGCTTGAAGCCACTCCTACAAATAAATGAATCGAGATTCGCCGTGGTAAACGTGACAGTGGGCTCTTACAGGATCAATGTGGGGTTTGGGATAGTGATGCTTCAACCAGTTGGTTATCGCTTCTGGGGGCATCAAGAAGAACGCGAGGGTTGAAAGTAAGAATTGAAGAGAATCTATTGAAACGCGTTTTATTCAATACCTTAGCCTACCGAGAACAAAGCACGGTCACGTTGGTGCTAACGTAACCCACTACATAATTTCGCCTATAGGCAAACTAAATTCCGATGAAAACCTCCACAACCCGATTGCCCTCCAGCCTTCTTGAGCAGATCCAAGAGTCGGATGGTGCGTTGAGCTGTTCTTTCATGTAAAAAGTGCTGAGGGCAGTTTAGGCACCACTCACAGTAATAGACGTCGATCTCAAAAGCCATCTAGAAAGGAATCCCGCAAACAACTGCGAGCTGAGAGAAAACACCGGAAGGCTGAATTCTTCTCCAACCACAATCTGAAACGGCCTGCAGCACCCGCAGCCGACTCCCCTCCCAAAAAGAAGGTCAAATTCAACGTAGACGATCCTCAAAAACCAGCTTCATTGCCTAAAGCTTCTATCAGTAAATTAAAGAACAAGGTTTCCCTTGAATCGAATGGAACAGACGATGCAAAAGCTGCACCGAAAGCCACCGCTCTTGAAAGATTAGGATCCAAGCAAAGCAAGAGTTTGTCGTTGACGACGCCCATACGTACTCAGCAGGAAAAGAAGGAAGATGCTTACATCGCCTATTTGGAAGCCAAACTTGGCTATTCGAAGGGCAAAAAGGCCAAGCGGTTGGATGACGGGCTAGATGGTACGTCGCTGCCAAGTGTTCTTCGTTGTGAAAATGAACCTCATTATTCGACAGATCTTTTCGACTTTGCCGATTCCTTGGAGCATCCTTTCATAGTAAGACTTGCGCATGAAAGAGATTATCTCGTACCGCACTAATGGTAATGATAGAACGGAAAAGATGAGCTACGTTACCACGTAGACGAATCCGAACCCGAAGAGGACTCAGAGGACTCAAGAGAAGATGATGAAGGCATGGAAAATGAAGATCTAGGAGGTGAAGAGGAAGATGAAGATGTTGGTGATTTACAGAAATTGGAACATGGAGCTTCTGATGCAGAGGGAGAAGGTGAGGAGGATGAATGGCATGGAATTGGACAACGAGAATCAACCGACGGGATCTCAGACGAGGACACGAGTGAAGTGCCTGAAGTTTTCGTCCCGTCTTCTGCCCCTAGCGCGTATTTCCTCTCAAGTTATTGGAATAACGCTCACATATCATCCATTAGCTACACGATATGTTCCTCCACATTTGCGTGTAAAAGATGAAAACAAGGGCTCTGAAGAACAAATTAGACTCATCAGGCAGATCAAAGGTTTCTTGAATCGGTTTGTGAATGAATAGTCCTCCTTTTGACATTATTCAACTGTCATTGTTCATAGCATGAGCGAGCAGAATATTTCATCGATACTGGATAGTATAGAGGAAACCTATCGCAATTTTCGACGACATGGCAAGTGTTCACTGGATTTTTTCGCTTTCTCTTATCATCCTCATACATTGGTTTTAGATGTAACATCGACCATCACCACCCTCATCATTGACAGCATAAGCTCTCGTTCAATTCTTTTAGACTCGTATGTTGTGCTTCATGCAGCTTTTGTGTCTAGTTTACACAAGATAGTAGGAGTCGAGTTTGGTCAGTCTTTTCTCATTCGACTGAAACAAATGTTGAGTATTTGCTTTTCCTAGCGGCATACTTTGTACAGAATGTAGTTCTATCTTATGAACAACATATCGCGACTCTTTCTTCTCTTGAAGAAAATGTAGAAGACAAAGGGAAAGAAGCGTCGAACCTCGTCGTTCTATTGTCGGAGCTATACAATTTTCAAGTCATTTCATGTGTCTTGATATTCGATATAATACGGACACTTCTGAAAAACGAAGTTCACGAATTCCAAGTCGAGTTGCTGTTGAAACTTGTTCGAAGTGAGCTGCTTCCCTTTCTCCTGAACAAACGGTATTGACACTAGTGTAGATTCCGGACAACAACTACGGGCGGACGATCCTCTTGCTTTGAAGGATATCATTCAAATCGTCCAAGAAAAAATTGACAAACAGGAAGATGCTCTATCGTATGGGAACTCGTTAAGTCGGCATTTCACAGATACTCATCGCTACTCGCAGATCGCGAACGCGTTTTATGCTTGAAACCCTTCATAATCTAAAAGTAAACAAAGTCAAGCGTCTAGGCACACAAAATCAGGGGGGCGAAGCCGTCGAACGAATGAAGAAGTTCCTTGTTGGTATTAATAAAAAACGGCATGGTCAGAATTATGTTTGTCATTTTTTTTTGCCGTGTTCACTGACTAAAATACACATAGTCCTCGCACATGAACCCTTACGTGTAACACTCGATGATCTTCATTCTGCTGAAACGAAGGGGAAATGGTGGCTGGTCGGCGCTGCTTGGGGCGGAGATCCCTTGGTCGACAGGCAGCAAGGAAATGGTCAAGCCGCTGCTCCAAATCCTACTCAGAATGGAGATAACACCACCAGTAGTGCTCTACTAAAGCTAGCAAAGGAACATGGTATGAATACAGACATCCGGAGAAGCATCTTTGTCGTTTTAATGAGTAGTGATGTGAGTTGTTATGTTTGGTCCAAGGCCTGCAATATTGATGCTCATTGTCGGTCCTCTTCAGGATTACGTCGACGCCTGCGAACGTCTATCTCAGCTAAACCTGACCGAAGTTCAGCAGCGGGAGATAGTCCGCGTCGTGTTGCATTGCTGTGGGAACGTCAGTCAATTTTCGAATATCCTCACTTCATAGTTGGTAGCTAAAACAAGTTGCAGGAGAAAGCTTACAATCCTTACTACGTCTTGGTTTGCCAACATCTCTGCACCATCTCGCATTCATACAAGATTACCTTGCAGTATTGCCTGTGGGATTTCTTCCGAGATCTTGGTGAGACCAACGTCGGAGGTGCGGAGGTGATCAAAGGTTTGCAAGAGGGAGGTGGCGATAATTTTGGAGTTAAATCGATATCATCAACAAGAATTAAGAACATAGCAAAAGCCTATGCTTGGTGGATTGCGAAGGACTCTGTTACGCTTGCTGTTCTGAAGGTTCGCATGAGGTCCGCGCTTTGAGAAGAATCTACTCACCACCCTATTCTCTAGCCAATCGACTTCACGATGTTGAAGTCTCAAACTCAGATGTTCTTGCATCAGCTTTTCATCTATTTGTTTCTCAGCAGTCAATCGAAATCTCCTCTCATAAGCGCCAATACCTCATCGTCTCGGAACAGATCGTCCATCGAGGAAGTGTTCATCAAAGCTAGCCGATTACAAACGTTGGCTATGGGTTTGGTCTTTTTCTTATCCAAAAGACTTTCTCTGGCGGAAAATGATGAGGTTGATCAAGATATCACGAAGTTGGTGAAGTGGGGTACAGAAATTGCGAAAGATACACTACGGAGTAGACTAGATATTGTCCCTGATCTATAGGACGTTTTGTTACCGAGTTATCTTTTGGAATGCCACACTGGAGTACTTTGCGCCGTTTTGCCCGCCGAACGTGAATGTGGGATACTTGATGCTTGAACTGGCATTAATATGAGCTCGATGGAAACACTCCTTGCAGACCGAAAACAAGTTGAACACACTGATAAACGAGACCGCTGTCTTGCGTTGCGAAATTGGTCTTGAGCTCTTCCTCAGTAAAATTACATGCTGCAAAGACAGACTAGATAGTACTTCATAGCAATAGAGTCGAAGAAGACCGGTCTTACAAGTAATCAGAAAAAATCCGCCAGGTTTCAACAATCTCCCTACTCGAGAAGGGTACTGAAAGACGGGTGGTCTACCTAGCTCATCCTTCTCTCCTAGTGCGATTGCATCGTACGTTCCCTTATCTAAGAGGAGATCCCAGGAGTCTATCCGCCGAGAACTTTGATGCTCCTGTGAGATGGAAGGGGGATCTTGCATCAAGAAATCACAGGTGTCGAAAATAATCTCCTGCGCGCCCCGTTGCAGGGCTATACTTTTTGCCAGTTCAACAGCATCTGAGCTGTAATCAATACCACAAAGTCGTTTGGGAGAGTAATGTTCTTCCTCGTGAAGGGTGAAGAGCAGTGTGCCGTTCCCGCTACCTATTTCAAGAATCGTTGGATTGTCGGAGTATGGGACGTGTTCAGCGGTCCACTGAACCATCTTATACATGCTTTCTTCCCCAAACCTGTAATTTTGGCGTTAAACGGTTGAAACTAAAGAAAATGTGACGATGAACCAGATCTCGCCTTCATCGCCAATTTCTCGAAACGAAGCTAGTTCTCTAGCGTAGACTGAGTCCCAGCTAAATGGATCTAGGTCAGTATCAATTTGGTTGAGATACCAGAAAACGCCCACTGCTCCTTCGAGCCCAATTTCGAGGACTCAAACTCTATAGCATTCATGCTCAGTACAGTGACTCAGTACTCGATATCGACCGTTGGGCGTCCGATCCCGTTTGGGGCGCTTATCGCATTGCACAGCCATCTCATTCACAGCGCTCAGCTACATGCTCTCACCGCTCATCATTTCGCGGCTCATAATCACACTTATAATAATATGATCGAAAATCCACTTGTTTGCAGTGGAGATAATTCTCAGCGCTCCTGCCGCTAATAACCCACAAAGGTTGATTGACCACGACCACGAACTAATAGTCCGTTTGGCTGGTTTGTTCCTCAAGGCCTCATCCAGCAGCTCGATATAACAAATATCACATCTTGGCAAAAAGAGTTTTGATTGCTTAGCCAGTGCTACTACCAGTGACCAGGACTATCCATGCTCATCTTCGCCCAATCTAGTATCTTGAACTAACCCCACCGCGGCGGCATACACAAGAATGCTGCGACGCGTATCTCATCCATTCTTCAGCCTAGCGGACCCGATGCGTTCCTGCCTGTTCCTGCGCGTATGATATCATGATCCTTATCGTGGAATCAGACAGTGTCACTCCAGGACCCCTGATTATACCCTATGATCCCATATGAAATTTTTGCCTGATCCTGAGGGATTTTGTCCGAACCAAAAGTAGAATTTTGGGACGGACTTTTGTCCGAATTTCCCTCCAGCCATGGTATAAGCGCCCAAATTTTCCGACGCTGGCAGAGTGCAACTGGTTGTATATTTTGTTCATTGAATTTTCTTGTCCAATTTATGGTAAATTTTAGGGCGTCTTGTCCGAATTTTTCATTCTGGCTGCCGCCCATGGCGGTCTTTTGTCCGAATTTTCCTATGGCTACAGACCAAATTTGGGGGGGTGTCTTGTCCGAACCACTGTCTGGGATCATAGTGTATAATCAGGGGTCCTGTCACTCCGCACATCTGGCTCATAGGGGAGACTAGAACAAACGAAAAAGTGAATGTCATTGATTTGGATCATTTCCAGGGTTCAAGGTACGTCTTGTCATATCACGATATCAGTCTATGTACTGGTGTATACGCAAACACCTTTCACTCGTACCCTATTTTCTAGCGCCGATTTGATCCCATGTACGCCCGGGATGTTCACAAAGTGGAAGCAGCCCCGAAGCAGGCTGAAAAACCTCACGCAAATATACTGGTATGAGTGGAAGGAATTTGGTGAGCTGTCTTCGTTTTTCGGATCCCTGTTCTCAATGTCTCTTTCCTTATTACCTTTGATTTCCATTTCTTGTTGCTCGTTTCTCCATTCCCTCCTTCCTATTCCTTTTCCTCACATACACATGGCTGACCTCAGGTCTCTAGACTACAATACCACGAATGATTTGATGGTGCCCGAGAAATACGTGTTGAATGTGTCATAAAGTACGCAGCCCCTATCATTTTCCTTTTCTCACCGTCTCGACGCCTTTACTTGTACGATACATCATCCCATCACTGTCAAACCCCCATCGATTACTGATCCATCGATTACTGATCCACCTGACCCATCTTCTCCTTCTATTGGCTTCCGCCACCTTCCTTGTTCCTAAACTGTACAGTATTACATCGTTGTTTCTCGCAGACCGGATTATGTATATATAGCCAACCCTCCACAGCCTGGTCCCTTATCTTGACCTCTCTGTCATTATCTGGGACCAGGTATGTGCTTACTTATTATTACCTATGACTACGATACTCAATATATCTCTGTCATTATCTGGGACCAGCCTGCCGCCGTTCTGCTTAGTCGCTCCGCCTTGTTGCCTTGTCCAGTTGCTCCGCCTCACCGTTCTGCTTAGTCGCTCCGCTTTCCCGCTCCGTTAGTCACTCCGCCTCTGCCGCTTCGTGACAGAATGCTCCTTCGTATTCAAGGAGAAAAGAGACGAGGTTGAACGCAACATGTCACACTCGATTCTGCAACACTTTCCCAGTTTATTTGTAAGTCCCATTGGAAAGAAACTCGTTTGTCTTATATGCATCGAAGTATAACATTGGATTGACATACATAAGAATGTAGTTATTGCATCCTATACCCGTCGAGATGCCAGGTCGTGAATGAGATTCGGAGAAGCTGAATCTCTGACGTGCACAGATTCGAATGCATCGTTCACTGGTTCCATGGTAATTGGGCGAATATTCTGTCGCTGTCCACAGGTTTGTCAGTCATGTTTGGATGGAGGGCGATATTGTTGACCTTACCGAAAATGACTGATTACGGCGATCTGTGACGGGAGGATTCATAAGCTGAGAAGCTTTAGATTTTACTAATGGCCATTGCAGATATAATTTGGGGTGCCGTTTACTACAGCCAATGTAAATTTCTTCCCCTGTACGGTCGAACGAATATCGAAGAAAAATGTGATACCACTCTTTCTCTCCATACCTCCAATGGAGGTCAAAATTCCTGATCTTTCTGGCGTATTCACCACCTCTGTGATGGGGTGTGCAAGGATCCCAGTCAATGATTGATGATATCATCCCATTTTTGTCAACGAGGACGTTCCTTGGCACCAGGTCATTGTGAGTAAGGCCTAGGTCGGCAAGTTCACGAACTATGTGATCCATCGTTTGCGTCAATTGCCATGGCATGAAGTTCATCCCCAACTGATCCATCTCGATTGCAAGGGTGGAATGCGGGATTCTCTCCATCAAGATATACGAGCAATTGCCCGATCGTCCGTAGCGCAGTACACGGGGAACCGGAAGCCTAGTGCGGGCTAAGTCCATGTTTGCAACTATGACAGAAACATCTATCAAGTAAGAGAACAGCTTGAGGACCTTGTCCTCGTCGACCCAGTACATGGCCCTAGGATGAAGATCCCTGAAGATTTCGACAGACGAAAATTCTGCTAGATCGTGCGGATCCATATGCAGATCTTCAAGTTCATATCTGTCTTCTCTGAGCTCCCAACCTATTCCGAAATCGTGAGTCGAAAACGGTGGGGCAGAACGGCTGCGAGGTTTGCTTTGCATGATTCGGACCAGATTCGGACTGTAATTATAATAAGTGAAAAATGTCAAGCACGAGATATTTAATCTGTCCACCTCGTGTAAGTAAATCAGCGCTCAGCGCCCAGCTATAGCCTGCTATACATACTTAGCTGCGTTTTGCTTAGTTTACTGATGTTCAAACGTTCATGCCATTGACAGTGACACAGGTTACTGCACAAGTCTCAATGTATGAGCGCGCGATACTATGTAAGGTCAATAAGCATGGTACCCTTTCCGGGTCCCCTTTCCCTCACAGCTTAAGGAACCCCCAGCTAGATATTATACTATAGTATTTCAACGTTATGTTTCGTAGCAGCTGCATCACTTATGCGCATAGAATCGAACGTCGCATACACTGGTTCCGGAGTAATGGGACAAATTTTCTGTCGCTGAAAGTCCAGATAAAAAATGATTCAGTCTGACTTCAAGTTGGTAGTAAGTGACTCACCGAGAATGACTGATTGCGAGGGTCTTTTATGGGAGTCGAAACGAGCTGAGAAGCTTTGGATTTCACTAGCGGCCATTGTAGAAACAGTTGCGCATGCATTCTGCTGCAACCAATCATAATTTCCTCCCCTGTACGGTCGTACGCATATCGCAGAAAGATATGGTACCAGTCCTTTTCTCCAACCTCCATCGCATCAGGGCTGTTACGTCGGGTCTTTCTGGTATATTCGCCACCTGTGTGATGAGGTGTGCAAGAATCCCAGTCAATTATTGAAGATATGTTTCCATTGCTATCGACGAGGACGTTCCTTGGTACCAGGTCATTGTGAGTTAAGCCAAGGTCGGCTAGTTCACGGACTATGTAGTCCATCGTGCGCGCCAATTGCCACGGCATAGATTGGATTTGTCAAGTCCATGCCGCGGGCCTCCATTCAGCCGCTCGGGATTCCGAAGATCCATTCTTATTGTAATCTCTTCCTATTGTTCTTTCTCGCTACACTTATCCTTTCGTTCTAGTCTCTTATTATTGTCTTTACTCTTTCGTCCTAGTCTCTCCTTATTGTCTTTTACTCTACCCTGCAGGTACTACTCGTATAGCTCCTAGTAGTTAGTCTAGCGCTCCGCACCGATGCGCCGTTCCGTAGATATAAATACTGCCTGTACGCTACTGTAGTTCCTCAGTTTAATTATCAACTTAGATCAACTTAGATCTCCCTTCTCAACTTAGCTCTTCTTTAAGTCTTCTGGCTCAACGCCTTGAAGTACGTCCTCCTTGAACCTTAGGACTTTAACGTCCTCTGGTCCGCTCCTCGTCATCGGCGATACCGCCGCTCCGACCTGGCTGCTACTTAGCTCCTCTCTCTCTACTCTCGCTCTCCGGGGACTAACGGCGTAACGGCGGTGTTGTTAATAACTTCACTACTGTCCCACTCGTCTTCCGCACTTAGGCACCTTGTAGCTTTGGCACGGTTACTCGGTGTACATGATCTTAACAGTATAATTAAACTCAATCCGTTAACGTCGTACTGACATATCATTTTTATGCCTCCGAAAACTCGAGCTCAATCTAGAGCTAACTCCGAAGAAAACACTTTCTTCACTACAGCTCAATCATTTGCCCCATTCTCCGACTCTATCTCTGCTATCGGTCAACCACGTCGCCGTAATCGCGGTTTCGGTCCAGCTACAGTCCCAACTACGTCGACTCTTCCTGAAGCTATGGAAGAGGAACAACAATTCGAATACAGCACCTTGTACACTGGTGACGGACAACCTGTCCAAGTCTTGACCCCTCGCCGTGGACAACCCCCCGTGGTCGCCCCGGCTCGGGGCCGGTCTACTACTCGAATTGATTCCCCAATTCTCCAAGCCATAGCCCGCCGTACGGGTAAACAACCCCAACGTCGAGCTACTTCTGAATCTCCTCGTGACCCACCTCCTCATTTCGATTTGGACACCGGTGATCACGATGATCAAGACCCTCCTGTCGACCCCGACGATCCGGGCGCCGACAACAATCATGACGATCTGGATGACGATTCTGGCGGTTTACCGCGTGGTGAGCCTGGTGACCCCAGTGGACCTGGTGGTCCTGGTGGTCCCGGCGGTCCCGGCGGTCCTGGTGGACCTGGTGGACCTCGTTCTCCCATACCTCCTGACATCCCCAACGAGCAACGAGCTATGTTGGAACTCCTCTCGGGGTTCAAGGGTTCCATTGAGACCCTTGGTACCGTTCTCGCCGCTCTCGGCCGTCCCTCTGACAGCTCTGAATCCAAGAGCAAGGTCAAGGAGCCAGAGGTATTCGACGGTTCGGATCCCCGAAAACTCAAGACGTTCTTCGTCAATCTCGCCCTGGTCTTTAATGACCGTCCAAAGTACTTCACCGACCAAAGGAAGGTGAACTACACCCTTTCCTATCTCAGTGGGTCAGCCAAAGAATGGTTTGTCCCTGATATCCTCGACCCGGATCTCGACTCGCTGCCGGCCTGGACGTCCTCCTTCAAAGCCCTTGTAAAGGAGCTTCAGGACAATTTCGGCGTTTACGACGCCCAAGGCGAGGCCGAAGATTCTCTCGGTAATCTGAAGATGAAGGAAACCGAGAACATCCGGAAATACAACATCCGGTTCAACACCCTGGCTGCTAGTACCAACTGGGATTCTGCTGCCCTGAAATGGGCTTATGGACGAGGCTTAGCTGAACGCATTAAGGACGAAATGGCGCGTTTGCCCGAGCCGGCGACGCTCGCCGATTACCGTCAAGAAGTTCTTCGTATTGACAATCGTTATTGGAAACGCGAGGAAACTAGAAAGCGTGAGGCTGGTAAGCCTTTTGTTGCTCGGAACCCGAAGAAGGGTTCCTCGGACTTTAAGACTGGTTCTACTAACCAGCAAAACAACTCTCAGCCTTCTGGCTCTTCGGCGCCGTTCACGCCGAAGCCCAAACCCTTCTCTGGTGGTAAGCCTAACAACAATGGTAAGCCCCAGAATTCTTCGAATTCCGGCCAATCCGGCGGTCAGCGCCCCGCGTTCAACCATCTTGGTGCAGATGGGAAAGTCCTTCCCTCCGAGAAGGAAAGAAGGATGAAGAACAACCTTTGTCTCTTCTGCGGTGGTAAGCATCAGATTGCTGACTGCAATAAGCGAAAGGCCCGAGAATCGAAGGGCCGTGCTGCCGAGGTTGAAGAAACCCCCGAAGCAACCGTTGAGGTTGTTGAAGAGGAATCGGAAAACTAGTCCGCAGCTCTTGTTCCCCGGTACGAAACGGGAGCTGCGTTGATCAGGTTCGTACCTCACCTGGGGAGTTATATCTCAACGCGTCCGCTCTTTCCTCTATTGAACGATCTCTTGTAATATCTTTGACTACTGAATTTCCTTTGTCCGATTCGGCCGCGCCGGCCGAACCCATCTCTGCTCTTCTCAAATTTCCTACTCTTGTTGATTCTGGTTCTACTGACTCTTTCATCGATACTCGTTATGTTTCTCAAAATTCCATTCCTACGACCAAAATCTCTCCTGTTAATCTTCGTCTTTTTGATGGTTCATTATCTTCTAAACCCATTACCGATATGGCGAATATCGCCGTTCGGTTCCCTTCCGGCGAGCTGCTTCTATTACCCTTTTATGTTACACATTTAGATTCATCCTGTAAAGCAGTATTAGGTTACAGTTTCTTATCCCGCTACAATCCGTTGATTGACTGGGCATCTCGAAACATTACGTTCCGTAACACTTCACATTTTGATTCTCCACAGACGTCTGTGCCTTCTGCTATCAACACTGTTGTTGCAAAGGTCGCTGTTCCGCTACCGGAACCTTCGCCGTCGGTTTCACCGACAATTCTGGAGACCCCTCCTGGGGACTCACCTCGCTCTCGCTCTCGCTCCCGCTCTCGGACTTTACGGGCCAAGCCCCTTTTGTCCAAATTCCCCTTTGAACCCATCTATTCTTACCCTACGGTCTCTCAATTCGCTGCTCAACTGGAAACTCCCGAGGTCGACATTGCACTCGTCAGTGCTGCAGTCTTTAACAGGGCTTGCAAGGACGCTGGTATGGAACCCATTCTACTTCGTGCTATCCACTCAGAGGTCGCGGCCCGCGCCGCCGACCGCTCTTCCACCACTCCTACTGTCCCTCCACTCCATCCTTCTATCCCAGAAGAGTACGCGGAGTTTGCAGACGTCTTCGACGAGATTGCTGCAGATTCACTTCCTGAACATAGACCTTACGACCTGAAGATTGACTTGGAAGAAGGCGCTTCGCTGCCTCTCGGCCGTATTTATCCTTTGTCTGAAAAGGAGCTAGTCGCCCTTAAAGACTTTATTGACAAACAGCTGGCTACTGGTGCCATCACCCCATCATCCTCTCCTCACGGTGCTCCGGTCCTTTTTGTCCCGAAGAAAGACGGCAAACTTCGCCTTTGCGTCGATTTCCGTGGACTCAATCGTATCACCAAAAAGGATCGTTACCCACTCCCACTCATATCAGATCTCCTCGACGCTCCGAAAAGAGCTAAAATATACACCAAATTGGATCTCGCTCACGCTTATCATCTCGTCAGAATCGCTGAAGGTGACGAATGGAAGACCACCTTTCGGACCCGCTACGGCTCGTATGAATGGAAGGTTATGCCGTTCGGCCTTACGAACGCTCCTGCGGCTTTCCAGCGGTTTGTTAATGACATCTTCTCTGACATGCTCGATGTTTGTGTCATCGTCTATTTGGACGATATTCTAATCTACTCTGATACGCCAGAAGAACACCAAGAACACGTCAAGGAAGTTCTTCGGCGGTTACGCCATCATCGGCTTTACGCCAATCCCGAGAAGTGCGAATTCAATATGGATACTGTTGAGTATTTGGGTTATATTCTTTCTCCCGACGGATTGACTATGTCCAAGGAGAAAGTTCAAACAGTTCTAGAGTGGCCGGTCCCGAGGAAGGTTAAGGACATTCAGTCCTTCTTGGGTTTTGCAAATTTCTATCGTCGTTTTATTTATAATTATAGCGATATCGTTGTGCCGATGACTCGGCTTACCCGAAAAGGCGCTCCCTGGATCTGGGACAGCAGCTGTCAAGAGGCCTTCGAAAACCTCAAAATCGCTTTTACTTCTGCGCCGATACTGGCCCATTGGGAGCCGAATCGCCCACTTATCGTGGAGACCGACGCTTCCGATTACGCCATTGCGGCTATTCTTTCCATCCAATATGCTGACGGTGAAATTCATCCTCTAGCCTTCCTTTCCAGAACGCTTCATGCGGCGGAACTCAACTACGATACACACGACAAAGAGCTACTGGCCATCTTCGAGGCCTTTAAAGCTTGGCGTCATTATCTGGAAGGTTCGGGTGATCCGGTGGACGTCGTCACCGATCACAAGAATCTTGAGTATTTCTCTACTACCAAGGTTCTCACACGCCGACAGGTCCGATGGTCAGAATTTTTACATCAATTTAATATGGTCATTCGCTTCCGACCGGGGAAACTCGGCGAGAAACCCGATTCGATAACTAGACGCTGGGACGTCTACCCTAAAGAGGGGGATATCGGCTACGCCCAAGTGAACCCTCATAACTTTCGTCCTATCTTTACTAACGAACAACTCACTGCGTCTCTTCGAGCTACCTTCCTGGAAGGCCCAGCCTTACGAGCCTCGATTATCATGGATATCGAAGCCCTACACCAAGCTATCATTCTCGCCCTTCCCGCCGATCCGAGCTCCGTTGCTGGTTTGGAACTTGCTAAAGATCCTTCCAATGAACGTTGGAGCTTAGGTAGTGACAAGCTACTACGCCTTGACGACCGTATTTATGTTCCTAATCACGGCGATCTTCGTCTTCAAGTCCTTCGCTATTTCCATGATCATCCACTCTCCGGCCATTTCGGCCAGAACCGCACTCTCGAAGCTGTACGTCGTCAATACACCTGGCCCAAGGTCAGAGACTTTGTTCGTGACTACGTTACCTCTTGCACTATCTGTGGTCGCAATAAGCCCCGCCGTCACCGGCCTTACGGCTTGTTGAAACCTCTGCCGGTTCCGGTCCGACCATGGGATTCCATCTCCATGGACTTCATTGAGCAACTACCAATGTCGAATGGCTATACAGCTATCCTCGTCGTTGTGGATCGATCGTCCAAACAAGCTATATTTATTCCAACTCACGACACCATTACTTCCGAACAACTAGCTGAGCTTTTTGTTATTCACGTCTTCTCTAAGCATGGTGTTCCTAATCATGTTACTTCCGATCGTGGTTCCGAATTTGTTTCGGCGTTCTTCCGGGCTCTCGGTAAAGCGCTCTCCATGGAACTTCACTATACCTCTGGATACCATCCGGAAGCCGATGGGCAAACTGAGCGTGTCAACCAGACTCTCGAGCAGTACATCAGGATCTATTGCTCCTACCAACAGGATGACTGGTCTCCTCTACTCCCGATCGCCGAGTTCGCCTATAACAACGCTCCCAATGCTTCCACTGGTATTACTCCATTCTTCGCTAACAAAGGATACCACCCAAACATCACCGTTCGGCCCGAGGTCGATATGAAGTCTGACCTAGCCAGAGACTTCGTCGTCAATCTCGATGAACTCCACGTTTTCCTTCGAGAGGAAATCCTTTTAGCCCAATCTCGTTACAAGGAACAAGCTGACAGGAAAAGAATCTCGCACCCAGAGTTCCCGATCGGCTCCGAAGTTTTTGTTCTTGCTAAGCACATTCGTTCTACTCGCCCTACTGAAAAATTCTCAGAAAAATATCTTGGTCCTTTCAAGGTCATCAGTCGACCTGGTACTTTGTCTTACGAGCTCAAGCTCCCAGACTACCTTCGCCGAATTCATCCGGTTTTCCACGTCTCACAGCTGGAGCCGGTTACGCCGAACCCTTTCCCGAATCGTACTCAATCTCCTCCACCTCCAATTGAAGTTGATGGTGAAGAGGAGTACAACGTTGCCGAAATCCTCGACTCCAAGCTGGACAGAAGGTACAAACGTTGTCCTCTACGTTATTACATTCGGTGGGCCGGTTACGAAGGTACTGATGATGAGTTCTCTTGGGTTGCTGCTGATGAATTACATGCTGACGAACTTGTACCGGCGTTCCACGCCCGATACCCTCACAAACCTGGACCTTGATCACCAAAAATCATTTTATTCCATTTCCCTTTTTCGCCGCGCTCCGCCGAAGTCTTCTTCGTGCGTTTAGAGGATAAACACGATGATAGCAAATTGAGTGTTTATCTTTTTCTCTTAATTGCTTACATCCCCTTTCAGTTACTGTTTACACTTACAATAATTATACTAAACTAATTTATTTCTTACGCCGCTTCGCGGCCCATTCGTTTTCCGATTTCAAAAATCGAGTTGACATTTTTGTATATACAAAGTCCAAAAAACCAAAAAGAAACAAAAACTATACGAGGGGGGGCAGGGTTACAAGAAGATTACAACAAGATGGCCGAAGGCCGAAGTCCGATATCCGCTACTCTACTACTACCACCTCCTTTCCCTTCCCCTTCACCGATTGCGCCTCGGTCGGCGCCGTCTCCTCCTCAATTACCTCCTCCTCTCCTTCTCCATCCTTCTCCGTCTCCTTCTCCTCCACTTCTCTATCTTCCTCTTCTTCGCCTTCCTCCTCACTCTCCTCTACGACCCTCCGTCGCTTCAGCGGTCGCCGCCGCTCGGTAGTTCTCCTTGACGGCCCCGCCGTCGCCGGTCCTTCTCCCATGCCCATCATCGTCACCCTAGTGTCCAGTGAGATCAGTCGGGCATGATCATCCTCCTGCCTCCTCAGTAGCTGGCGGAGGTACTGGTGGGACTTTGAGTTGGCTTCTCGCAGAGCCCGATTGTCGGCGAGAACCTGCGCCATCTGACTTTCGAGAACGGCCAGCCGTTCGCCGCTCGGACTTGCGCCTCCCTCCCTCTTGACGGTGTATGGACGACCCGAGTACGAACATCGTACTTTAGAATCGTGGCAGGGCTTACAGATGACGCTACTCCGCTTGCCAGCCTGCTTCAGGCAAGGGATTTTCTTCGCCTTGCACCTTTCGCAAGGTTCTCGGTCTTCTTCATCGTCGTCGTCCTCATCGCCATCATCGCCATCATCGGGGTCTTCACCAACGGGCTGGAGAAAACTACGTTAGTAGAATACTCCACGATAAGGAACAACAAAGACTCACCTGGGCTTTGGCTTTTCCCTTGCTCTTCGTCCTTGGAATCTCCACTACCGGCCTCCTCGGCGATGCGGAGGTCTCCCCAGTAGAAGTTCCTCCTTGACTCCTGGCAGTGGCAGCCGCCGCCAATTTCCTCCTCCGCTCGACGACCCCGTCCTCCTGCTCCTGCGCCCGATTGGCCCTATCCCGAGCATCTTGGGCAGCTTGGCGTCTCGCCACCGCCGCCTGCGCCGCCGCTCGTTTTTTCCTCTCCGCCTCCTCTGCCGCCTTCCTTGCAGCCGCCTCCTCCGCTGCCTTCTTCTTCGCAGCCTCTGCTGCTTTCCGCGCCTTGACTCTTTCGACCCTCGCCAGGGCCTCCCTGATAATCTCGTCTTCGTCCTCGTCGATGGGAGCGCCGGGACTCGGGGGATTGGCGGGGCGGGACGAGGTGCTAGCAGTGGGTTGGTTGGTAGTGGTGGTAGTAGTGCGGGTTGCCGACATGTTGGACTTAGAAAAACTCGAGGAAAAGTTAGGGCCTTAGCGGCAAAACCCTGGGCCTTTTATACGGCAAAACTGCGCACGAACCAGCGAAAATTTTCTTTCGAATTGTACTTGGTGTACGGTGAACCGAACGCCATTTCCCGGTACTAACGGCTTTTGAAAATTTTCCTGCTGACTGATGGACCAAATTCCCGATCCTGACGGCCTTTAAAAATTTTCTTTGGTGACTAACCAACTTCCGGTATTAATGGCTTTCGAGGGCTCAAGCCTAAGAGGGGGATACTGTCAAGTCCATGCCGCGGGCCTCCATTCAGCCGCTCGGGATTCCGAAGATCCATTCTTATTGTAATCTCTTCCTATTGTTCTTTCTCGCTACACTTATCCTTTCGTTCTAGTCTCTTATTATTGTCTTTACTCTTTCGTCCTAGTCTCTCCTTATTGTCTTTTACTCTACCCTGCAGGTACTACTCGTATAGCTCCTAGTAGTTAGTCTAGCGCTCCGCACCGATGCGCCGTTCCGTAGATATAAATACTGCCTGTACGCTACTGTAGTTCCTCAGTTTAATTATCAACTTAGATCAACTTAGATCTCCCTTCTCAACTTAGCTCTTCTTTAAGTCTTCTGGCTCAACGCCTTGAAGTACGTCCTCCTTGAACCTTAGGACTTTAACGTCCTCTGGTCCGCTCCTCGTCATCGGCGATACCGCCGCTCCGACCTGGCTGCTACTTAGCTCCTCTCTCTCTACTCTCGCTCTCCGGGGACTAACGGCGTAACGGCGGTGTTGTTAATAACTTCACTACTGTCCCACTCGTCTTCCGCACTTAGGCACCTTGTAGCTTTGGCACGGTTACTCGGTGTACATGATCTTAACAGGATTCCCCATTGTAACATGTCGACTGCAAGATTGGTATGCGATATCCTCTCCATCAAAATATACGAGCAGTTGCCCGATCGTCCATAGCGCAGCACATGGGGAACCAGAAGCCTGGTGCGGGCTAAATCCATGTTTTCAACTATGATAGAAACATCTATCAAGTAGGAGAACAGCTTGAGGACCTTGTCCGAGTTGACCCAATACATTGACCTAGAATGGTAATCTCTGAAGATTTTAACAGTTGAAAATTCTGCTAGATCGGCGGGATCCATACATAGATCTTCAGTTTCTATGCCATCTTCTCTGAGCTCCCAGCCTAGTCCGAAATCGTGAGCAGAGAACGGCGGGGCAGAACGGCTGCGAGGTTTGTTTCGCATGATGATGGTGGTAGTAGAAGAAGTCTAGTTAGAATAAAGGTAAGGAAAGTGTCCATGTGTATCAACAAAACCTCAACTTACAAGTTCTTACGAACTCGTATCTCCACATCGGGGAATCGGACATTGAAGTTAACTAGGCGAAGTGTTTCAGCTGAATCCACCCTAACCTCAAGGCCTCATGGGCCACCACAATGCTCTAAGTTCGTTGTGAAAAGGTGTCATTTCAAATGAAGTACATACACGTTTACTAAGGTTCAAGTCCAGTATGAGACTAAGACTTGCAAGACTTGCAGAAGTTTAGCTTTAATCTTTTCCAGCATCCTCCCTCGTCCCCTTTCCCTTTCCCTTCGTTGTGATGTGCCCAAGACAGTTACGCTCATGATTCCCAGTGTCACTGGTCCCAAAAGGTTGGCCGCATAGTTGGCACTTTTCAAATCCAAAAGCTGTTGGAACTATGTTTCGCCTGATAGAAGAAGAACCCGCTACACCGGTACGAGGACATGAACCCGAGTGATGTCTTTTGAGGACAGAGTCATAGACATTCTTGTTGGAATATTTCTTGAATTTAGTGAATTGATGACCATTATCCCCAATGTCAGACATGTTGCCGGCCTTTCCACGTCTTTGCAATCCATCCATCTGCGCTTCAGCGGTTTTCTGTCGCTGTGGTGTCGGATACATACCAAAATGTTCTGGCGCAGGAGGGCTATAGTCGTAAGGACGTAGTGGGGCCTCATTCTGAGTATGAACAGAAGATGGCAAAGGTGCACTAGGGGACACATAACGACTTTGAAGCTTTATGAGATCACTGTGGTAATTGGTAAGGCCCATCCTGTGAGGTTGTCCCAGTGCACTGTGTAAATCTAAAATTCATTTTCATTCAAGGAAACGGGTATAGTGAATGTTACAATTTGACTAACTTTGGTATCCCATAGGAGCATGGTTTATGACACGGCCCGGTTCGCCTCGAGTAGGACCTGCACCCACACCCTGAGCAGCAGGAATATAAGGAAAGGCTAGTAGATAAAACCATCGGGATACATCGTAAGTGAGAAGACTATGTTCGACTGACCCACAGTATTTCCAGTCTGTTGAGGGACACCTTGCGTATTACCGCCACTAACAGGAGCGGGATAGCCATAGCCTGTATTGCTTCGTGAATGAATCTGGTGCTGCCTATGGTTAACTCCAGGAGGTGTGTTTGGGGTATGAGTGAGAGATCTGTTGAGGTTATGACCAGGAGATGCGTTGGAATTGTGTTGTCCAGACATGATATACTACAAGAGCAAAGAATCAAGCCATTGATCAACAGTTGGACAGATAGGCTCACCGATGTGAAAAGACAGCGAAAGCAGAAAGAAGAGAGAGAGAGACCTGGAAACGCAGTTGGGTTTTCCCAGTTCGATGAAGTTATTCTTCTAGCTAGGTTTTTATAGAAGAAAGAAGAACGTTGCATACCATTTGCGGAATAGAGGAGTCAAGATATCCTGTTGTAGAAAGCGTGTTAGATAGAATGATTCAAGGTACATCAAAAACAACGAATTGTGGCACTATGTAGTGTGGCACTGTGTAGAGTGACTCATCGGTGGGAGAGGAAGCAGTTCTTCATTGAGCTACTACGGAATGGATGTATATGGGCCTCAAGGACGTACAGCACAGTTAATTCGTTGCTGCCCATGCAAGAGGGGTCAGAGAGCTGCAACAGGCAAGTGTATGACCAAGAGTAAACCTGGGGTAACATACCGGGACCCACAACCGAACCTCCAGGTGATCTCGGGAGTATCAGGATTCAGTTTGAACTTCAAAATGAGGGGCCGTCATCATGATTGAAGGATGTCTTTGGCACGAGGCCGCCGCTGAAGAAAATGGACGAAGCTGCTTTAAGATAGCTAAAATTCACAGACTGAAAGAAGAAAAATCGCCCCATTAGTAGTGACTCTCTTCATGATCATGAGGAGGTTGCAGGCTTCGCACGATGACAAATCAATAGGAAGGTCTTGTCACGTCCACGTACCGATGGTTCTTTGTTCTTCCTCTACATCGTAGCAGGTGTATCGTAACATCGTTCGCAAATAGACTGCTGGGGAAGAAACAAGCCACCAATATGCCCCTGGTGAAACTCAGCTCTCCACGAGGCTTGAATCACGAGCTTTTGTTTATCCGCTTCAGACTCTACAATGATGTCCGGGCCTATCTAGGACCCCGGATAATTGGGGATACAGTCGTTCGGGAGTTCGGACAAATTTTGAGAAATTTTTCGAAAATTCTGTTCGATTTTCGGACATTTCAAGGCCTCTGACGGCGGTAGGTTGCTCACAGGGGTTCGGACATTTTTTCCAGCTTGGGGAGTTATATCTGCAGGTGGGAGTCCGTGGGACTTTTGGAAATTTTTTGAAGCCTCCCCGAAGATCATTTAGGCGAGCGCTAATTTGCTTAAGCGCCGGCGGCTGGTCGACTTTCGGACATTTTTTGACAGAAATTCTTGATTTTGGTTCGGACATTTCAGCCGAAATTCGTCAATTTTGGGAACGACCTTCACTGTGATTATCCGGGGTCCTGCCTATCTCAGAAGCGAATTTCAGCGTCTCGTCCCCAACCGTGGAAGATGTCATTTCAAAATGTATGTGCAAGCTCTAAATCAATTATCAATCCAATATCACCTTCCCAGACTGTTTCCAGTTCAAGTTGCAGAAGACCCGTCGCCCTTCGTCGCCTTGGATGGTTCATCAAGAAGTTCACCTTATATTATTCAAATCTTTAATCGACTCTTCTCTCTTGATAGGTTGGACCAGATCCATGGTTGTTCCACCGAAAGCTACAGCACCAATCGAAGGTTTGGATGTCTGTGGATGTGCAGGAAGTCATTTCGACAGTCCTCGATAATCTTTCACATATCAGTGGCTGGATTTGTATTCTTCTCCGCAATGATAGATTTGTAACATACTTGAAGTCACTTCTCTAGATCAACGACTCGAGATCTGTTGGCGTAAACGTGATAGTGGGCTTTTTCTGGGACATTGATGCCTTAGCAGTTTGGATATCGCTCGCCAATGGTGGCATCGAGAAGAATACGGGGGTTGGAAATAAGAATTAAACGTGTTTCGAATGCCACCGGGGACAAGACAAGTTCACGAAACAAAAGCTGCACCAACATATTGATCCCACCCACTATACGCACGCAGCAGGAAAAGAAAAACTCAAACTCGATATTTCGAACGACAAAAAGGCCAAACGGTTTCATGACGGGCTGGATGGTACGTCGCTGCTAAGTGATCTTCGTCAAAATTCTTAGCCTCATCATTTACACAGATCTTTTCGACTTCGCATTCCTTGAAGCGACCGTTTGTAGTGAGGCTTCTAATTTCGGGAGCTTGTCTAGTACCACACTAACGATGGAATGGTCAGAATAAACTGCGGTATCGCGTGGATAAAGCCGAAGAGGACAGAGGACAAAGCAAAGACGACGAAGACGCACTAGAAGTTGAAGATGAAGATGAAGATCTGAGGGCGGGAACGAAGAATCAACATGGAATTTCCTATGCAAACTCGAAGGAAGAATCTGAGGACGAATGGGATGGAATTTGGCGTCCAGAACCAACGGGCGGTATGTCAGACGAAGACACGAGTCAAGTGCCTGAATTCTGCGTCCCCTCTTCTGCCTCTGGTGCATAGTTGTTTAAACATCGCTGGCGTATCTTAGCTACACGATATGTCTCTACATTTACATGCAGGAAAACAAAGATCTCAAGACTACGAAGAACAAATCAAACTTACCAGTTAAATCATTTGAATCAGGTTCGTACATAGATAAACAGTCCGGTTTTTGCTGACATTGAACCGTCATCATTCGCAAGATGAACGAGCAGAACACTGCATTGATACAGGACAGTATAGAGTCGATTGCACTTTTCAATGACACGGCAAGTTTTTACTTGCTTTTTCGCTCTCTCAATCCTCAAACTTTCGGTTTCAAGGAACAGCCGCCGTTCTATCGTCAGAGCTATACAATTTTCAATTCATCATGAGCACTGCTTAGTTGAAGTAGTTGAAGGATAAAATGGATGTAACCCGCCTCGATTTTGTCAATACTTTTCCTGTCGTGGAATCAGTTTGCTATAAAGGTTCACAAGTTGTACGCTCATACCAAAATTGGTCGAGAGGCTCTTACAATTTACGCCACACTTCACACTGTACTGATGTTTGGGAAAGCTGAATCTCTAATGTGCGTGGGATGAAATGTCGCATCCACTGGTTCGACGGTAATTGGATGAATCTTCTGTCGCTGTCCAAAGGTTTGTTGGTCAAACTTGGAGGAACGCGATGTTGTGGAACTTACCGAAAACGACTGGTTTCGAGGATCTAAACCAGGAGAGGAAACGAGCTGAGAAGCTTTGCGTTTCACTAACGGCCACTGTAGTCCCAGCTTAGAGTGCCATTTGCTGCAACCAATCATAATTTCCTCTCCTGTACGGTCTGGCGCGTATCGCAGAAAGATATGATACCAGTCCTCCTCTGCAATGTCCTTGAAATATGAGAGCTCTCTGATCTTTCTGGCATATTCGCCACCTCGGTGATGTTGAGTAGAAGGATCCCAGTCAATGATGGAGACTATCATTCCGTTGTTATCCACGAGTACGTTCCTTGGCACTAGGTCATTGTGGCTTAAGCCTAGGTTGGCAAGCTCACGGACTATGCGCGCGCGTCAACCCCCATGGCATAGACTTTATCCCTAATCGTTGCATTTCGACCTCGAGGTTGGGATATGGGATCCTCTCCATCAAGATATACGAGCAGTTTCCCGATTGTCCATAGCGTAGTACCCGGGGAACGGGAATTCTGGTGCGTGCTAGGTTCATGTTCGCAACTATGACAGAAACATCGATCAAGTAAGAAAACAACTTGAGCACCTTGTCGTTGTCGACCCAATACATTGACCTAGGATGATAATCTATGAAGATTTCGATAGTTGAAAATTCTGCTAGATCAGCGGAATCCATCTGCAGATCTTCAAGTTCGTATCCGTCTTCTCTGAGCTCCCAGCCTACTCCAAAATCGGGAGTCGAAAATGGTGGGGCAGATCGGCTGCGAGGTTTGTTTCGCATAATGACTGTAAGCAAGTCAAAGATGGCAAGTACGTGATCCCTCAACCCTGTTGTTCACCTCGAGGCTCGAGCCTCGCATAGCTTACCAGCTGTCTTGAATTCATTGATGGATGTCTCGTAGACGGTAGGACCACTGCAGGACATTGAAAGGTTACTATAGGTTACTATACGCACCTCTACGGACAAGATTCAAGTATCGATGTCGCGGTATTAAGTTGCGCGGTGACTAAAATCAATAAGCATGCTCTGCATCACTTCACTATCCCCTTCCCACTATAGTACTACGCTTGAATCTGCTTCGGTCAACAACGAATTATCTGCTATATCTGGCCTCTCTCAACACTTCTTAACGCCACAATCAACGCCACAGTTTACGCCACTGGGGCTTTCGGAGGCTGCATCATGTATAGAGTTGATTACCGCGTCCACTCGTCCCCAGGTAATGGGGAAAATCTTCTGCCGCTGAAAGTTCGAGGAAAATGATTCAGTCCGACTTCACGTAGAGGAAGCGTAGAGAGCTCATGATAGCTGACGCACCGAGAACGACTGGTTGCGAGGATCTATTATAGGAGTCGAAACGAAATTTCCTCCCCAGTACGGTCGTATGCATATCGCAGAAAGATATGATACCAGGCCTCCTCTCCGACATCCATCGCATTATTTCTAATGTTTCGGATCTTTCTGGCATATTCGCCACCTGTGTGACGGGGCGTGCAAGGATCCCAGTCAATGATTGAGGATATGTTTCCATTGTTATCAACGAGGACGTTTCTTGGCACCAGGTCATTGTGAGTCAGGCCTAGGTAGGCTAGTTCACGAACTATGTAGTCGATCGTTCGCGTCAATTGCCATGGCATAGATTTGATTCCCAGTTGAAACATGTCCAGTGCAAGATTGTTATGCGGTATTCTCTCCATCAAGATATACGAGCAGTTGCCCGATCGTCCATAGCGTAACACACGGGGAACCGGAAGCCTGGTGCGTGCTAGGTCCATGCTCGCGACTATGACGGAGACGTCTACCAAGTAGGAAAACAGCTTGAGTACCTTGTCTTCGTCTACCCAGTACATTGACCTAGGATGATAATCAATGAAAATTTCGACAATTGAAAACTCTGCTAAATCGGCGGGATCCATTTGCAGATGTTCAATTTCAAAGCCATCTTCTCTGAGCTCCCAGTCTAGTCCGATGGTGCAAGCAGAGAAAGGCGGGGCAGATCGACTGCGAGGTTTGTTCCGCATGATGATGACAGTAGTAGAAGTCAGTAAGAATCTGAATAATATAAGAAAGTGATTAATGATTACTGTCACAAGAGCAAACATACATAACGCGCCATTGACAAGGGTACAATGTGAGATTCATCCTGGTCACGGGCCTGGAGCGAGAGAGCAATTCGCCTTCTACAAGCCTTCGTGGAACGCGACACCTTGGCTGGACTCTGCTGGACTTCAAGTTCGTCTCCTGATTAGCATCAAACGGACATTGAAGTTTAGTTCAGAGGTCACCAATTACTTACTAGTAGCAACAAAACCTCGATAGATCTTCTTTGGTGTCCTTTCGCTCCCCCTTCCCTTCCCTTCGTAGGTCCAGAGCAGCCACGCACATGTCTTTGTAAGAGTAAGATATGTATTGAACAGTATAGCCTACGACTAGACGCTCGCAGCACGGATCATGGGAAACGGCTCTTTACCTTTCGCCGTTACCAACGATTCCGTCCCAGCCTTCCCTCGGGTGCTCGATTACCCTGCCGCTGCTACTGTCCAACCTGTTCAACAGTCTTGATGATGAAGGACTAGATGGTACGTCGGTGCCAAATATGTATTTTGCCCGATAATCACATAACAACTTATCCGTGCTGATTCCTTGGAGCAGCCCAGGGTCTTGTACCGCACGTCCCTCTTAGAATGGTCAAGATGAAAAGGGTACCACGTGGATGGCGCTGAAATCGAAGAGGACTTGGAGGACAAAAGCAAAGATGATAAAGGCAGTCAGGAATATGAAGATCATGAAGGTGGACATGAAGATGAAGATGTTTCGCAGAATGGAAACGGCCAATTGGAACATGGAGTTTCTGATGTAGAAGGAGAAAGTGTGGAGGATGAATGTCATGTATTTGGACGATCAGAATCAACTGACGGGATCGAGGACGAGAACACGAATCAAGCTGAAGTTTTCATCTCCTCTCCTGCCTCTGGCGGGTATTTTGTCTCTCATGCTGTTCAAGGGAGCAACGATGATGTTTCATTAATTACACACAATATCATATTCATCACTGCAAAAGCCGAAGACAAAGACTTTGCTGACATTGTTCGTAGTACGATACTGGATAAGGTAGAGGAAAGTTATCCCGACCTTAAGTCACCGGACACGGCTTAACAGAAGGAGGTTGTACGCGGAACTAAGGACTGGGGATGAGCGAAGGATTTGACTCTTTTTCTGTCTTTCTCGCTTGTTCCTGTTTCCTCTCTTTTTCGATCAGTCTTTATTATTTACCTAGGGTGTCTTACAAACTTGTTGGCTGTTTCTTTCCGTTCTCCCTTTCATATCCCCTCCCATTTCTGTAATCACGTATGTATCGCTTACCTCAAGTTCCTTTCCAGTTATAACAACACACCTTAAATGGCTCAGGGGCGTCTCGAATGCCCGTGTTGAAGGAAAATAGACCTTTCGACTGTACCCAACCCGACTCGATTCGATTCGTCACTTCGAAGTGCACTTTGTGAAATTTGTTTGTGAGAGCGAGACAAATGTATTGACGTGGAAGATTGGATTGACATACGAACTATATACATATATTGCACGAGCACTCATACCTCGACGCCACAATTCATGCCACAATATTTTGGAAAGCTGAATTTCTAATGTGCGTAGAATTAGAATAAAACGTCGCACCCACTGGTTCGATGGTAATTGGGTGAATCTTTTGTCGCTGTCCAAAAATTTGTTGGTCAAACTTGGAGGAACAGAATGTTGTGGAACATACCGAAAACGACTGGTTTCGAGGATCTGAGCTGGGAGATGAAGCGAGCTGAGAAGCTTTGGATTTCACCAGCGGCCACTGTAATCCCAGCTTAGAATGCCATTTGCTGCAACCGATCATAATTTCCTCTCCTGTACGGTCTGGTGCGTATCGCAGAAAGATATGATACCAGTCCTTCTCTCCCGCGTCCTTGAAATAAGAGAGCCCTCTGATCTTTCTGGCATACTCACCACCTCGGTGATGTTGAGTACGATGATCCCAGTCAATGACTGAGACTATCATTCCGTTATTGTCCACCAGCACATTCCTTGGCACCAGGTCATTGTGGCTTAAGCCTACGTCGGCAAGTTCACGGACTATATAGTCCATCGCGTGCGTCAACCCCCATGGCATAGACTTTATCCCTAATCGTCGCATTTCGGCCGCAAGATTGGGATATGGAATCCTCTCCATCAAGATATACGAGCAGTTTCCCGATTGTCCATAGCGTAGTACCCGGGGAACAGGAATTCTGGTGCGTGCTAGGTCCATATTCGCAACTATGACAGAAACATCGATCAAGTAGGAAAACAGCTTAAGCACCTTGTCGTTGTCGACCCAATACATTGACCTAGGGTGATAATCTCTAAAGATGTCGATAGTTGAAAATTCTGCCAGATCAGCGGAATCCATATGCAGATCTTCAATTTCTATGCCATCTTCTCTGAGCTCCCAGCCCACTCCAAAATCGTGAGTCGAAAATGGTGGGGCAGATCGGCTGCGAGGTTTGTTTCGCATAATGACTGTAACTGGAAGTGAAAGATGGTAAGTACTTGATCTCTTGACCCTGTTGTTCACCTCGAGGCTCGCATAGCCTACTAGCTGTCTTGAACTTATTCCACGAGAAGGCACATTCGTTGATAAACGCCTCGTAGAGCCGCTTTAGGACATCGAAAGGTTGCCATACGCACCTCTATGAAAGATTCAAGTATCGATGGATTAAACTGCGCCGTACATTCCACAGTGACTAAAATTAATAAGTATTCTCTGCTTCACTTCCCTATCCTTTTCCCCTTCCTATCCCAGGAACTCGATGATTCTAGTCTTGTACCTCTTGTAATCATCATACAAGAAGTTCGGAAGTCAGAACAGCTCAGCACAGACATCTTTGTGGGCGCCTTAGAACTGTCACAACGGCAAAAGTCGGTTGCTTAAGCTTGAGACAAAGAATTATCTGGTAACGCAAGAGGTGAGGGAGATTCAGATCGGGGGTACTTATGTTGCCACGCGAAAGGCCCTGACCAAGCCCAAGCCGAGCTGCACGGCATCCTATGACGGTTCGAGAGGCCATAAAACTTGTTCGAAATCTTCGAATACCTGTGTTTGTGTCACTTATTGATGATATCCAGCTACTTAGGTACAGTCTGGAAGGTATATGTGAGCTTGAAGGGCGTATGAGACAGTTCTACAAATAGACCCTGCCTGGACTCTCTATTCATTGGGGGGGGGGGGGGGGGGGTCGTGAGAATCGTGTACCCGATCTGAATCTCCCTCACCTCTTGTGGTAACGCCACAATCAACCCCCACAGTTTACGCCACCCGGACTTCGGGTGTTCACTGGTCCGAAGGTAATGAGGGGTAATAGGTATAAAACCAGTTTTTGTGCAATATTATGCGTCTCCGGCCATTTCCTCAGCTCCGTGCCTGGAATTCCGTCAATGTCTGTGCCTTTCAATTCTGTGCCTTTCAATTCTGTCCACTTAAATAATAAAGGTCTCTATCATTGATCTGCTGAAATTGATAGTATCCGCGCTGCTAATTTGCTACATGTGTTTCGGTCTTGCAACATCCAGTACTGTATGTTTAAATTTAGGTCGTTCTCAGTATTTTAGATGGCTTCATCGGTGTACTGGTTGTGATTTGCCTTCACAAGCTGGCACTCCGCCCTCAAAAAACCAAACTCCTACCTTCGAGGCAGTCTGGGCAAGGGTTCTGATAATTGACCAACTGCTTCCTAATCAGTGGCCGATGCCCTCTAAATTGCTTACCCATAACATGCCTGGACTGACCGATAGCCTCTGAACTGCTGATGCTTTGCTGAAGAGCGGGAAAACTCTTGTTCCAACGTCTGTAATACACATGAGCTACATAGCAGCTAGAATATATGTAGATATCATTCATTGTTAAGCCTTGAATTCAAACAATTACAAGAGTTGACGTATACTATAAATCATCTGGATACATGGTCTTTACAATCGCAAGGGCATCAATCCAAAGCTGTACTACTTCCTGTTCGCGGGGTAGGCGAACGTGGTGTTGAAGTTGCCAATTAAGTGAGATGATTTGTTCGGGAGTAAGAAGGGCCGATGGTGGATTTACAGGCACTTCATTGAGATCTGAAGGAGGTCCTCTACGGCCAAGCCAGGAGCCTGACCCTTCATGAGCATAATTTGTCCGGAGTGTTCGTAATAATGTCTCATCCTGCAAGCCCTCCCAGTCTACTCCAAATACTTCCAGCTCTTCATCGGTCATTGTGAATTGGCCAATTTCATCACCACGGACACCATTGACAAGCGAATCAAATACAAACATGTCCTCTGGGCTGCGCGCTGGACCAAGACGCTGCGAAACCCGGTGATTATTCCAGGATTCGGCCCAGAATGAAAGTTGTTCGTTGATCATAGGGAGAAAAAGATGTTGAAGTAACCATATGTGGTTCAAATTCGAAACCTGAAGTCCATGATGCATCTCCAGAAGAGTAAATAGGTCATGCCAGGTTTGGCTGCAATAGTGGCTAACATCAACCCATAAACGTTCTATGCGAACGTTGTGAACAGATCTGAGGAAACAAGGATCTTAGCATTTTTTGTTTAACGTTGAATATAGATGCATACCTTCCCCAAAGATACGAGCCGCGCCCTTCTCCGCGGGCATGCTCCATAAATGCAGCTACCCATATGTTCTCAACCCCATGATCACCACGAACACGCGAAGGAAGCCGATACTTCTCTGCTGCTGATAAGAAGAGTGATAAAACAGTCTGACCCCGATTATTATTACTTGCTCGTAGCCCCGTTATGAGTTGTGAATATCCGTCAATGAAACCATGAATGATGATACCCCAACGGATAAGGCCTAAGTTACATCAATGACTGGTCTCCTTGAATATCAGGAGAATGAGACAAAAACTTACGATGATGACCATCATGGTGCCACAAGGAGTTTGGTCCTGGAACAGAATATCCTCGACGGCGAATTCGAATACGGTCAAACACCCGATGAACAGGATCAATACATATGAGCGAATGGCGAATGCGCTCGTATGAAATTGCAATATTTAGGCGACGAAGCATTCCATCGAGTATTCTAATGCCTGCTCGGTGGAAATGAATGCATAAACGTCCCAACAAAGAGTCCAGTTGCTCATCTGAAATATTGGTGATATATCCAGTTGAAGATGATGACGGTATCGCAGCTGCTTCTACCTGTACATCATCTGGTAGGTGAGCTGGCTGTGGGACTTCGGCATTGAGTAGCTCATCTTGATCACTTGAACGAACTTCATTACTGTCTCCCATAGAATATCCATTGGCAGGAAATGGATTAGTGCCTGGGGAAGCAATGCCAGATTCTAAAAGACGTCGCCGGAGGGTTGAGCGAGGGACATCAAGAAAGTGACTGAGACCCGATGTAGTACGATGTCGATAGGCAAAGCGAAGGAAATCTGGATGAATCACTGTTCGAGGGCGTCCCGGGCATCCAGTGTGTTCAGTGTATACAACCTCTGGTCTTCCCAGGTGTGATGATTCTACGCGCTGTTCATACAATGCTCGAATATCTAAGATCATGACCTGGAGACTATTTTGTAGAATTTGAGCTTCTTCGTGTTCAAATATTGCTACATGCTTGTGACGATATTGCATTAGAGATGAACAGAAAGAAATTGAGCTTTTACTACCTCATGTGCGAGTTGAGAAAATTGATTCAAGTCTTCTCCAAGGAGCTGCAGCAGAAAGGGATCTGTTGCTTCAGCATGAACTTGACGAACAATTGCTTCAAATTGTGCATAATGAGCTCGAAAGGCATCTAAAAGGTTTATTGAATTTGGAGAAATACTAGGGTTGGTCGCATTTGGAGCAACTGTTAATGTTATGAAAGACAAAAGTCCGAAAATCCAAATGTGAGTTGGGAACAATATCATAGTAGATATCGATGTTTTGAATGAAGGAACAAAGTCACTGGTAGTAGTACGGCATAGTAATTGTCCCGCCTTCCCCGCGATCATCAATAGATCATACTAGGCATCCTTAAAGGTCAAGGAATTATTTTCACTCTACTTTACATGATTCCATGGTATGTGTGTTTTTTGCGAAGATGCAGGGTACATAAGGAAGCAGATTGCTTCTCTCTAAAGGCTAAAACTATAAGATCTAAAGTTCATTTTTAGCTATCAAGCTTCTCCGACTAATTTTAAACAATTGTACATACTTGTTTGGATTGGTGGGTACGAGTTGAATATACAGTGTAGCAGTCCCGCTTATGTTCATTCATTCTCGTTTCCCTTTTCTCCCTCATCATTGTCACAGCAATGAACATCCCCAGACCGTCAGATGAGAACTATGGGTGTCTCGTGCCCCAGGTAGCGCAGCAAGTCAATAATAATAACCACAGCTCTACAACGGTTACTCCTATGAACATCGGCTCAGAGGACATGAACTCTATCGATGTGACTGGTCAAGGTGATATTACTGCTCCGTTATCGAGTGATATACTCTACTGATCATCACCATATCTGGTTCAGGTCATGGTGTTGAAGTGCAAGAGTTTTGGAGTGGACATGGAGCAGAACTCGACTGGCAAACCCTTTTCCTGCTCGGAAACAGTACTGAAAGTCGAGTTGAAGGTTCCGATATCTTGGCCTTTGGACAGGGTAAGGCGTATGGTTATTTGTTCAAAAATAAACTCATTTTGCCCATAGATTATCAGTACCAAGCCCCCGTCTCGCTGTTTGACTTCCCCTTGAGCAGTAAGCAACAGCTTCCTGTTGGTTCAGCAATGATGATGACACGTACATCAAGATGTATCCCCTAGCACATTCGATACTTTATTTGGCCCGCAAGAGTCTTTTTTGAGCAGTATGGGAAATGGCATGAGCGAAGCACTTCATGCTCAGTCTGGTAATTCTGGTGAGCATTTTTAATTTTCTTGTAACGTCAATATTGAAGCACACTGTAAGAACTTTTCTCAAATGCCCCTTCTGGAAATCAGGGTGAGCATCCAGTTGAACGTGATTGCAGCGTACTGATATACACTGGAAAGTTGCCGATTCTGGTGCAGTTTGTCCAAACCTCCATCATGGGCTCAATCTTTTTCATCCTTATCTGAGCGCATCCCGCCAATTAAACTTGTTGAGTATGTCTGCATATTCGGGTGGCTCAAATATCTTTAATGACCATTTTTAAGCTCCAGCGTCAACTTCGCTCAATGATCCTGCTCAAGTGGCGACTTCGATGTCTTTGCCATTGCTGAATGAATACGTAGCTCCATCCTCAGAAGACCGCCATGCTCGGCAAGATACTCCAGCCGCAACAAAAGGTCCCGAGGTTACAACCAGTGCTCACAACTTTGAAGAATTCTGCGAGCTCAACGGCTATATGCGACTAGAAGCAATGTACCATCTTCGACCACCTGGTACCGAGCGAGCTCAGACAGCACGGACTTATTTCCAATGGGCCAGTACGCGGAACTTTGCGAAAGAAAGCGTTGGTTATGTTGGTGGTCTTGACTTACAGCGTTACAAGATCCGCTATAGTGATGGAAATGGGAAGGTTGAGACCCTCGAAACAGTCTTGATACATCGTTTGGGTTGGAACATTGCTACGTTCAAGGCTAGCACCCGAGTTTTTGAGGCTGTTGAGTATCTTGCTCCGAATTTTACCTGGAATCCCGAACACGTTCCAACACTCAGTACAAATACGAAGAATACAACTGGTGAGCTTCGATAACCGTCTAATACTTTTAAAACTTATTGCTTGCGGTTTTGTCCTAGGTCAAATCGTTCTCGATAAACAAAACCCTCATGAAGTTTGGAAGGGAATTCAATATCTTTTCCACGTACCGGGCTACTTCATCAACGGTAAAATGCCATTGAACAGCATCACGAAGTCTGAAAAAGAACAAATTGCAGCACAGATTTCAGTGAAGGATATGCAACGCAAACTGAACTTGATTCGGAGCATGCTTATTCCTCTCAATGATTCTAATTGATTGAGGATTTGTCTACTACTTGATCTACTCCTTCATCTAACTGCTTACTTATTGAACTGCTCTGCTCACTTATCAAACTGCTTTGCTCACTTATCGAACTGCTCTGCCCACTTATTGAACTGCTCTGCTCACTTATTGAACTGCTCTACTCACTTATTGAACTGCTCTACTCACTTATCGAACTGCTCTACTCACTTATCGAACTGCTCTACTCACTTATCGAACTGCTCTACTCACTTATCGAACTGCTCTACTCACTTATCGAACTGCTCTACTCACTTATCGAACTGCTCTACTCACTTATCGAACTGCTCCTCTCATTCATCTCACTCAAATTGTCTATCATTTACTACTCCTCTCATTTGTTTGGTATTTAGTTCATTTGCCAAGTTGCAATACCATAGGTTTCCCCATCTTGCTGCTATACCCTGTATACTTGTTAGCAGCCATTCATCTTCTCAAATGTGCCTTCAATCATATCAGATTTGAAGTTCCCTCCTCCATCAAATAAATGCTGCAAATGGCAAGCAATGTTAAAGATGGGAATCAATTTCATGACAAGGTTTTAACCTTGAAATTCTGATAGCTTTACAGTGTAAACAAATTATATATGTATGAAGATTGTAGAAACAATACAAGACATATTAATGGATGGATGACAGGCTAAATCAACTACAACGGCAACCAAGGAGGAGGAACCGCCACCGTTCCCACCACAGAACCTTCCAGAGGGTATTCCCAGATGAGTGATTGGTGATGTCCATCCTGAGGAGCCCTAGATAGATAATGGTAACGAGGCCATGAAAATTCACTACAAAATGATGCTGGAAGATGGTTGTGAAGATCCCAAAGTAAGATGGCATCATCTAGAGACTTCTTCCAATCGGAAGCGGGTAGGCCATAAGATGCAATGTATGGATGAAAATCATTTACCGCTTTCGAAAGGAAGCTATGGATTGACTATTGACGCAATTAGTTCAATGTGATAGAGTATAAGGTTCAACGTGCATTCAACATATGGTACCACATGGTTTCGACTTCTTGGGGTGCATATTCACGCAGAGTTTGCTGATAGCTTTGAATATTGACCTGTAATGGTTAAATTAACCCAAATATAAATGCAGATATATAGAATACTCGCAGAAAAGAAATTGTGTAACGTCACTTGAGCAACTCGGTTTTTCTTCATGGCATGGGCTTCATATCTATCCATGCCCAAATGTAACTCCAGGTCTTCAATGTCAAAGTCGCCGCTGCTGAACTCTGGTGGGTAAATTACTCGTTTGAGGAGAGCGGTCCGTTTATGCAATGGTTTTTCCCCATAAGTGGCATCTTCTGGCCAGTGAGAAGCCCATATAGCGGAAGCATAGATGAGGAAAGGTTGCTCATGTATGGTTCCCTGGACTGTCAAGAAGGTTGGCACAAAGTGCCAGAGAAACTTTGTGCGTAAAGTCTTGTGCAGTTGACGTGAAAGCTAGGATGGATAACTTATGTAGAGCTTGTCCAAGTAATTAGAAGAACATGCTTACCGCAGGATCTTGTTTTTCATCGTCTATTCCACCATCTGTCCATAACCATGATTCCTCAAATGGTTCTTGGAAGTATGTGAGCGACATGGCCGTGTGGGTGAAAGGTTTGGAGTCACATATGTATTATCAGTCACCCATCTGTTGTCCAGTAATTTCCTTACTGGGTGTGGTCAAAGCAAAACATCGCAAAATATGTGCTACATATATGCACATTGCTCAAGTAAAACAGCACACTGCAACTAGTTCAAACTGGTAATCTATCAAGAGCTATGAGCTAATTACATATGTTATTGCAAACCAAGCTCATCCAATGTAGAAAATAAACTGAGACCCATTTCCCAACGGTGTTTTTTGCGTAACTTCTCTTCTCGAGCCTCTGCAGCAGATAGGGAAGCCTTGTAGGCCTCTTCTGACTGAAACCCATGATCCACCCAGCGAAAATTACCTCCCGACGTATACTGTGTGAAGGAATATCGAGTTTCACTTTTCCGAATACGAGTATTTCCGTGCCTACAAACACCTGAAGGTATTGCAGCCAGAGAACCCGGTGGAAACTCGACAACTATCTCCAAGTCCCATAAAATGAGATGTCCACCCTTCTTCCAGCTGTATGAACCAAGTGACCATATCCAGCACCACAAAAAAGGCAGGTTGCCGAAGTCAATGTGGGGCAAACACACTGTGCACGGACCGAAGTTGAAAGCAGCGGATGCAAGTACGCTGTTGTCAAAAAGTTGAACGAGGGAGCTATCACTTGAAAGGAGGCGGTCAAATTGCGAACTGCAGTAGGCATAGAGTTTCGGCGCCCATGTTTTGAACACTCCTTATAAAAATGAGTGGTAGGTATATGATTTCATCAGTAGAGGGACGTACCAGTGGCATAACCAGAGAGCCGCTGGAAAGGGCCTGACGTGACAAGCTTATTGAGAACATTCTTGTTTGCTTCTTTATGGACAATATTGGCCGGTTTCTAAACGGGCATGTGAACAAGGAAACACTTCGAGACTAAGTAACATACCACCCGCCCTCCCCCATGAGCCACGCCTGCGTTGAGGGCCGCAAAGTCACTGCGCCGGCCATTAACATGCTTGCTCGTGAAAGATGCCTTCTTACCTTCCTCTTGAATGAGCTCCGCAGCTTCCGCTGCGCATTTCAGGATCCCAGCATCATCCGGATACACAACAAGAGCAATAACATGACGCTCTGCGTCGGCAATAGGAACAGTGGTGCTGATACAACGTAAGTATTCAGGTCCGGTTACAACTGACTTAGAAAGCTCACCCAGGAACTGCTTTTATTAAGCTGAATTTATGCAATGAACTGGGACCCACTAGCTCCTTCAACGACCATGTACGCCTCTCACCCTCCTCCCCATCATCATGGAGACCAACATATGAGGTTGAGGCAACAGGCGCATCACTTGCCAAAGAAAAGGATGCTCGGACAGCTGTAGCGTCGGGAACGAATCGAGAAACAGGTGTCGGGTGGGCACCAATCTCGTCTGCAGTCTTAATAGGATGTTCCTGCCGCTGCTTCTTCCGATTACGATGTCCGTGAGCTTTCGACCGCCTCGCCTTTCATTTTGCACTGTTTGATTGACTTGGGGCGCTGCTGGCTGGCAGCGAAGAGTGCGACTGCAACGTCGATGGGAAGGGCGGCTCCGGCAGCGTAGATCCAAGGATCTCTGGAGATGAGGGTACAGATGACAGCGGCGATGAGGGTGCGGGGGAGGGTGCAGGGGAGGGAGGCGTCGTTGGAAGGGAGGGGAACGAGAGAGGTATTTCTAAATGAGAGGTTGGGGCTGTGTCAGCTGCGTCATCGAGGTGGTCGAGGGTGCCCTCGAAGCTCACTGCATGGAAGAGGGCAGTGGAGAAGCTGAAATTCTTCTGGAAGATGTACGAGGATGCTCCCAAGGACTTGACAGCACCTATAAAACTCGGCCTAAGGTTAGCTGGTGCGTTGGAAAGGAAGATTGTAGGGGGGAGGGCACTGTTCAATGCTCAGAGGTCCCTTGCAAAGCCCATTTCTCGTGTTCCCAGGGCATAAGTACTCAAGAGGGGCTTTGAGGTACCTCTAAGAGCCGAAAGTGCACAGCATTGAGGAGCATGAAAGACGCGTCAACAAACGCGATTTCGAGACTCCAGCCCCGAGTTCCTGAGGCCGAGTACTCAGAAGGGCCGGAGGCAAGTGCGTCGCGTTCGCATCCACGTATGTTTATCAAACAATAAGGCATAAAAACTGACCATTTTGTAGCTTTAATTTGATCCTCATGAGGCCCGGGAGTAAGCTTTGTACACCTCAGTTTGCTGCGCAAAGAGCCGAGCGGTTGTTGAGGAATGGAGTCAGTGTCAAAAGGTGATGTATGTAGATGGTGGAGGCGGGGCAAGAAGTACGAAGTCACGTTGAAATAGATCAACAACTTCAAGAGACGCAGGTCTCGTGTCACGTGATAAGCGCTAAATTAACTTGCAAAGCTGAGCGCCTAAGAACTAACTGACCTTGTTGGACCTGCATTCTACTCCTCCCTTGTAATCGCTGAAGCCCTTTGTCCTTCCAACCAGTCGCAGGTGCTAGAGGTCGGCGCCGAAGATCAGACACGTGTAGGCCTGGCTATTTCATACGCGACAATGGTTACCCCGTACGGATGGTTCCAGTTCACTCACCATGCTGAAGCCGAAACGGCTGAATGGGCTTTGGAAGGAGAACCTGCGCTCACTATTCTCTTTGGGGCTACTTCAGTCAGGAAGGTGCGTCTGTGCGACTCTTGTTTTCCGTTTCTACCCTGTACTTTCGGACGGTGAACACGAGCTTCAGGGGGACTACGTCTTTACTGGTAACACAATAAGAGAGTATACATGCTTCAAAAACGGCGCGTCAATGATTACCGAAAAGCTCATCGACTTTGGTATCATGGCGGAAAGCGAACCGCGACGTGAAGCTCCGGCAAAGGCTGACTACATATCGGAGCACACAAGTGCATTGGAGGAGAGCATATTCCGTCTGAACGAGATGTTGATGAATGTCAAGAGGACTCAGAAATGGTGCGTTCGGATCTATTCTCCCTTGGCACATATTTTAATACATCTTTCGTACATTTTCCATACCCGCAATAACCGAGGCTTCTCGATCGTTTGGTCCACCCAAAAGTACGCTTTCATTTGGCATAATCATCTCCATCTTTCTATGTTTTCTGAATCAGCACAGAATCCCCACTCACATCTGCAGCTCGCGGAGCGTGCTTCACTGATGCAGATCTCCCTTTAGTTTCGAGTATTGGCTACAATCGACGGGACCAAATCCAATATTCTCTCCAAGGACAATATCGAACTCAATTATCTGAGCTTCCCCACACTCAAGGTTTGCCCTACGGATCCGAATACGGTAAGCATTCATCGTGGCCTTTGACTGCCAGCTCACTTTTCTAGTCGTTTGTTTGTTCCGGTATGCTATCCGTGCAGTAGTGGGCCCATCAGACCCGCCAGCGAACCGTGAGTTTTTGCTTAGATGTTTCTCGATCTAGATGAAGTTGAGATGTTACTCAGAAGTTTCCTCTGACATAGTACGACTCTGACGGCTGACTCGAAGGAACGGAATCCATCCAAACGATTTCTTGCGATCAATCCACTCAAGTATGTTCAGTCAGCGTACCAGCTCCCGGCGCTGCCTTGGTCTTCCTCACAAACGAGTTGTCCGAGATGGAGGGTGCTCCTTTGACAATGTTTGCAACAACAACTGCGACGAATGCAGGAAACACGGCTACTGTTGATGCTTCAGTTTTGGCGACATCTAATGGGAATAATGGGAAATCACCGCTGGGTAGTTCAAGTAAAGGGAGCACGAATGGCAGTGTCGTATTTAGAGAATCTGTAGCGGGTTTACTTCTTAGAGCGGGATCAATCTTGAGAGTGGTGTTTGTATTATAATCTTTGCTTTGTCGTGAACTGCTCACAACTACCTTCAGTTATATGTATATATACCTAGTATTGTAACTTAATCTGTATTTCGATAGGACTATGAATCTGGACTTTTGCAAAGCAGGAGTGCAATAATAATCAGAACAGATACTGAATACAACAATACTGAGATAACAATACATTAACATTAATGATAGCATAGATCAATGTTCTCCGTCTGAACTAGCTTGAGCGAAAGAGATTAGTTTGGCATCAGGACCATCTTCCTGCATTGCTCAAGGAGGGGCAATTGGTTCCGCCTCGAATAAGGCATATGATATCCAGACCTTGACGTGTCAACTAAAAGAAATACGTCGCTCATATAATGATTGAGCTGTTTCTTGCTTCCCTTCTTCAATCTCGAGATCAATGTATGCCTTCCAAAGGAGTTCTGGCATGGAGAGAGGTGACTGTGAAATTCCAAGCTCGACGATGGCTCAAGTACGGGCAAAGTCTTCCACTTGTGATTCAATTTTGGCGCATCTGATCCATGCAGAAGAGTTGGCGGGGTCAAACTGAATGAATGTGAGTATTGGGAAAACCAAAGCACCTGCTAGAAACAAACATCTAAGCACTTCTCACAGAGCTTCCTAACGCAGTCAAACTCCCAAAGCTAAGAAGAAAGGTCAACGATTTTTCCAACTATTGATAGAGACACGCACATTGGTCTCGAGTTCGATATAGCCTTTGAACAACTTCTCTTTAGGGCATATGCCACGCCCATTATCTTCTGAGCTGCGGGAAGATCCAGTCTTCTTATCATGAACTTGGCGAACATAATCCAGAGCTTGGCAAAGGTAAATATTTTATAAGGGACGAGACTTATTGCGGTTTGCTAGATTTGGCGAGTATGAGAATCTTGACAGGTAATTGTTGGTCGTAGAGTTGAAACGAGATCAGCACGGGCATACCTTAGTCTCATTTGGGACACACGGCAACCCACCTCTTGCATATAGTGCTTGCCCATAATGCTCTTCCATCTTGATAAACGCCTGCTACGCCTTGCCATCAGGCTCCCATTTCATCCAATGCTCAAACACCTGCCACGCACCAGCTACATTCTGCGGCGGTTCTTCAAGATAGACGTATTTGCATCATAGCCGGTTGACTCGAGGAAGCAGTGTTACAAGGGGAAGGTCAGGATGGGAAGAAGATTCTTAGAAGGAGACCCAAAGTTTGCTGTAGTCGAGGGGGCAGTTGCGTTTGAGCCATTCATGTGGAATGCACCGTGTAAGTTCAGGCCAATGAAAAAGCAAACTGTAGCGCAATTGTATAGCAGCGGTTATGTACAAAAACATCCATAGTTTTATAGAAATAACAAAAACTGAGTACAAGGCTCGATCCTGTAATGAAAATGTGTCAGGCAGGGCAATGAGTGGCCAAAAGAGAATAAGAGGGAATCACCTCAGTGCACCTCGATTGCCTCCTGACTAGCTATAATTTCATTGCATGTCAACGGCTCGCCACATTTGATTGTGATTGAGAGAATTCCATTCGAAAGGACCACATTGATATCCTGCAGTGCGTAAATAATTTTAACAAAAATGTTCTACAAAGCACAGAACCGGTATACCTCAGTTCCAGTAGGGATAGCTAGAAGACGATAAAACTCCCCATGAGCCCTCTCCATCGTCTGTTGCACTGGCATGGCTGTTTCATTGTCGGGAGTAGCAATAGGCATATTTGATTCTCTCGTAGTAGAAAATGCCCCCACAAGGTGAGCGGGCCAATGCGGAGCAAGTGACACACCCCAGACAGCAATGTTCCGCTGCTTCATTATGGCAGAATAGCCAGTGGTGACCTTGACATTTTGGCGTCGTACACCTGGTATTTCCACATCGTAATGAAGAATATGGTTCTGGCAGTCATAGTAGGAGTCAACCCGTGGTGTGTAGGCTGCCAATGAAAGTGGGCGGACGAAACGCAGCATAGAATCAAAGTAGCCTCGGTGTTCCATTTGTTTGTAGGGGGAGTGGCTTTCAACATCAACCAAGAGAAGGTTAAATAGGAAAGATTGCTACAATATACACGTGCACATATATCATCCAAAGGTAAAGAAGCTGTAAGGCGACGGTCATGGTCAAGATGGCATAGTTGAATCAGATTAAATTGACAGGCAATAGCTAGTGTAATAAGATTTGAGAAAGACATGAGCTCAACAGATATCAAATGAAGTTCAAAGGGAAACATAATTGTTAAACAGAGAAAATCCCAGGTGAAATTCAAAGCATATTGTACGTCCCAATGGAATCCAACATCTGCATGAAGAGCCAATGGTGAATTGCAATCTGAGCATCTTTGAGTTCCGTATTAGGGTCTTAAGTATCTTTCAACAGCTTGATCAGATACGAAGCAGGAATCCTCATCGACCTTGTACATGTCCGGAAGGAACAAGATCCCGATGAGAAATAGGCTTCGCGTAAGCCAGGACTGTTTAGGTCTTGAGGAAGATATAAAGAGTCGTCATCTTCCACAAGGATAATCTTGACAGAGGTGTAAGTATGGATTCGTGATTATAACAGAATACTCACTTGCATTGGGTTGCCGTCACGCAATACCCTAGTAGCACCCGTTGCTGCCCAACACATTAAGCGCATGCGGAATGTAGGAGACTGCAGTCCAGTCAAGCTGGCCTTAACCTCGGGGCTGAGCCTATCCATGATGCCAGAAAATAGTTCGGGGCACGGTGCTCCAATGCCCATAAGAAAATCCTTCACAATATCTTGAAAGATCCTCCCCGCAAAGTTAGGGCCAGCATTGCTAAACGCATTGGCCAGCTCGTCCAGCAATTGATTTTCAATACTAACAATAATACGGATATTGAGAGAATCAAAACCACGTATTGTGGATATTTCTGCAGTTCGGACAAATTCTTCAGCACCTCCAAAGAAGCTGCGCACAATCTGAACAGAAGCATTGAGTTTTTAATGTTTGAATGAACAGTCTATACTCACATCGACTAAATCAACACCGGTAGAGCAAGGAAGCAAGAAACCTTTGATAAAAGCAGTAAAATATGCATTTTCAACGTCTATGGGACCAACTACTGTGTTGTGCAACATTTCCCATGCAAGCTTCCGGTGACCAGCTTCGGACCGTCCATTTAAGACTCCAGGCTAATCATGGAAGTTAGTCAAATGCAAGTAAAAGTCATAAGCATCGCACCTGGAAGTTGTGATATGAGGCAAAGTGAGAGGTAAAGTCCGCAATGCTATCCATAGGTCCAATGTTTAGCCAATGGTCCAGTGTCTCACTGAGAGAAGGCAAATATGAGGAGACCAGATCTCGATGAAGACAGGATGTGTTGCAATCGTTGAGTAGGTAGATAAGGAGAAGAGGATTTAAGTGACCAGGGTAATGACCATAAACAAGAGCCAACGATGTTACTGCCCCAAATAAAACCAGCTCTTCATGCTTGTTGGATGATATCTGTACATCAGCAGCTTGAAGTGTTGTGTATCCCTCATAAAGTGGAGTACAGAATTCACTCTCGCGTTCCTCGAAAAATTGGCGGAAGACTTCAGCAATTGCTGACTGTTCGAGACCGGGGCCTGAAGAGATGTAATCATCCTGGTCATTTACACTACCATGGCAAATTTAGTGATCATCCCAAGAATATTTCTGAAAAATTGAGCTTACCAGACAAATCGACGGGTCGGAGATAAAACTTTGCTCCAATCTCCACTCTGTACTGAATTCTTCATTTGTGCAATAAACTTTGCTGCAAGTTCTTGTTCATCAGTACCCTTTACTTGGAATCCGGGACAGTTTGACCCTTGACGTTGAACCTCAGACACAATTTTGAAAATGGTTGGAGTACGTTCATCATCAAAAAATATGGGAATAAAACTGAGGGGAGCAGGTTGAGTCCAGGGCTCCTCCCATAGCTTCTTAGGTAATACCGGGTCTACTATCGAGGATGTTGAGACCTAATTAATACTGTTAGAAAAGGATGAAAGGGATAAAGGCCTGACATACTAGCGTAGAAGGAGATTGAGACATGTTACTATTTTGCTCTAGTCCCGATGATGGTTGGGGCTCCTCGTCATCTGTTTCTAATGATGTTAAAGATTGAGCTACAACCCTTGAGTCCTGAGTATAAAAATCAGCAAATAGACTTTACTTGAAATTAGAACACTTGCTTCTTCATCATCGTCATCGTCATCTGGCTCACACGACCCCTCAATTTCCTCCTCATCCAAAGCATTGACATTGAGGTTGGCATCAGAGTCATTGTGGAACATACTGTATAGGCGTTTTGACAAACATCGATGAGGACGGATGGTATTATCAGACCCCAGATATACTTGAGCAAGGCTCACATTGGCCTCAAGTGGGTGACTTCGAATAACTGTCATGTTGAAATCAGACCATCAATCGAAGTTCAAGAGGTTAGATCTCACTCACTAGCATGAAGAGTGAAATGATTGTCTCAAGTAATAACCAGCTTCGGAATTACATATGTACCAAAGTTGCTAGTCAGAATATCTTGAATGGTTGTATATCTCTCATAGGGCATTGGCCTGAGTTTCGAAGTATTGTATGATCCATTAGCCCGACCATGATTGCTAAAACCCAGGAGTTGAAGAGGTAGAAGCTCTTGCGGAGCAAGTGGTAATGACGAGGAAACTGATGGGAGATTATATTGTTGCCTTAGCTTGACTGTGATATCAGAGAATAAATCGAAGATGGTAGTAGAAGTTGGAAGATTCGGGTACTGGTGGAATAGGCCCAATGCATTGAGCACCATACGGTATGCTTCCTTGTTGATTTCATAGAAGATAAGTTGCCTTGGAAGATGGTAGAACTGGCAAATGACGAGGTTTCAGTAGAAAGTATATCAAGAGGGGAGAAATGCATACATTGATTTCTCCTGTTGGAGGCAGCGGTAGATAAACTAGAACATCAATGCTTATAACCTCTACTCCTCCGGAAGCTACGTTAATGCAGTCATCAATACTTGGGACTCGTTCTCTACGACCAAGCCCAGGAGGCCGGATGGCCTTTCCGCGCCTTTTCTCTTTTTTAGGATTCTGTGGAAGGGACTGGCTGGCGTGGTCAAGACGTGTATGATTGGTGCGCTGAATAACTGTCAACCCTGGAAAGCCTGAAGCCGTAGTGACACGAGAATGTCCCTGGGAACCAACAACCCGACCGTACCCATCAGTTGCACCAGGTGCTTGCATGCTAGTATATGGCCTGCACACAGAAGGGGCGGGAGGAGGTAAAGTTGATAGCGTCTGACCACATTCAGGTTCAACAATAGAGAGAGGTCGTGCCTCAATGTTCGAAGTCTGGTGTTGACTTAGAGAGGAAAGCGGCGGTGCAGAAAGAGCTTGGCGCGAACCTAAGGAAGGTGTCTGAAGTATGGGCCACTGTGTTAGGTATGGAGCAGTCGAAGAAGTGCATAGTGACTGATGTTGATTAGAAGGTGGAGGGGGTGGAATAGGTCTCGGCACCGATTGCGAAGACGGGAACTGTGCTTGATTCTGAATCAGTGCTTGGGACTGCCGCATGGGATCAAATGAAGGGGACGTGTAGGTGGCTTGTGGTGCTGGAAGAGAAGCACTAGGAGGTAAGGAAGAATGTGCGTTCTGTGATGAAGTAGTAGGTGCCTGCGACGAGGGTTGAACAGAGGGAAATGCTGGATATGGCCCAGCTTGATTGGGTAAATTCTGTGTTAATGCTTGCGAACGCAAAAAGGACTGCATATAGTGTCAGATGATAGAAGGGGAAAATATAAGGCAGATCTACCTGAAAAAGTGTCGGAGGATGTGGATTCTGACCCGCCAACTCAAGCCCTTGAGCATTTGGTGTGGCCATGAAAGACTGTAGTAGGCGGTAGAGTTGGTCATTGTTCATATTACCGTCGCCGCCATTACCAGTATTGCCATCCATTGCTTGTGATTGAAGGACGCTGGGAGTTATGGGCAAAAAAAATGAGATTCATTTACTATATATGATTATTGGGTATAACATCGATGGGAATAATCCTGTAAGGCATATCCAATCTGGTTCCAAGTTAATAGCTGATAGTGAGAATGTAGTTAGCAACACGTTGGGAAGGAATTGCTAACGTCGAGAGAGACCATCGGTAATGTATCAAGAACTAGTTGATCATCTAAATAGAGAGGTAAAGTGAAGATCAGAAGGACGAAATTCCAACAGTTGAAGCACAGAAGGGAATCTTTGAAGACGTCAACAAAGATGCAGAGACTAGATGTAAAGATCTCGGAGAATCGACAACTACCAGTTTGAAATAGAGCAAATGATTAGTTGAATCTGAAGTACAAGGCACTATGCGGATCAATAAAGAGTATGGAATATTGAACGAAATCTGCTGTCATAAATAGGGCGAATCTTATGTCGCTGAAAGGAAAAAATGATTAATCCGACTTCATGTATAGAGAGAACATAGATAGCTGATGATAGCTGACGCACCGAGAACGACTGGTTGCGTAGAACCTTGTCCTTGTCGACCCAGTACGTTGACCTCGGATGGACGATGATCACTGAAGATTTCCATGATTGAAAATTCTGCTAAATCGGCGGTATCCATTTTCAGATCATTGATTTCATAGCCGTCTCCTCTGAGTTGCCAGAGTTTGCTAGCCCCACCCCCAATTCCTGAGTGCAAAAAGGCGGAGTAGATCTACTGCAAAAATTTCGTTCGCATGTAGTAGTTAGAAGCAAAAAGTGAGAGGTGTCAAGTACGTCATCCATTAATCTGTTTACCTCGTAGCCAACGCCCAACGCTAAGTAAGACTGCATTGTGCTTGGTTCACGGGAAAAATACGCTTTCATGGATATATCGATAAATACCGATGTTCAAACGTTCACTCCCGCCGTTGAAAGATTATTGTACAAGCATCAATGTTATAGGTGCACTGTACATTGCACTCATGAGCACTAAGGTCAATAACCATGGTATCCTTTCCCCATTCCCTTATCCTAGCAACTCAACGAGCTCCCAGCTTGATGCCATGGTTCACGGCCCATTACATTTCGTAGCAGCCGGATCACTTATGCGCATAGAGTTGAACGTCGCATACACTGGTTCCGGAGTAATGGGACAAATCTTCTGTCGCTGAAGGTAGAAAATAATTCAGTTCGACTTCAGAATGAGAGCTGGTAGTGGGTGACTGACCGAGAATGACTGATTGCGAGGATCTATTATGGGAGTCGAAACAAGCTGGTATGCCTTGGATTTGACCAAAGGCCATTGTAGAAACAGCCGAGGAAGTCTCTTGCTACAGCCAATCATTATCTCCTCCCCTGTACGATCATATGCATATCGCAAGAAGATATGATACCAATTCTCCTCTCCCACATCCATTCCATTAGGGTTAATGCCTCTGATCTTTCTGGAATATTCCCCACCTCGGTGATGTTGAGTGCAAGAATCCCAGTCAATGATTGAGGATATCATTCCATTGTGATCCACAAGAACATTCCTCGGTGCGAGATCATTGTGGCTTAGGCCTAAGTCTGCAAGTTGACGAACTATGTAGTCCATTGTGCACGTCAACTCCCATGGCATAGACTTAATTCCCAATTGTCGCATTTCGAAGGCAAGGTTGGGATGCGGAATCCTCTCCATCAAGATATATGAGCAGTTGCCCGATCGACCGTAGCGCAGCACGTGTGGAACCGGAAGCCTGGTGCGGGCTAGGTCCATGTTCGCAACTATGACGGAGACATCAACCAAATAAGAGAATAGCTTGAGAACCTTGTCTTTGTCGACCCAGTACATTGACCTAGGATGATAATCTCTGAAGATTTCGACAGTTGAAAACTCTGCTAGATCGGCGGGATCCATTTGCAGATGTTCGACTTCAAGACCATCTGTTCTGAGTTGCCAGCCTTGCCCCAAGTCTTGAGTGCAAAAAGGCGGGGCAGATCTGCTTCGGGCTGGCATGGACTTGGAGTAAAAAACTAGAAAAAACTTCAAGAGTCGGTCTGTGGCGCGTGTTTACATAGCAGATTACATAAATCCACAAAACCTCAGGCCTCAGGTCTTCCCCATTACCTCATCTGTGTCGCGAATCACTCCCACCGGCTGTTCCCTTGTGGGACCCCATCATCGACGGAGCCGCGTGTCTATCTATCTATCTCAGACAGCATAAGGAGTTGTAGTTTTTGTTATAACAACCATCACTTTCAATAAAATTTCGAGGATTCAGATATGCACGACAAGTTGAGATACGTAAAGTTACAGCCTAATCCATCAAGGTGAATAGGTGTACAAAGATTATTACTAGACACGACGACTCTGTCACTTCCTGGTGTTGCCGCTTTTCCCTTTCCCCTTTGGGCCCTTTCCCTTGTCCTTACCAGCCGTGTCATTATCATTACCCTCCTTTCTGGCACTTTGAGCATTCCCAGGACAACCAGAATCATGTGCATCTCTGTCACTGACAACATAGGCCTGGCCACATACAGAGCATTTTGTAAATCCATCGGCTGTTGGAGTTATATTTCGTCCACTAGAGGGGCCTGCTGCATTTGAATGATGACTCCCAAGACTTAGATGGCCGACAACGTATTTGTTCTCATCGGTAGATTTCTTAGATTCATCGGATACATGGTCACCACTCCCACTCCCATTGCTAGAGGTATTGTCCAGCTGACCATGTCTTCGCAATCCCCCTCCATGAATAGGCACCGGGACTCCAGGAACCACCGGCACTTGAGCGGTTCGCCCTCGTTGTGGTTGCGGATGCAAATTAAAAACTTCGGGCGAAGGAGGGCTATAGCCATGGGAATGCAAGGGGCCTTCATTCCGAGCGTAATTATAAGATGGAGGAACTGCACCAGCAGGAAGCTGACCGAGGGTAGCTGGAAGCCCTTCGAGAACTGAGTTACTTTGAAAATTAGCATGACGATGGTGTCCAAATCCGCTGGGGAAACCTGATTGTTCAAATTCATGATGAGATTGGCATGGTGAAAGCAACAAGGAACATAAAATTCAACTGACCTTGAAATCTTGAAGAGGTCTCGTGAGCTCGGTCAAATGCAGGGCCTTGCCAACCTGTAGCACCTTGGGTAGGACCGGCACCCGCACCTTGAGCGGCAGGAACATGAGGGAAGGCTAGGAGACAATACCATTGAGATACATTATAATGCAGGTATACCTTAGACATTCAACTGACCTGCAGTGTTCCCTGTTTGTTGATAGGCCCTCTGGACATTACCACCACCAGGAGGTGCGGGATAACCATGGGGCACATAGCCTGTATAGTTACCAGTATTTCCTGGATAATGATGAGTCTGATACTGTCCGTGGTTAGCTCCAGGTGGTGCATTGGGGTAATAAGCAGGAGGAGCTTGGTTATGACCAGGTGGTACATTGGGGTTATGACCAGGAGGGGCATTGGGGTTATAAACAGGAGGGGCGTTGGGGTTATTACCAGGCGGACCTTGACCAGGATAGTTATACGGATAGCCATAATTGCCTCGACCAGCCATGATAAGCTACGATAGCGAAGAATTAATCCGGTGGTCGACAAAAGCAAGGGGTAGGCTCACCAATGTGTAAAGACGGCAAAAGTAGATAGAAGAGAGAGAACTGAAAATGCGATTGGGGTTTTTCCAGCTCAATGAAATTCGCTCTTCTGTCTAAGGTTTTTATAGGAGCAGGAAGGGTTTGCGAGTGTTGTTGACCATACTATTTCTGGACCAGAGGAGTCAAAATCCTGCGATAGAAAGCGTGTTAGATAGAATGACTTGAGGTACATCGAAATAAGGAAATTGTGGCACTATGTAGATTGACTCATGGGTAGGGGGGAATTAAATGTTCAGATTTAGCACGCGAATATTCATAGATGTTAGTGATGCTAACAAAGTTGTAAACTTCGAGACACAAATCAAATTTGAATGTACATGGGAGTCAATGGGGGTTAAGGGCGTGTAGTACAGTGAGCAGCACCTTGTGTAGCGGGGGGTCGAAGTAGTAACTGCACAGTGAAATGTAGAGACCGAGCTTTGAGAGACTGAGAGACTAAGAGCGAGCATCAGAGTCATACAAGGACCCACAACCGATTTACGATCTCGGAAACATCAGTTTGAACCGAGGGACCATCATTACAGGAATGTTTTGGGCACGAGACCTAGTATTTTCAGAGATAGACAAAATGCTGTGAAATTCTATGCCCCGCGACTCCCCGCGCTCTCAGCCAGCGCTGAGCTAGCTCATCTAAATCATGATGCAGATGATATTCAGTCTCAGCGGCGAGGTCATTATCGTATGATAACAGACGTACCAAATTAATCTTTTCACGACACAGATATTGAGTAGAGTCAATCGAGTTTGTTCAAAAAGACCGCAGAAATCATCGAGTCCCGGAGACAGCCGCGGTGCAATGGCCTGTAAAGGGGAGTCAGCGAGTCAAAAGTCGACCCGTGAACAAGTACATACATACCTCTAGGTTCTGATTAATCTGAGACAGATCTCTAACGAAAAATTGGTGTTAGTACTCTGTTTTTGGGACAAAGACCGCATGTTTTTTGAAAGACATCATTGTGATAATGACTCGATTAACTAAAATTCTATATTCGGTTGAAAGGATTTTTTAGCCTAAGCGTTTTTTGGAAGGTAAACGTCAATTGGCAGCAAGCGCGCTAATGCTAGAAATGTTGCAACGAGGACAATAACCCACAAATTTGAGCGACTCAAAGATACGTGCCTTAGATGCCTCAGCACCTCTCAGCACATCGTCAGGACAAGACAGATTGGGACATATTACAGGTGCCGTGGAGATACGAGAGACCTAAACTTCGCGTCGTATACCGGGTTCGATTGGGGAGCATTTCCAGTGCCTCCCAAGTAAACGGTCAAATGAGACAAGGACATGACGATGAAATTGTCGGAGGACAGCAAAAGTCAGTACTGTAATTCGACAGTGATAAAGCTGTAAGCCAACCTACTAGTATAAATAATTAGCAGGTCCGGGTTAGAGTCTGAAACGGAGGTCAGTCAATTCTCGTTGGCAAAAGTGAATGTGGGGTTTCCGATTGTATGAGAGCAGAACTTCAAGGAGAAATTTTCATTTGAGCGCAAGTTGATCGTGAGCGCGTTCGTCGTTGAGAAGAACAATGAACATACGTGGCTGTGCTATTATTGCGGAACATTCCGAATCAATTGATACTATCGATCCGACTCAAATTGCTCTCGTTCATCTTTATTTTGTCTACTCATCGTTATGGCTTGCGAAATCATGTCCATCTATCAAGGGATAATCCGCAATGAGAAACAAACTGGTCACATTCCAATATCCAATTTCGCGTATGTTTCGCCAGTGTTTAATCCTGTTCAATGCATATGTTAAGGACGAAAGTTATGTTACTGCTATCTACCCATTCCTTTCCTTCCCCATAACTTCCAAGTTCAAGAGGACAACTGAGGCATTGCCAACATGCGCATCGTCATAGAAAGAATGGTTAGACCGTTGGCTCATGGCAAGCTCATCTTTCGACAACCCATCTAGCCTCTTGAGCATTATATATGCATTATACAGGTCATTGGTTTAATCTTGCTGCTAGATCCTTCGTGTACCGAACCCTACCGAACCGTGCCATCTGGCTGACCTCGAATATTAGTACGGACCAGAATCAGTCAGGATTCCAGAGAAGGAAAATTGGGAACTTTAGCATACCATCCGAAAATTTTTTAGTATCCGCATTCTGTTCCTTCGTTTCACTGCGCCCACTGCGAAGAAGTCCAAGAACCCAGTGTGATCTGGTGTAGTCTGGTGTGATGCCGGTCAAAGCTGCAAAAAGCGTGTGGCGTTGCACTGAGTCATCATTTGAAATGCTTCTTGTTTCTCTACAGTTTGATATTCGTCGCAATTTGCGTCTTGACTCTGGCAAGACGACGCATATGACCAGCATCTTCGCGCAATGGGTGTCAAGTCGCTCTGGACCCTATTGACCCCAGTCGGTCGGCCTGTGATGTATGATATTTTCGTCTAACCGTTGTCTGCACGTCTCTCATGAACCTAGGCTGGAAAACATGGAAGGGAAGATAGTGGCAATCGATTCTAGTATATGGATATACCAGTTTCAAGCCACGATGAGAGCGAAAGATGGTCGTGCGTTAGTGAATGCTCATGTTCTGTATGTTCACGCAGTCCTTTTCTGTTCATTTCACCTCATATGAAATCCTAGTGGCTTCTTGCGCCGGATCTGTAAACTCTTATTCTATGGAATGAAACCTGTTTTCGTCTTCGATGGAGGCGCGCCAGTTCTCAAGCGCGAAACGCTGGTGAGAACACCGATCATGCTCCCTGTAAACGTTCACACCTGATACGTTCATTCCGAAGAATGAACGGAGAAAAAAGAAAACTGGTGCAGCTGCAAGCCATGTCAAACTTGCTGAACGGCTGTTAGCTGCTCAATTGAGACGAGAGGCCCTTAAACATGTCAAGAAGTCCTCGTGCGTTCTTCTTTTTGCCTTTGGAACTGCACCTCATATAATATAGCCCGACTAAAGGGAAAGGGAGTGCTGATGAAGCGCCGATAGAACTCAACGATGGCACAGTTTACCTGGAGGATATCGACTCTGCTATACCCTCGACCCCGCACAAGAAGACGTCAAAGGCCAAAGAACCAACTTCGTCAGCCAAGAAGAACAAGTTTTATGACCATGATCCATATCGACTGCCTGACGTCAATTTAGAGGAGAGAGTCGCTGTGGCAACGCGCTCATCTGCACCAGATCCTCGTTTGGCAACGGAAGACGAACTGCGTCTGTTCATCGAAAACATGCGCCCGGAAGATTTCGACGTCACTTCACCTGCTTTCAGGGAGCTTCCTACAGAAGTCCAATACGAAATCGTAGGCGACCTTCGCTTAAAATCACGACAGACCTCGTACACACGTCTACAGCAAATGCTGAAGAGCGCTCCTACTCCATTGGACTTTTCTAAACAGCAAATCAAGAATCTTAAGCAACGAAACTCCCTCACACAGCAACTGCTGACTACCACAGATAGCATCGGAAAGGCACACATTTCTATCCCCGTTCGAATTGCTAGTGAGCGAAACAGGGAGTACATGCTGATCCGGAATGAGGGTGCTACTGGAGGTTGGATTCTGGGAATAAGAGATGAAGGGACTAAACAGAAACCCATCATCATTGACCATGAAGAGAAGAAGACTCAAGGAAATGGCAAAGGAAACATTAAAATTGGGCAAGACAGCGATGAGGATGATGACATGGAAGAAGTGAGCATGTAAGCTGTTTCATTTCTGACAGAGGCGCATTTGCTAACTATTAAACGCAGACCCATAGAGGTCGAGGTCGAGGTCGATCCCGATCTTAGAACCTTTCGTAGACACTCCGCGTTGTCAGCTATATCTCGTCGTTATAAACCTAAACCTTTGGCGCCGCTGAATACGAAAGGAAAACAGAAGGCCGTGACAATTCCCTTGTTTGATTTGGATGAAGATGACGAAAACGAAGTTTCTTCCGTGCAGGCACAACAACAGGACTATTGGGAAGAAGACGAAGAACTGGCGTTTGCTATCCAGGAGTCTCTCGAGTATTCCAATGTGCACACCTCGACGGGAGCTTCTTCTTCGCGCACTCAAGTTCCCTTTGAAATGTCTCAGGGAACAGGTCATCAGGATACTCCTCCTGGAGCTGGGTCTCGTTCTCGTCTAGAGACAGCTTTATCCATAGCCAATGCCAGTGCTTCACGGAGCTCAGATCACGAGCCCGTCCGCTCGTCTACGTCTTTTGGACAACCATTTCTGCTCAGATCTACGCCCATATCCGGGCCTGTCGTGGAATCAAAGTCCCGAGTCACCACGAGTGATACCGTTTCAAACGTATCTGCAGGACTTAATCAATTGCCATCTCAATCACCTTCCCAGATTGTGCCCGCTGTCCCCGTTGCAAAAAAGACATCGCCGTCGTCTGTAAAGACCACTATATACAGTGTAAATTTACTCAAACCCGAAGTCAATTCATCTCTCCCAAAAGGTTCAAACAAATCCACGATTGTTCCTCCGGCTGCATCGTCGATTATAGAATTGGGTTTGCAGCCTGAGAAAGCTCCGTCGATGCCTCTTCGTGAGGACGATGTCGATGGAGCGGAGGTCTCTGGGGTCAAGGAGAATAATCATGCGTATATGATTGTTCCCCCTTTGTCGTCTGAGGATGAAGACGACATGGAGGAGATCTCTATGCGAAACTCACTCACTATCAGGGCAGACGCATCTCCTCCTCCAGATGAGCCGACGATAATGTCCACTTCGGAACTCGATTCAGAACTCAATCAGACTACCATTTCTCCTTTGAGATCTTCTCCACCTGAAAAACCTCCACCTGAACATGATCGCTCGCGACCACCTACCCCGCCCTTGGATGAGGATTGGGATGCCGCTCATGAAATGAATCCTGATGCTGAGGAAGGGGACTTCGCTCAGTTTGTATCTCAAGTGAAAGGCCGTAATATCGACGATGTTCGCCGCGAAATCGACGCAGAGATTGCTTCGCTGGACCAGCAACGGAAAAATGCAATGCGTGACGCAGAAGATGTCAACCAGCAAATGGTGACACAGATCATGGTACACAGTGAACGAAGTTGTAGTAGAAATAAGTGCTGAATGATCCCCTTCATTGTAGATGATGTTGCGCCTGTTTGGAATACCATACATCACAGCACCCATGGAGGCTGAAGCTCAGTGTGCAGAGCTGCTTTCATTGAATCTCGTCGACGCTATTATTACGGACGATTCGGACGTTTTTCTCTTTGGGGGATATCGGGTTTTCAAGAATATGTTCAATCAATCCAAAACTGTAGAGTGCTTCCTGCTTTCAGATCTCAGTCGGGAACTCGGATTGGATCAAGGAACTCTCATTCGCCTTGCATATCTGCTGGGCAGTGATTATGTTGAAGGACTTCCAGGTGTGGGTCCTGTAGTTGCGATGGAGTTATTGAAAGAGTTTCCAGGAGATGACGGACTACATAAATTCAAAGATTGGTGGCTGAAGGTACAATCTGGTAAGGATCACGAAAATGACAACAGTTCGTCGTTCCAAAAGAGATTTGTGAGTTTTTAGATCTCTATCTCGTACCCTCAATTTTCACAATGTGTTTACAGAAGAAGAAATTCAAGGATCTTTACTTACCTGTGGACTGGCCAAATCCCGCAGTGGTGAGTGTCAAACCCTGGTTGAACAGCCCGTTCTAACAGCCATCTCAGAGGGATGCTTATTATCATCCGACAGTTGACACCTCTGACGAACCGTTCAAATGGGGTCTACCCGATCTAGATGCCCTTCGCGCGTGTGTATTGATTTCAAACCCGTGTCAAACTATGGACTGAACATTTCACAGCTTCTTAAACAGCGAGTTGAGCTGGGGTCAAGCCAAGGTCGATGATCTACTCGTACCTATTGTTCAGAAAGTGGGAAAACGGGGACAAGTTCGTATCCGTTCATTCCTATGCTTATCATCCTTTTCCGATTAATGATTTATGATCAGGTGAACGCTATAAACCGCCAGGGTAATCTAAACGTTTTCTTCGACGTTTCCGCCGGCAGTGGCACCGCTGCACCCAGAAAACGGCAAGCGTATGCTAGCAAGCGCCTTCAGCAGGTAGTCTCTGATTTCAGAAAGAAGCGTAACAGTGCGGGCACGTCCACAACAGCCGAATCATCCTCAGATGATGACAGTCAAAAAAGTGAGGACAGAGAAGATGTACAGCCTCCAAAGAAAAAAAAACGAACGTCCAAGAAAGTCAAGGAAAAGTCAAATTCGGGAAATTTGGCTACCAGAAGCAAAAAACCCACAGCTCGTCGACCTCGGGCGACAAAAAAGAGCAATGTATCTGGCGAAGATGAAGATGGTGGTGCGTTTGTAAGAGGACCCGAAGCAGGAAATGCTGCGGCACCTAGTACACCACTAGCAGTTAATTTGCGACCCCGACCCAAACCGAAGCCTAATAATCGTCGTGGTGCTTTGTCGAATCATGACGATTCGATTTTAGGGAAAGAAAGATAAACCTATGCTACTTAACGATGTTTCGGTACACACACTTGCACTCCCAGCTTGCACTAGCGAGTAAGAAATCAGTTAGAGTTTTCCATAGTTTTTCAGTGTAGCGTTTACATACAGTAACACCGCCACCAAATAATCATTAATCAATTACTGAGTTATACTGTGGACGTGTCGTGTACTGTCTTTCTCTCTTCTCTCACTCACGCTACGTTGGCAACGTGTAAGCTTGGTCTTATACCAGTTCAGAAATCCCGTGCACCTAAGTCACTTTCTAGGTTATTAGTTTTCCACTGATATTACAGTAAACAAGTTATTTATAACACGTACAGTGTGACACGTCGACAAACAACTGGGCTCTTCTCGCGACTCCATCAAGTTCAACAACCATCATACGGACTCTTTGCGTATAACACGGCTCACTCCCCTCTACGGCCATGTCGACGGCCTACCCGCTCCCTACTAACATTTCCCCGACCACTGTCGCCAATACCGCGTCTTTGCTGCGCATTGTCGCCTTCGGGCTAATATCTGGCGCTGCTATCGCTTCAAGGCTGTTTGCCGTCATTAATTTTGAAAGTATCATCCATGAATTGTGAGTGGACTCTCAATCTTCTTTCACTTTGTTCCAAGAATGACCTGGTTGATGACAGTGACCCATGGTTCAATTAGTGAGTATCATTCTATTCGTGGGCTAGATGGATGTAGCTAAGAAACGACTCGAAAGCCGCGCGACGAGGGTGCTTGCTGCAAAGGGATTCTATGTACGTGGCCTTTGAAGTTCATATTTCTGTGAACTAATTAACTTTTTGACTTGCAGGAATTCTGGAATTGGTTTGATCCAACGGCATGGTATCCTCTTGGCCGTGTCGTAGGAGGTACGGTCTATCCCGGACTCATGGCTACTAGCGGTGTCATCTACAACTTTCTCCACTACTTCAATCTCCCTGTCGATATCAGGAATATTTGTGTCCTGCTAGCACCAGGTTTCAGTGCTCTTACGGCATGGGCTACATATATGTATGTAGAACTTCTTGTGTATATCTTTCATACTCAATCTCTGTGTATATAGGTTCACAGCTGAGATGAAGGACCCTTCCGCCGGCCTTCTTGCAGCAGCATTCATCGGCATCGTTCCTGGATACATATCTCGTTCCGTCGCTGGATCCTACGACAACGAAGCTATCGCTATCTTCCTCCTCATGTTCACATTTTACCTCTGGATCAAAGCCCTCAAGCTAGGATCTGCACTTTTCGGTACCCTCGCTGCCGTATTTTACTTCTACATGGTTGCTGCATGGGGTGGATATGCGTTCATTACGAACATGATTCCTGTACATGCTTTGGTGCTACTTCTGATGGGCAGATTCAGTGGCCGTTTGTATGTGGCTTATTGCAGCTGGTATGCTATCGGAACACTGTCAAGTATGCAAGTTCCATTTGTAGGTTTCCAGCCTGTCAGGACCAGTGAACATATGGGTGCCCTCGGTGTTTTCGGATTACTGCAGATTGTGGCCTTTGCCAGTCTGGTAAGGTCACATGTATCGTCGAAGCAGTTCCAGAACCTTTTGGCGATCTCGGTTGTGACCATGGGTGTCCTAGGTGCAGGAGCGTTTGTAGTCATGACATACAAAGGATGGATTGCTCCATGGACTGGAAGATTTTACTCTCTTTGGGACACTGGATATGCGAAAAAGTCCGTAATATACGTTCTACGCAGCATAAAACCAATCCACTGACTTATATTTCAGATACATCCCTATCATTGCCTCCGTCTCCGAACATCAGCCAACCGCTTGGCCGTCTTTCTTCATGGACCTCCAGTTGTTGATTTTTCTCTTCCCTGCTGGTGTCATTATGTGCTTCCGAGAATTACGGGATGAACACGTCTTCGTTATCATCTACGCTGTTGTTGCAAGTTACTTTGCTGGTGTCATGGTCAGATTGATGTTGACCCTCACACCAGTCGTGTGTGTCAGTGCCGCAGTGGCTCTATCGACCCTGTTGGACACGTATGTCGAGGCAAGAGAGCCTCATGTACCAGAAGAAAGAACGGAGGCAAATGGAAGCAGTGCACCAGATGGAAAGAAAACAAAGAAAGCGGGCGGAGCTGTAGGCTCCCAAGCTAGTACCACTGCTGTCGCCGCCGCTTCTTCTGCCATCTCTGATTTCGTCTCTGCCACGAGGTCCAGCGCTAGCTCCCCTAGACAAAAGGGAATCTGGGGCGCAGATACCCGCCTAGTCATACTCCTGAATGCTATTGGCATGCTTGTCTTTTTCGTTTTCCATTGCACCTGGGTTACATCAAACGCCTACTCCTCCCCCTCCGTAGTGCTTGCTTCAACTAACCCTGACGGATCACAACATATTATTGACGATTATCGCGAAGCATATTATTGGTTGAGGATGAACACTCCGCAGGATGCGGTTGTGATGAGCTGGTGGGATTACGGATATCAGATCGCGGGTATGGCTGATAGGGTGACATTGGTGGATAACAATACTTGGAATAATAGTAAGTTCTCTATCCTTGAGAAAAACAACCAAGTTATTCATTCCCTTCTAGCCCACATCGCAACTGTTGGTAAGGCTATGTCATCTCCTGAAGAAGTGGCATACCCCATTCTCCGTAAACATGATGTCGACTACGTTCTTGTGATCTTTGGTGGTCTCTTGGGCTATTCCGGAGACGACATTAATAAATTCTTGTGGATGGTGAGGAATTTTCTTCGATTCACTATTCACGTCTGAACTAATCCTGAACATTTATCGTGTCATACATATTCATAGGTCAGGATCGCACAAGGTGTATGGCCCGATGAAATTCAGGAACCCAATTACTTTACTCCGCAAGGAGAATATCGGGTCGACGACAGAGCGAGTGAGGCTATGAAGACGAGTTTGATGTACAAAATGAGCTACTACCGGTAAATATTATAAGTTGATTTTTTTCCATGGAGCAACTGCTGACCTGATGTCATTTATAGTTTCTCAGAACTATACGGTGGCGGGAACGCCGTTGACCGTGTAAGGAACCAGCAGATACCAAAAGTGGGGCCAACGTTGGATTACCTCGGTACGTCTACTCCCCCCTCCCCTCAAAAATTTTGACGTTAATCATTTTTCCTGCTCTTGTACAATTTGGACGAAAAAAAATCAGAGGAAGCATTTACCACCGAAAATTGGATCGTACGAATTTACAAAGTTCGCAAAGAAGATACTTTAGGGCGAGATTTGAAAACTGCGAACGCTTTCGCGCAGGGTAAGAAGAAAAAGAGGAGCAAGCCTGTTAGTAGAAGGAGAGCGATTGTTTAAAATTCAGTCTCAACAACAAGTACGTAGTCACTGACCCGGATAGCATAAATTATCTTCAATACGTCTGTGACCTGATACATACTGAGACGGCGCAACTCATAGCTGAAATGAGTAGGATCCCGGTCGTTCAAGTTTCAAGAGTCAAAACTGTTTCTAGAGACAGAAGCTTCCCAGAAACGAGTGTCAGAAAATTTCATGACTAAAAACATGCGTGAATGGTTTATGAATGGCAATACTTGTCAATGTATTTTTATGACAAAAGTGGCAACTGTGCACGCCGGGCCCAAGGGCATTACTCTGTAAGAGAGAATAGTACGAAAAGGTTATGATCGGACTGCACCTATTGGGTGCAATATCAAGGCCTCAGGCCTCAATCTCGAGGATCTCGAGTTTCTGGATATGGAACCAATGTAAAATGCCCGCGGATCGATACCGTATCTCCAAATGGGACTTACTGTGGTGCCAGTCCCTGCCAGTCCTAGTAGTCCTTTTGTACTCATCTGGGAGCCATATTGTTCTTTAAAATTAAATGAGTGTGCCTCCATTCAAGCTGACTGAACCTTGTCTTTGTCTATCTCATTCCACAAGACGTCTTATTGAGCTCATGATAAAGACACCTTTAGGAACCAACCATAATGAGCCACCAAGTGAGAAATCGAAACCAGGTTTGTCATCTTCCATTGAGAGTGCACAATAGGGTACAAAGGATGCATAAAAAGGCACTTCAGTTGCTTTAATAGAAACCATTGTCAATCGCAAGACGGAGAGATATGACAGGTTTGTTTTCTGCTCTTGCGGCGTCTCAATTGGCAGCAGCAAAACACGAGAACAAGTTTAATTGCTCTGAGGTGGGAAAAGAAATGATTAAACCATGTTGAAGTCAGATCCGTTAGAGGGAGGTATTCCGGGCGTATGGGAAGGCCGCCAACTGATATAGATTTCTTTTTTGGAAAGCTAGGATCCTAGAATGGTATCCTGAAACCGCGCCGTCTTGTTTTGTGGCCTGAACGTTGGCCTCGAAGTAGTAGTCAAACTGCATGGAGTGGTGCGAGTGATATAATATATCGCTTTAGTATGATGCTTATCCTTCCTTAGGGTGGGCTCAATTCTCAGTCCTCGCCTGTGCAAATGGTTTATACCAAATGTGGCCGATATCAAGTTTCCTCTTGCAGGTTATTGTGAAACGACGTGTACACAAGGCAAGGCCTTCAGATGTCTTTCGCAACCAGTCGGGCAATCGAGTGGAGTTCGATTCTCAAGGACGGATGATGGAACTATGATAACTGCGACATAGAAGTAAGTCCCATAGTGATTACTCCTCGCTTTCTGCCTCAATCCGAGCCTGGAAAAAAAGTTAGTTATACAGATCACAATGTGATTAGGCCGCCACACAGACCTTGTTTTCGGGGAGACCACCGAGAGCCGTTGCCAATCCGTCATAAGGATACGTGCGTCGGATGAAATGAGGTTCAGGTGTAAGGACCCACTTTGTCGTGTAAAAAATACCAGTAAATCCAGCAACGGCCAGTAAGAAGTGAATCAAGGCCGTTCTTGGCTTGACACCAGGAGGGGGAAGATCAGGACCCCACATAGACATTAATTCGTCGTGTTCGGGAAGCTGTAAATTGCTATGAGTTTCGAGAATAGAGAGCGCTACATCCACTCACAGGGTCACCGAAGTTCCGTCTCATTTGCATGTCATCCCAACCGTACGGAGCCCTGTACTGATGAGAAATTGGGGGAGCATATTGGTAATCTTGGAGAGGCTCTGGGTTTGTATCGATGTCCAAAGGCACATATGCTCTCCCGGAAGCAGAGGTGGAGCTAGAAGCATATCTAGCTAAAGAAAGGCGGGCAGCGCGCCAGGATGTACGTTGAACGATGGAAGTCATGAACAAAGTATCAAATAAGCGTAATTTCGGCCAGGCCGTCCGATCCCCGTAAAACGTGGCTTCATAAAAATTGTCAGATTCCCAACAGATCCCGCATCTCAGCTACCCCTGGACATATCCCAGAATGCGGCCACCTTGTATAATTTAGTCCGTCCATCACATATTTTTCTCGCTTATATATACGCCTCCAACGTCTGTTCAATTTTCTTTCTTACATCGCTTTTGTCATGCACGCCGCCGAGAAGGACGTTGAAGCTCTACTGCTCAAGGAGCGGGTATTCAGGCGAAGACCAGGAGATGTAGCCTACCCTTTGAATCACTCAAATGATATGCTCAACTAGTGAGTTTGTTCATCATCATGATCCCCGCTATAAATTTCTTCAAAACTGTTCCAGTGACAATTGGGATCATATTTTTTTCAAGAAGTGCTTCAAGAGTTTAACAATGACCCAGTTCCAAACGCCGCCCGAAGTTGTCCTGGATCTTGGCTGTGGTTCCGGTATCTGGGTGTTAGAAGCTGCGAGTCAATGGCAGGTACGTTCACCTCTTTGAGCATTTCATGTGGCGTATTCATTAACATCCTTTGTTAAACAGAAGAGCACGATAGTTGGTCTGGATGTCATGGATGTCCAACCCAATCTTTCAACTCTCGAACCTTACAAAGACCTGGCGCGTCGAATAAAATGGGTACACATCAACTTGTATGCCATGCATTATCAATCTTATTCGCGCGCTGGACTCATTTGAATTATAGATTAGATGGACTCCCTTTCCCCGATGACTGCTTTGACTTTGTTAGGATTTCAAGGCTAGGGCTCGGCGTTCCAGAAGACGAAGTAAGTCTCTGCAGTTCCTCTTCGTATACTCAGTAACTAAGTCTTCGCAGTGGCAGTTTGTTCTAGAGGTACCTATCCACATCCCTGATATTCCGATACTCTAATCTAACTACCTGACAGGAAGTCTCGCGCGTCATGAAACCTGGCGCGGCTTTGGAGGTACGTTGGAGATTGTGTACACTGATTTTCATGTTCACTTCAACCAAAAACATAGATTCTTGAAGAAAACTTGATATTTCCATATTGTCAGGCTGCCCGCCGACGCCCCCGGCCAACTCCTCTCACTATGGATTTATTTCCCGTTGATTCAATACCGTCCTCAACCAGGAGCTCAATGACAGTATTCTCGACGAGTCCATGGGATCGCAGTGACGATGATCTCATGGATGGCACCCTCAAAAAGAAGACAAGTTTATCCCCATTACAAGAATCTCCGACCTCCACGTTACCTACTCCAATTTCGCATATCAGCCCCAAATCCGCCAATAGCCATAAAATGTACTCTTCCAGTTTCGTTCCGCAGTTACCCCCTGTACCATCCCCACCACTAGCAGATTCCTCCTTCCACACAAATCCTCAGGATCACTCCCGTTTAAAAGCGGCTTGGGACGCGATGTTGTCGCGTCGATTTTTAGCCCCTCAGTTGATAACTGTCCTTCCTTTCTATCTGTCGTCCTGTTTCGTGGACGTCAAGACACATCCTACACTGCATATCCCACTCCCACCAAATTCGTCGTTATCAGACTCAAAATTATTCTGTTCTGATTATTCCTCCTCAGCCAACGCATTCAACCCCGAAGAACAATTTGAACTCAAACGCTCGACGGGTCGTCATTCAGACGAAGAAAATCCCCGTCGCCGAGATTCCACATTGGCTAGGGATCCTAAAAAGGTATTCTCTTGGGCACCGATGCATCTTGCCAGAACCGTCCAAACAGTCAAGGCCTGTAAAGAAGCCATATGGGACGAGTATGACAAACTACACAGTCCAGACTTGCCACCCACAATCACTCAGGCTCGATTGAAAGAAGGTCACCGAGCTGTGGTTTCATCGAAATCCGCCGCTCGGGAAAGCTTTGATCGCGCCTGGGATAACTGGGAAAAGTCGGTAACGTTCAATCCCACTCGATCTCTGATTACGGTTTTGACGGTGTTGTTGCGTTATTTTTTACAGTGATATGGCTGATCGCATAGGGATGCGGGACAACATCATGTTTGAACTTTTGTGGCCTGAACCTGCAGGGGAGCGTCCTGACTGGCGAGTATGGAGGAACAGTTTGGATATCAAGCCTGTTGAGCAGTCCGAGCCCGCGGCCGACATTTGCAGGACGATACGAGGGTTCGTGGCATGGAAGCCTCAACTTAAATGAGGAATTAGGATATACATATGTTGGGAGGCCTGCGTTCAGCGTTGGAGTATTCTCAGAGTATTCTCCTCTGAGATGGTCTTCGAATTTTCACATTTCTATCTGTTCGACAAGCGGAAGGACTCAAATATTTTTTTCACTGTAAACTCCTTCCTTATCATTCCTTCTAGTCCAGCTATCGACACTCGACATTGCAATGATCGCATCTATATATATCCACCCTCATGTGCATAACCTATCCGTACACCTATCCCCGGTCTGCTTGCATGTTCCGACTCATCCATCTCCCGGATCTCTTCATCAATCTACATTCACATATATTGTTTTGTTTATGCAACGTTTATGGTGTATTTTTTTGCCTTTCATCATTTACATATACCTACCCATACTCACAATATCCTTACCAAGCTCGTCTCGGCGAAGAGTATAATTGTACACTGTATGTACAAATCGGAAACAAAATAGCCACCGTTCTGGCATTATTCATCCCTAAACCTAGTTATAGCTATCTAGCCCTTCTTAGCCTACATATGTAACGTACATTTTGTCTGAGTAAATTCGTCCCCAGAAAGTCCTCCTTTTGTACTTCGAATCGGTGCATCTCCCTCCCTTATCTCGATATTTTCTCCCGTGGTTCTTCCGTGCGTTGATAGACTAGCACATAATGAACCTGAGAGTGAGAAGCTTGAGGGTTGGATGGAGATTTTGGGGCATTCCTACACTGTTCCTACTTACTTGTGAAAGCAGGTGAAAGCCTCCAACGCCTAAACTTATTTAAGTAGATGAAATTTGAGTTTCCAATGATTCCTTTCAGGATTCCTAATTTCTTCTCGTTCGCATCTTCTCCGAAACAATACAACGATCCCTGAATTCACCTTGATGGTATTGACACCGGAAAAGCGAAGAGCGGTAGAGCACGCGTAGAGCAGACAATCACCGGAAACCTGTAATCTTTACCCCGTATCTTGATAGAGTACAAGACAAACAGCAGTCCTCGACAAGTGAGGACATAGATACAAATTCTGACTACAGAATGAAGCCTTTGAAGTGAGTCCCGGGGTTCTCAGAACATAGCGTTAGTTGGATTGTCGTGCATGTCATTAATCAAATGTTTTATTCTCAGCATGTCAAATTTACCATTACAATCAACGTATATCGTAACTTGAAAGAAGTCTGAGACGTAGAAGTGGAAGAGTATGCAGTCGGACTCAGTCGTCGCTTGATAATTCTTGGAGCATTCCGGTATTGAACAATCGGCGAACCGTCAAGGGTTTTCCATTAATCTTTTCCGCAGAAACTGCCGACAGGTTATGAGAACGTGAAAGCGCATGTGGAGCGGATTTTAACATGCTATGTATGTATGTAGGTGCCAGAATGCATAAAACTTGATTCACGTACATTCGTATCTTTCTGAAGTCAGAAAAAACGGCAGTTGTGGGCGTCATAATCCCGGGTTTTGATTCGTAGAATTGAATCGTATGCAGATCGTTTGCACGGGTTTCCAGAGGTGACGAGGCAGATTGAAGATTTAAATAAACGGTCCTTCGCCGGTGTGAAGCAGCGAGCAGCGGTGATCGTTCCGCGGGTCAAGAATCAAAGTCGAAGGACAGTGCTTCAGTACGCCTGTAGCACTCAGTACGAACATGGCAGTGATGTAGATAGAGCGCTCTAGGTCAAGCGTCCTCTGTTAACTTGGGTCCAGGTCCGTTCCCGCAATACTGAGTCGTATTCAAGTCGTAACTGATACAATAATTCATAGTTGCTTCACTGCCATACAAAAGAATGGTTTCTGTCAATTATAGATACATAGCACGAGGCCGACCTGGCTAGCTTTATGATCCATTCATCGAAGGGAAGGTCGAAAGACAGCGTTAATTTGGTAGACGAATTGAAGTTGAAGTACGGAAGGATTATTAATGGGCCTATTGCATAGCAGAAGATAGAGTGGGCGCGCGAGTCTGAAGATGGCGCACAGCTCGTTATGGCATTAAAAGTATGCACCCATTACAGAATTTGATCGTCTGAACTTCGAGAGCGAGAGCAAACTTGGAGCAAACCCAAATTACATCACGACATATTGCCTGCCTATTTTGAACCCGTGTCGCCAACCAGTGTGGCCTTTGCTGAAATTCTCCCCTCACGACAACTCGTACTTTTGCCAAATGAGTGATTCAGAAAAACCCGCTGCTCCCCCCGCGGCTGAGGAGAAAAAGACTTCGACAGCTGAAGTCGATCTAACCAAGTACAAGGTTGGTTTATTCCAATGATCGAGTCTGGCGTAATTCATCGTCGAGACGAAAAATAAAATTGAGGCTGATCTATCTTTGTAGACGGCCGCGGAAATTGTTAACAATGTAACGAAGAAGCTCATCGAGCTTTGCGTTGAGGGCGCAAAGGTGATCGACATCTGTGTTGAGGGAGACAAGCTCCTCGAGCAGGGTACTGGGACAGTTTATAATAAACCCATCAAGGGCATAAAAATATCCAAGGGTACGCCGTGAATCACTGTCTGTAACTTGTTATCTCCGATCTTCACTGATAATTCATCGACGCAGGCGTTGCCTTTCCAACCTGTGTATCTGTGAACAACACAGTGTCACATTTTTCACCCCTCGCGTGTGTCATCTGTGTCTGCAAGTCGTTGTACAACTGATTCTGAATCTTTCTTTAGCTCAGACCCTCAATCATCACAAGTACTTGCCAAGGACGATGTCGTCAAACTTCACCTTGGAGCTCATATCGATGGTTTCGCAGCCGTCAGTGCTGAGACTCTTGTTGTCGGAGCTAGTGCAGAGAACCCTGTCACTGGTCGTCGCGCAGATGTCATTAAAGCTGCGTGGACTGCCGCTGAAATTGCAATGCGCACGGTCAAAGCTGGAAACAAGAATTGGGCCGTAACTGAAGCTGTTGGTAAAGTGACAACGGCGTGGGACTGCAAGCCTGTTGAGGGTGAGCGATTTGAAGTCTTTAATGATCAAAAGACATTCAATGTTCATTTTTCCAAGGCATGCTATCGTGTCAACAGACCCAGAATGTCATCGATGGAAAGAAACGAATCATATTGAACCCAAGCGAAACTCAAAAACGCGACTTTGAAGCCGCAACCTTCGCAGAGGGTGAGGTATACGGCGTAGACATCCTTGTCTCGTCTGGAGAGGATGGCAAGGTCAATTCGATTTTAGATGTACGTGTCATGAATAACATTGACGATTATCGATCGATAGGCCAGGGTCGAAGAATCACGGACAACATTATACCAACGGGATTCTACTGTCACCTATCAACTCAAAATGAAAACCTCTCGTACCGTTTTATCTGAAGTGCAGAAAAAGGCAGGCGCTTTCCCCTTCAACATCCGTACTCTCGAGGACGAAAAACGTGCTAGAATGGGACTACAGGAAGCTGTACAACACAGTCTTGTTAAGCCCTATGATGTTGTGTATGTAATGTCTTGAGTATGGTTGGCCGTTTTACTAAATCATTTTTCATCAGGTACACTCCTGCAAACACCTTCGTGGCCGCATTCCACTTCACCATTGCCCTCCTTCCAGGCGGACCCTCGATGATTACACTTCCGCCTATATGGTACAAACCTGAGCTCGTCAAGACGGAGAAGGAACTGGAGGATGAGGAATTGAAGGCACTGCTAGCACGGAACCTACGTGAGAGCAAGAAGAGTAAGAAGAAGAAGGCTGCTAAAGAAGGGGTTGAAGCTGGTGATGATGCAAATGAAGCTTGAGAGTTATCATGAAAAAGCTCAAGACCGGAGATTTGCTCTGCATAAAGACGATCACAACCAATCTGTTTTGACAATCTTGCATTCGTGTATAAACAATTGAAATTGATGTGCTACGAAGAGGGGGGATTTTCTGCTTCTTCACCGAACTGTTCTAGCGTACGAACAACGAGGTCTACGTTTTCCAGAAAGGCATTGGCTACTAGGCGCGCTAAACGGATTGTGAGGGTCGAGAATGCCCTAGAAATTCGTTACTTTTCATGGCGATACATGATTGCCCGAGCCACATACGCAATGAGGACATTTTCCTCCACAGTAATGATTCGCTTTACAGCATGAGGTTGTAATTCTGGATCTACTTCAATCGTTTGTTTCGCGATGAGAGCATGTTTTTCCGAAGCGAAAGGTATTTTCAGCGTTCTTTTATCCAGAATTATCCAAGTATACCACATTAGGACGTTTTCCTTCTAGAGAGATAGTCGGAGCTCTCACACTGAATGCCAGTCCTCCGACATGGTGGATTAGGATGATTATCGACGACGACATAAAACGGACCGAGGGCGGAATTTGAATATTATGTAAGCGCCTTACTCACCTTCACTCACTTTTAACTACTTTGACCACTCAGTCAATGGCTTCACCTTTACTGGTCGGAGCTGGCGTTGCTGCTGCCGCTTTAGCGGGAAGATATTTCATCAAACAAGCGGGAAAGAGTGCTGCAGAGAAATGGGCTCAAGGAGGATTTAGGGCAAAAATGGATCGAAAGGAAGCTATTGCAATCTTGGGACTCAAGTGAGCGTTATCTCTATCATTTATTATCTATAGCTGAACGCAGAGTCTGCAAAAACTAGAGAGGGACCCCAATTACGCACAAAACTGAAAGATGCCCACCGGCATATAATGCTCGCTAATCATCCAGACAGGGGAGGGTCGCCATACCTTGCGAGTAAAATAAACGAAGCTAAGGACTTGTTGGACAAGCAGGAAGGCAGACGGTAGCAGTATTGTCTCTGTGAGTCTACACCCAAGTAGTTGGTTAACGATATTCTAACTCAATTTCGGGTGTACCATAGTTCGTTCACTTGTTGTACCCACATAGACGTTGTGTTATTACTCAGTATCTAATACCTACATAATCCTGCTCATCATTCATCCACTCCTTTGATGGAAACTACAGGAAAGCTCCGCCGCGGGCAAAAAAATACGGTGAAGGAAGTGACCACCGTTAAATAACATAACGCATCACCTGTACATGTAGCGACGCAATGCTTAGAGCCCTCTCAATAACATGCGTTAGCGTCTGCGGATGGGCTCTCCAGTTTTGCAGGTATGTCCACACTTGTTCGCAACCTTCCCCCAGATCATTGGCTCAGACCTTTTACAGTCGTAGTGAATTATCATTCGATTACATGGGCCTAGAGAAATTATCTTGGTGTGGTCGGAACATCTGTAAAAACTGCCGCTATACATCTGCATCACAAACAACTTGTGACAGTAACCCGTTGATCCTCATCATTAGGAGACTGCTCTCAAGGAAGAGGCAGATTTCCCTGATGGCGTAGCGCTATCTGACGGGAACGAACCATCAAACCGGAAGTTTAGCTGAAATAAGGTTCAACAGATGTCGCTTCGCAAAATCTATTCTACTAGTAACACTGGATCGAGGAGACAATTACAGTACTCCAGGAACCTGTACGACAGGTGATATCTGAAACGGGATTTATCATCGAAGTAACAGCATTTCATTCATGTTCTCTATTTCCGGGAATCACTCTTACATGTGGCCCTTTGGTCGTCTTGCATCACATCTTGGTGGCCGTTTCTTGCTAGAGGTGCAAACACGTAGAGGATGATCTGTATGATGATACCAATTCATCCTTTGATCCTATAAGGATCCCTCTATAATGCACTCAGAATATTATCCAGTATCTCATGCCCGTTGTTCTTCCGCTTGAGCTTCATGAACTCATCATCGACCAGCTGCTTTACTCTTTCCTCGAGCTCAAGGCCTGCAGCATTGTCTGCAAAGCATGGTTACCACGCTGTCGATTACACTTATTTCGAACACTCATCGTTCGCCCTCGAATATTCAACAAGGGATATTCGGAACCCTTCTGTTGCGAATATCAACAATTCTTCACACTTGACCATTCTTTTATCACACCGTCCATCGTCTTTCATGTTCGAAGACTGAAATTATCGTATGAAGTCCAAAGTCCATTTGGATTATTACTGGACTCATCGTGCGCTCCGATATCAAGCGCGTTGATCCCGGTGTCCTCGATGATCACCATACCTTTCCCATTCAAACGGCTTCAAACTCTCCACATCTGTTGGAGGTCTGTCAACTGGGGCGGTGTTACAGCGCTGGAGAAAATGTTACAACAGATCGATTGTCTCCGGCATCTAGTCATCGAGGGACGATGGAGATTCTGCGTAAAAGAGGATATTCTCTCTTCTATTGCTATCCATGCTCCTGGTCTCAAAACCCTGTGCTTAGCGAAGCTTCGATGGTTTCCTAACTCGATTGCATCTCCATTTGTCGAAGAGATATTAAGTAGGTGGAACGATCGTTTCTATGAGCAAGGCATTCCTCCACTGCGGCTGGAAAGACTTTGCATCACGAAAAGCACATCGAAGAACTGCGTAGCAGATCTGGAGAAGGTCATTCTGCCTTCTCCATGCCTAGATTTGAGTAACCTCCGCTATCTAGCAATGCCTGCTGGTAGCCTCCAAGAAGTAATATATGATGCACGTTTTCGTACTCTCGGAAGACAGGTTACTCATCTAGCGATTGTGAACCTCGATACCTCAGGTAAGTCTCCAGTTCGAGGAGTATTGTAAAATATCTAATGTTTTTTTTTTCCATCAGCATTTAAGGTAGACAGCGGCTCTTTCCCAGTCCTTTCTCACCTGCAATTGTACATACGGAAAGAGCACGATCTCGTTCGGTTCCTCCATATTCACGGTGCCTCCGCCATCTCCACTCCACCTTGGGTCCGCATGCATATCAATTTCGAAAAGCACCTGGATCACAGACTGAAAAACACAGAGATGACTGCGCAGAGCTATAGTGACATTATTGTGCATACTTCATCTGTAGACCTGGCACTGCACAAGTTCATCGTCGATTGTGAAGTCAGCATGCAGATTAGCGTGCATTTCGCACACCTTGATGGGAGGGAACCGGATATACAGCATGATTATATCCGAGAAATGTTTCCGCAAAGCTTTCCTACCGGGCATCTTGAGTGGACGGACCGCAAGTCGCTCGAGTGGTGGCTTGATCACAAGTCGGGCGTTTGGTAGTGCAGGATAAAGCTTTTTCGGTTGGACAGTCTAAAGGCAACTGGCGATACAGGCTTAGACATGGTAGATGGAGGAAAGAGAAAACCGTTAATGCGTTCGGAGAGCATGCTGCACTGTATAATATCTCATGAGGTTCGCATTCGATGATACAAAACCTCTCACAAAGCATAATCGTACAACCTCCAAGTACTAGACGACCTAATTTACATGTCTTCTGCACCCCATTGATAACTCTCGAGCTGTGTACGTTTACTTGCGTTGCGTGTTTGGAACAACTTCTTCTCGAACCCATTTCCTCTATCTAGACAATATCACACGAAATTCACGTTAACATGAATTGCATGAATGACTGAGAGCTTAATAGACTCACCAACGCCATCCCATCTGTATCCTGGTTTTATACCGAACCGGTTTGGAGGAGGTGGAGGCCCGGTGTATTCAGGTTTTCGGGGACCTTTGGATTTCTTTTTCTGTGTTCGAGGCTCAGTCAAAACCGTGGCAATGTATGTTGAATACGAAACATACCGTTAAGAACGCAGCGGCCGGGTCATTCCATAAGTCTTTAGCTTTTTGTTCTTCGTTGAGCTCTTTGTCGTCTACACCGCGGGCAAACGGCCGACTCTTCAGCTTCTCCAGTTCAGCCTTCATTTTCTCTTTATCCTCTCGTTGTACCAGTCCTTTACCCCATTCCATCTTTTGCGCCTCCTTCTCCTCCTTTTCACGCTTCTTCCTCGCTGCTTCCGCCCGGGCAGCCTTTGTGTCAATCTTCCGACCAGTAGCATCACGATATACGGTCTCCTGCATCCGTGCTATCTCTTCTGCTGTTTCTTCAGGCTCTGAGACTTGTTTTGGTCCAGGTTTTTTCATTTGCCCTTTCACCAGTCCACCGACAAACGGCTTCTCTTCCTCCTCTTCTACGATAAGCAGTGGTTGCTCATCTGGGGCTGGATGCTCTTCTACAGCCGGTCGGACGGTCGTCCATCCTGAAGAACCTTCCCCGGATGCAGCTGTTTTCCTCTTCTTGAAACCTCTGTCCTTCTCTATCACAGCCTCAGCCATATCCTCGTCCTCATCATTAGGCTCGTGACCCCAGCCGACATCATCGTCCTTTATGAGAGCTTTTTGTACCGCAAATCCTTCGTCTTTTGCCTTTCTCTTCTTCTTCTTCTTGAGGGGATCGCGAGCAAGGATGGCGTCTGCTTTTGGCCCGGACATGTATTTTTCGGCCAAGTAAGCTTTCATAGACATCGCGGACCAGAAGGTTTAGTACTAGTGTCAGTAGTGGATTGTAATAGCTGGGTTAGATATGAGGTGTGATATTATTGTGCGTTAATTGAAATGACATCAATGTCAACTCTCTGAGCGCCCAGTCAGGTGATTTTCGGCTTAAAGCGCCTCTCTCTCTATTCCGAGATAAGTCGCTAGAGGAGGCTTATCAGAGGATAAGTCAGCCGGGTGGTGTGAGTCGGCCAGCGCCAGTTTGGCGCCTATCTTCGTACTTCCGACTCCCACCGCCAATTGTAATTTACACATAATCCTCGCTACCCACCCACCCGCACCGACTTATTTTCCCCAGCCGTATGCTACTGTTTTAATCCCCGCGCATTCTTGATCTCACACATTCATCTGTTATATTTTCAATTTGCCCACCCGCGCGGGGCTAAAGCCCAGCCAAACCTCTTTGCAAGTATTACCCAACTTTACATTCACTCATCCATCTAATTCGAACTGAACCTCAGCCTGGCTTATCATACACTCTTGAAGCCCATTATGGCTAGCAAAGAATAACTTGAACATCGGTGAGTTACATGTGCAGTCTACCATCAGATATCCTAACTGTACCCACGGGCTCTCAACCACACCCGCAGTGAAAGCTCGCTCCAAACGCTCCAAACGCCTAGTTACCTAGTATAGAATTCATTACACAGGCTTCCCAATTCCGCACAGCGATGCTTTGGCTCGGGCGAATCACATTCGAAAGGCTGATGGCAAATCCCCACTCACAGATAAAGCGAATCACGCTGGAGAAGTTCTGTTGGCAATAGAACCCATCGTTCAAGCAGCCAGTGGAGTGTGGTCTTCTGCACGGCCGATGGCTACCAGCGCAACCATACGAGCTCTATTTACAACACGAGTTGAGAATGGTGGGAGTCCCAGAAGAGATCCTAGATTGGATGAGACGGAGATACTCTGGACGGAAAACACAACTATCCTTCGACGACTACATCTCACAACCATTCGCTGTCCCCGGGGGCAAAGACCAAGGAGATCCATTCGCGGCAGTTGGTTACACCCTCTATGCCGCAGGATTGCTAACAACATTCAAAACACTTAACAAAGAAGAGGGATTTGGATTTATGGACGACGTTGCTGCCATGAAATGGGGTAGAGACATAAACCAACTACATGCGGAGATCGGGCAGATGATGAATAAGGTGAACGGTCCGTTGGAATGGGCAGCCTCTCACAACTGCCAATTTGGTGTACCGAAGTTCAAACCAGTAGATTTCAACCGACAACGAAAACCACACCCAACAGAACCGCGGAAGACCGTCCCAATCACCGGCTCAGGAGTACAGCTACGGGGGACGTTAATCAAATCAGAACCATTCACCAAATTTCTAGGTACATTGATGGATCGGCAGTTATGCTGGAACGAGCAGCACGCAGCTATGGTGAGGAAAGGACAGCAATGGGTAGCACAATTCAGATGGGTAGCAAGAATGAGAGACGGGATGGTAGCCCAACTAGTTCGACAGCTGTACAAGGCAAAAGCATTACCGAGAATGCTATATGCTGCCAACATTGTATTGACCCCCGCCTCCAGGAGAAGCGAAAAGAAGTGGACCCAGGCATCACAAACCTGAGGCATCATTCGTAAACTCACGTCCATCCAACGACAGGCAGCACTACTCATTACCGGGGCCATGACTACCACTGCCACGGACATCCTCAACATCCACGCGGCTCTACTACCACTACCACTCGAGATTGAGCGTCACCGACACCGCGCAGCAACAAGGCTTCTAACACTACCAGAGGAGCACCCACTATCAGACCATATCAAAGATGAGGCACGTAACCAACGACGAACACACCATTTCTCACCAATACACAACCTAATGGCGCGCTATGGACTCAAACCAAACCATATGGAGAAGCGACGCGCGGTCCGCTATGAGGCCTCTTGGGACCCAAAGTTGACTGTGAACATCTGGGAGGGTAAGAGCGAAGCACTAAAAGCATATGGACAGGACAGCACCATACTCAAAATTTTCACTGATGGCTCAGGTTTTCAAGGTTATGTAGGTGCTTCAGCAATACTTTACAGGAACGGGCAGGAGACCAACGCTATATGCTACCGACTAGGGTCCAACAAATATCATGAAGCGTATGAGGGAGAGTGTGTGGGGCTAATACTTGCGCTACACCTGGCGCGGGAGGAGGAACTAGCTGAATCAATCTCCATACGGCAGCTATAGCAGCGACGGATACCAACAAATCGGGCTCCTCACACTACCTTCTTGACATCTTCCATCATGCGCTAACAGCACTGCGAGCATGCCACCCTGACATCCCAGTCACCATCTCATGGATACCGGGACACATAGGCGTCGAAGGCAATGAGAGGGCAGATCAAGAGGCGAAAAAAGCAACGACTGGCAGATCTAGCCAGAAAGAAAAGCTACCCACTCAATTGCATCGACCACTTCCCCACAGTCAAACAGCGACCATCCGCACGTTCCGCCAAAAGCTAGAGAAACACCACAACAAGCAATGGAGGAAATCACCATGTTTTGCCCAATTCCAATGCATCGACCCCTCCGACGCCACCACCGCCAGTCGAAACTACTGGAAACTAACCCGCTGGCTCCCCAAAAAGCTCCTCAGTCTGCTCACCCAACTACACACAGGACACATCCCACTACAAAAGCACTTACATCGCATTGGAAAAGCAGACTCCCCAACGTGCCCATGCTGTAAGAGGGCCGACGAGACCGTCACACACTTCTTATTCAATTGCCCAGCACATCAAAGGGCCCGAGGCTGGCTACAATGAAAGCTACCCAATCAACTATGGTCCCTCGGGCCTCTGCTCTCGGTGAAACAGGCACTCCCACCGCTATTCCGCTATATTAACACCACAAGGCGATTCCACCACATTGTAGGAGAACTCCTGGAACTCAGCGAGGATGATGAAGACCAATCCTAGTCACAGTGTTAGCGAATCGACTGCCCTATCCGACCATTCTATGTATAGTATTAACTTCTCTTGTTGTCATGCCTCGACCATTATCCACAGCCCTCTTAATGGTGACAACCAGGACAGCCCCAGTATCAGCCAAACACTCTCACCCCTCAGTACCGATCCACGCCCGTACCTCCCCAGATCCACGCCTGTACCTATCCAAGACAGCTCCTAAACCTCCCCCGACACGCGTCGAAACCCTCCTACACCTACCCCATTAAGATACTAATCTCGATTACACGCCTCATGGCCCCTGATGTTCCCTTGATCACTTCCTGTACCTATTTAAGTAGCTCTGATACGTCCCGAAGCCCCAGCTTGGTATATTTTGAACACACACCCTTTTGCATAGGTCCAGTCCCTGTCCCTTTGTACCTGCTAACCATACGGATTTCTCTTTACTCTCTGTTTCTCTACCTCTGTTTCTCTCTACTTCTGGCTATTGTCTCTCTGATCATCTATATGATTGAATATACACTTTCACTTCAAGTCTAAGCCTTCCGAGTGAGTCCCCGAGCTCCCTCGAACATTACTAAAGCTCCCCAACGCCTACCCGTCTTGGTGAGCTACCCTTCCCCAAACCTCCCAGAGCTCCCTAGCTACTTCGTAAGCTTCGGGACCTCGATCTAGGTAACGTCAAAGCTACCCCTCACGTCGGACTACGTATTGCTTCTCCGTTACCACCTCCCACACTCGAGGACGTCCATCCTCAAGCTCAGCCCCCAGGGACCTACCCTCCCTGACATATCCCTTCTCGGGAGCTTACACTCTCGAGACCCAGTTGCATACACGACCTACTCGATCCTATATTGACGTTCTAGCGAGTACAACTCCTACTACGCAATACCGTACGGTCCCGCACTCTTCCTTAACCTCCCTACGCCTTAGGGACCTCCCTGGACCTCCTAGGAAACCCCTCAAGGGTCATCATCTCATCGTTCCAGGCACTACTAGGTCATTCCCGTCCTCGGTCGCGGTTCTCGTAGCTCCCTTCGAGCTCCAGCCTGCTCCTAGCACGCTACAACATAAAACTTCATATACCAAACCTACCCTAAGACCCATTTTGACCCAGGTCTTACATTATACCAAGCTCTCCCGTCACCGAACGGACTCGTCGCGACGAAATGTCGGCGACGTCAACGGAACGACCTTCTAGTTCCAAGACCGAATCAAAGAAACAAAAGAGCGCCTTATCTCGTGGAAACACGACACAAGCTCAAAAATCGAACCAGGCTGCTAGCTCCACTGTCATCATGGTGGCAGCTGGTCAACGCCTGATGTCCATCCCAGAACAGTCGTTCGGGGATGAAACCGCCAGCAACATCCGGACCCCAGAGGGACGTCAACCGCAGGTTCAGGGGCCCCCTCCAGTGGAACCTGGGATGGGACCACCACAACGGAGGTTTACCTCCATGGGTTACGCCCAACCTGCCAGTAGTCCCATGGGAGGTTTCGCATACTCCCCTACCTGGGGAACGAGAGGACCTCCCCCTGGACCGGTACCGCAGCTAGACATGGAGTCAGCTTCGAACGCGGGTGGAAGAGTCAGCGGTCAAGTAGCCGCTATCGAAAGGATACAAGGGGGGAGTACTGACCCTCTCTCAGTACGACAACAGGAGAAACTTCCAGAGAGGAGGGTATCCCCTGCCGTATCCGAACAATCTCGGACGTCATCCCGGAGGTTACCAACGCCTCCAGTACAGTCCCTTAACCTTCCTCTCCCGAGACGAGGAAGTTCGCTCTCCAGTCTCCTGAAAAGCCCAGCTATGAATACGCCCAACTGGGAGCGTACACATGCAATACACCATAGCAGGACCAACTTCCCAGTACAACCCTTGTCCGAAATGACATTGCGTCTGGAAGACGTCATTCGAATTCAGGAGTGTATCCCGGAGGATGTAGCTATGGTCCTAAGGGAGGTATTGGAGTCAATGGGGATTGAAATATTGGGAGACGGTCTTGAATTCTCAGACCTACGAGTACAGTTCCTAACAGTGGGAACTCAACTGGAGATAGATCTCCCAGAGAAGGCCCAGCAGTGGCTGATGACCCCCGCAAACCGATCAGATTTTCTCTGGCTGTACAACGTCCTGTTGGACCCAGAGAGGATGTTGGAACTGTTAGAGGCAGAGGCACGTTACGGGCGATCGTTCCGAAACTCGAGGGGAATACTTCCCCTCCTTCCTCATACCCATGGAAGGGAGAAGGAATTCTGTGGCGAAGCAGGGCTACGTATATTGTACCGAGCCTCTAACTACAGATCAGGAGCCAGTACAGTTTGAACCTCCCCCTTCGAGGGTTAACATACCAAACTACCAGGCGATCCAAATACTTCGGAACGCAAACCTAGCGGAAGCAGCAGCTAAAATCGATGAGGAAAGTAACGAGGATGCTAACGCAATCGCTGCAAAAAATCGTAGACGCAGGAGATACACCACGGCTCACCTCCTGGCCCCAGTGGAGTCAATGCCTGATCAGGATAGTCCCGTCCGGTCCGTAACGGGCAGACGGTATACACGTACACGCCCATGAGGCATATGCACCAGCTTCTGGTCAGGAGTGAGGAGTCTGAAGCGATGTTGTGTTCGCAGGAGACCCGACACCGGACGCTACTAGCGGAATCAGACACTCTGATGCTGTCGGAGGAACTTTCTGGATCGAATCTAGAAAGAGCTTTGGAATTCCGTCGCAGACTGGTCGCGGATAATCGGGGAACCTCGTATATGGTTCAATGCGAACTCGAAAGCGTAGGGGAGTTCCCTCCGGAGCAATTTGACCAGAAAGGGCAGCTCCATGGATCTGATGGTCGTTTCCTGGCACAGAAACATTCATTGCCCAGGAATATCGAGGTTCCTGAACTCCTTAACCCCGGTAACACGGCCACGAGGAGCCCCCAGTTACGCTCTGGGACCTCCCCCACTGTACATGCCTTGGCTCAAAATTCGACTCCTCCCCCCAGAGTTAACCTGCAAACGAAACCTTTAACCCCAGTCTCGACGCAGCGATACCAGTTTGGTGAGGTGAGGATGGATGGCGCACAACATTCATCCCGGATCTCCGGACAAGATCTGACAGCTCGGTTGGCTCCCAACCCTGTACACGTTCCTCCAAGACTGAGCAATCCATCAGTCATTCCGTATCAAGGGTCGGTATCGATGCAATCTCAGGCAGTGGGAACGGAAAGTCAAAGGGGTCCGAACCAACGAAGAACGTTGGCAGTTCACGAAGAGGCGGTACCCCCGCAGG